CCGTCTCACGGTATCTACAGTCCGACGCGTGTGATCTTGGCTATGAGCCAGTCATTAATCCAAGTAAAACTTAAAATACACGAAAATCTGTATAGTTTTTTATGTGTAGAAAACAGTTTTCGAGCCAAACGCTAAGTGATTAAACACTGGTGTGCTCTATCAAGAGACACATACAGCTCAAAATTACTACCAACACCGTAAATCTCCCTCCAACGTAAAATATTTTCTCGAATTTTGTTCAACAAGAAAGAGTAATCTCTCGTGACCACGTCATAGTAGTTGACACAAGTGACGGAAAAACGGTGGAAGAATATGCAGTTGCTCTAGCCAAAGTAGTCCCTCCGAAAGACATTTTATACGTGTAAAACATAAGTCAAAATCGAATCTGCTTCTACCTATGCACAACTGAAATCTTTGACAGTCTCATCAAGCAGTCAGCTAAATTGCAAATCGGGGACAACCGGCTAGAAATAAGACCATTGAAGAGCAAAGCAAAAAGGATCACGATCTCAAACGTTCAGTCGTGTGTTCCAACCTCTGTGATCATCGCAACAAACTACAAAAAATCTAGGCCACCTTCTCAGCTTCCGTAAACAAGTTTATATAAAACAAGAAGATCTCGAAAATTCCAAACAGCCTGAAAACAACGTACGAATTCCTCGTTCAGTGGATCTACTTCTCCACAGAAAAGTTGCTTTGCTTCCATTGCAAGAAGAATATCTCGTCAAATTCTGCACAGCCACACCTCCCCAAATAACCAGCTCACAAAAAAGAATACCTCTTGCTATCTACAATTTATAACCTGAAAACTCAAACGATGACAACTACACTATAATCTAAGACTCAACACCTGTTCCAAAGAACAACGATCAAGACAAAAACAAAGCTACAACAAAGAAGCCAGTTGTGCATGACGCAAATCCAGTAGCTGCAGATGGAAACCACAGTCGTCTGATTTTAATTTCCACGCAGTTTACCTACGTTGACGAAAATGCCGATCAAGCACTCTTCATCAAACCCGAAAACCAAAGAAAAAAAAGGTAAAATTGGCAGCCAAATCGACTTTGCGAAACATCTTGAAAACGCGCGTGAATCAATTGAGAAAAAAGAAAATAACTTTCCTCTCAATTATGTTCGACTAACGCAATTTTTAGAAAGCACATACGGGAACGTTAACATTCATGCAACAGCGTCAATGTATACAAGCGACATTGACGCGCTCTGTCTCATACTCACAAATATATACTCAACTGTAGAAAATCGATTCGCGAGAAGCAGACTTACTCGTATCCGAAATTTACTGCGCAAAGCCAAGGATGCCAATGTACATTTGGACGACGACGTCAGTAGTGTTTACGAGACATGAAAATAAGCGAAGAGAAAAACAGGACTCAATAGAAACTCAATCTCATTCATTATAGACACAAATAACTGCTATTCGATTTAAAATAGATAAAAAAATCTCTGAGATTAAGTTAAAAATTCTGTTCTGGAATCCTCGCAGCGTCATCAAGCGACAACTTGAATTGTATAAAGTGCTACACGACATCGATATTTTTGCTTGAGTCGAATCTTTCGAATCTTAGTTAAAGCCCAACACTTGATTCCATTTCGTAGGCTTCAACACTTTTAGGAAAGATCATCTCGATTCGAACAGTGAAAGAATTGTTTTTCTAGTTAAAAAACTGTCATTTAAAGAAATAGCACAAAGATAAACGACAAAGTAGAAATTACGGGAATCCGAATACTAACCATTCCACCATGTATGGATGTCTTCGTTTGCTATAGAATTACTGGAATAACACTTTCTTAAATTTCTCTCTCAAACTTTCTCTCGCGAATACGATGATCTCTCTCCAAATCAAAAGTACGATTTTCACATGAACATTGTTACGAACACAGTTAAATCAATGACTCTGCGAAAAAAACAACCACAATAAAAAGTTTGTAAATAATTCAGCTCCTAGCTTTCACTTCATGCACATGCAAAGTTTTCGAAGCTTTAATTATATATAGACTCGAGTGGTGGCTTGAGCACAATAAATTACTATCAGAATCTCAATCTAGCTTTCGAAAAGGCAGATCTTATCGCGGCAACTTAACCCTGTTAACCTATATTATAGACCAAGCCCACAGACAACACAAAGACGCGTCGACGGGATTCTTGGATGTATCCGATGCATTCAATAATGTTTTGCCCGACCTACTCGTACTATTAGACAAGCTAGCCGAAGTCAAGTGCTCCGTGAGAATGATTAATTTTATAAAATTCCTTATTTTCGATCGTTATTTACACACCAACATCGAAGGGTATGAAGAAATCAAAGCAAACAAAGGTGTACCACAAGCAAGAGTATTAAGCCTTTTACTTTACATAATTTATATGATGAACATTGCAAAGGGACTCGAAAAAGATGGCATCTCGATTCTCAAATTCGCTGATGAGATAGCTGTCGTTACTGTGACTCTCGCGATGCCAGAAAGTTTCTGCTTACTAAAAAGAATAATTGAGTCGATTAGCTTAAATCTACATTCACTAGGTCTTCATGTTTCTCCTGAAAAAACAGTCTTTGTCTATTTCAATAAAAAAAGATTTCTCCAGGTCTTCCGTCAATCAAGATCAACGGACACCAAATAACCTTTACCGATTCTGCCTGTTTCTTAGGCAGACCTTTGATTACAAAATGTTCTTTAGAACGCATATGCATAATATTTTAAATAAATGTAATTTTTTAATAAATATTATAAAGTATTTATACGACACATAGTGGGGAGCGGATCCCGACACCTTTATCGCACTGTAGAAAAGCTACGTCTGCTCATCGATAAAATATGGCTGTTTTATATATTTTTCCAATGACAAAAAATTTATTAAAAAGTTTGAACAAATGCAATTCGAAGCTATCAGAGCTGCGTTAGGGTTTAGACAGAGCGCTCCTACAAATATTTTCTTAGTCGAAGCAAAACTTTCTTTGATAAAAATGCGTACGAAGCTTCTAGGTTACAAGTACGTATTAAAAACGCTATTAAACCAAAACGTCCCTATATTCATACACATTATGTACCATGAGATAAAAATATCTACGACCACATCGAGATAAAAATATGAGATAACAAATGTTAAAAAGCAATTAACATTTGTTCTTTTCAATACGTGTTTTGCAAAACGTGCAAAAAGTTTGGGCTGCCATTTTTTACATATTTAATGATTTATGTAGTTCATGTAGAACTTACAAGCTTTCTCAATATCGATCCAACTACTATGGCAATGCTTTTTGAAAGTCATCCATTTTTTAGCGTTTCTTATGTACTTAGATAATGGAATTAATTGAAGACTGCTAAAATAAGGAATAGGAAAATATTTTGAAACAGTGGAATAAAAACGATGGATAAATTAGACGTGTTCGCATTAAAGAAGCGTTTTGCTTGGCGCTTTAATCCACCATCTGCTCCTTATATAAGTGGAAGCTAGGAAAAACTAATTAGGTCAATTAAAAATGCGCTTCAATTTATGTTTAATGATATATCTTAATCAATTTGATACCATTTACAGTGTCTGACTAACACCAAATCTTTTTTTGTTTGAAAGAGCTTTCGGTCTTATTAATTTTAAAAAAGTAAACTTGGTAAAGCAATGACAGATTGCTTAATTATTTAGATGATTTTTAGAACAGATAGCTCAAAGCTCTATCTACTTTATTAACATGAAAGAAATTGGGATGATGGTCAGACAATTACCGTAAATGATTTGGAGTTACTTCTCGATGATAAAGTTTTGCAAAATTATTGAAGTAAATGAATCGAAACTTGATTCATTTGATCTTCGGACAAAGAAGTTCACACGGTAGAAGTATAACCAGTCAGTGGTATCTTGACTCGTTTGACTCAAAAATTAATTAATAACAAAAATGTTCAAAATCTAGAAAAATTTTCAACGGGAACAGAACGCAGAATTTCAATCCAAATAGTTACATTGTTCGTAATAGAATGGAAAAAGGCTATGGTGGTAATAGCTCTACCATCATCAATTTTAAAATAGTGAACTGATATTGCGTGAAACCACAACATCGGAAGGCGAAAGACTAATTAGCGAACACTTAACTATACGCATAATAACATTTGAGTAGGGTTGGTTTAGTCTTTGATTTATTCAAATGATCAGTTGTTCAATTTTAAGTTGGATAAGTTGGATAATAGTTGGTTTTGTTTTAAAAACAAACTCAATGTTTTTTCATCGTTGCATAGCAACAAATCCATAAAAAGTAAAAGTTAATTTTTAGTGTATAATAGTTCAGTTCGACATTTATTCTCAGCTAGAACATTCGTAAAAGTTACTGTAAAAAAATTTAATCTCCAGAAGACCCATTCATATTATCGAGGTGATTTCAATGTGATTCAATCAGTCAATGTGTTATCTTAATAAAATATACGTGTGTTGTTAACTTATTTAAATATACTTTTGTGCTTACCCTCATCGAATACGATGGTTTGGTTGCTGCTGAACAATACAATAGTCATATTTTTATGACCTTCTCGACATATAATTCAATCTCACAACAAGAGAAAACTACGATCGATTTCAGCGGTGCACAAAGAAATGAAAGTGATGTGTACTTTTGAGAAGAGCCGCCAAACATGTATTTTCGTGGTCGAAATAGCACACATACTTTCAAAATTCTTGCACTTTTCAAAGCTGGATTCTCCGACTATCCATTGGCTTAACCGAGGGCTTTCTCATCAAAATAACGACAATTCGAGGGTGCATGTGTAATTTCGACCTCGGGTTCGGATTCAGAGCGTCAAAAGACGTATATATGTAAATAGATAGATCTTATGAAAAGTACACACACAAGCCGGGTATTCTGAATAAAAACGACTGATTGCATACATAATTTTTAAGTTAATATTGTTCTCATGGAATATACTATATAGCTGATTAATAAATTAATTTAAAGCGTCAGACTGTCACATTTTTGTTCTGTATGAAAAATTGTGATATTTTTTCTTAATTTCAGAACGACGAATTTGAAGAAACACGTCATCATACTATAAGCTTGCAATGTGTTTTGGCCTATTTACGCCGCAATATTTGCGCGCGTGATCGCCAATCCCACCAACTAATTGTAAGTATAAAATATAAAAATACACGCATATTTTGCTTATCGTTTTGCAAAGTAAAAGACGATTATTGATTACAATGGCAACATATATACGTAAATTGATTGATGATAAACATATAATTTTGCAATACATAGTAAACTGGTAAAGTTTAATTTATTTATTTATATTTATTTCATGTATTTACATATCATGTCATTTCTTATAATCAATGTTAATATACCAATAAAATATTTCATTTTCGTAACCTAATAGAATCTAAAGACTAAACAGTCAAGTTTGATCCAAACTTTCTTACTTTTCACCATCTTACTCAAAGTCTGTATATTATTTGTATTGCACACAATATTTCCATATTTAATCAATTTTTCATACAATGAGGAAACAAGTTAATTTGATAACTTTTAATAATTCAAAAGCTAAAAACTGTAAAAGAAAATAATGATTGAATTTCCTTACAATGAAAATTTTGCTGCTGAAAATTTTCTTGTACAAACGTAATGAAATGGTATAAATAGAAATCATATATTTATATCTATGATGACTAATACATATAAGTATATTTTTAATATGCTAGTTCAGTATATTTTTGATATTTTTTATATTATTACGGATTTGCGTGTACTTTCAGTATACACATGAGCGCAACAATATAAATGGAATTGAAATGTTAACATTTCATATTTACTTCGACGTTTTCTACACTTTTTATCAATAGTGCATTGATAACGTTGATTTTGAAGAATTTCATAACTACATTTTTTTGATTACGTGTATTTCAGAATATGAACAGTTATACTCACTGTTAATATATTTCTTTTAAGAAATGCACATTGTAACGGTGAAGTAATCGTAATTGCATAATTCATTATCGGATTGAATAAAATAAAAACATTCGAAATAATTCTTCTTCTTGCTCCATCTTGAAATTGCGTTAATAATGGGAATCAAATCGAAATTCATGAATGATACCTCATTATATTTATTTAAAATAATTCTCTTGAAGAAAATGTTCAAAGTCCTAATTAAAATTTGTATCGATGAAAATCATTAGAGAAACGGAACTAAAGTAATAAAGTATTGACCATCACTGTAGAAAAATATAAATTATTACTTGTACGTATACAGCACAGATTTGAAAAATAAATAGTTAATGTTTCATCAATTACCGTAGAAAAATTATTTTGCCGTACTATTTACCACATGCAATAGAATTTGCATCATGCGGTTTGTAATTGTATTGATTAGATTCCACAACTTTTTTATGCTGTATTCTGTATACGAGTGACTAATTCTGCCTAGAAAAACATCATTATTGACAGATGTCCTTTTTTTATTTTTATCTCGCTCACATTTGTTCTCATTTGGTCATATTCCGAGTTCTCTTGTAAAAAGCCTTTTTCATTGTAAGTTAATATACCTAATTAAGTATACCTAATTTTCTTATCTCTCCATTGCACACTACATGCATACTTATTTTATTTCTTTCGTGTTAAAATCGCACCACTGTTATAACGTTCATTCTCAATCCTTACGAAGTATAGTTACACATTAACTAGATTGAAAAACATTTCCAGCTAGAATTAGTTACACATGACTCTGTACATATTTGCGATATTCGTCACACAGACATACTACTATATTAGTTCACATTTGGTAATGCATTCATGATATACTTAATGATTAGGTTATTTGTGAGCGCTGACGTCACATTGGTTAGCCGCAAAAAACATAATAAGTATAAAGAAATAGACAGTATTACATTTATGAGTCGTAATTTTATTGAGCATTAGTATATTTCAAAACAACTATTAACACGAGAGCGTCGATGTAAAACAAAAGTTATTCATAATGCACCGATCTAAACGCGAAATACTTAAACCGTGTAACGATCAAAAATAAAAATAACCAATTGAGTTTATATTTAGTTTTCTATTGTTTTCGATTTTAGTATATATTTCTCTTTGCGTTGATCACCATACTTGGTCAATTTATTTTTCGAAAGTCCACTTAGAAGTAAACAACTAAATAATTTATTAGCATTGAAAAAATGGAATATATCTCATCTAATTGCTGCTACGAACTCTAAAGAAAATCTTACGAGATGTCTATTTTTGATTTGTCTCAATTACGTTAGACGTGAATCCTGATCGAAATGTTTACTCGAATTTGTCCGGTTTTCAATGAATCAACTCAGCTTTAATTGTACAATTAATAGCACCTACGTCCTTAAGAATGTCTTATTCGATAATATTCCTATCTCGCTCCGTTTCAAGTAATATTTGATTTTACAACTATGAACTACGTAAGATGTAGGTACATCTGAACAAATGCCTTCAACAGTTTGTTGACTCATTGACCCAATGTCACACACATCTTGAATATTTTTCTACCAAAAATAATAACAATAGTTGGACATGTAGTGAGCTATACATGCAGTGAATTGCAACGTATCGCAGTGAAGCAAACAGTGCGCAAGGAACGAGAACGCATATTTGGTTAACGCCTTATCTACTGGCGCTCGTTCGTAGCCATCATTGTATGCAAACGATCGCACAAAAGTCTTGACAGACAAAGACATGGAAATAAAAGTAGCTCAGGCATGTTCACAATATATCATTTCATTCCGAAGCAGTCGCGCTCGTTCCGATGGAAACTGACAATACGCGACGCTGCTTTTCCTTCTTGCAATGTAAATCCTTTCTCTTTTCTCTATTAAGAGTGTGCCCATTTCATTGCCATATGGAACTCGATGACTTATCTCCCCTCGATTATAACGTAATTGTAGAACAATTACTATTGGCATTGGAATACTGAATAAATATTTACATACATGTTTTTCTATTGTTAAATACTATCGTGAAATTATACAAATCAGAACTTATCCTATTGATTGCGTTCGAACTTTCAACAAAACTATTAAAATACATTTAAATAAAGTCCAATCATCGGCATTTTTTCTGTAGGCTAATTAAAAAAAATCTTCATGTTCATCTCGATATATCTTCTAGTTGATAAAAATGTTAGTTTCTCTTAAAAATCGTAATTATACATATCTGATAATTATTCACATTTACTTATGTAATTAACATAAAATTTACAAATCACTTAAATTCTAGTGAGAAGCGCATAACATCGATCGAAAATCTTACGTGCCTACTTTAATACGCTTTGAACAGTCTTTTATCTTTCTTTCTACCTCGTTTTCAAATAGTATAAATGTAAATATCACGAAGCCATTAATAATATGCTGACGGTGTTGACGTAGATGAACGATCTGATGGAAAAAACGTAATAAATGTTTGTACGGTAAGCTAGCAATTTTTGGAAATTAATTCCCTTCTTGCTGTGATGTTTACGGTGGCAAGCAGTACCCAATAGAATACGCGCAAATAAATTGCAGGCACATAAATTTGGAAAAATCAACTGCAATGCGAATGGCCACTGCAATTGGCTGGCAGCAAGCTATCCGGAGGTCAATGATAATCCGAAAAACAATGAAAAAATGAGTAACGCACAGTGTAAGAGCGTCACTGACGTTAATAAAATCGTTGGCGCTTTAGAGTGCGCAAGCTGCAAGTACTGCAAATCGATCGGCTATTTTCTCTTCATCTCTTAGACTCGTTGAACTTTACCCTGGAACTATTCACCGTGCGAGAAACTTTTCGCTGGCTCCGACGCAGTGTGGTTAATGCCGTGTCTGTCGAAGAACCGAAAATACGAGCTTTCTCAACGTGAGCAACTTTGCTTATTTTTTGAAGCTGCACCAATGCTACTCTAAGGCTGCTTTCGTTGGTGACCTGGGAATAGGAGAACCGCTGTCAGGACCTGAGTCGAGACCGTGCTGGTCAGGAAGTTAACGTCGTTCTGTGCCAAGAAGCTTGATGCGGCTTTTGCTCCGGAGATTGCTGCTGTCGCTGCTGCTGCTGCTGCTGGTGCTGCTGCTGGTGCTGCTGCTGCTGCTGCTGTCGTTGTTTTTGACTGAAACAAATAGCAACTGGTTTATTGTCGATGCCATCGGTAAATATTTTCTATTGATATTACATGTCCTGATGAGCATACATTGATCAGTGACTATTTCGATCGCTCCGAAGAGTATCTTTATCGATTGACCCGAGACTCGGCTCGATTTGACGCAATCATATGCAAGCTTATTGATCAAGGGATGTACTTGATGAGTCATCGTTGATGACCGAAGAAACAATGGAAAATCAATGAAAGCATATCGGAGTAGGAGAGCGACAGGCGAAATCATGATTTAATGTTGTGTCGGAAGCAAGTAAATAGAGAATGGCATATTGGGGTGGAGGCAGATTTGGGCAAGGTCCAATGTGGCATCCACGCAGACACGTGCACAGGCGCACACGTACGGGCATGCCGAGCGGCAAGCAGCGAAAGCTCGGCTCTCCGGCGTATCTGGCGTACACGTACGCGGGATGCTATAGCTCGCGAGAGGGAGGAGCGGCCGCGCAGGCCGGTGCGCGGGATCGATCGAGGTGTTTCCTGCTCTTGCGCACAACTCATCTTTTAGTCGTCGTGGTCGACGCCGCTGCAACTGCACGCGCCTGCAGCCAACGGCTCTCGTCGAGCGCGCTCATCGCCATGCGCGCCTGTTTTCCTTCTGGCTTTTCAATCGAGAGCAGACTTGGCCCGCGGAGCGCTGCTCCAGTTACGCGTCTCGCCGGCGTTTGCCAACTGGCGCGCTCGCGCCAAACGGAGTCGCTGGCGATAAGACGCCGGCGAGCCGTGCGGGCTCTGTCCCTCGGTATTCTCACTGCCGTGCGCAGAGGCTACCCGAGAGCGACGTTGAAAGTCGAGACTGGGCCGCCTGCCCGGAGAGCGTATAAGCGCGATAGATAGCGCGTGTATAGAGCCGGCGAATATATCGATCGGCCGACTCTGCGTTCTCAAGCTAAAACGAAAGCTCTGCGGACGTAGCCATTCGCCAGCGGCGGCAGCTCGTGCCTTATCGACACTGCGCGTCCCGAGATTCGCTCGGGATCGTCGCTGCGTGCACTCGTTCGTCCATCCGCTCGCTCGCTCGCTCGCTCGTTCGTTCAACCTGCAGCAATGCATTCCGACGATCGGAGCGCGCTCCCCTCGCGCTTTTACCCAGCCAACTGGCGACACGCAGCTATTGCCCGCGAACGCTTGGATTTGCTTTAGGGGCTCGACCCTAACCCTCCCACGCCGCGCATATATATAGCCAGGGGGACAGCGACTTCCAAATCCCCGGCCGACCCCCCCCCCCTCCCGCCCACGCCCCGCTCGCCCAAAGATCACATTAACTCTTTATAACTCGCGCACAAGTGCGCCCGTGTTCTCTTGCTTATTATTGTTGGCATTCGACAAGGGCACCATCTCGGCAGATTCCCCGCGCCGAAAGCATGTGCCAGTAACTAACATTTACCTTTTCAATCAAAAAGATACGGCGATTCGGCCCCCTCCGAGAGCTAGCTCCTAATAACAAGGCATTACCCGAATTTTGGCCTCGGCTACAGCTGTCGAGATATAACGATTCTCGCTTTCGCGTTCGCTAGCGCCACTGCAGCGTACTTCCTTTCGCGAGCGCCAGAGGCTTCCTTCGTGCGCACACTGATAAACGAATCGCGGGCGCGTTCTCCAGTGACGCGCCGTATCGTTGCGGTCAACTTTAGGGGAATTACGAGATGCCGTTAAATTAATCCTCTTCTGGCTTGTGTGGTCAAATTTCAAAATTCTCTTCTCGTCCGCCTCGTCGCAATAGTTTTGAATACGAGAAACGCTGTCCTAGACTTTTGGATTTTATAAATATCGTCAGCGAGCCGGCAAACTTAACTGTTACACGGATTTTTCTCAAAATTCCTTCGATCGCAATCATAATTTTACGTCACATTAGTCGAATCGTGCATCGAAACTGCTTTCTTACCGGATATCCGCGCCAGAATTTCTGTTTGTTTGCCCTACAACATATTTAAATTTCGAGACAATGTTTTTTTATGTTACCGGGGAACATCCTTTAGTTTTTACAAGTGAGTAGCGAAAACATGGTAGCATTACAGTAGATTCTAAATGCGCATGCCTCAAGCGATTGCTCTTTGTGAGTTTCGTTGACTTCGCGGAAATGTTGTTTAAACAAATAGTTTACAGAATACAGTTGTTCCCAATAAATTTGTTAGATGTTTGCCACGTAAGGCGACGCTTCACGACTGCGGTATTACATTTTTCATACGTTATCGACTTTTTTTTATGCAGTACAGCTATACAGTTAGCTTAAACTTGAGAACATTGAGAAAATGCTAGAATAGAACAATTCATTCCTGAGAATAAAATGATCGACAGATAAACGGATCAGCGAAACGAAGCTAACAATATCGTGGTATTTGATTGGATTGGGGAAATCTCGTTGTTTGAAAAGGTTCTGTTGTGTTTATTAAGATATTTATTGATACTTAATAAATCGTAGAAAAATAAAAACTACGAAGAAACGCGGAGAATCGTATGTGAACGATTGAGACGACATTTTCACTATTTCATGATTATTTAAGCGATTCCACGAAGCCCGTTGTGATTTCATGCGCAGAGCTTATGTGTGGTTTACGTAAAAGCTACCTTGCGCGATCAATAATAGCGTAAAGTGTATATTCTAAGTATGCAGATGCGAAAACGATAAACAAATAAGAATAAGCTAAGTGTAGCGCTACGTTGTATCGAATGTCGATTTACAATCATTTTTTATCCATTCAAAGTTCAGTTGAGCTGTCCTTAGATGTAACCTAAAACATCGTCGAATAGCGCATCCTCTTGCAGAAAAATATCGAATTCTATAAATATATTTCCGATATTGCACTAACGATATTGCAACTGTCTATTTCATTTCATGTTTTTCTTCTATTAGTATTAGCTGCTATTGCAGTTACATAAAATAAAAGGCATTCTGGAATTTAAGTTTCTCAAAGTGATATTAGTTGTGAATAGACGATAAAAAGCTATTTTTCATCTGGTATATATTAGATTTGATCTAATCTGAAAATAATATTCAAACAAACGAATTAATAAAATTAAATAATTCTTACAGTAGTTATTAATGCCTTAATTAATTAATGTATTAATTATTTTTCTTCTGTTCAACAACTTAACCTCTGTTCATTTTAATAAACAGTATTGACAAGTCTAAAAATCGGAATTAATTTATTTGAAGAAATAGTATGAAATGCGAATTTAACAAAATGGTACGTTAAATTTCAATGTGGCTCCCAGCTTTTATTCAAAACAGTGTATTGTAATTTGAAATTTGAAAGTGAGCACGTATGTAAACTTTGTGGAGATAGACATAATGAAAAGATATTCATATTAATGGTATTTTAGTTTGTTTCGTTAATAAGTCAATATTTGATGAATTAATTGTCATACTTTTCATGACTCTGAGACTGATGTTTTTCATTTTAATGATTTTTCATGCAGACTTGACATAGTCAAAACAAGCTTAAGACACTCTCTTCACTTTGATCGCGATCATAAATATAAATGTTAGTGTTGATTTTTCTACTTATGTCTTGGAGACTTTACCGTCGATCTGTTTTATATACTTGAAAACGGAAAGTTTTTGTAAAATCTGTCAGAAAAGACAAAAGGCAAGTGAAGGCAAAGCTTGGAAGCCTGCAATATTGAGTGAACAATAGAGCTTAAAACAAAGCATTAAGTGGGTATAATACACGAATTTACGTCCAAGTGTCTTTACGAATGCCAGTTATATTGAATGTAAGAATCTGCGCTGGTATTCTAAGCTTGCAGCCGCCTATGCAAAGACACTTTTGTTCTCGTTCAAGCATTTAAGTTTGAGAGGATTTGACGGCACTGTTTGCACACACAGATTGTACGTACAACTAATGCCAAAAATCAACATGATTATTAAAATTACGTTGTTTGTCTTAATTTTTCTTGTGAATAATCAGTATCGTAAAATTTTCGACGACATCGTAATGTATCCCGTAATAACGAGTATACACTTAAAAAATGGAACTTTCGTAAATACAGTGGAAAGGTTTATCCTATTGAAATTGTAGGGAAGGTGGTGAAAAATCCTGATAATTAAGTTGAATATGATCCACTTTCCGATTTAATCCATGTTCATATCCACCTGCCAACCCTTATAATGACTCCAACACGTTTTAAGCTCCGCCCGAGCAATACACCTAATGGTGGGTTATGTCCGGTGGAAAATAACCGAATAAATATATATTGCTCGAGCTGCTGCCACTCTGAGGACTATATACTGTTCTCATAATTATGCTTGACGTTGGACGTCGCTTTTTATTTAAATATTAATTATCTACGAGAAAAAATGATCGTAATTTCACGTTAACTCACGAATTAGAGGATTTAAGAGGTCGGTATTTGAATTTGCTTGAAAACAAGGAGGATATGATAAAAGGCTTCCTTTTTTTCTATGTACATCGCGTAAAACCGTGAACGTTTGCAAAGCACCTGAGAGCCAGTTGGAAATACATATACACACGTGTGTGCGCGCAATGATTTATGTACGCAGATGTTAGCGTAAGTAATGTGAATGACGAACAATTTACATGTGGAAGGTAGTTTTTATTGTAATACGTGTTCTCTGTTGGCTTCTAGTTTTTCTACTCGATCGTCTTGAAAGCCCAAACGTGCGGACGCGACTATGACGCTGTTCGTGGACGGTGGCGCCCAGCGTAGAGAGAAGTAAGTCCCAGTGCACGACTGCACGGCAAAACGAAAGAGCCATAGAGAATGAGCCAGAGTGAAAAAGAGATAGGACGTGAACAAACGTGCGCTTGTTCTCTTACTCTCTCCCACCTTTTTCTTTATCTCACTTCCTCTCCGCATACTCTTATTCTCGCTCGTGGATACGCTAGAAACTGGAAGATCTTGTTTAGCTGCTATCGTCTTTTTATTGCTCACAGCAGGCGCACTCAGAAATTCAATTTTCAACTATGCACGATCCACGCAATTTTTCTTCCAACTTCTTTTTTAACTCTTTTAATGTCTTCTTTCAACTCTCGCATCGCGTCGTCATTGTCAAATAGTTTGTACAAGCACGCGCTTGCGCAGTACTTGATTATTCTTTGGCAATGGTAGTGCTTCGAACGTGAATCTGAGAGTGCCTCTTACTCTTCGGCACAGCGCAACCGATGAACGCGTAAATTCTCGCTGCAGGCAAGAATAGACGACGAGGTATAATAATATTGCTCGGAAACAAGGGGGGGCACTACATTGGTAATGAGCTTGTAACGACGTCTGCTCAGAGAAAGAACATTAGAATGGCCTCTCCTCTATTGGCAAAACAATGCCTCTCTTAAATTTCAACTAAATACAATCCCTTCGCTGAACAGTTCATAATGCGCTTCGTCGACGGCTGTCTAATGCTGCTTAATACTTATCAATATAAAGCGAGTGCTTCACTGACGTACATCCGAAAAAAAGAAAAAAAAACATGCTGTTATCGCGCTTGCGTCATTTTATCTTATTAGTTTACAAAAGATTATTCAAACTGAACGTGCCGATAAAAAACAATGTTACTTGCCGTTCACGTTAATACATCCTTTATTTTTCATACAAAATTTATCTCGGTCATGCTCGCTAAAATTATAATGTAATCCTTTGTACAATGAGAATGATTGATCGCCGTGGAATGTAGAGCGTTCGAATGCGTTCACAACCGATCGTCCGAGGAGTCTCAGCTCGTCGCCTTTTATTTCCGAAATATTCGTGACATTCAGTCAAATTTACTCTATAAAATAACGCTACTAATACCCTCAATTTTTCGATAAATTTCTTCAATCAGGTACATGTGTATCTATAACTTTATGCGTTGAATCCAATTTCAAAGTTTCCTTAGCATATCGACGATTTTTATTTCTATATATCTCTTAGTCGGAAAGTTTTTTTTGAAAGCTGTCGGTCATTTTAGTTTGAACGTTGAAATTTTTATCTGTTTTCAAACCACATATTTATAATATAACACAAATAGTGTTGTACAATAAAAAACTGCCACCCACTTGCAAATTATGTGTTTGCAATCTATGATTGTTCTTGTAATGTTTACCCTCAATTTGTGGATAAGAATGTACACACTTAAATTGGTTTATTACAATAATGAATTATGATTTAACAATAAAAAATGAGCAATGTTGTTAATAATAACATTAATTGTTCTACTAACGTCTCATAATTTTATTTATATATTTTACCTTTCATCTACCAAAAACTAAGATGAAACTGCTTATTTTATTTTAGTCACGATGTAGTAGTGAAATTAATTAGAAACTGAGGAAAGTTAACGAGATTCTAACAATTTCACGGCTCCGCATTTAAAAGTTTCTTGACGTAATACTGTACAAATTATTACATGAAAATATAGAAAGCCCAGCTTTATGTATTCTTTAAATACGTAAAGAAAAAACTTGCTGATTCGCGAACACCTCGATAATTCATACTTTCACCATTGTCCCTCGCCGTTTAAATTATGGAGATTCAATTGCATAATAAACAGAAAAGGGTTTTAAGTTTCTCTGTTTAGTCTTTGGGTATTGATTGACGGAAAGAATTAAAATTTTTTTAAATACTTAATAGTTTTCGGTATAAAATGTTCACCAATTGCCTTTAGACAATTGATCGTATCGACTTGTATATCTATATGATAGTTTGGCTCGGATGAAATAAATTCTAATATTACGCAACGCCAAAGACAATCAGATGTGGTTAATGCAAAACATATACGATAGAATGAGCTGGAGCGGGACCAGACGACCCACTTCAGAGCCGTGCCAATGATCTGTCAAACCTATATAGTTTCAATCGGGCGTGTTTTCATTTATATTTTTAAACGTTTTCTTGTTTCTTTAAGATGAATTTATAAATGCAGATATTATAAACACACACATTTAATAAATTTAACAGTGTAGACAGATAGAAAAACATCTATTAATATGTACGATCACCGTCATAGTATACACTTTATTTAAACTTACATAATCACTCGATCATTACAGCTATTTTGATTTTGTACTATTCAAGATTCAGCTACTGTCGGTTGCCAATATCTATTGATAGTGCTACGTAAACGAGGCAATAAACCTTCACGAAAAAAATATTTTAGGAGTGCATACGTATATATACGCGAACGTTCGGTATTCTAAGGTGTGAAAGGCAATCCATGGCGTATGAAATTCTTGAAAAAAAAAAAAAAAAGAAAAACGGCGCATGCAGTCTTCTTTGCCTGGCTGCGAAAAATGAATATTTCATCAATAGTTCGTAGGAAATATTCGTAGGCTGTGATGTATCGCACTATTTTTATTGCGATAATTCAAAATGTCATTTTTACATGTTAAAATAATAAAACATTTAAATTAAAATATAATGCGCACAATATTGTTTTGTTTTTAATTTATAACCTTATTACGGAAAGCAGTAAGAATTCAAGCTTGTCATTCCATCCACATTGCAGTGAAATTTTATGGCGAGTTTTGAAAATTGTACGGATAAAACGCTTTCACGATTTATTAAAAAGAAAAATTAATAGTTCGATAGGTCGAAATTTCTCGCAATGGCAATGTATAAAATACAGCAACAATCGAAAATAGATCGAGATTGTTATTGATCAATGCTGGAGTATTAATTTGAAAGTTTATATAAAAATATTAAATCGAATTATATGAAAAGAATTCAAACTTTACCTTCCAAATAATGGATGCCAAAGTTGTAAATCATCTGGAGAGCTAGCCGTTGATGAGACTTCCGACTCTTGCTTAAGAAGTCCACTTCGTACCCTCAAAAGTGGTGGCTTTGGGCCCGGTTTTTGATTATTGGAAAGATCCATTGGAGCGGGCATCAGCTTTCCAATAGGTTTGACACTCAGTTTTGGTCGGTATTTCTCAGCAGTACTCTGGTCTTTCACAACATCATCCTTACTTTCATCCGTCGAACTTAATATCGGTTGATGAGTTTGGTAAGGCTTTCTGAAAGAAGCTTCTCCATGATCAAGCACATGCTGAAGATGTGCTAGAGAAATAACCAAGAGATCCGGGTCTGTTAATAATTCCGGCCTTGTTAGCGCTTCTGGTAATCGCAATTCTGGCCTCGTGGCTAGTAAATTTGGTATTTCCGTAAGAGGCGTACTTGCTATCAAAGGTAGATAATCCCTTGGAACTAATAATGGATCTGGGATCAAATGCCCAGAAGTCCTCAACAGTTCACGTAATTGATTCGCAGGATTTAAGAATACCACGGGATTGATTTCCAGTTCTTTGATTTTGGATTTCTCAATATAGTCTGTATCGTCTATATATGGCTTCGTAGAGAAATTATTATTGTTATTTCGTGTTCTTTTACGAGCGATGCCCGGATCTGCGGATTGAGGACGCTTGGAAAAAACACAATCGGATGCAACAGAGACGAATTCTCCTGGCTCTTCATAGAATATTCGATTTTCTTGTTTGCTGCTTGTTAATTTTGGCCTGTGTTCTTGTAAAATTGGCTTCTCCTGTCCTGGCTTGACATCTTTCTCAACTTTTATCGATACCTCATAAGCAGAATTCATTTCTGAATCGTTGGCAAGACCAAGCTCTCTGTCTATTTCTTTAGCCCCTGCACTCTTTAGATTGTCATTTGAAATAGACAAGATACTCGTAAGAGTCAAATCATTCTTAGCGTCATCGGAACAACTAACTGAACAGGGAGGGCTTGGCAATAATCGTTCCAAGTAAACCGATGAAGATCTTCTATGAGGTGACATGGACGAAGGTAAACCACTAGGCTGCGGTGATACTTGACAACAAAACTCACTCACCATTTGTTTATCAGATTTATCATATGTTTGATATTTTGGCTGAACTGACAACTTAGCTTGAGCTTCACTGCATTTGTTTTGATTTAACGGTGATTTTTTTATTGCAATTTTGGTAGAGTCAACCACACTTTCTTTGCTAACTTCGTTTATGTAAGTCACACGGTCGTTCTCCCTGAGAATAAAGTTTTTATTGATGTTATCGTTATTGTTGTTATAATTTTCGTTGTCACTGTGGGATTTGTCATGTTTTTTGATTCGAGCTTTGTAATATTCAACTTCAGTTGTCTCACTAGATCGTGAATCGTACAAATCTTCATGTTTTGAGAAGTTCACTGTACTTTCCGGAGAATCTACGCGGCTTTTCGAATCAGGAGATATGATTTCGGCTACATTACAACTTAAATTACCATGGTGAGATTCTTCATTGTCAATTAGTTCAGTTTGTGAGTCTGGTAAAGTACTCATGGGAACTGTATTTTTTGCTGACGTTTCATCTTTTTCCTGATCCACCAACGACACAGTTATATCTGGCTTGTTCTTTAATATAGCTAAGCTTTTTGAATTTTCAATAATGTCTTTTTTAAAGTGATTTTTTTCGTCGTTCCCTTGCACCACTAAAGACGTCGAACAGTCAGTAGTAGTTACATTCTGCACATCAGATTTGTCATCTATTTGGAACTCGAATTGTTGATAAACTTTCGGCTGAAGCTTGGATACTTCTACCGATGAAATGTCTGATGTGCTATCAAATTTCTTCTGGAAACTTATTGATTTTTCTAATCTTTCAATGGTTTCATCCAAACTTCTACTTCCGGGGCGCGATTTTCTTTTATCTTGAAATGTATTTTGTATCTCTGAAGTTGAGTGTCGACTATCACATCCTTTGAATGATTTAGTCACATTGTCGCTCCTCTTATTAACATCTATAGAGACTCCTAGCTTTGTACAATTTCTAGGTAGCTCATTATTTTCAATCAAATTGAATTTTGTTTTATCAATATCGATTGGAATGTGATTTGCGTCGAGTTTATTCAATATTTCTTGTAAATCCTCATTATTTATAATAGCTTCATCGACGTCAATAACGACCGGAGGCTCATTGCTCGCATGCCTGTTACTTTTTGCGACGCCATTGTACTGGATTTTATCAATGTTTTTGCTTTCTTCTGCTTCGACTTGGAATAGTTCAGTTTTGACGCCGCGAAGCATTTTTTTCGTTGGCAATAATGGGAAATGCAATTGTTCTAGAACCACTCTCGGCTGAAAATGTCGACTTTTCTGTATGACTTTGAAATTACTTCGTTTAGCATCGTCGTCGATCGAAGCAACACTTTTCTCGGAGCTATCCAAACAACTTTTAGAATCTCTTTTCACGGCCAAAGCAGAATCTCCCGAATCAGCTGTTTCACGAGTATTACGTGATTTCGACATCGTCGGGTTCTCCTCTTTGATTTTCAGCTTGTCGGCATTGTTTATACGATCGGCGTGAGTCGCCTCTTTATCCAGACGAATTTTTTTCCGTTTCTTGTTTTTGTCGTATTTCTTGCGCTTCTTCATTTTCCAGTTTACCGTCATCGCAATCTCGTCGCTAGCGTCCTCTTGCTCCAAGTCGCTCTTTCGCCTTTTATTCTTGGTGCAGCCGGCGTGCTTTTTGCGCTTCCGCTTGATTTTCTCGTGGTCGTCCTTGACCTCGGAAAGCCGGCCAGCGTAGACGGCCGCAGCGTTCTCGATTCGGTCCTTCTTGATGTGCCTCATCGTCGGCGCTTTCCTCGACGAATTCTCTTTCTCCTCATTGCGAGAGGCGACGAGGGAGGCGGCCTGCCCGTTGGGCTGCTCCTCGGCCACGGATTCCGGGGAGTAGGTGGTGAGGACCGTGCGAGGTATCGAGCGCCATCCTTGAGCGGTTTTCGTCAGCTTGATTCGATTTCGCTTGTCGTAGTCCTCGCATCTGACCTCGACTATCCGCTGCTCGCGTTGCGCGGCCCACAGGAATATCGGATTGACTTTCGGCCGGCTCTCCGCCGACTCGGCTTTGCCCGCGTCCAAGCAGCCCCGTGGCAGAGGCCGCTCGGCGGCGGCAGGTCCGTCCTCGCTGCTCTCGGCGGGACTCGCCTGCTCGGACTCGTCGTCGCGTCTCTTGCACTTGTCGTGCGGGTGCTGATGATGACGGTGATGGTGGTGGTGACGTCTGAGACGGTGGGGCACTATGCCCCGTGTAGGGGCCGAGCTCATCACTCCATCCAAAGCGCAGTGAATGCTGCAGCGATCCGGATTTCAGAACGTACGATTTTATCTAATGCGGGCTCGCTCGTCCGGCGTCGCTTTCATTATGCCTTGAAAAATTCTGCAACACAGCGTAGGCAGTTGCGACAGATCAGCACTCGGCGTGTTGCATTGCGCCGCTATTTATCACCTACCTCTTTGTACTTGGTCGCCTTCGGAAACGTGGCAGCTTTCAAAGTCGTCAACATGTCGAATCGATTCGCAAAGGTCATCGACCCCGCGTGGTCTAGCGTTGCTCAATGCTACACGACGCTCAGCCGGCGATATTGAGCAACGATTGGGCGCGTTGCTCGTGGCCGGAGAACGCAGATGACAGTTTGCGCGACTTGGCGGCCGAGCGAGCAGCAACGAGCAGCAACGAGCAGCAACGAGCAGCAACGGGCAGCAACGGGCAGCCACGGGCAGTCACGGGCAGCCACGGGCAGCAACGAGCTACGAGCGTCAAAGAGCAGCAACGAGCAGCAACGAGCAGCAACGAGCAGCAACGGGCAGCAACGGGCAGCGACGGACAGCAACGAGTCCGCCGAGGCGCAGCGCAGCTCGAGCGGCCGCGATCGATCGTCGAAGGGCCAGTGGCGAGGCGTTTCAGCTCAGCTGACGTCCGGCTCTGCTCCAAGCCCGCGGCCAAGGCGGCCGAGGCGGCCGAGGCGGTCAAGGCGGTCGAGCGGGCAGGCAGGCCGATCCGAGGGCGCCCGGAGCGGCGCCAAGCGCGCACTCGCCGCGACTCGCGTGGAGCCGAGCTGACAGGCCCGAGCGTCGGAGCCGGCGGCACTGTCAACGCCCGCAGAACCGTGGCGGGGCCGCGGCACCGGCAGCGGCACCAGAACACTCGACGCGGAGCGTGCACGCACACTGGCAGCCGCGCCGCGAGAGAGAGAGAGGGAGAGCGCGCGCGCAGCCGCAGGCCTCGATGATAATTCGGGTGCCGCCAGTGGCGCACGCAGAGCTGCACGGCATGTATTGTCGTCGCGTCGGCCGCGCTGACATAACCAGCGGACACTGTCGCGGCCAGCTCACTCGGCGAGCGCGCAGCCGCTGTGAGGTCGCACGGGCGGCGCCGAGGGTTGCGCGCGCGCGCGGAGCCAGTGCCTGGTGGGTACTGCCAGCTCGCCGCCGCTTCCGCGGCCGTCGAACGTCGCGGCAGCGAGTCTCGCTAGCCGCGTACGTGCACGCCGCCCCCGCGCCTCCGCCCCACCACCGCCGTCGCCGCCGACCCCCTCCTGCCGCCGACTCACCTCGACGACCCCTCTCTCGCTCTGCCGCTCTCTCGCTCTCTCGCTCTCTCGCTCCGCACTCCGCGCACTCCGCGGCTCGTGCTAGCTTCCTCGCAGTCGCGGCCTCCACGCGCGCGCCGCTCTCTCGTCCGTCGTCTCCGCTGCGCGCGAGTCGCGACGCACCCTACGGCGAGCGGCCCGTCGCTGCTAACACCAGCTCTCCGCGTGTGCACCAGCACGCAAACTCGTCTCGGCCGCAGTTGCGCGCGCGCTCCCCCTTTTCGCCGCGCGAACCCGGCTCGCTTTCCGAAAAAGCTCACGGCACCGCACGTGTCCCACTCAGCCAACTCGTACCTTCGAATTATATGCTTTTCAAGCTGTAATCAGGCGAAAGTCATCTCGGCGCGACTGTAACGCCTCTGCCCTTTCGAAACCGTTCATTTGCAAAGTCGTCGAGGCCTCGAGAACATTATTAGAAACTCCAATGTCATCGGCTTTCGGATTTTGCCCATTACGATGATTATGCGATTGCCTGCCTGTTGCTTTGCCGCCTGCCAAATACAATTATAACGGACAACTCAGTTTTACGTATGCGCTCTAATGATGTCAACGTGAATCTGTCCACAGTTGCAACTGCTGCCTGCCCGTCGTTTTCTTGAGTAGCTGACTGTAAATAAAACCAGCAATCGACTGCATGCATTTTTGTCTAGGTCATGCTAAACGAACAAGCGGAACGTAATATGCGCGATGAAAAACGTACAACACCGCCTAATAAAACTCATCGGTGATTTATAGTTTCTCCAGCAAAGTCAGTTGTACGCCAACGATGAGTGCCCCAGGGCACAACCTTAAAATACTTTTATAATCTGTTGGAATTTATCTGAATGAAGAATACCTTACGTAAAGTTGCCAATTACGGATGAGAATAAGCACAGTGTTCACGAAAAAAATCACATTCAATACGACAGTACAGTGCATGCATAGGTGAAATATAAAATGATTACGTAATACTCGCTACTTTTATTCTACGCGAGACAATGCTAGGAAGAATGGTGCATTATTCGAAAGGTCATTAAGGTATGAATTTTTCGACGAAAAACTGAGTTAATGCATGCATAAACTTTTTTAACCTTCAAAAAAGATTCGATAAAGCCTCATTTATTAAAGAGCTCGTGTGTCAGTAGTCTGAACTGAAACAGAGAAGGTATATATATATTAAAATTTCGACCTCAATAAAACTTGAATGCATTGTTATTGTGCGTGACCGGCTATTTGTGTACATTTGGCTATTTTTAGCCCGCGCTTTGCGTCACTGATGCTTCGTACTGAAAAAATTTGAAAATCGAGCGGCAAATCGCAGGCGAAAGTATCGCGCGGAGACTTTTTCCAATACCGATTCACACTGAGCCCGTTTGCAACGATTTCCAGAGTCACACGAACACGCAATAATCTGCTCATCTTAACTGGTATTTTTTTCACAGCAAGTACTGGCAGGTACCTCGGCAAAAATGCTGTGAATATTATCGATCTGCATTTAATGTTCTTTTTCTACAATGTGATGGCTATAGTCACGAATTGCTATTTTTCTATGATTATACTCCATTATTACGGCGGCCAGTAGACAAGTGATTAGCAATCAATATCTGTACACGTGCATCTAATATACAAAATAAACTGTACTCTATTATTTCTTTTTTACAAAAACTTGCCTTTTTAATTAGTGTTTACTCACTAACAAATAAAATATACCATTATTAGCAACTTATATTTTGCCAATGTGCATCTCATAAGCGCAAACACGAGAAGAGGTGCGATTGTGAAGACTTAAAAATTATTTATGAATGGTTTACGAGAACGCAAAATAATCAAGATCGTATGAAAGATAGTTTCAATAGCGGAAGTTAAAAAATAACTTAACATAGTACGAGTATCACAAATAAATCAATAAAAACGCCTCGTTTTCGTAAGTATTAATTCCATCGAGACAGAATAAAACGCCTTCTTCGGAGCGTTTGATCGTGGGAATTGAATAATTAATGCACTCGACACAAGCACCTCCGATGACTAATGTCTTTGTAAAATCTTTGTAAAAACTTTATTACTAGAGAAAAATAGCGAAACGTTGCGAAGCCAGCAACAGAACGAACAGTGTTATGAATGTCGAAGGATCGTTTTGCTCTTAAAGCACGTGAATTCATTGTCAATTGAAATTGGACGAGGAAAAAGAAATAGGCCGAGCCGGAAAGCGTTTGCTAACAAAAGTAATAAAAAGCGTAAATAGTCAAAAAGGGGTTTAGCGAATTAGCGCGGGCTCTTATCGGAGAAACGGAAATTAACCATCAGTGAAAGAGCCGCTCCTCGTCAGCGTGGAAACTTCCGTTTTCGAAACTGTCAGCGACATCGTCCTCAGCGCGAGCACTACACGGCACGGCGTGCCTTTGTTGCTCCGACGCTCCTTTGCAACGCAGACGAGCTGGATATGCTGCTACCAGTCCCTTTTCATATCCCTTTTTCGCCCGTGTAAACTTGATAACTAGAAGGTTTACTTGCATACGTGTTGGTAGAAAGAGGGAGAGAGAGAGAGAGAGAGAGAGAGAAACGGCGACGGCGCGCTCGCGGCGGCCGCTTTTTAACACAGAAAGCGCCGCGTCGTGGTATCGTTCCGTACTTGGGACGACCTTGACTTCTTGCCCGCTGTACCCTTCACTGCAAGATACATCATTTGCGTCCATAGACCGTACTTCCCTTCGTTTTGTAGCCTTTTCATTTTTTCCTCGTTCACTGCCGCACTGTAAACTGCAATCCGTTATTGCTACTCCCTAGCCCTTTCTTTTATTCCAACTGGCCTACTGGAAACCACAAATTACACTCTCATCGATATAACATTCAGCCAATCAAGTTCAATCCTGCATAGTCACTCGCAGCGATCGTCCCTTTCGCAAATGCAAATTTGACGTCGCTTTGTAGCAATTACTTCGACCATAGTACGCCAAATCGTTCCCAGTTTATTCTCCACATTGACACAGACGCTCGACAACGTATATCACTGATATCAGTACCCGTTTCGATTCCTCGACCACATTCAAATTTTCTCATGCCGTAGACATGTCCAAACTATAAAGCTCCGTATCGATGTATCAGTGTCATTATTGTCTATACTTACTTTCCTTTCATAATTAGTTCATTTATAATTGCTAGACTACAATCCCGTCCATTCTTCATACTTATATAATCTGAAAATTTACGTCGATAAAATTATTCGGCTATCCAATTGCTCTGATTCGTATTTACAATGCGAGGCTTCGTTCCTTATGGTATACACGTGGAATCATTCTGGCACGTGCTCCTCTCTTGGCGAGTGTGGGGAATTTCGGGTTTCCCGTGACCTTGACTAGCAGTCCTTGATACACGATCAAGATAGATAACGATTTTTTCAACGGAATATCAGAAATTCATGTACTAATTTACACATTGGTCCGAGCAAAACAGTTTAATATACACAGATGAATTAGAAGAGAGCTAAAGACGTGCGTTGCAAACTCCTCGTATATACACTGCGTAATATTGATTTGAAAATAATTATTGCTCTCAATCAAGGCTTGCAGTTACTTTCTTTAACTTTGTTTTAATTTTATAGCTCGCTTGTATTTTAATGAGTCTACCTATAGAAATTTAAATACGTTATTGAGCTTCGACAAAAGTTATAAAAATTAGCTGATGATACGATCACGCGAATCTTCCGTAAAGACTTATACGCGTCAATTTTCTAAGCTGTCACCGTGGGACGCTCGGTTATTGATAGTTGTGCGCAGTGAACCACTTAAAAATGGTCATCAAGAGGAAGCAAACTTCAAGCTTAGAGCTTGAAACTTTTGCTACTCGAGCAAATATAATAATGCAATTCTAATGCTTTAATGACCTTCGGCAGTTGAATTGTAAGTTGTTCTATCTTTCTGCACCAGCTTGCCGCGTGGTGTTGAGTCCGAAAAGTTACAAATAACTCGCTTTACGTACTTGAAGATCGTGCACTACTGATTTATTGCACATTACCTGCCTATTCTTGTTCCCAAGGCGTTTCTCTTTTATCCAAGCTATCTCGAGTTCGTTACCTTGGTTTTCCTTATAAAATACAATCTATCACTATTTTTTCTCTTTTACCTGATACTTCATTATTTAATAATATTGTACTTTGCTTAATTCTGTCTGTCATGCGACGACTTTCATTAAATAACCGTGTGCACTTTCCGAATAAGGTATTTTCTGATAATGATTGCATTTACAATTTTTTGGGAAAAGCAATTGCATTAAATGTAAAAGTAGCACAACTTATTTTCGTTGCAAACGTGCATTAGAATTACCTTTTTACAATTAATCGATCTCACCGGAATTGTTTGCTGTAAATACAATGAATATTATCAGTATGTACCGGTCTGCTACGATAAATTATCTCTGTGCGGGGGTTAATCGAGTCATTGTCGCCTTCTGGGTTACGGAGGGTAGAGAGTATCTCGACCCTTCTTACCCTACGAGCAAACGGCCAGGTGACTTCATTTTTCAAGTTCTCCTGTCGCTGAATCATTTAACACGAAGTCATAATAGCCGTGCCCAATTTCGACGAGATGATCTCTGAGATATGCACACTCTTAACTTGTTTCGTTGTAAAAGTTGAAGTATCTTTTTTTAAAATTCGCTATCATAAAAACAGGTGACAATCTGAATAACTTGACAGGATATTATAGTATTTTTCAGCCTATCGAACGGCTACAAACCAAATTGGGGTTTTGGTGATAAAGTTGAATACTGTAGAGATAATTCCATATCGCCGCGCCGACCGATAATTCAAAATCGATTGACCACAACGGCGACTGCACTATTGCAGTGACAGTCGCTCAGCAGCGACTTTACTGAAAGCTCCGACTATACCGAGCTGTAAACTCAATAACGCATTCAAGAAATCATTGCAAATGACATCTTATCCAGACTTGTCGACAATTCGATTTGATAGTTTCTTTTATCTTGCGAGTACTTCAACCAGATCTAACTAATGTTTCTAAACACATTTTGAGTGACTTGAAATATATTCTTCCTCTTTCTGCGTATGGACTTTCTATTAGGTGGGAAAAGCTCTCCCCTTAAACAAACAAAGAAAGATGAACGTCATAATCCAGCACTCATCGACTGTGACGAATTTGGCGGGGGGAAGTCCCAAAGATTATGTGCAATAACTTGTCGTCTATTCTTCTTCAATCTACTTGCATGGTATAAGCATCCTAGTTTTGAATGAGTCAGCCTAATATTTGCTTCGATAGATATGGCTTAATACGGAAGGGGAACGTGTATAGAAATCTTTTGACGTACTCCAATATCTGACTTTGTTGGCTCTATCAATACCTTGACACTGTTACGTTTGATGCACTTACCGCGGTTGCTTTAAATATTTAAATGCACTGTCAACTTCACGTCAATTTCATTCAACGACAGATTGTATTGGCTTCTCAGTCTATCATGTAAATTAAGGTGCAGAGTGAAATATAATTACATCGAGTGCGATTATCCAAGTAACGATTCGAATAATTTTAAGCAAATATTGTTGCTTATTATTGATTTAATTTTTTTCACGCGCACTCGTTCTTATTGCCATCATTTTGCAAGTAAATGCCATAATCGCTGTCGCTTGCAAATATTGAAATGAATAAATGACAAATAGTGCGAACGGCAATTTATTATTTCGCAGATCTTCGAGCCTCTAGATGGATGTATATCAGAGCTTATTCGATCGATGAAAATTGAGTCACTGCGAGTATATATATCCGAGTGAAAATAAACTGTAAATTAATTTCGAAAAAAAAAAGCGGAAATATTAACGATCACTGTGATTGATAAGTTGAGATACGTCATATAATCAAACGACTATAAATAACGAGATCGACATAAGCGCATGTTCTTTCGTTTCGTTGAAGGCGGTTAGGTAGACTGTAGTGTCAGTATGTTTCCTCCATTACGTCATTTGCTGAATTCGTTCGGGTGCGATCAGTCTGAAAAATAATGTACGTGTTAAAATTTGAGATGTCCAGAGCTTCATCGTAAATTTTGTTTCGCTCTTTCGTCGTGTCGCTAACGACAGTTTACAATGGTCTCAGGAATTGCTGACAATGTTCCGAGTTCCTTGAAAATTCATCGTTCCAGTTTAAAAAAGAGGCGAAATCGAAGAGTCCCATTACTCGTACAGAGTGAGTAACGCGTCAGAAATAAAATCTATTATATTAAATCTATTAAATGCTCGTGCACTTATCTTTGTCTTCTCCATTTGTCAAGTTACTTTTTCACTTGATAATAAAGTATGTTTGTACTTAAAGAGAAAGTCTGCTCGTTAAAACGTTGGTAGAGGAAGGAAAAACGTTTAGCTGCGCACTGAGTAAGGAAAAGGAGCCAGGATCGGCGAGCAAACTGCAGCGCTGCAAAGGGAGCCGCTTTTACGAAGAATCGAAACGGGGTGGCAAGGGAAACGAGGGTGTTCGATCGCGGAGCGGAGGCAGGGCGAAGCGAGGAGGTGGCGCGGTCCGGACGGCGCTCGTACAGGTGCACACGGTCGGTCGGACGTCGCGCCGAGAGTCGCGCCGAGAGTCGGGGCCGCGATAATAAAGTCGAAGGAGCCGCGAAGAGCGAGCCAGTGCGCCCGCAGCCGCGAGGCCGATCGGTCAGTAGTGTAGTGGTCGCGCCAGCAGTCGTCGCGGAGCCTCGCTCGAGTCCCCAGTGCTGCACCTGCTCGCTGCAACGCGAGCGCTTAGCCTCCTCTCTCGCTGCCTGCCGGACCGACGCGGGTGCGCGCGCAAGAGCCGCGATCGACCGGCCGCACCTGGCGCGGAGCTTTCTTCGCGCCAGCGCTGCTCGCCCGGAGGAGCGGTCGGGCGGGCGGCGGGCGGCGAGCGGCGAGCGGCGAGCGGGGACCGGGGACCGGGGACCGGAGACGGCCGGCAGCGCCGACGGGCGATGCTCGCGTGCCGCGCTGGCGCTCGTGGCGCGCGCGAGCCGAGGCGAAGAAGCCGCAAAACAGGAATCCCGGACTGGCGATGAAAGCCGATCGCGCCGCCGAGGCGAGTTGGCCGCGCGGCCGCGCCGCGAACGCCCGCTGCGCGATCCGAGGCTGCGACCTGTGAGCGGCGAGCGTCCCAGAGCTATGCGGCGCCCACTCGCTTCGCTGCCACTGCTGCCGCTGCTGCTGCTCGTCGCGTCGTTCGCGCGTTGCTGCCGAGCCGGGTCCGGCGGTCCTGGCGGGGCCGCGCCACCGGCTGTGCCCACCATTCGTCCCGTGCTCCTCGTAAGTGCCCAGCGTGCATTCCTTTCTACTCCTTCGGAAACGGGCCAGTTTCCTCGCGTCTTTGAAAATACTTTGGAGCGCGAGCGATTCGGGGGCTTTGGTATATTTAGCCTCGTTATTTAGAAGAAGTGCAGGCGAGTTTACGCCAGTGCCGAGCCAATATTTTTAGAGCGCAGCCTGCCGATATCGATCTGCTCGGCGCTCGTTATATAGTCTCTATAGCCAGCTCGTTCTCGGAATCTTTCGCTGCTAGACTGGCTGGCCCCGGCTGAACCGGGCTTCGCTATTAACTTTAATTGCGCTCGAGCACGCTCCATTCTTAATTCGCGTTTTCGACTGATTCGGCTGCAACTTTGTCAAAGTCGCCGGCACAGCCAATAACAACCCTCCACGCCGTTCTACTCGATTAACTATTCTTTTATTGCCATTAGCAGCTCCATCGATCACCTTATACCTCTGCTCTACGTTCTCCAATTCGTGTCTTGCTTGGAAACACGTCAGCTTTTTCAGACCAAGCATCTTTTCAAACTTGTTTCTTATCACACGATTCATTCTCGGTTGGCCATTTCTATTCGTTCGCTTTCTTCCTCAAAGATAACCTCTCGCTACAAACAAATTATAACGCAAAATTATCAGTCGTAATAAATTCTTCTGTTACGTCTATTTAGTACGGACACGAATCTTTCACTTGTCGATATAATTGCAAAACAACCTCGTTTTTGCAATTTTCTGACCTCACTGACAATATCACAACAGCTATGTGACTGTACTGCTGGGCTTTTCCAATTTCGTCAAGTTTCTTCAGTCGTTCGGAAGCTCTCCGCGCCCTTTCGTTCACTCGACTCGGATATCGTACGTTCACACATTTCTTATGCACATTCATTGTTTTCGCGCAAAAAAATATCGATCAATTATAAATTCTTTTCCTTCAACTGAAAACGTACGAAACACATGAATTAATTGCCGTTCGATTAATATTAATTGAAGCTTAGATATCGTAGTAGAGTTCCTATTAGGCTTTCACACGCTTCCATGTGTCAGCGTCGATAATGTTTGACGTGACACTTTATCTAGAAGACAATCGAAGAAAAAATAATTAATAAATGTAAGTTATTATCATCGATTAGATACTCACTAGATAGGACTTTGAGTTAGCGACATTGACGAATCATTTGATTAATTAAAATTATTAACTATTAATTAAAATTGAGATTGTCCGAAGCTGCAATGTAGCCGTTGAGCGGCTCGGTCATGGTCGTAAGAAGCGCATAATGTACGATAGGAAAACTCGAAGATTAAATTGTTCATCCGCTTAATTTGTTTCAGAACCAGACGTTCATTCCTCATGAGTACTTAAGACTGTCAGTCGTGGGAAAGTGCTGCAAGATAAACGAGATTTTAGCGAAAAATGAGAGCGACAAGGAGGCTGCTTGCACTTACTCGAACTCGTCCAAAACTGAACCATTCTCGCCGTACTTTCACGAATTCAACGAGACTGGTCTTCTCGTGCCAAGTATCGAAGAGAATGAGTTCGTGGCGATAATCGGCGATCCCTGCCAATTCGGAAGGTAGTGATATTGCATCTAACTCGATGATTCACTGCTTGTGACGTGCCGCTATTTTCACAAGACGCTTATTTATCTCTTATCGGCCTGCCTTGATATAACCACGATGCATTATATGTATGTGTGGCTGTGTGTACTTTACAATTTCTCCACTCGATCATGACGAACCGTCAAATCACACTAATCTATCGATTCACCGTGCAAAAGAAATTAAGTCACATTGTCATACCTTAGCAAATATTGATATAAATGCAACACCGATGATCAATTTTGAACAAACAATGCCAGCCTGCATTCCGAGTAACAGCTATAATATTCGTTATTGGTCGTTCGCATTAAATTTAGCTAAATACAAATGAAATGTCATAGGTACATTCTGGACCCGTCGGAAAACAGCGATGACGAATATTATTTGCTGCAAAATGGTTCGATTTGGGCTCCGACACCGAAGCCAATCATGCTCATGCCAGGACTCGATTATTGCATGGAAGTTGTGCCCACAAAGGGAGTTCAAGTGTTGGTCTGTTTTTCGGAAAGTGAGTATATTGATCGCTCAAATCCACGACTACATTCTAAATTACGCCGCACGATCGCTGCTATTAATGTGATTTCGCGAGCGTAGATAGGAGACATCAGGTCACAAAGAGACATGTGCGCGCGGCTCAATATAAAACCCAATAGCCGATACTTGAGGTCGGGTGACTTTGATATTTTTGTTAAATCGCCGTGACGGTAAAGGTGGTGCGAAGTGCTTGTTAGATACTTTGAAATTGCTGTCATCTCCGCTGTGCCTCGGTCCTTTATTTTTCCAATTTCCCTCGTCAGGGATGGGCACCGGCGTCGTCCGCTGACACGGCGCCTTTGTTTGCAGCTGCAGCGCTTGTCAATGTTCATTTTTCACGGCCTGAAAGCGAATGAAATTATAAGCGATGGCTCTCAAAGGTGACGACGAGTCTGTGCGGTTCTAAACAAAAAGCGATAATTCTGTAAAAGTACGTCGAGTATTGCATGTTCGTTGATACGTCTTTGTGTGATGCTTGCCGAGCAAAGAAGGGCCGTCATAGAATAATTTGCACAAATAAATATTCGATGCGAAAACGCCTTTTATTGTAGATAGCGATAACGTGTTATCGGTGTATTCGGCCGATTGCACGGAGATAATAGTAAATGATCGACGCTCGCGGAATACTCGGGGTTGGGTTCGAGGCGATGATTTTTCAGAAAAAAACAGAGAGACAGATACGTCGGCGTGGGCGTGTCGGGGACGGGAAAAACAGGCCAAGACGCGAAGACGCGGACGGCGACGAAGAAGAACCGACCGCGGCGGAGCGCTCTTAATCAGTGCGTCGAAAGTCGCGCGTCGTGAGTCAGAGGTGCCGCTGGCCGCGAGGCGCGAGGCGCGAGGCGCGAAGCACGTCCGCGAGGCAGCGAGACATCCAAGTATGCGGCGCAAAAGTCGGACGAGCGCATGACAAAAGCTATCGTTGATTGCGATTGGCAGAGAACGAGGCGGCGGGCACGGATGCGCTGCTGACGTTCTACGCCTGCGGCCTGCTGATATCGGTGCCGTTCCTGCTGCTGACCATCGCCGCCTACGCCCTGACGCCCCGACTGCTCGACGTCCACGGCAAGGCTTTGTGCCACTACTGCGCCTGCCTGGCGCTCGCCTTCGCCACTCTCGCCATCGTTCAGCTGGCCAGCTCCTACACCTCCGACGAGATCTGCATTTCCATTGGTAAGACTTTGGCCTTTCCGCCGATCCCTTTCGTTCGTCTGCACGCTTCCGCGGCCGATCGCTCTGGCTCGCCTTCGCCAGTGCTCTCGGACACCAATGACGCAACGCCTACGGACCTTCCCAAATTTTTTCCCGGCATAGCGCGCTCGTAAAAACCCAGCTCGCTCTTGACGCAATCTTGTACTTTTATCATCCTATCAAAACATTTTCGTCTGTCTTTAATGAGATGCCGAGCTGATATAGCCGTATAGCTTTGAAAGTACGCGGGTATATGGCGGCGCCGAATTCCGGATTCTACGTTCTCGGGCCGTAGCCACTTTGTCTATAGCAGATCGTTGGTTAAAGAGCCGGCCCCGCAACGAGTGCACGAGGAAACGATGCGTTTCGCCGTTTGTCGCAATTCTTTGACGCTTGAATAGCTGACTTTTTCATCGGCAGACATTTTTCGCGGGTCAAGCGTGAGTTTTTCACGTGTCGGAAACACGCGAAAAACACCTCCAAGGAATGCACCACGTGGATTGCAGATGTGTTTTATGCGTCATATTTATCCATAGATAGAAACGTAGTATTCTCTGGAGCAATCGACATAAACGTACTGAAATCGAATCTAGACTAGTTAGTCCCAAGCTAGCTACGCCATCCATTGTATAAAAAAATAAAAGCAGCTGTGCGTTTTTTTTCCATTTCAAATTACTTGTAAAAAGTTATTCGAGCAAATTAGCAGACGCTTTGACGTTTAGATAAACTAATTGTAGCGATGTGACGTAAGGTCGTTAGAAAGAAATAAAAGAATGTTCAAAAATTTTGTGATTTCGATAAGCTAATGACGTCTATCGATTCCGCGGGAAAAGCCAAGATGATTCGTTTGAGGTTGAGACGGCGCGAAAAATAATCGCACGTCTCATTTGCAAAGGCGCCCGCGGACGCGGGAGCAGAAATGCAGCTTGATTGCAACGTACGCACGTCACTCGACGGATTCGTCAGCGACGCATCCTTTTCTCGTGAAGCACTTTTTGGGGCCAGCAAGAGAGTCGACAAGTTTTCTCGAGGATGCCACTAGACTACGCAGATATGAATAGGCGAAAGCCTTTGAACGAGTTTGTTTTGGGAATTGAGCGAACCGAACGAATGTGAATAGGCGCCAGAGAAAAAGCGCGCAAGAGCCTTTCAACGAGTTTGTTTCGGCGAAGAGAATGACAGCGGAGTAGCCGCGAGATGTGGAAAATGGCTGAAAGATAGAAAGGGCGAGCCTAATGTCGGAGTGCGTCCTCGGTGTGTACTTAATAGGTGCAGCAAAGTAGAGCGCGACTCGGTGGCGGCGTTGGCGGACGCTTCGGCGAAATGCTCGTCCTGGCGTGCGTCACGCGAAGCCACGCTCTCTCTCTCTCTCTCTTTCGCTACTCCTCTTGCTTGCGCTTTTCTTCTTCCTCCGCGCTCCCGCTGCCGAGCGAGCGAGAAGCCAGTCATAATAAAAAGCCCAGACTAATTAAACGAAGGGATCCTGCTGAGAGAAAGACGCTGCGCAGAGCTGTGCTCTTAATGAGGGGCATCGCTGATTGCATAATTTATGTTTGCCACTACACATCAAGCCTACAATCAGAACATTCTTGCTTCTTTTCATCTCCCCCCCCCTCTCTTTCCCCACTCTGATATATTACTCTCAAGTTTTTTTTCCTCCTTCCTTCTTATCCGCGCGAAGTAAGGAGAAAATCACGATGTTCAAGGATACAGTCGTCGCGTAGACTAACTACTTATCAGATTAACATAAATTTGATTGCTGCTAAGGAAAGTCGGATAGTGTGCTAGACTATATTTAGAAGGCTCGAGCGCGGAAGAACAAAGTCCAGCGGCAGGAAAAATCGATAGCTGTGATTTTGTTCAGCCGGCATCGGTGTGCCTCTCGGCTCGTCAAAGTGCATCCTCGGTGGCTCCAATTGCGCGCGAATTCAATACGTGCTCTCGCAATTGTCGTCTCGTCCGCGATGCTCCAAAGTGTGCGCAACGTAGTATATCGAGAAGGCACGCGACCACTCTTTTTCTGTGTCTCGTCGGAACTTTGGCAAAGCCCAGTCTGCCTCGGCGAGTGCATTGCGAAGCAAAGACGAGGCAGATTCACGTCTGCGACAATGAAAATAAGAAAATAACAAGTGTGTATAATTAGCTGCGACTCCTCGCATAGTCGATCAAGTCGCGGTACATCGTTACGCGTTAGATTTTAAGTGATTGCTAAGTCGCCGTGTTACGTAAGAATTATTTCACGCTTTGACGAGCTTCCGACCATGAATGTCGTTGCAAGCGAGGAAAGCAACGACACAGGCACGTATACGGATAGATACACGAGCAAAGTTTAGATGCGAAGCGCAAACCAACGTCGACAAGAGTCATTAGCAAGGAGCGCGGAACGAGATTTGCAAATGGCCCCAATGAAAGGTTTTTGGGAGACAAGTGACGCGTAATAGTGGCTGATTAAGACGCGGGCCCGGTATGCGGGGCAGGCGTATAATGGCGATCGCCTAACAAAGACCAGCGAAAGAGCGAGTAAGGGCCGGTTCATAAATCATCGTTGCCGAAGGCGCGGGCCAACGGCTCGACGCGCGCAGCCGATAAGCTCGATTGCCACTGCTCGCGCCGCGCCTCACTCCATTTCGTCATCGCGAATTCACGGCTTTCCCTCTCGTCGCGCTCGACGCATTCACGGCCTGCACGAGGCTCCCCATTGATAAGGCTGGCGTGACCGCGCAGGTGAACGATACTTGGCGATAGCGCAACCAAATGATGCGCGCACGTGATTTCTTTGCAGCTTTCGTAATCCAGTTCTCGTTCGTGGCGTGCTTCTTCTGGCTGAACGTCATGTGCATCGAGACTTATCTGCTGGTCAGGAGGCACGTAGAGCGCGGCACCAGCAGCCCGAGGATCGAGCCGGGACGCCTCTTCTTCTATTACTCCCTCTGGGCCTGGGGACCACCGGCGATCCTCATCCTCGTTTCGGTCATCATGGATCTCAACCCCACCGTACCCATGACTTACGTCAAACCGAATTTCGGCGCAAACAGCTGCTGGTTCCATTGTGAGTATTGGCTACTCTCGATCAATTTTTCGCCTCATTTCCATTTCAGCTTTCGTTATTAGCAAATTCAGGTTCTCCCGACAAATCTCACGGCAACCTGGCTATTTTTTCTAGTCCGAAGCCCTATGTCGAGCAAAGTACTGCATAAAATATTCCAACTCGCGTACGACAATCGACCGTTTCTATACATCGAATCGCACGACAAAATCAATAAAACCCTCTGACAAGAGAAGCTTACGGCCACTCGGATAAGTCTGTCTAAACATTCAATGCTATTTCCATTTCTCGACGACAAGATCGTCTGGCAGAACGTACTTGCCCATGCTCGATGCCAACCAAAACTGACATATACGTTCAACTGCCTTCGATAAGATTGATCCAGGAACAGCGACGTTGTACAACAGAACGCGACGCCGGATTAACTCGAAAATCTTAATTTTCTTTAATATGTCGCACATTGCGCTTGGTCAGCGTCGATCAATGTCACTAGGAAGACGAATAAGGGCAAGTTTTTCGAGCATTACTTCATTTTTATTAGCTCATTTGGAATACAAGGTCGTTTAAAAAAATAATAGCCGCTTTTCAGTACATGATTATCGTCACGTCATTGCACTCGCGTTTGCTTTGTTACACCATTCAACCAAATAACAAAATAAACCTAAATGTGGTTTTAACATTAACAATTAAATTGAATAGTGAGCCGCTTAAACGATATTTATAATGGTTAAATCTAGATAATACAAATCTCCAAAAGAACGTGACACGAACAAGAAATTTCTATGTAACATATTTTACAACGGCGGCTCGTAAACAACAGCAGAATAAAAATAATTAAAATGTATCGGAGAATTTTTCATAAATAAATTTTCATATGTTTGTTACCGTGGCTCTGGTGGTTCGGATTCCACCTCTAACTGTAACTCCAGTCATGATGCATTTTAAAAGTTCCTTCCAACACCCTTTCAAAAGTGATGGGGAAGACTGATTGTACGACTATAGGGAACCAAGACTAAGGCTTACGGACAGCTATTGCACCTCGACTGTGTTAAAAATTGAACATGATTCTTAAAATAACATTAACAATAACATGTATGTAGCTGGAAAGCAAGTACAAAAATGAAAGCTCAATATTTAGTTACAGTAAGGTAAAAAAATAAAATCTTCAGCCTGTGTATATTCGACGCAAATAAAAAAGAATTATTAATTAACAGTTAACAATAGAAAAATCTGTAAAACTTAATAATTATTATAACAGACAAGTGAAGTAATAGGTACAATAGTAGTGAGTTAGAGCATGATATAGTAATAAATAAGCATTAAAGCCCATCACATGATATGACATAAGTGTACATAAAGTAACTTGCTTAGCACACACGCACAAGAGAAATGGTCATGAAGAGATAAAGGCAAGATTGTGTGTTTGTGATTTCAGCGAACCAGGAGGCAATGCCGTACTTCTACGTGCCGGTGAGCATGCTAGTCCTGATAAACCTCGCGCTGTTCGCGCTCACGGCTCTAGAGATAACTCGCTACCAGCGCGACCTCGACCTGCGCCGACTGGCTCGCAATCAGGAGTCCGACCGCGAGGAGCAGCGCCTCTTCCGTCGCATCAAGCGCGTCTTCTTCGTGTGCCTGGGCCTGTTCTTCCTCATGGGCATGAACTGGGCGATGGAGCTGATATCCTGGTGGGCCGGCGGCGACCCGCTGGCCTGGTCGGCCTTCGACCTGATCAACGCCCTGCAAGGCCTCATCGTCTTCGGGTTGTTCGTCTTACGCAAGCCCGTACGTAACATCGTCTGGTGCAGGATGCAAAAACTACGGGGCATTCAGGTATCCGAGCCGGAGCTTGGCAACATGGCTCTTTCGCTACTACCGGTCATCAACGGAGGCGACACTCTTCCTCGCGAGGGCATCAGCTGATCGTCTGTTCGCGTCAGCAGGTCTTCGTCCGTCATCTCCATGCAGATTTTCGAAGGCCGATCTGTTTTGGTTATACATCAAATCGATCAATGCTGATCATAGCTGCGCCGCTACTTGCCCAACGGATACTTTACTCGACTCGACCTCCACCTCTTACGCTCCTTTATACGCTGCTATATAATGTTCTGTGCAACAAGTGTTATAACGTCTGCTTGTACATAATCCGTGCGTCGTGTTCTATGTATCTGTGTAACCGAACAATACAGTATTTTTACGCAAAATCTTTTGCGTGTCGAGAGAGAACTGATACCATAATTATTATCGTGCATGGGTCTGTTTTCAAGACGTTTGCTATACGCTATCGATCGACGTTGATCGTGCAAACATGTCAACTCCGAAATTTAATGGTCGTAATATAAAACTAAAAACTGCTTGATGAGCTTAACTAGTCACGTTCTTGACGTTAATTTGCCCTATCGACGTACGCCTCCTACATTTATAACTATCATCTTTTTTATTATCCCTGTCATCCATCCACCTAAATTTGCCTTAATACTTTTGCTACTTAATAAACTAATTTTTTACAGTAGAATAGATAAAATATTACAGACTCTATTTGTATTAAACCGCGCGTAACGTACATAATAGTACCTAACATACTTTGTTCATTTGTTATACTAGTCATTCTTTTACAAAAATAAACGAGGTTTACAAGATATCCAAATTTGTTCACACGCTTACAAAAAGTTGCTTAGCGTCATGAATGCTTCATTATATAAGCTTTGAATATACGTGACATAAATAAAGCGTTCTTTTAATAATAACCAGGTACTATTTCAAACCACTCTCAAGATTCAACGCGTAATGTTGTTAGGTTCCCTTGCGGATCCTAATGTGCTTTCAATATCCCCTTATGAGAAAATTGACGTACAAAAGCAGTCAGAGCAAACCAACAAGCAAATATACGAAAAGCTATGTCTACAGACAATCTATGCGATGACAGACTGGTAACTATAATAAAGGTAATATTTTGTTCGTTCGTCAAGTTTGTCGACGATGCGCAGAGAATGAATCGCTCATCCCCAGAATGCTCATAATATCGCCACGTTGGGCTACGTAGACCAAGCGGTACATACCAGGCGAGCGAAGAGCTGAGTCGCCGAAATAAGTCTTTTCTAAAGTTGATTGCGGTTCCGTTTCAGCTTCCTTTCCTAAAAATGTTATATACATCAGTATTACATCAAACTATTTGTTTCAAATAAAATTTATTTTTCAAATGCGAAATTTAATCCCCTAATCCTTTCCTATCTAATAATAGTATTTTATTCTCAACAAACAAACAATTGGAAAAAAAGAATCCGTATTTTCATGAACAGCAGCAAGTATTTACCTCGTCCGACATATTCATAAACCAAATATTCATCTATACTAGAAAATCCTTCGTTGTACAATCCAATCCAATCACCATTACAGGATTTGGCGTCACCCAAAAATTTATAAGACACAACATTTTCTTCGTCAATATACCACGCAGTTATTGGATCAAATTCAATTCCATCGGCAGTTTTCGTGGATCTCACCACTATATCAAATTCCGCGCTTACGGGTTTATGGTCAGATTGCACATAATTAGGATGACTTTTATAATTATATTGTACAGCCTTAAGTTCTACGTCCTCGTAGACGTCTTTATTTACTTTATACAAAATTCGATCAGTCCAAGCCGGTCGACGTCTGTAAAGAGAAGTAGAAAATACATAAACAAAGCGTGTAACAACGTTATTATATTTCGCTTTGTGTATAATTGCCAATGTCTTGAGTGTCTGTCTCTTTGTTCGTATAAAGATCAAGATTCACGAAAAGTTATAAAATTATTCATACTTTAGATCATAATCTTGAGATGCAAATTCATATTTATAAGTTGGATGAAACGTTATTTTCTCCTCGGTAAATACAGCAAAAGCTTCATTGTTAGCCATAACTGACTTTAATTGATCTTTCTCTAATAATACATCTAATTGGTTCTTTTTAACAAGTTCATCTATCTCTGTTGCATTGAAGCCTTCTCCTATACGAAAATTCAGATCCCCTAACCAGAATACATAACTAAAAATGATAATTTAGTATTTAAATGACCATTACCAACTAAATTGAACTATTAACAAATTTAGTTGTTCGTATATACTCATTGAAGAAAATGTGACTTTTTTCAGGCACTGTGTATAAATGTTCTCTGATGATAGTATTGTAGTCATCTATCCGATCAGCTAACAATTGGTCATGGGCGGTTAAATGTGCATCTACTATACAAATGTCAACACCATACAAATTGAATCGTACACTAATAGCACCTTTATTTCCCTGTACATGTAATTATTCAATTAATCTTAATTTGATGAATAATTTCAAATATGTATGGGAAATTACTTACCCACATCCCACCAAATCCAGTCTTTGTGTACTGAGTTTCTATATTCCTTAAATGGGTCAAGTGCTTTCTGAGGAAAAAAACATTCAAAACAAGACCCTGAAGCTTTTGAGTTTTTAATCTTACATAATCAAAATCTTTCAAGATTTCCCTAAACAAAATAATTATTATTTTACAGAACATGATTGGCTAGAGCAATATATGCACGAATGAGATTTACCTAATTGATTTTGTCCAAGGGTCTTCAAAAATCATGTCCAATACCAAATTTTGAGGCTGAGATTTAACTTCTTGTAAGCTGAACATAAAATATTAAGATGAGTTTAACCTTGGTCTAGCTCTACTTCAAACTAATCGTATATGATTTACCCAATTATATGGATATCAGCTAACTGCTTGGACGTGGCAAAATGAGTGAGCCCTAGTAGTTGGCGAAGATCCTGCTCTGGGTATTTTGTAGCCGTATTCCAGGTGACAAAGCGTAATCTGCAATTTATCGAGATAATTCTTTGCTACAGTGTCTGCGATATTGCATAAATCAAAGGAAAAAAAGATAAAAATAGTGTCACAGGTATGAATACACGCCACCAATGAAAAATAATTATATAGTAGTATTCCAAAGTACTAATTTTAGATAATAATTTCAATCACAAAAGCAGATCCAAACTTCATAATAAAGATTCTGAAAGTTTCAACGTTACATAGAGCAAATTAATTGCTGTAATAGGATAGACTAGCAGAGTTGACAACAAGGATGCATTGATATTAGAAAAACATTAGAAAAAGCTAAGTAAGCAGTCATCTTGTTAAAGGATTAAGTAACTCAATTAAAAGTCGTTTAATGTCATGGCAACGAGGTAATACTCAACACCACTGGTTGCGATTGGTCAGTATTGACGTTAAATCTGGCCTGAAGCGTAAATCAATTTGGAATGAAATATTTGACTAACAATGAGTGTGCGATGAAGGTCGTGCCTATAAGAAATAAAAGAAGGTGCAATAACAAATGATATAACTTACTTGAGCGGAGCGTCAGGCGTTGCCATTATTTCCGTAGTAGTAGCCGTAGTATCCTTGATTGTGAAATTAGCAGCAGCCGAGAACTCCAAAGCAGCTGACGGGTCAAAGGCGAGTGTTGAATAAAAAATGAGCCACCTGACACATATCGTCTCGAACGTCAGAGCAAGCGATACAACACGTTAAAGTGGCGCGCCAGAGTTTCATCCGAGTATCGAGCTAGCTATTGTTTATATTTTCGAAGTAACGTACGCATATAGTTGCGCGCGTGTGCGTGTGTGCGGGCGCGAGCGTTTGCCATGTGCTTACCAAAAAAGTAATCCAGCCATGACCCCGTGGAGGTTGAGTCGAGTGAGCAGCAGGGTATGGTGTAGCTGCGCGAATGGGAAAAGCAAATCGGCGGAAAATACGGCGAGAAATAATAGAGAAGGAGGAGTGTCAGAGCCGTACTACGCCATGTCGATAGGATGACAGCTCTGCAGTCTGCCCTCCTCGCGCTGCTGCTACTTCTCTGCTGTCTCTGTTACTCCCGCGGTGCTGGCGGCTGCTCGCGGCCGGCGAGGATGCGCATGCGCGTGCGTGTCAGCGCGCAATTCGAACGGGCGCTCGGTCGCGTGAGAACACCACGGGCACTGGAGGCGAAACGAATAACGCGCGTGAAAGCGCGCCCGCGCGGCGACGGATGGACTTCTGACCAGGTAACACACTTGCTTGGCAACCGAGCGCCCGATTTCAGTGGCATTAGCATAGCCGCGATTTCTTTATTAGCACCGTAATTTGCTGAGCAACGCGTTTCACTGCTCCGGCGATCCAGTTGTGTAACAATTGCTGCTCCAGATTCGTTCGCGGCCGCGAAAAACCAGTTTGCTCGAGCCTCGAGTCGGGTTGCAATGAAGGAACGCAGTGGTCCATAAATGTTATTGCCTTTATTGCTTGCGTAGATGCTCGCTGCGCGCGTGTAGGCGTCGCTTATAAAAAGTAGATTTACAGATTTACTGGTGGGAGAATGGTTGCGTGTATGTACAGTAGGACGAACAATGGGCATTCGACGCTGACAGGCGTACGACGCTAGTACATCATTCCCGGGTGAGCTCTCTGGAAGAAGACGTTGGGATTGGCGGACAGCGTGGTGTACAAGTTGCCCGTGTCCTCTGGCCTCAAATACATCCCTGGCGGCAGCACGAACGTCTCCATCGGTCCGTGAATATCTGCAACGAGGACAAGAGCGATCGGTCATGCCACTCGGCATCTCCGCCGAGCGAGTCCGGCAGCAACGCGTGCGTTACGGGCACAGCGCGCGCCCGCAACGGGACAAAGTAGGCCGGGGGCGGCCGCCGACGGGCAGCGCCAACGCGTTCGCGGCGCCGCACGCCCGGGCGCGCGATCGACGCGGCCCACGCGTCCGAGCAACGCAGAAGCGCGAGCACCCAGCGATCGCCTAACGGGACTCGCTTCCGCTGTGCGCGGCGGCAGCTCCTTCGCGATCGAGCCGCAACTTTCTCCGCTTCTGCTCGGGCGCCGCGTCTCGGTAATTAGTTTCCGTAATCCGTGAAATCGCGAAATCGAGGCGAAGGTCGAGCGAGGGCGCGGAGGCGTAGCGACGTACATGGCATCTGGTCGAAGTTGGAGGCCGAGGTGGCGTCGGAGTAGACGGGGCTGGCGGGCCGGTGCCGGCAGGCGCTGCAGGACGAGACCAGGGCCACGCGGTCCGCGCTGTGGTAATGCTGCGCCGGGGCCGGCTTGCGCTTGAGCGTCGACTCGGCGGGCGCCGGCTTGAAGTGGAAGAAGGACGGCGAGTAGTCGCTCGGCCGGTCCTCGCAGTCGTCGCGCGCGGTCGGGCGGCGCGGGGGGCGCGGCCGCGGCCGCGCGGGGCCGCCCGCCAGCGCCAGGGGCAGGTGCGCGCCGCCGGCCGGCGCCGCCTCGCGGCCCAGCGCGGCCAGCTGGCGGCCCTTGGGCAGGAACATGGCCAGGAACACGAGGATGGCGCTGCTCAGCAGGCCGAAGCCCAGCCAGGCCTCGCGCGCCGCCTCGGGCGCGAGCAGCGCGCCGAGCGCGCCGCCCAGCCAGACGGGCAGCGCCAGGCCCACGGCCAGCCCGATGAACCAGGCCTCGCGGAAGTTGTCGCGCACGCCGCGCGCGCGCACCGCCAGGCCCGCCGCCGCCAGCAGCAGCAGCGCCGGGTACCTGCCGACAGTGGCCAGCGTCAGGGTCTCTTTATCTCGTTCGCCGACGCCGGGGCCGAGACGCGCACTCACCCGAGGGCCGCCAGACTCTGTCCGAGGGGCGTATGGCAGGCGCCGCTGGCCCGGACGCCGGGCGCCGCCGCCGCCGCCGTCGTCGCCGAGCCGAGCTCGCCGTACAGCCACTGGCCGACGATCGCCACCTGCACCAGCACCGCGAAGCCCAGCACCAGCGCCTGCGTGAGCAAACTGCGCGTGAGTCGCGCCTGGGGCGCCCGGGCCGCGCGCTGCTGCACTCACCTGGTAGGGCGCCGGCAGGTACACGCCGCTGTTCAGCGACAGCAGGAACACGCACTTGACCAGCAGGGCGGCGAAGACGAGCGCCGCCGGCAGGCCGACCAGCCGGAAGGCCGCGCACGAGACGGGGTTGGCGCTGAGCGAGGCGGCCGCCGACAGTCCGGCCAGCAGGAACAGGCCCAGCAGCAGCGCCTGGCCCAGGAACAGGTGGCGCCTGCTGGGCGCCGCCGCGCGCGCCTGTGTGCAGAGGCGAGCTTTAGCCTCGTCGTCCCGGGCAGTGGCGCTCCGCGCGGGAGCTTGCGCGGCCGCGTCCGCGGAGCGCGACGGGGGGTGGCTTCGGCGCGCGGAGGCCGGCGGCAGTCGCGATAAGATCCGAAAGGAACGGGCGCGCCGGGAAAGCCGCCGGGAGCGGCAACGCGCGACGCGGCGCGACGCCGGCAGCCTCCCCTCCCGCCGACCGTCGACCTGGCCGGCCCGAGACACGAGACGCGACTGACCGAGCGGGCGATCGGCCGCTCGGCTTTCTCCGGTCCGCGCTCCCCGCCGCGCCGTCTGCCCGGACTCGCCGAGGCTTCGTCGCGCGGAGACGGTTGACCGCGCGCCGGGCACGACGCCCGGCCCCGTCCCTCCGGCCGTCGTCCGCGGCGACACTTTCTCCGCGGAGCGCGGTTGTGCAACGGCGACGAGGCAGCTCTCGGCGAGCATACCTTGAGCAGCACGAAGACCTCGAAGGCGGCCATGAGCAGCATCGCCGCGGCGCTGAGCGCCAGCAGCGGCAGGGCCCAGGGCTGGGGCCTGAGCAGCGGCTGCGGCCGGGGCGCCGGCGCCGCCGCCCGCGGCGCCGACGCGTCGCCCGCGGCCGGCACGCTGACCACGCTGGCTACCTGGCTGCGGCGCCGGTCGGCCGGCGACACCTGCAGGAAGTACTCGGTGGACAGCTCGGCCCGGAGCTGGCGCTGGCCGGGCGCCTGCTCGGCGCAGCGCGGCCGCGGGGCCTGCTGCGGCTGCTGGTGCAGCTGCTGGCCCGAGGACGCGCACACCGCCGCCGACAGGATGATCGGGCTGAGCCTCATCGCTGGGTCGCTCTCGCGCGCTGACTCGGGCCCGCGCCGGCAGCCTCTCGCATAGTAGTCCGCGCGCCGGTCGGCTCGCGGGCGTTCAGCTGGCGCAGGGACGAGGACGGTGGTCGCCGCAGGCAGCCCACGCCGGCATCTCGGCAGCGCCACGTTCTCCGGGAGGGTCGCGCGCCGACTGAGCCGCTCGGCTCCCGCCCGCCTGCGCCCGCCTCCGCCCGCCGCGGCGACGCGCGCTCCCTTCCCCGCCGCCCGCCCGCCGCCCGCCGGCCGCCGGCCGCCGGCCGCGCGCCGCTCCGCGCTCCTCCGGCTTCTCGCCGCGCGCGCTTGCGGTCCCTTATCCTGCGCACGCGCCGCTGCTCGCCGCGCTCTCCGCGGTCCGGTCCCCGCGCTCCCAGCGCGCAGCTTTGTCCCTGGCCACGCCAACGCTGACGAATAGCGAGTGATAACAATGGAGCGCGCGGCGCGGTTCGGCCCGGCAGCGCCGGAGCCGCGCGACTGCATGCAAAAGGACGACGGGGCGAGAGAGCGCGCGGGCGCGCGGGCGCGCGAGCGGGAGTGGGAGTTCGTAGGTGCTCGAGGGCCCAGCGCTGCGCGCCTTTTTTCGCTTCTTTTGCACAAGTGTCGTGGACCTGCGCGACTCCGCGCTCGACGCTGCCTGCTCCTCTCGCCGCTGCACTCGTGCGTTACGCTTTTTACCGCTGAATCTTCGCGGAGCTGCGCCCGGCCATCCTTCCTCCTTCCTTCCTTCCTCGCTCGCTCGCTCGCCTGCTGCGCTCTCCGCAGCCTCGAGCTCGCGAAAAATACGCGTCTGCCCGATCGATCGCTCCGCGATACCGCTGACGCTAATTACCGATCGGTACTCTTCCCTCGGCGCACGTCCCATTCGGAATACAATCAATTGCCTAGACGTCTGGGCACGCTCTGATTAATTGGCTCGCTCGTTCGGGAATGATTGAGTCATTATACCGATCCGAGGCATGCGCGGCTGCGTCGCACGGACTCGCGTACACAGGGCGATGTCGCACGCGGATAAGAGCGATCCGCGCCGGCCGTCGTCGGGGTGCCGTTGGCCGATGCCGTTAATTACAGCCGCGGCCAACAAAAGATGTCATAATAACGGCTGCGATCCAACGACGACCAATCGGCCGAGCGAGAAAGGACAAATGACGAGCGGGAGTGCGCCGATCGTACAACGCAAGCCGAACGGTTAACTGCTCGCCGGCACTGTTATCCGGCCGAAAGATGACTTTCCCGAACGCGCGGCCTCCTAGGCCCGCGACTACGTACAGCTTTTAGCCCAGTCATCGACTCCGACGAGCTGCGCGGCGGGGGGGGGGGGGGGGCAGCGGAGCTGGCCAGCCAAATGGCCGGGCGCGAGATACGCGACACGGAGCGTCAGCTGCATAACGGGCCCGCGGCTCGCTTGCTTTCCGAGTCCGATCCACCTACTCGCGCATGCGGCCCGGCAGAGCACGTCTTATGTTAAACCACATCTTCCGCGGCGGCGATAGGTCCGCTCGATAAGCTCTCCTGCAGCTCGCTCCTCCGTAGCCCGGCCAGAATCCCATTCGACTGCTCGATACGTGCACTTTAATTGGCCGCGCGTCGTTCAATGTCTTCCTTCTTTTCTCGCTGGCTCCGATCGGAGCCCGTTCGACCATTTTCGTGCAACAGTCTCTTGTTAGAACTGGTGTCGATGCCTGTATACTCCAGGCCACTGGAACCGATGCACTCGCATTTGTCAAAATAATACAATGGTATACTCGTCTACACTCTCGATCTTATCGTTTCCCGTGATATTACAACACTCGTTAATGTGCATTGAGTATTCTAACAAACACTCGCATATACGTTATCTTTTAAACGGCAAACTGACTGGTAGTTAAGTAAATCGCAAGCGGGAAAGAACTTTTGCAGATATTCGTCGTGCAAAACGAATACATCGCAAATTGGCGAAAAAAGACTCTCGTTGCGCGTGAGATCTGCGTAGGAAAAGTAGGCAGGAGCTCGTTTCGTAAAAGAGCTCGATGGTGCCGATTCGAATCGGGAGTAGATGTGTAATGATCGTAAGTAAAAGCGTGCGAGTCGAGCGAGCATCTGCCTACGTGCAATCTGGTTGATTCGAGCTGATGCCGCGGCGCATCGATCATCTCTCTCATCGGTAAATCAGTAATGACGATGTTCTCCCGACGGGCAGTTAGGAGAAATGAAGCGCTCGAGATGAAATCAGGCCGCGGCTCCGCTGCGCGAGCAGCAGGACGGAAAACGCCGATGCGCGTAATCAAAGATTCGTCTGGACTCGACTCGGATGCGAGCGCAGGTGCTTATTTTTTGCGCGCTCGCTCGTTGCGAGCCTCTCGTCCATTTGCTGCGCGAAACGACGGTCGCGGCATTTCGGAGCGCGAGTTTCAAGTGCAGGCGGACGGTATTTTGGAGAGCGCGCGGGCTGGTCGGTCGACTGTAAACGGTCGCGGCTAAACGGAGCCCGAGGGAAAAGCCGAGGGAAGGTCCTCGTCGGCGAGGGTTCGTGTCGTAAATAATATAAGCAAGCAAGCTCGTAAATGAACCGCAAGTCAAAGGAGGCTGTGGCATCGAGGCGAGGTAACGGTGCCGAAGCCATCGTTGCATCGCGAAAACTTGTCTCGGGCCTGGCGCGCGCGAGCAGGCGCCTAGCAGCGACTCACCGCCGCCGAGGGCAAGCAGTGTCGGAGACCGGGGGACCGGGGGCCCGAGGAATTCGCGGCGTCGCTGCGCCGCCCGGCGACGAGAGTTGGCTTCGGAGCGAGCAGCCCAAAAGCAGCCGGCGGAGGAGGAGAGCAGGCAGAGAGAGAGAGAGAGAGAGAGAGAGAGAGAGAGAGAGAGAGAGAGAGAGAGAGAGAGAGAGAGAGAGAGAGAGAGAGCACGTGAGCGCCCCAACCGGTTTTGCCCGACGCCGATTCGAGGTCCTCGCGCCTCGCAGAAATCAAGCCGTGCGTGCGCGCTCTCGGATCGGCTCGCAGTGGCCGCGAACGCCGATCGATCGCGTCGCGCTCGGAGCGATTGTCCGTCGGCGAGGTGCGTCGCGCCTTCATTAGCGCGAGGCCGATTTGCCGAGCTGTCCGCGGCGCGGCGCAGATCTACGCCCGACTGCACCACTGATGCCGGCCGAGTCGCGGCGATATCGGCTCTCTCGTGCGGGCAGATATGTCGTGGCTCGGTTACTGCTGCCTGCCTCTCTCCCTCTCTCCCTCTCTCTCTCTCTCTCTCTGCCCCGTGCGCCGCGCTCGAGCAGCACATCGCAGCAGCGCTCGCTGAATTCATTCGCCTTTTATTGCTCGCCGCGCGCATGCAGCTCCAACGGGACGCAGGCCTCAAACTTTCCTCTCCGCGCTGCTGCGTCCGTGTGGCGGCGAGCTTTTCCTCTGTCGCCAGTGCCCGTGTCGCGCGGCTTCGGCGCCTCGTTGCGGGACTTCGCTTTAGGGCCTTCCTTCCTGATTGCCCGCCGAAATTCCTCGTTTCTGGCGCCGCTCGCTCACCATTGTGCTTTCCTCATTCGAGACAAGCCAACTTTCTTTGTTCACTTTTGCTATGATCCGGTTTACTGGCACATTTCCAGCGCCGGTATATCTCCAGCGAGGATCGCTCGTGATCGATTCACTGCATCGGACGATAAAAAGGCTGCCGAGAGATTAGCCGAGCACTCGCTACCTTATTGTTTAACTCGATCCGTCCACTCGGCTGGAAAAAATGTTTGCTTTACGAAATCACTGCTGGCAATATCTACCTCGTAAAATTATCTACTCCGGCGTCCATACGCTGACGTGATTTATTGCAGTATATACATCCTGCGAAATTATATTCAACGGACTTTTCCCGCCGCTTATTATGGCCATTTTAACGTTGAACTAGCAAAACGCTCGATCGCAGCTTCGTCAAAACGACCTGAAAATTGATGACTTGAGAATTCTAACTGCAAGTGGACGAGAGCTAGACTGAAATTTTGCGTTTTAATCAAACGATCGTCGGGTTTCCGATCGATCGAAATTTCATGGTACGTTAGCCATCAACGCTCGCGCGTGCGGCTAGTCGACGCGCGCTAATTTTCACATTTCAACGGTATCATTTACAAAGCGATTGTTCCGCGATGTAAGAAATGCGCCCGCATAATGCCAACTTCCAATCCCATTTCCAAAACAATGGTAAAAGGTCGCGCTCTGCCGCCGCGAAGAGAAAAGGTAGACCTACGCATTCTTTCTCGAAAACCAAAAACCAGTTGGGTTTCGCAAATCGGAGAATGTCGTGGGCAAGTGCGAATATTCCGAGGACCGATCGCAGCTTCGCATCGTTCGGTCTTGAGCGCAAGATCTACACAACTTCGGAGTCTCACGTGCAGTTTGCTGTGCGGTAATTTTGATAAATGAAGGTTCGATCGCGTAATCCGAGACGCGACCAGCGTAAAAATTAACCATGCCGCGCGGCTTCTCGACCTATCTGTATCCAATTACACGCGATATAGATCTGCGCGCAGTTATGGCTGCAGAGACGAACCGCAAAAATCTGATAATTACGCTTACTTCGGGGAAGGATCGATGGGGCGGCCGCGTGCGGCTGAATCGCGATAAAAAATAATCGAAACTCGCCGCGTATAGCAGCAAACGCGAGACGGGGCGCTCGCGTCGAGAGGGAAGAGAGAGAGAGAGAGAGAGAGAGAGAGAGAGAGAGAGAGAGAGAGAGAGAGAGAGAGATGCGTTGGGCTGTCCGGACCTCGTTAGAAGTCAAAGCACGCGGAAGGCATCGCGCAAAAGCGTCAGCCCGTCGGCCGAAGAGACCGAAAGGCAAGGTCCGGTTTCGACCGAGACGCGGCGCCTCGCCTCGGCGTGTCGTCGCCCCCGAGTTGTTTCGGCTCTCGAGACTCGAGGCGGGCGCGCCGATTGCCGGGGCGGCAGCGCTCGTTAGCTGCGAGAGGCGCGAAACGCTGCAGGACGCGTTCGGCTTGCCTCGGCTTGGCGATCGCGCGCGGCTGGATTGCGCCAGCGATGCTTATCGCGCGAGAGCGCGCGCATGAATGATGGGCCGTCAACGCGAGGGCCATTGCAGCTGCCTACATACCTATCCGCCCGCCGACTTTCTTCTTTTCGCCTGCGCGCGGAGCTGCAGTCGGATGCCCACCACACGACCGACACACTCGCAGACGCGCGCGCGAGCATCATTAAATTTTACGCCGCCGCGACCTCGACGGCCCTTTCAGCCAGCAACAAAAAGTCAGCTATAAAACTTCTCCCCCTTGCCTACGGTGTGCCCGCGCGCCCGCGCGCCCGCGCTTCACCTCCGTTTTATCGCTCGGTGCGTCCTTTTTCACGTTCATCTTTATTGTCCGCGATTAAACGCCAAGCCGTCTGTCGCTGCGCCATTCCCAGAATACCAATGCCCGCTAATCTTCCCCTTTTCCACTCTTTTCCTCTCAAGCTCCCATCCTATTCTCATTTGCGATATCATTTGTCCGTGACGCAAAGCGTTTGACGAATGCATTTGCTCGTTTATGGCCGACCAAAATTACCGGTCAACACTTGTCACACTGGAGAGAGCGTCGTTCCCAGTGGCTGATACTGATAGCGCACTCCCGACGTCCTATCGGTTTATTCAAGCCACAACCAAAAAATGACAAGATCGCCGATAATGAAGCTACCGGGCGAAGTGCTCGGGAGGAAGAAACGGTTTTGGCATGTGCGACCGCAAAAGCCAAAGATCGCCGAAGCGAGCCGTGCGCGCGCGCAGCTTCATTTGAATACCCGTCGATCCAGGGACATTCCAGGAAAATTCTCGGCGATTCAGCCGTGATGCAATCCTATTCAGTCGAGGCAGTGAAGCGGTAAGCCACTGTTGCCGCCGCTACTACCGGCAATGGACAAGCTCAGCCAGCACGATCAGCAGATCTTGGACACGATCTTCGATCCTCTGCAGTCCCTCGGCATCAACTCCGATCCCGGCAAGATTTTAAACGAAGGTACGCTACTGATACTCGATCGAGGATAACAGCCTCGGGGATTAATTAACTGGAGATCGGCGTGTGCGCAGTTGCCAATACCGTGAACGATCCAGAGCTCAGCCAGCAAATTAAGGACCTCGTGAAGAGAGCGATCGTTTTGTCGGAAAATGGCGAACTCCACCAAGCCCTCGAGCTCTTCGACGAGGCACGAGCGAAAGCTCCGCGTTCGGCTTCCGTCTTGAACGACCGGGCTCAAGCTTTGCGCCTGGCGGGCCGAAATCAAGGTAGGATCAGTAATAGCAAATCGACGTTTCAATCTCGACCAATTCCTACCTATCGACAGAAGCACTCCAGGATCTGACTTTGGCGGTCGAATGCAGTGGAGGTGAAGGTAAAGCAGGCGTGCAGGCGCTATGCCAACGTGCCGCGCTTTACCGGTGCTTAGCAAGAGACGAGGATGCCAAGCAAGACTTCGCCAGGGCTGCCCACGGCGGTTCAAAATTTGCCAAATCACAGCTTGTAGCTATGAATCCTTATGCGGCTATGTGTAACGCCATGCTTCAAAAAATCGCCATGAAAACTGCACCAAAGTGAATTCATTACCTTTTTTTTCAAAGATTATTTTTATTCTCATCTTATTATAGTCTTCGATTTTTACATTACCAAAGTTTTTTTTTCATTTCTATATTATACCTCTATAATTCATAACTGTTCTCATACATAATATCATTTTTCTCGTAATAATATATTATAATAAAAACTATTGTACATTTCATAAGTAACTTGAGATAATTGTTAATGGAGTAAATAACCAAGTCCTTAAAAAACAAAAGGAACCAGAAAAGTGTGTCGGGAAGCACATGCAAGTAAAAAAATGGTGTCAAACCAATCATTATTGTGGCTGAATAAAAACTGCTTGACAGCGTATAAAATTTACTAATAAGTTTTTTCACGATAAAGGCATCAACTTAATTTCAATGCGTGATAAAACCACAGCCCAGTGAAAAATCGATCCTTCAAGGCGGCATAACTTTTTCCTTTTCAAGTTCGAAAGTTGCAGTTCCTTTCCAAGTCCTGCTCCTGCTCCTGACATGCAAACTCTGCTCAAATTTCTGTGTGCATGTACAACGTCCAATTAAACAATTAGCTTTGAAAGCACTTTGCAGTGTGTTTAAAATCTGTGACTTATTCTTCAAGGCTGGTCAAACGATTTTCGTTAACATACATGAAAACAAACCCATCCGTATGCTGTTGTATTACTTTTTTCTTATACATAAATTCAGTCTCACAGCATTTCGAAATCCCCTCCTGTATTTGATTTTTCACTTTCAGAGCCTTCTTCGCTTGCTTCATGTCCATCCAACCCCTGATTTTTCTTCTCATTATCAGATTTTCTAGCTGATGGAGAATTGGGTTTTGAGGCTTCTGATGATGATTCTGATTTTTCTTCCCTATAGAGTTTCAAATAATAATTAAAAGTTGTAAATCAGATAACTAAAATTACTTATTGAAAAAGTTACATACGAATGAGAATTTCCTCCATCTTCGGCATCGGAATCTTTATCCTTCTTACGCTTTTTCTTCTTCAAAGCCTTTTTATCACCAGAAGATGGGCCACAGTATTCATACTGTTTTGACAAAAAAAAAAGTGGTGCAAGTTCAAGACAAAATAATACAGCTGATAATTCTCACGCGATTACTTACATGATACAAAGGCCAGAAGGATGCAAAGAATCCAACATCTTCGACTAAGTTTGGAAATAGCCAGAAGTGATGTCTGCCAAAAGTTAATACCCATATAATACAGAAAACTATCGACCTCACAACAATTAAGGATAAGATGAAGAGAAGAAATCCTGCTGCAGCTATACTCAAATACCAAACACCATGACGCACTGTGATTGGCCACAGAGGGAAGAGACAAACACCGATAGCTCCTAAAACAAGCAATGTGCCAAAGAACCAATAATATACTGGAATTGGCTCATAAATCCACACATATGCATCATTGCAATCAACAAAACACTGATTCATATGCATTTCTAATCGAACCTGAAAACAAATAGGTCAGTTACTTTTTTCTTTTTACTGATTTCAAGTAGGTATAAAATAATATGTAATTAAATTGTTTACTTTCGGTTTTTTCTTTAGCTCTTTTCCTTTTCCTTTGTCATCACAATCCTTCTTCTCCTCTTTTTCTCCATCTTTGGTATCATTATATTCTTCCTTTTCTTTTTCTTTCTCTTTCTTTTTTTCCTTTTCTTTCTCCTTAATTTTTTCTTTTTCTGATAACTTTTTTTCCTCTTTCGTCTCTTTTACATCTTTACCCTTCTTTTTTACTCCTTTGATGCGAATAAGTTCATCCTCAGTAATAACAATTTTTTTAGCTCTGTGAAAAAATTTATGCCTCAGCATAGTTTCTAAGAAATCAACAACATGTTGTCTTGTTTCAAAAATAGTTTTGCTCCATGGTGATTTTTCCAGTAATGCATCAACTGCTCTAGTTCCCGTAAAATACTCCACAATATGATTTCTGTCGAACTTTGTTTTTTTGGACGGCACATTATTACGAATCCATTTGGCTACAGCATATTCTTGTTTCGATGGTTTGTCCGCCACAGCTGAGCCATCTACTCCATCCTGAAAATATTATTTTAACTTTTTTGGATGATTGTATCATATTTGTAATAATTAGCAGATGACTACAATTCAGTAAACTTAACTAAAAGAAATAAGAACTATCATGTTAATTAATAATATCAGGATGTTTTTAGAATAAACTAACTTAATGAAACCAACAAAAAAATATGTAAATTACAAGATAATATGTCAATGAGATTTGTTATAATGAAATAAAAACAGGAATATCAGTTGCTTATAATTGCATGAAAATAAAAATGCAATATGTCAATGGCTGATGAATAAGGGGCAAAAAATTGCACGTCCTACAAGTGAAAACATCTAGAAGTCAAGGTGATGTAAAAAAAAAGGACTGGTTACTTATTTAGCGATGCACGTGTGAATCGTAGTAACAGATGTGTAAAAAAGTGATGTGAAACTTAAATTCAAAGACGAAGATTAGAAAGAGAGTAAAATAGCGAGATAGCGAAATCTGCAGCCGGCTCGCGACTAGAAAATTCTAATGGTTACATATATTTATATATATGAACAGCTATTAGTTAGCAGCTGATACACACAGTACCAGGAATGTAAAAAGTTCTTAAAGGGCTTTGACTCACGTCTCTGCGTTTCTTGTTTTTTCTGCGCTCCACAACCATGATTGTCGATGAAAATCAAATCCGTTGGTCTACGGAATAAAGGCCGAGCATAACTGTTGACGATAAAAGCAGCAAAGCCGAAACGTGTGTCCGAACTCCGGAACTCGCGCGGGCTAGAATGCAGCCTGTGATGCTGATGTGACACACGAAATAGCGAAAGGGGAGGGGGGGAGTTAGCAGATGGGATTGCCAAGAATCGGACAGGCAAGTGAATAGGCAAAATAAGCAAAACTGAAAACGAAATACGTCTCTCTCCTTACTGTGCTACACTACACTGACGTCAACGTTTAGCTGGCCAACATAGATTCGCTGTTTTCTGAATGATATTCCACTATTTGCATTTCGCGTGTGTGTTGTTACTTGCTTACGTATGATATTGTCAAGGAAGCTCAAGCTCAAGCATCAGCTGCACGTTACGAATGCTCCGTTAGTTTACACGCACCTAGCACAACCTGTCGGCTTCAGATGCAAACTTGTCGCCCTCTTTTTCCGATAGCTACAGTCGGTGTTTCTCTGCTCTTGACTCACGATATAGATAGTATATTAGGTTAATAAACAGCTGAGCCATCAGTCGTCTGCTACACACCGCAAAACAGACCCAAGGCAGACAGGTATTCCCACTGTCATCACGTAAGAAATTATATATTTTTCTAACATTTAGCAACGATTCACTAGAAACTACAATGTTTTTCCTATGTTGTCATAATATAAAGTTGTTCTGTTCCCTTCTGTAAGTTAGCACGCAGCTTCAATAATTGCGTAGTATCACTTTTAAATAGCGATGTATATTTATTGTGATATAGATGTTTTAACCTTTATGTAATTACAGCTTTGACGGTGTCGCGCATTGGTTTATATTTCGTCTACGATAACAATAAATCATGTAACTGACTGCACAGCAGCAATCTGTCAGTTGCACAATTACTCTGATCTGATATCTGATCACTCTAAAACTGATTTTTATTTCGCCAACATATACTCTTACGATAAAAGTACCTGCTAATGGAAATCGTACCATTATCAATATAATATCAATTATATTAACAATGAAAAACGATATGGCATTCGTGTTTTCCCCAAAAAAGAGTCTGTAGAAAGTGTTTTTAATAAATAAAATAAAACATCGTGATTTCACGCAATAATATTTTGATTTGACGTAGGTATACTGTAAACCAACTTGAAGTAAGATTTTTTAAATCTTAAAATCAAAGATGCAGATTGATGTTCATTCGTGATTACACACAAATCAAATATCAAAAATGCTAGTTTTGTCTACCACAAATCCAGCTATACAATTAACTGGAAGAAGTTTACGATTTTTCGCGACACAGCAGAAATCACGTCTTACAATTAAAGCAAGTTTAACAATATATTTTTTAAATATAAATATCTAAATATAATCCAAACATTTAAATGGAATATTATAGGATACGTTTTACAGAAATTTTATCAAATACTCGGAGTGGCAGAAGATTGCGAAGATGAAACGTTAAGGTTGGCTTTTGTTGATTTAGCTAAAAAGTTTCATCCTGATAGCAGTGCAAAAGAAGCAAGTGCAATCAGATTTTCAGAAGTGTGTATTACCCCAACAGTCACTTAAATATAGATATCTTTTATCGTCTGTTAATTAAATTTAAAATACAGACCTATTTTTCAGATTCAAAATGCATACAGACAGATACAACGTCATAGATTTGAAACAAGAGAAAAGGAAACATCAGGATTATATCCAGACGTCGAAGAATTTGACATTAAGGTATTTTGAGTAGCTACGAAAAATCTGGACTATTTATCGATTAGCATTTTTTAACCGAACATGCAGAGTACTTTTCATGAAATTTCTAGCATACAGCACCGCAGCATCGGCATTATTTAGTGCACGATGTAGGAGTTGGTACACCAAGTATGAGACAAAGACGTTTCGTAGCTGACAGAGCACAAAAAGCTGTACTGAACGTGATGGAACATCGATTGAAAACAATTCAGTCTGCGGAACGGAACACCCTGGTCGGAATGGACAAACAACGTGCCAAGGATATCAAGACTCGATACGGAATGGATCGACTCGTTGAAGATTTAATTCAGGAATCTATGAACAAAGGCGAATTTAACGATCTGAAGGGAATGGGAAAGCCCCTCAAACAAGATACTTGCGGACAAAATCCTTACGTTGATTTCGTTACCCACAAACTGAATCAGGTCAATAAATATCTTTTAAGGGTTCAATATGCTTTTTATCAGCTGAACGTACTCTTAAGTAGATTTCTAATTACTGTAAAAGTATTTAGAAACCAAAAATATCACGGATTATCAATTAGAGCTTGTTTGAACTCAGCAACGTTTTAATATTTATCTACGGATCACTTAAAATACAGTAGTATTTCATAACATTTTCAATGGAGTTTAGTTATGATAAAATTATTTCTACAAAATGAACATTTAAACGAAAGAAGTTGATTCGTTATTTTCACATTTGATACCATTTATTGACAACTTTTATGGAATAACTTTATTTTCACACTTAGAGAAACTTCTTATCAGTAGATGAAATCAAGCAAATAAATTTGGCAAATACAATAGTCTAGTAATTAATAAATAACAAAAATAACAATGAAGTCAATCATTTATTGCAAATAACAATAAAATATTACAGGTATTACTCGACAACGGTTTTACACCAGAATGGATACAACTCTCGAAAGAAATAAGACAAGATACAGAGACTTTGAAAAAACAATTAGAAGAAACAAGAAATAAATTAGGTGATATGCCGCTCTCATATCACGACGAAGAAAAATGGAAAAACACGTTACAGGATGTAATCAAAGAGGTAAAAAGAATCAATAAAAATATTGATAAGTACAATTTGATTGTACCAATTTTGCAAAAACAAATGTTACAAATTAATTTGAAATCTTTGGCGGATAACGCATTAGCAAAGCCACCATCTGTAGATAAAAATTTAATTGAAAAATCTAAAATTCAACGTAGTTTATTAGAAAGTAATAGTGAATCTGTTAGTATTATCCAAATGTTGTCATATATTTTTAGTAAATGATCACTATTTATAAGTGTGAAATGTAAATAAAAGCTTTTATTTATGTACATATGGGATATTCTTCTAACCATTTTTTGAAAAGAGTAGATTTGTAGTAAAACTTTATAAAAAATATACAAAATCTTGTTAGCAGTTTCGCAGTTAATGTGGAGCCAATAATTCAATGTATTGATACATTGATGTTAATATAACCATTCGAGAGAACCATCATTCCTCAATCTTATTCTTTCTGTTGCCAAGTGTTTTAGCGCTTTTGGGAATGTTGTGTGTTCAACAGATTTGACACGCTCTTGTAATGTTTCAACAGTGTCGTTGGGTAACACGGGAACTGATGCTTGTTCAATGATAGCTCCAGAATCAATTTCAGGCTAAATAAATAACATAGCAATAAGAAAAAAATATTAAATATTAAACAATTTTTTTCCTAAAAATATTTAATTTATAAATAATATTCTTACTGCGACAAAATGAACAGTGCAGCCTGAAATCCGAGCACCAAAAGCTAAAACGTCTTTATGGGCATTACCTCCTTTGAACGACGGTAACAAAGATGGATGGATGTTTATTATAGCACCGTTCCACTTATTTACAAAAGTTGCCGAAAGTATCCTCATAAAACCAGCAAGGCATATTATTTGTACACCGGCTTTTACAAGTTCCTTATCCATTTCTGCGTCAAAAGCCTCTCTAGTAGAGAAATCAACGTGTTTGATAACCTTAGTAGCTATTCCTGCTCTTTCGGCCCTTTTAAGACCTTCAACATCGCTTTTATTTGATATAACCAGAACGATTTCAGCTCCAATATGCTGTGTTGGATCTTGAGTAGCGTCTATAAGTGCTTGTAAATTTGTTCCACTACCAGATATGAGCACACCGACTCTTTTCAAAGGTTTTGATAACTTCTCTACCAATGACTTCACATGTCTCTTCATTTCAAATTCTATAGCTTTCTCAAAGTTCTTAACGTTGACCCGTTCGCTGAGATTTCCTAGAAGTAAAAATAAGAAATAAAATCAAATAATAAACAATATGTGCAAAAACTAAACTTAAATTTATCGTGACTTGCTAAATGTAGTGATTCAAATTCTCAATCGTTTGCATAAACTTCATTTTCGAACACATTTATACTTTATTATTGCAAATTTTATCGTGAAACAATTTTAGCAATTCATTAAATCCAATTATAATAAAAATGAAATTCAAAGTAAAATAAAATGTACTAAATGTATTAATTGAATACATAATATATTATTTCAAGAAAAACGTCCGGCTTTGTTTGAGGAAAGCTAATGCATTTCATTTCTCAATACCTTCTAAAGAATTAACTTCTCCAATAGCTACCGCGTTTTCAGATTTTAGTAGGTCCAATACTTGGTCTTTATGTTCCGGAGAACAAATAAGAATTCCTCCAATACCACAATTAAATGTCCTTAACATTTCATACTTCCCAATGCCACCAGTAGCAGCAAGCCAACCAAAAACTGGATGTATATCCCAACTGGTTGCGTCTAATGTTACGCCAGTGCCATCAGGAAGAATACGAGGAATATTTTCCGTCAAACCGCCACCAGTGATATGTGCAAATCCTTTGATTAGCTTTGACTTCAACACAGGAATCAAAGATTTTGTATAAATCTTCGTGGGCTCTAACAGTTCTTCTCCTATAAATATTTTATGTTAGACCAAAACAATTTTAATAGCACTAATTGAAGAGTATAACTAAAAACTTGAAACAAACAACATTTACCAATAGTTTTCCCTGTTTTAGAAAATGGAGCAATATCTGTATAATGTTTGTCAGCTAATTTCAAAACTTTCCTGACTAAACTGAATCCATTACTGTGAACACCACTGGATCCTAACCCAATTACAACATCTTTTGGCTTAATTTCATGAGTCCTTGGTAAGAAGTCTGATTTTTCTACAGCTCCTACCGCAAAACCAGCTAAATCATAATCTCCCTCTTTATACATGTCTGGCATTTCCGCAGTTTCTCCACCAACCTATTGCGAACAACAATTCTTAAATACGTAATCATGAATTAAAGTTAAAAAAAAATGCATATTTGTACCAGTGAACAGCCGGCGCGTTTACAACCTTCAATTATTCCACTAACTACTTTTGCGGCTGTTTCAACGTTTAACTTGCCACATGCAAAGTAATCGAGGAAAAATAAAGGCTCCGCTCCATGTGCCAGAACATCATTTACGCACATAGCTACTAAATCAATACCAATTGTGTTATGTTTGCCGTATTCTATTGCTACCTGAACATTAAAATAAGCTTGTCGATTATTAATAACAAATGAAAGTAAATATATAAGAAGTAACATTTTACTTTTAACTTGGTTCCTACACCATCGGTACCTGATACCAGTAAAGGATCTTTGAATCCAGCTGCTTTAATATCAAACAAGCCACCGAATCCACCGATGCTGCCAAGCGTACCACTTCGATTGGTAGACGAAACCGCAGGCTTGATGGTGGAAACTAATGAATCTCCAGCTTGGATGTCTACCCCGCTACTTTTATAGGTCATTTGACCATGGTGTGAAATCGACCTTAAAACATATAACGTGTCGATTTTTACACTTTTACTCCTATTTATTTGTACTCTATTAAACTCTCACCTGGCGATCCCTTTGTGAGCAATATCTGTTCTAAATTGTTTTCCGTCGAATTTGATATGACGAGCCGCTGCTGTAGCTTTTGCTGCAGCTAATGCCAACGAAGAGGCTAATGCAACTGCAATCAATACTCTCCCACCTGCAGCATGATGTCCAATAAATATCAGTTCTATTTAAAAATCAAATTACCTTATGATTACCATTCGTTAATAGATCTCCGTTGGCTGAGAGGCTCGTTCCACTGTGGAATACAAAATGATCGCGCCTAGACATTATTTCTTCAACACCTTGAATCACCTGTCCTTTCGATGATGACTCGGGGTAACCACGTGACGCTAAAATCACTCCTGTGGCAAAGATATTTTCTCTCCATAAGACATGTTGTGGGCTTAGGGTTCGATCGCAGCACGCTTTCATGATGATAAACAAATCAGAGTTTAACAGTGGCAAAATGACTTGAGTTTCAGGATCGCCGAAACGACAGTTGAACTCTAAGACTTTTGGACCATCTGACGTGAGCATCAAACCAGCATACAGAACACCCACAAATGTTATATTTTCTTTGCGCAGCCCGTCTACCGCTTTCTGAAGCACTTCGTCTTTCATTGCTTTACATTCCTGTGCAGTCAACAGTGGACAAGGGCAGTAAGCACCCATACCACCTGTATTAAGTCCTTTGTCCCCGTCGAAAATCCTCTTGTGATCTTGAGCTGGGGCCATACTGACTACTGTTTTACCTAATACAGTTAATTATAATAATTAAGTATGTTGTGCATCCAATATTTGCAAGAGAATATAACTAGTATATCTCGTACGATTTTCACATAAAATGAGTGAAGCCTTGAGTTATTCAGTTTTTTCATTATGACAGCTTATCTTAGCTGTGCGTTTTCATGTTCTCTTAAAGATCGAATTCAATTTACAAATGCACTCTTTCACTGAAGAAAGAAAATATGATATATTTAAGGTACGAAAAAATTACTTATATCTGCGCATTATATCAATGATAATTTTTTATCGCTATACCGCAAAAATACGCTCGAATTTCGACTTTTTGTATAACCATTTATAACGAACTTTATAAAAGACAAATCATATAAATAACGCGTCATCAAGTAGTTTACGTAAATATTACCATCGGTAAATGCTAGCATGGAAACTTCTTCTCCCTCTAACAATTCTTCGACCACAATCGTATCACCAGCTGAACCGAACTTCTTATCGTTGAGCATTTCGTCAATAGCTTGACAAGCTTCTTCATTATTTTTAGCGACCACGACTCCTTTTCCAGCTGCTAAGCCCGCAGCTTTAATGACTAAAGCTTTGAACGGCGCTCTGAAAAAAAAAAAAAAAATCTCATCCTACCGTACGTATTAGATTCTAAATAAAGAATACTTACTCCCGAACAAATTTTTTCGCCTCTTCGTTATTTGTGAATCCCTTCCACCTTGCCGTGGGAATCTGGTGACGATCCATGAAAGCTTTGGCCCAGTCCTTATCACTTTCGATTCTTGCTGCGTCTTTTCTCGGCCCGAAGCAAGGAATCCCAACCCTTTTCAATTCGTCAGCCAAACCGCGAGCTAAATAATCCTCAGGACCAACTACAACCATGCTAACATTGTTTTTCTTGCACCATTCGCCGACTTGCTGCATATAGAGAAACGTGTATCAGAGGATTGCTGATGAAAAATCAGAAATGCGACATTTACCTTATTGTCTTTGACATCCAGTTGAATGAGGGAAACTTTGTTTTCTTGGCTTATGCCACTATTGCCAGGTGCAATGTAAATGCGCTCGACCTTAATAAATGTGCAATAATGTGATCAAGTATTGATGACGTTTATCACGTTACGGATAGGAAAATATATTTACGTGGGCAGATTGTGCAAGTTTCCAGCATATCGCATGTTCTCTCCCTCCACTGCCAACGACTAACACTACGTGGCCTCCCATTGCAAAAGCTGTGAAAGAATTTTTGGCATTCATTCTTTTATGAAAAAAAAGTCGCTCGATTGCACCAAACTGCGGATTATTCACTAAAAATCGATATGAGCATTTACTTTCTGAATAAAAACTCGATTTTTTTAATCCTTACGACGAAAAGGATACTCGAAAGCCAAGTTTATTGTGAGACGATGATCGAAACATCGAATACGATTGACAAAGGCTTTCGCTTATTAGCTATTAAGAAAATACAACGATAAATATAGATAGCAATTATTGCATTAGCTCTCATGAGCAACTTGTTTTCTCGATATCAAACTTTACGAATATATTATGAAATTTATTGTGTAAACGTTAACGTACTGCAGAACATTTAATAACGTTTATTTCTTTTTTTTTATTTAGTAATCAGTTGAAAGTGACTGAAACAAATTGCGTTCATTAAAGTTTAAAATGTCACATGTGTGTAAGAACGATAACAGTAGACTGGTAAATCAATTTAATTGAAAAAGTTAAGTTTGCTAGACTAACAATACATAAATAATAATAAATTGCACATGCTTGTATTTGAGCGCTCGTCTTTTATATACATATGTAGAAGGTTCTTAAATGACTAGCAGAAACAAAAAGTCATAATCGATACAGATGTTTTTATCTTGATATTTAGTTGGTTTTATTTGAATTTTATTGTGTCGCTTCATAGTGGTAGCATTCATATTGCTGAAAACTTTGTTGAAAAAAACAGGATTTAGAGCCTGTCCTCCGAATTTCAATACCAAAATCTTTTAAAACGAGATAATGTTGATTAAATATTTAAGCAGAGAAATCGTTCAACTTATAATACAATGTTTGGTGGTATGGGCTATATGAATTCAAATTTAAAACTTGATACATGTATTTATGTAGCTACTTTATTATATCTATTATAATATCGTCGATGACATTTTTGTATTTGCCGCATTATGGCTTGCCGGTCAATTCGTATATTGTCTTTTGTAGGTTAGCAAGCACGTGTATCACTATTTTTTTATTCCAATAAAAATTCAAATAATAAATATGTAATAAGTTAAAAAATATGTGAATTTCGAAATAAATTATTTATGGAATAATTTTATTAAACAGCAAATAAACTTTGCGAGGATGATGAACAGTAACAAGAAAAAAAGTAGAAAATATGAAGAAAATATTATAATATAATATTCAAACTATGTTAGTTGAGATTCTTACGAATTATTTTATCCATCAAAGATACTTTGAATCACCGTAAAATACAAGTTTTTGAAGTCAATAAAAAACATGTCATTAATAAAAAAATTATACCTTGAAATCGCTACCACTTATAGTAAGGTTTACACTTTTTCGCACAACTGCAACTTAAGTTTTAATGAAAACTGTCAAGAAGAAGCAAACGCTAATTTCACGGGGATAAAATATGTAAATACAATGCCAAATATATTAATACAACAGGTGTTGGCTCTTTTACAAGTTTGCCACTACTCAATAGCAGCACGATTAAAGTATTAAAGATGTAACTATCCAAGCACTGAGATTCTCATAACAGTGTTGCCAGTCGTCAACCTTCGGATGATCTTAAAGCAAGCAATGTTAGTGGGGGAAACTTGTTTAAATGCTAAAGCAAAAAAGTGGGGCAAATCAGATATTTCATAATAAACACATCGTATTGAAATACACATACAAACAGGCTCCGCGGGGGTTCATCATTTATTGCATAATTCCATTCTTGTCACTTAATTTAAACATTCACGTTATTTTTCACTGAGATGAGTTAAAGTAATAAATATCTTATTTGATTCTCATCAGAAAGATTACTTTGACTCATTACAAGCTAATAGTGATTTTCAATATAAATATATAATTGTATACAAAAATGCATACTTACAAAAGAAAAAGAAATATATAAACAAGCTGTAAAATATTAATTTTCTTCATCGATTATTTCAACTATTATTAAACACTTTATAATCATCGGTGGAAAAATTAAATATAGCGTCTCTTTTTTAAATATTTTTCGTGGTTTTCCAAAAGAAATTATAGTGAGTGGTAATTTTTTATGATTTATTGAGACGCCAAATCTTATTTTTAACACTGTTTTGCACAATCAATTCAACATGTTAATTCGGAGATACTTAATCGCAAAGCTAATGCAACTGACTTCATATGTTTTTATATTAACATACTTTTATTAATGTTTTTTACATATCAAAATCAAAATTTAAAGATCATAATTCAACCTTCCTCGAATGTTTACGGCGGATATTGTACGCATTCAAAACAAAATCCGGAATTTTTTTTCTTCCAAGGCATACATGGTTCTGAAATAGTCAAGATCAGCCGAGACGCATTGCAACGTTGATGTGCGACATATTCATTAGACTACGGTGTTTTGTGCGACTGAACTAATTTGATGAAAAGAATGATTCACATTTGAGTAGGTCTAACAACTTGAACGTAATTTCTTATATGCTTATCAAAATGTAATATTACATTACAAGTTACAAAATAAATAATCTGATCGATTCATATTACAATAAAAAGCAATTAAGCTTTTTTTTCAGCTTTTTACATATAAAGTTGTGAGAAATTTTTTAGATATATCGTGTTGTTTAATCAAATCGTTATTATTGAAGTCACAATAAAAGGTTAAGCTTATTAACATTGAATGCTGTGTTACTATCACCTATATAATATATAATGAAGAAGGTTCTAGTAATACAGATAATTATATGTGAAAAATAATAATAATAATAATAATTAATACATTAACACGAGCTCACGCGCACGGAGTGTCAAACATATTTAAGATGTAACCGGCTAGCGTCTATCGGTTGTTTTTTCAACTAAAATCATTTCAAATAGAGAAAACAGCGCCAAAGAAGTTCAACGAAGTAATTTCAACGCGAGTTGCTGTTAGATTGTCAACTTTTCTTATATGCCACAAGGTAATCTATAGGAAAACAAATATTTATATCTAATGTTATTAAAACAGAGAAAATAAATCTGTTATATCAAGTAATTCTTATTTATGAGGTTATTTTTCAATTGCAGATACCATGATTAAGTGTGACATAATAAAGTTTAATGAGATATCAGAAATGTTTGAATTAAAAATTTATTATTCATTTCATGAGACTCCATTTGGAAAATGTTTGATTGCTTATACCAATATCGAGGACAAAGGAGATGTAGTTTGTCATTTATCTTATGATAATGGCAAGGAAAGTGATGTAGTTCAGCACTTAAAGTCTAGATACCCAGGAGCTCTATTTATTGCAAATACAAATGCAACAAAAAAGATTATCAATGCAATTTTCTATCAAAATGAAGAAAGCAATAATATTTGTATTTCTGTACTTTTAAAAGGGACAGATTTTCAAATGCAAGTTTGGGAAGCATTGACACAAATACCAACAGGTACATTATACACTTATGAGGAACTTGCCAAAACAATAAATAAACCAAAAGCTGCTCGTGCTGTTGCTAGTGCTTTGAAAGCTAATCAAATTGGATACTTAATACCTTGTCATCGTGTAGTTTGCAAATCTGGATGTAACAAATTTAGTTGGTGTACTCAAATAAAAGAAAAAATGCAAGAATATGAAAAAACACTAATGAATAATGGCTTATATTAATTACACGTAAAACTATTTTTGTACATAATTCTGTATAAATAATAATTTTGAAAGAATTTAACAGTAAAATAAAAATAATTTTAGTACAATTATAAAATGCTAAATATATTTATGTTAATTGTAACTTAGAAAAAATAAAAGTAAGATATATAACAAATGTTTAATAAAAATTATTGGTTTTCATTAGCTATCAAACTGAATACATTCACATTTTCAAAAACTTGAAGATATTTATTTGTTCATATGAAATAAAATATCTTTTGTAGCTCCATTCATTGTTTCATATGTTGCAATAAGCTATTGAAAGATTTTTATGTTTAATTTGACTTTCAATCAATTAATAGTCTACCTTATAAAGATGATTATTAAAAAAATTAGTAAATAAGAATGATATCAAACTATATAAATTTGTGCAAGATAATTAGAGTATGTGGCAGAAAACAAGCAAATTATCTTGCTTTGAATGTACCTCAGAAATTGTTCTCAACAAATAATAAAACATCACAGAAAAATGAAGAAAAGTTTGAACAAAAATCATGCTCTGAAATTATAATCAGCCTAGTAAGAACTTTTTTTATCTTCTCAATGGAAAAATTAACAAAAATTGATAATCAGTAATAAACATAAATTTGACCAATTAATTAATGTTTGTTATGCTGCTTCAGGAAAAACCTCTTGTGAAGATAATCAAAGTTTATCGATGGAATCCAGAATACCCCAATATAAAACCATTTGTACAAAAATTTGAAGTAGACTTGAATAAATGTGGTTCAATGGTACTTGATGTTCTTCACTTTATTAAATCTGATTTAGATCCAACATTATCTTTTCGAAGATCATGTAGAGAAGGCATTTGTGGAAGTTGTGCAATGAACATTAATGGAGTTAATACATTAGCTTGCATCACGTAAGATTTCTATTAATATATTAATAAATATTTATTTTAAAACATTAGTAACTATTCTTTTAACGAACAATTTTTTAGGAAAACTAACAGAGACACTAGTAAACCATTGATAATATATCCTTTGCCACACACTTATACCATTCGGGATTTAATACCAGATATGACTCATTTTTTAAAACAATATAAACAAATAGAGCCATTTTTAAAACGTGATGAAGGAAATGACTTCATAGGAATGAGGCAATTAATGCAAAGTGAAAGAGACAGAAAAAAAATAGATGGTCTGTATGAGTGTATACTTTGTGGTTGCTGTACATATGCTTGTCCTCCTTACTGGTGGGCTGGAGAAAAGTATTTAGGTCCTGCAGTACTAATGCAAGTAAGAATAAGGAATTTTAATTAATCTCTATTATACCGGTTATTATTAAGCACTTATGTATATAATAAATATTCAGGCATATAGATGGATTATTGATTCACGAGATCAAGAACATAAAAAAAGACTTGATAAATTGAAAGATTATTTTTCAATTTTTCGTTGTCACACAATATTCAATTGCACAAGAACGTGTCCAAAAGGATTAAATCCAGGAAGAGCCATTGCAGAATTAAAACGTTTAGTTTCAGGGCTTACTGATAAAGAAGAGCCAGATATGAACACTCCTGTACCAAGTCGATGCAAAGGAGAATCTACTTTATTAAAATGCAAGTAGATGTGAACATTTCTCATAAATTACTTTATTTAAAAAAATGTGTTTCTTTCAATAAAAATTCGCGATGACAAATAAAATAGTGTGTTTATTAATTTTCTAATGACGTGTATACTTTACAACTATCATCAACTTATACACATAAATTTGTACCATAATTTTGAAAAAATAGCGACTATTCTTAATTATAATACATATAACGTATATAACAAATGATCACGTAACACTGACATTGAGTATTAAACACTGCTATCAAAAATAGAAGTAAAAATCTATGCACAATCTATTTTCAATATTTTTCATGTATAAACAAAATGAAAATATTTCACTGTATACTGTATAAACACTTGTTTACAAAGCGTACGCAACATTTTTTAATAAATAAATATATTGAACACTTCATAATGTTCTAAACTTGTACAAAAAGTTTTAATAATTTTATATAAAAACAATAAAATGTGTTCTACTCTAATCGAGCACGTTTGTTTTTTGCGTTTGCAATTATGTTGTCATTTAATGGTCTCCTTAATATATTTTCATCATTAGGTAGATTTAACAGCTTCTGTACCTTGGTCAACATCTCACTATCATTTAGCCAAGGATGTTGCAGAACGTTTTTAATGGTAATACGCTTTTTGGGATCCACTGTCATCATTTTTGTTATCTGAAAGATTTTGAAAAACTATGTAAGAACAGTATATTTCAAATTTTGACAATATCACTTAACATAAATTTCAAGTTATATTTATGATTAAAAGTCCATGTAAATCTTAGGTTCATGATTCATATTGTGGAACAACCTCAAAGTAATATTTAAAACGGTCATTTTAAAAAAAAACCAAGGAATTTACCATGTATACTTCCCGCTAACGCCCCCGGGATGTTGTCTTTTGAAAAAAATATTCTTTAATTTATCTCTATAGACTTTTTCAAAGATGTTTAATAAAATTAAAAAAATGTTTTTATTAAATTTGGAATGAGTTTTTACTTTTTCTGATATTTTATCTTTTCAGCTTCATACAGAGGGTTGGAATTGCTTGAAAAAAATATTAAAAACATGGTGTTCTACGTATTATTTACCGTAAAATTTCATTCTGAAGTCAAATTTATTGTAGATTCAGATTCAGGATAAAAAAATTCATAAGAAATGGTAAATCTGGTCAAATAAACAGGATCTTTTTTTTTATGGACCTATGTTATTTTCTTAATGATTTTCTGCTTACCAAATCTTTGGCAGTCGGTGATATACGATTAAATTTTGGCATGTTAAAATTATACATTCCCTTAATTATTTGATCTGCTAATGGATTTTGTCTATCATGAATCCTAAAAGGTGTCAATCCACTTAAAGAGCAGTATAAGATAACTCCCAAGCTCCAAATATCCACTTGACTGGTGTAAGCTCCTCTACCACCAGTGAGCAAAATTTCAGGGGCAACATACATAGGTGTTCCACAAAAAGTTTTCATCATGGTATGGGAATCTACTAATTTTGATAAGCCAAAGTCAGAAACTTTTACTATAGTTTCTTCATCGTGAGTAGCTAGGAGAATATTTTCTGGCTAAAAAAAATCATAATTGGCATTGGTTACATAAAACATTAAATAAACTCTAGTTTTAATTTACCTTCAAATCTCTATGGGTAATTCCATTTTCATGCAGATAGCTAACAGCCAAAACTATTTGATAAAAGATGAACTTTGCTAGCTTTTCTGATAGGCCATTACTTTTTCTTATTCTTTCAAACAGCTCCCCACCTTCCATTAATTCCAAAATTATATAAACTTTTTGTGGACTTTCATAAAAATCTTCAACTTTTATTATGCATGGCTGTATTAACAAATAATAGATTAAATTAATTAATATGAAATAGTACATTACAATAAAAATGTAGCAAAGTAGATTATTATCTCGTGCGCCGTTTACACCCGAGCGAAGTGAGACATTTTCAACATACGTATGTACTATGAAAATCACTCTTTCCACACGTCGTATCAAAAAATACGGTACGACACTTGTTAGAGAAATACAGTACATTACGATACAAGTGTGAGAAAGTAGATTCTTGTCTCGTGTGGCATTTACGCCCGAACGAAGCGAGACAAGAATCTACTTTCCTTCACTTGTATCATAATATACCATTATATAACAGTTTATTATTCATAGATTAAACGAAAAATAAAGATTATATCAAAGTAAAAAACTTACGTGTTTCAATTTTTTGCATATCTCAACTTCATTTATAATCTGTTTGTCATCATTAATGCGGTTTTTTGGAGCAGTAATTGTCATATTAGATTTTGATATAATTTTCATTGCAAATTTTTTACCAGCTAACTCGGTTTTTGAAAAGCATAATTTTACTTCTCCACATGCTCCAGCACCAAGTGTTCTTGAAACAGCATATTTACCTTTCAATTGCTCTGGCAGAAATGAATCGTCATAGCCACTGGTGCTCATATACACAAATACTTTATAGAAAAGTAAGTTTTAGCTTTCTAAACAACAGATACTAATAAATTAAGAAATATATATTACCTTTTAAATGAGGTTTTGCAACTGCAATTAAATCATTGTTTACAAGTATGATACTTCTACCTCTACCAACTGAAATATTGTTAACAAATGTTCCATTCTGGCTTTCATCTTTCAAATATACAACATCATCCTCAATTCCATTAGAAGTGACTATCTTTTCTCTATAAATTCTAAAATGCAATTTACTAATTACTTGCTCTCGTTTTGGCGCTAACTTATTTTTCACGCAAATGTCACAGTCTGCAAGCCGACCAAATGTATACTGGTCTTTTGTCAATACTAAAAGAAAACAGAACAATAACAGAATTGTTATTATAAATACAAAATATGACAATAGCATTAATATTTACATGAAAAATGCACAAATGATTTTACTGTGAATCATATTTGCTACAAAAAATATAATTTTAAAAATGCATATTTAAGTGGATAGATGACTGAATGAAGGAACGTAATACAAGTAATACAAGTAATAAAGGAATGTAATGTAAGTAAGCAATGACAATAGCCTCACCTACAGTCTGTAAATTACTATCATGGGGACACAACCTTCCCCAAATCCGTGGTACAGATTCATAAGCCACAACTGTGTCCTGTGATTGAGTAAAGCATTGTGAATCAACGTTTTGGGTATCTGGCTGCGTTGAAGATTGAGTAGAAGGGCCATTTTCTGCAACTTGTTCAGTTTCCATTGAGTTATCAGGATTGCCGCAACCTTCACTCATAATGTTTATTTGTCACTAATGAAAACAAGCGCATTGTTTAAGACTATTTGAAATGTTCATGTGAACGAGAAAATTTTTGATTTTGCGCGTTTACTTACCCTTTCTATAACAAAGTTAGTTAATAAGCGTCAAAAATGTGTCGAAAATATAGTCTAGTATTGACAAAAGAATGTCGTTAACGTCGATGCATTCAATATCAAAGTGATATATCTGATATAACAACAATGCCCTTTGAACATTTATCGCACGCTTAACGGCGTCCAGCTACGAATTCCTTAACTGTTTCACAAATAGTGTTCTTTTCAACATGCATATCACGTTCTTTTATCACGTATAAAATTCAACAATGAAAACTTGGACAACAATAACAAAGGTGAAATTTAAATGTAAAACCTGTTTGGAAGATCACTGATACCATCAAATTCGGCAATCAAACGAAAATTTTGTGACACTTTGTTAATTTACAGGGCGCGTAAAGGCAGTTCTGGTAATCGGCAAGGACAAGGAGTAAGGACAAAAGAAGAATCAGCGTTAAGGCCGCGCTTTTACACAACGTCGTTGTAGGACAAGGTTTTAAATGGAACGAACGGTGAAGTGAATGTAAATGACCAGGATTGGTAGAACGGTACAACAGGAAGCAGTAACGACATTGCATGCTGTTTCCTTATTTGCTAATCCTCCTATCTTAAAAAAATAATAAATCGCCGATATTCAGTGTCGTGATTGGTTTACTAAGAAAGAGCACGAAAATAAAAATTTCCGTTTACTTGAAAATATTTGTATTATATATCTACGAATGTAAAATTTATATTGCAGCAATAAATTTAATTTATGAATAATTAATATAGGTAATAAACTGCAAAAATAAAAATATGCCGTTAATAAATTGTTTTAAAAAAATAAGAAATTATTATCATTTCAAATTATGATGGAATAATTTGATTATCATCTATGTGAAAATAAATGTTATTTTAAAAAGAAGAGAGATAAATTAATAGCATAAAATGGATAAATTACATTTTAATTATTATATATTTGTACAGTGAGAGCTTTGCGGGAAACGGAAACTAATTATCAGAATATTAAATTTTAAGAATGTTCATGGATATTACCAATAAAAAAACAAGAAAATATTCTATGTTGAAATATATTACTATAATTATAGTGTAGGCTAACTTTATTTCATCTCACACAAGACAATTTATCTATTTAATTTAACTGTCCTAATTTTTTATATTACGCGTGCACAATGATTCGGCGATTTTCTTAATTTTTTATCGAGAATCTTATGCATTAAACAATATAAACTAATTTTTTTTTATTGTTATGAGTTGCAAATGGTTTCATTTGAAAGATAAAGATTTACTCGATGTGATTCTGCATTAATATTTTACGATTCTACAATTAAAATAATAAATTTCTGAACTGACGTAACGTTAATTTGAATGATGTTCTATTATTTTAAATTTGCAATGATTTTTTAAATAAGATGATGCAGAGAAGAAAATAAATTAGAACAATAAAAATAAAGGGAAAAGCCAGTCGGTGTAAAAGCCCTTTTTTATTGATACAAAAAGGGTACAAGTAACGAAGAGATAAGACGGAGAGGCGCAATTTATGACCGAACAAAGGCAGAGAAATATGAACGGACGAGCCTCTTTTCACACTTAAGCCTTCGTACATACTGAAAGAATTTGGTTATTATCTGATGGATGGAAAGATGACCAACAGTAAAGTAAGACATACTGTCACCGAGCCATCTTGGGATCAACATTTCTGTTTTACATCACTTTACTTTATTGTAGATGACGGTAGATCTTTATATTATATAAGTATGCGTAATTGATTTTACATCATGCGAGTACGCAGGCGCGGAAACCACCCCGTAACAAAGAAAGAAAAGGAAAATTTGAACATTTTGACAGATGACTACGGAAAAATTTCTGTGGTCGGTAAATAGTCGCGATAGCTATAGTTACCGGCGCGGTGGGGGAGCAGGGAATAGCGCGCTCAAATAAATTCAAATATTCCGTTATTCGGTACTATTAAAAAATTGAATGTTAATTATAATGTCTTTTAATAACAATTATGCATTAGTGTCGAGTGGTTCAAGTTTTTAGTTCAATATAATAGTATAATTACTTTTAAATATAACAATTTTTAAAGTAATTATAGCGATGTATCATTTAAATTTTCGTTATCGTTCTATAAAGCAACTGAATTAAAAAGGATTGGTTTATTTATTTCAACAATTTATTTCAGTTAACAAAATCAAATAACTTTTATACTACCCAAGACAAGGACACTCATCCTATTATTTCAAAGTGTTATGAAATATATATATTTATTGTACGAAAAATTATGCATTGCTAATTATAACTAGGTAATACAGGAATCTCGAAGGATAAATGCTCGTGAACACTTCGGTACGCTTATTTTTGAGCGAACAGTATATAGTGTTGACGTTAACAAAATTTAGTACATCCGATAAAAAATTCTTACCTAGATTATCAAAACTCAATTCAGTCTCACCTTCATGTAAGCTTGTTCTTCTCGATTTAGGCTACGTTATAAATGTTACTCGTGACACCACAAGAATAGTATAAAATATTATCAACATTACATTTAACAGTTAAGTTTAGAACTTTGTACTTCACCTCAAAATAATTATTCCGGAAAATACAATTAAAGCGAAAATTTCAGGAAAAATGTAAGAAAAAAGCGGAAATTAAGAAATGTCATCATGTAGTCTAGTAAAATGTTTAGGGAAAACAATTTTATTTTTAGTAATTTATAATTTCACGTATACTTAAATTTATTAATGTAAGTTTTTAGTAACTGAGTTTGTTACGATTAAAAAAAAATGCTCATATACTGTTTCTAAAATGTGTAGTATGTACCGCACTTATCAGCTCCACATTCTCAACAATGCGAAACTGAGAGGAAGAAGAAACTCAAACAAGTTTGGACTTGCACCCTAGAGCTATGCAGCGTAGGTAAATAATAATCAATCGTCATAAAAGTCGTCCCTTACGTCACGTACAAAATACAGAAAAAGATACAAACAAAAAAATAATGATTCCGTTTGATTGATTTTTTTAATTAAAAAAAAATTAAATGATATTTATTTTGAAATAAATGACAATTGTCTTTTAAGATTATAACAAACACAGATAAATAAATCATACAATATTATTATACGACGAATTGACGTGGGTATTGATTAGTTGCCACAATAGTAATACTCAATGGTTTTTTCAAGATATTTTTATTGGCAGATGTTTTTCGTGTATATCACAAATCATGAATAATAATACTTTTTTCATTATTTCGTAGAGCTTTTGCCGAAAAGCTTAGAAAACCAAAGGAAGCAACGACTACGAAGAACTACTCATTACAGTAGCTACAAGGATAAGCGGCTATTATAGTATTTTTTTCATCTGTCGTAATTTTTATCAAGATTCGATTTTTTTGTAACGTGTATGAATATTTATGACAGCTGGTTTTATCGTCACGTTTTCAGCCTACCAGCCGTTAACGTGGTGTAAATAATAAAAAGAAATATACGTAACATATATTGGCTTTTTTACATTTTTGAATAAGATAATAGAACAGTTTCTTAATCGCTTTGAAAAAATGAACATTCTTTTATATTTGTCGTGAAAATAATTCGATAGCACATCAGTCTAAGTTTCAGATTAAATTTGTTTTTCTACACACCATAAAGTTGATGTCAAGCTGACTATGCGCACTTAAAGCGACGACTATCGTATTTATTTCTCCGTATACTTCCCTGTAAGCCTTTTTTATGTAACAACGGAACGAAAGTTTATAAATTGTGGATTGACGATCAATGATAGTCTGCTCGATCCAACAATGAACTTCAATCTTGAAGTTATTGCGCACGGTCAAGATTCTTTAACAATACTTGAACATTGTTCTTTATTCACTTGCACTGTATAGGTGCGTCATAGTCTATACCCAGAAGGAAACCGAAAATCCGTTAGCCACGATTATGATCAACACGTTAATACACTCGTGTACCTTTAATTGCATGCCAGATACAAATTGCAAAATATACAATCGTATGTATTTCATAAAACTAGATCTCTACATTTTTAACACAGCTTCTTATAAGATTGCAGTCGTGAAAGGGTTACCCCATTGAGATTTGCTGCTTATCGCTTACTTCACTAACCGAAATTTCCAGTACGAATACCTTGATTTTCGATTATTCTCAAAAAAAAAAAAAAAATTAAATGATGCTATGAATAACACGTTCTATGTGAAAATAGTATCTTACAGGAAATCGACTTACACATTTTACCTACGTAACGTACATCTTGAATCCTTTCTGTTCATTAAGTAGGCGGCTGCGCATGCAGGTATGTAATAACAACTATCGTTATCCAATGTTTTCGTTAATATCGTAATTATCATCTAATTACCATTAATGCACGTCAATTAAAGTCTTAATACTAGAGAGAATAGTCGATCTTTTACAGTTAAATTGCATTTTGCAGTTCTCATGGACGAATTAGCAATCAATCGATAAACCTGATCTGTATTAACGCTTTTCAGTGGCTTGACTTTTAATCATCTACATGCAAGTGCAACAAAGTTAGAGGGCAAATTTAACAGCTTTCAGCAACACGCAATCAAGTTGACGAGTAATAATTTATTTTCCAGCTTCACTCGAGATTTCAATAATTTATTATTATTATTATTATTATTATTATTATTCAAGAGGAACATCATGTTATATCTTATTTCAGTTCAATTGATGAGCTTATAATCTCTGGCAAACATAGTGATGTGCCAAGACCGATCAAAGAATTTCAATACATATTACACGATGTTTCACGCGAATATATACATTACGTCATGTCAGTGTTGTTCTCGCATGTATTTTTATGTGAAAATGCATGCTATATTCGAGGATTGTATCAGCAAGTTCAATACTTTTATATATAATATATATAAATATATAATGTAAGAAGTGTACAATTTTATTTCGGGAGACTCGATGCAACTCGAGTAATGACTTGACATAGTATCATCATAAATATGTATTCTCGCGAATTTTTTCAAAATTGCACTCGCTTTAATTCACAATAAAACATATAACTCTGTTTGCTTAATACGTTTTTTTGTTCAACACAAATCAGTCGATCACCTGTACATCAACATCACATTACAGTAATTTTCTTAGGACTTGTTTTTCGAACTATCGGCATAACATTCTAATAAAATCTAATCATGCAATTTCGTTTGTCAGTGCCAGCCGGAAAAAGTTTGTATTGATAATTAAAATATTGTTACAAATATGATTGTTGCTTCAAAAAAAAAAATATATATATATATATATATATATATATATATATATATATATATATATATAATCCAGACGGTAAGATGACGAATAATTTATGTAAAAAAGCAGCTCTACGTAAACGAATATCATATAAGTACTGCGTATAACTCGTGTAGAAATGTATTTTTTACATATAGGAAAGGCGGTGTAAGAAAACTGTCAAGCTGAAACTATCTAGTACGAGCTCTCTATCATCAGTATCTCATTGCATCCTCTTTCATGCTCTCACAACACTCTCGCTCTCTTGTTTTGTTTTAACTCTTTATACGCTTGCTCTCCTCTCGTGTATCGAGTGTAGATCATTGTCGTGAAAACGATACATGTATAATATGAATAACTAATTATACATTATTATAAATTAATAAAAGAGGTCTTAGCCGTATTGTGTATGTGTGTTTATAATAATTATAATATCTGAATCTGTAAATACGATAGCTCTTGCTGCAGCTTACTCGTTCGGCTGTTCCCGTGACAATGAATGATCACGGCGTGTGCTCCGCATTTCTAAAAAAAATGGTTTGCTTTGCCTTTGATTTCTTCGTCAATGGAAAAAAATCACGAAAGCTTGGTGACTAGCGACATTCCCAGATCTTCGCCGTCTGGTCTACACTGCCGGTGACCACATAAGGATGATTCCTGTGGAAATCTGTGAGCAAAGAGGCTAATATTGATGCGAGAAATGCAGACGGAAGGATGAATATGGATGGATATGGCATACGTACCGACTGAGGTGCAAAAGTGGGCATGAGCTTCGAGCGTCTTCATGTTTCTTTTGTTGCGTACGTCCCAGACTCGCAGCGTCTTGTCGTCGGAGGCGCTGACAATGAACTTGCCGCTCGGATGAAAAACGACTCCTCTAACCCAGTTGTCATGTCCGATGAGGGTGAAGAGGCAGACGCCACTGCCCACGTCCCAGACGCGGATGGTCTTGTCTCGCGAGCCCGAGGCAAGGAAGGGCCCCTCGTGGGCGCCCTTGTTGTCGGTGCCGGCCGCGGCGTTGATGGTCGGTCGCGCGTTCTCCGGCGCCCAGGCGATGCACTCGACCACATGGTCGTGGTCGCGCAGTTCGACCTGCGAAGGGGCGAAAGCGACAGTGAGAGGTGCACGAGTAGGAAAGCGCTGGGAGCAGCAAAGGGCGGCTGAGCTGACCTTGGTCTCCTTACTGGCGATGTGCCAGACCCTGGCCGTTTGGTCGTTGGAGCAACTGGCGATGAGCTCGCCGCAGGGGCTTATCCGCACCATGCGCACCCATTCCCTGTGGCCGGTAAGGGTCTTAACGCAGTAGCCGGTAGCCACCTCCCAGACCTTGATGGTTTTGTCGCGCGAGGCGCTGACAATAAAATCGCCCTGCGGTACGAATGCCACCGAGCTGACGTTGTGGTCGTGGCCGTGCATCGTCTTGATGCAGCTGAACGATTGCTGAAAGTCCCAGAGCTTGATCGACATGTCGCTGCTGCAGGAGGCCAGCAGCTTGCCCGTCGCGTCGAAGCAAATGTCCTGGACGCTATCCGTGTGGCCCTTGAGCGTGCGCTCGAACTCGCCGCTCTCGAAGTCGTACACCTTGATCGTGGCGTCCTCGCTGGCCGTGACCACAAGGCTGTACACTGGGTGGAAGGTGACTCGGTTGATGGTGGCTCTGTGGCCGGTCAAGCAGAACTTCTCCGGGGGCCGTGGTATCCACTCGGAGGGCGAGCGCTTACCCCGCGTGGGGGCCCCCTCGATGAACTCCTTCTCGGCTTCCGACAGTTTCGACTCCAATTCCATTACCTACGAGCACACGGCCAAAATAAATAATAAATAATAAGCTCTCCGGTCAAACCGATTCGATCGACACTCGCCCCGGCCGACTCTCGCTCAACCTACCTTCTTCTGTAATCGAATGACCGAAGTCCACTTCTTTTCGAGGAGACCCCCATACTTGCGCTCCACCTCACCGTGCATGTCGGCCTCCTTCTTAAAAGCTTCCAATGCATCTTGATATCCGTTCGCGCTCAGATAGTCTGCGATCGCCTTGTTTCTGTAATCAATTTGCCCAAGCTTAGATCGAGAGATTCGTTTTTCATTTTTATTTCATTTGCCGTCGGTTGGCTGGACAGGAGCGGGAGCGGGTCGATCAGCGAGCAGTTGTTTCTAGTAGGAGTACGCAGCCAGATACGCGATACAAAGAGGGCTAGCGCGACTCCGACTGCGTGCGCCAATTAACGCTAACGGTCAGCGCCAGCGCGGGCGAAAATCAGAAACGCGACGTTGCCATGGAAGAACAACAAAAGCATTCGTCGAGCGATCGACTCGAGGATGGACGCGTTTGGTATTTAATAAGATCGAACGCGAGGATTGCTGGCCGAAAACGAGAGCAACGTGGCTCTGGTGTTTGCAGCGGCTGTAGCAACGACGTCGCAAGTTGGCCAGAGAGTGCAAAGCGAGCTCGCCGTTGACGGTTCGTGTGCGCTCCGTTCGGTCGACGAATCCAAGGGAAAGGGGAAAAGCGACGATAATCGAGCGGAGAGTCACGACGTCCATTCACTTATCCGGCACGTGTTCGCTGATCCCGCAACGAGCGTGCACGCCGGCGTACTCTGCTATCCCCGTTCGCCTGGTTTTTCGGGCCACCGTTCGCCGTGCCCCCCCCCCCCCCCCCGTCCATGTTACATCCCATTGTTTCGTCGAGAGACTCTTCGCAGACTGCAAAGTGGAATCGCAAGGAGGCTACGAGCTCGGCTTGCGTAAGCGGCTGAGATTGCCGAGATTGAAATAAGCCCAAGGAATCCCGAGTGAAAGTACGGCACAGGTCGGTCGGCCGTCAGCTGTCGAGAGATTCGAAGGGGATGCGCGCGGCCATTGGCGAGCAACACGATCCTCTTGCCTGTGGCGTTGTCGCGGTGACTCTACCCGCGGACACGGAGAGAGATCGATCCGCGCCCTCTTGTTCCTGGACGCGGAGCGGCGACCGGCCAGTTTCCGTGCCTCGCCCGCGGCGCCTCTTTGCGTCGGCTGAGAAGCCAGCGGCAATCGATACGACTGCCCGGCTGTCTTTCGCGTGCTTCCCCACCTCACTCGCCGTTTGATCTGATTATCAATGGGCTCTTTGCGTTTCTTGCTCTTCGCCTGCTGCTGCTGCTGCTCCGTTTTAGTGCTTCTCTTCGGCTGCCACCCCCTCTCGCCCTCCTTGGCAGCTACGACGTCCGCGGACCCAATCGATCGCCGTGTCGCATCGTCGGAACAGGGAGTTTGCGCGATAGAGCATCGATTATTTTGGCGACGGGACAACGGGTGAGGGACAGGACGATGAAAAATGCAGCGGTGCGTGGCGCTGGAGTAGCCGGCGAAAGGAGGGGAGGGGGGTGGCAGTTACGCGCGCGAGCTCGCCGAGCGTCATCGGCGCGCCAGTTCGAAAGCGAGACGGCCAAACTCGCCCCTATATCGATCGAGCTGACTGCGCCTGCTCGCGCGAGCTGCGGAGCTTCTCCCCAACTGCGCCACACGCCTCCGCTTCCAATCGCAAGCACGCGCGCCCCTGCGCCTCCTCGCTTTCGTCGAGCAGACGGTAACGCGCCAGCCTCGCCTTCGCATCAGAGTCCTCGAACGACTTCTCTCTTCTGCGCGAGCTCGCTGGCCACGGACCATGACTTTGCGGGAAACAAGTAAACGGCGCTTTCCATTGATTGTCCATGCCTGCTGCGAGGCAGTGTATGTCATAATCGTAGACCGAGGGAGGAAAGCAGCAGCAGCAGCAACTAAAAATAATCGCCGGGAGTAGTTGGCCGATGAGTTTCAACGGACGCACAAGCGCGTTGACAACCGCGACAGACGGAGCTGTGCGTCGCAAAAAGTCTCGGAACCGACTGGAAGCGAAAGGGGAGCGGCAACGAAAATAGGTGGCCGAGAGCGCGCTTTACTTACAACTCCTCCCTCTGACGTTGAGACAACACCATTTTCATGATCCTCGGAGTTGTGCGTGCCGCGGCGGATTCCTCTCGGCGACGGCACGGGGGAAGCGATCCACGTCACTCCGCTGTGGGCAGGCGGCCGGCACTGCAGTCTCCGCTGTCCTTTCAGTGTTCCGCCATTGACGTTGCCTGCAAACAAACCTGCTCTCAATATTCCTGGACAACACTGGCGACGGGAGTGCGCCCGAAAGGGGTTCGCGGAAGCTTGCCGCGGCAGCCCGATGCGAGGAGCGCGAGCGAGACCTTGACAGTGCGGCGCGGCGCGCTCAGCCTCGCGTGCGCCGAGTGGCGGCTGTGCTTTCGCTGTCCGGACGGAGCGGCGAGCGCAATCGATCGCCGGCCTCCCCCGAGCTCGTTCGCGTCCTCGCGGCGCCGCCGAGCGCCGGCTGCGTGCGCTCGGAGCCCTTTGCCGGCCCCCGGCAACGCAGTCGACGCCCTGCCGCGACGTGTCCTCGCGCCAATCATGGGAAAGCGCGAGCCGCGGAGCGAGAGGGAAGGGCCGCCTAGGGAATCCCGACGGGGGCATAACGAGGCGGCAACAGTGCCGTCGCAGCGCCTTCGACCGCGAGAACCTTTCGCTTCTCCCACACCCACAGGCAGGCTGACTGCACCTGTAACCCCTGCGCCGTGCACCGGCTTGCCCTCGCACTTGGCGCACGCGCTTTTTGCTTCGTTAACTCATCTTAACGACGTCTGCCGCCGCGCAGCCTTCGCTCGCGATGCGCGCGAAGCCAAATTGCGTAGCCAAATTCATTTTTGCGCTTTCACTTTTCTCCGATGAACCTCCGTAAGAAGCAACGTTGAATGCACAAACGACCGCGCCATGCGCGCCGTCGCGCTTTATTCCAACAACTTCTTTTTGCCTTTATCCGTTCGCGTACTTCTTTGTCGCTGAATTATGCACTGATTAGCAACATGCAATAGCGCGCTCGAATAATTAAGTCTGCGAGAAAACGCGCACTCCTTACAATGAAGCGAAGATCAAGTGTGGCGCGCTCGGAATTCTTAAGGCCGCGCCAAACATCAATCATCATGGAAAATATTTTGCGCAATCTTCTCCTTCCGTAAGTTTTCCCCCAAATCGTGCTTCGATTTGTTTAACAAATAACCGCAAATTCGATGGATGCATCATTGGCGTTTCGTAAATACCACGACACTTTTTTTCCATATTTCAAGTTGCCAAATCAATAGAATTTGCAATTAATATAAATAGCGACCGTCCGTATCGCTAATATTTAGATTTACCATGCCAGCACGTCAACGTACTTGAAATCAATGAGCAACCTCGGGCAGTCGGTTTATCGGAGCGCTATGTGTCAGCAATCATGCTCAAACTTTAATTAAAATAAACTAAAAGCAGATAAAGTTCAATGAGTAACGTAGGCGACAAGAATAAAATGAGCTACAATATCAGTAGAACAAAAAAAATGATGATCGTTAGCTCTCGGGTGCTTGCTTGATCGACAGGTTAACTATGAGCTAATGCAAAAATCTTGCGATAAGGCAGAGCCATAAACCTTCAAGAACAGGAACAACGACAAAAATGTTGCGAGTTGAGGCGACCGCTTGTGGACACAGCTGATAATGTTGAACCAGATTCGATTGAACTGTCAGCGAGATGACTTGGGGTACCTATTTTGTGCGACAATGCTACTTCCTTATCCAATTAATTAGATCAAGCGTCATTCCCAGCTGCTATTTGGCAACGCATTTGCACAGTTAAGTTTCTTAGGCACTTGAACATCTCTGGTTGACAGGCAAACAGGCATTGACATTGTCCAGTAAGAAACGCGCTCGGGGGTTGAACAACTTGCCAACATTACATTATAACCTATATAAAAGCGAGTGCGCGAGAGAATATTTGGGAACATTTTATCGTAAGAGAGAAGCGGAGCAGCCGATAAAATGTACGCGTGGTTCCATATGTGTGTGTGCGTGTGTGTTGCGTCAAAGGCGAGAGACGACGTTAACGACGTAGTTTTATAGAGAAAGTCGGAGAACAAATCGATCTGCTGCTGCTGTTACGAAGCACGCGTTGAGCATACACACGTAAATGTACGTAGTTTGGGAACTATGACTTCTCAGCGAATTAAGCTCTTACATTGATGTCTCTTTTGAATTAGTGCACGTGGTCCCCACGAGAGACTACAAATGAGAATGGCGAATAATGGCAAACAAATATGAAAGTTAAAGGGTTGCGGCGAGTGCTCGGTGACGCATGGGTGTTCACTAGATGCTAGAGAAGTCAGCTACGAGCTGTAAGATTGCTTGGCAGGTATATACAGACGGGATAGTGGCACGTGGATACAAGTGGCACGGAGAAAGATGTAGTCATGAGTGCGAAAAAGAGAAAGAGCGAGGAGAGAAGAGTGGAAAACGAGTGTAGTGCCCGGGGCCAGTGCGAGCGAGTGTAAATCGCGCACACGGCCATCTTGCCTGGAATCATCCGTGCTCGGCTCTCGGCATTCAGCTCTGAGGGCAGCTCACTCTCGCGCACGAGCGAGCGTGTCTCTTACGCACACAGACAGCCAGACAACCGAGGCAGACACAGACTAAATGTCGATAGCGCGCCGCAGGAATAGCTCCGGTCGATGCAGTATGGCTCTATAGCCAAGGTTATCACTCGCGAAGCTAGGACATTCGTGTAGTCGAACAGCGTTGGGGCCGCTTTTACTACTCACTTGCCTTAGGCAGAGCCGAAGCTGCGAGCAGCTGCTTGCTGGAGACAGAGACCAGAGCGCGAGTGTCCGCTTGCACCTGTACGTGTGTATATGCAAGTGTGCGAACGAGCAAGGCCCTCTCTCGTCAGCTACGGCGGCGACGACGACGATGACGGCGATACGCTGTGGGCTGCGCCCTCGAATCGCTCTGAAACCACGACAACGGCGGCAACACCGCCACCACCACCTACGCCGATTCGCCAATATCCTAGCGATAGCTCTACTTGCTCTTTCTCGTTCTGGCACTTGGAACGTCGGAATAAACTCAAGAAACGCAACGGGCTCGCCAGGAAAACGCGACTCGCGACGACTCGACTGCAGCACTTTTCTCGATGAACTGATGGTGGCGCCCCATCAAACATCGACCACTGCGACGTATGTATGTCCCAACACAACTTGCTCTCACCGGGCGCCTGCGCACCGCAATCTGCCAGCGATGCTTTCCTTTCTCGTGCTCAATAATCTTTATCTCATCCTTCTCACTTCAAAACAAATTTAATTTGTAAGTATAATTAAAAATCAATTTATGGTAATACAATACACTGCTTATTTTTTTTTTTTTTGACAAAACAAATTTTTGTAGCATTCGCTACGTTCCTAGTCTTTAACCCCAATTTATCCACCTTGTTATAATTATTATTATCAAAGATCCAAATTATCAATAGTTTGAACACTGGTTACTTGTGTGAAGTTACCTTTGGCGGCGTTTTAAATAGTTACACTAAAAACAGCATAGTCAACCAATTTTTTGTGATAACTACGTAGTTTTTTTTGGAAAAAACAATTACTACAATTTCAATTCAAAATTACCGCCATTGTCAGTGTATGTGAATGTGTTGTGTGTATCGATTTTTAGGTTATATGATGCTAGGATGCCTTAATAGTATATCCAATTTCATAATATTACCGATGATCTTGCCAAAATGTCAAGTTTGTTGTTTAATACAATAATTATGTAAAATAAAACATTATTTATTATAAAATATTGGTAGTATATCAAGGTATCTTCAAAAAGCATCATCAATTTAATTAATATTTTTTCAACTTTCAAACTTTCATTGAGCAATATATGTAAACAGAACATGTTTGGTATAAAAAAACGTAGAAGAATTTTTATTGTCTGATCGATAATATAATTGATTTTATATTGAAAATGGTAGAAAAATATTCTTTGAGATTGCATTTTAAAGCTATATTTACTGTTGTATCTAAATAAAACATAGTTCTAATGAACTTTAATGAACTTTTTATTCAATATCTCATTGTGGTCTACTACTATATTTTCAATAAAAAAAATATCATTTTTATTGAATTTTGAATTAAAATATTTTTATGCATATATTGCCTACTTTTCATCCAAAAAAGAATAAGTCGTTGGTATTGTATTCCATTAATTCAAATTATGAACTGATCTTATGAAAATTAGTCAAATATTTCTCCAATTACCAATAGCTCAGTAAAATTTTTCTTTTATCTATTTTATTTTCTTATTCACAGCAATGGCTGCTGTTGATATCACCAATGTCGCATGTGGATTTTATGAAGACTGCATAAAATTATTTGAAATTTTCAAAAGTCATGAAAGTATTAGATTTGAAGATTTTGTAGCAGCTTGGCAAGAAATAAAGTTTTCATTGATCTTTCTGTAAGTTTTTGATTTGTTTGAAATAATTAAGTTCAATTTCACTGATTTTTAATATACTGAAAATACTAATGCATTTTGATTTATTTTAGGTGTCGAAAAAATTATGCAGAACTAATTGAATTCTGCGAAGAATCTCTTCAAATTGCTAAGTCATTTGTATTAACATCTAATGATTTTATTGATAGAGTAGCAGGTTTATATCTCTTATATGGCTTATACAATAAGATACCAATTGAAGATATAAAAATCAGAGTAACATTGAAGGAATGGGAATTTTTTTTGGAATTCTTTGAACAACTTAAATATGAAAAGCTTCATGACGCTAGCTATATTTTTGCTAAATTGGTCACAGATAATGCTTTTTATCATTGCTTATTCACAACTGAGGTAACCCAATTTTTTACAAATTTAAAAGCAAAAATACTATTTATATTAATAATAATTAAAATTTGTTACAGTATGGTTTAGAGAAAAGTTTTAAAACTCGCCAAGAATACTCTTTTTCATTTGACAATCCATACTCTGTACTTCCAGTCTTAGTTGATGAAGTTGAAAAAAGAGATCTTGGCAAAATTCTAAAATTTAGTGAGATATACCATGAACAAAAGAAGAAAGTATTAGGTTCTTCCTCTAAAAATAAGTTACAATTATTTGATAAAAACTTTATGGATGAAATTGTCAACAATATTGAACAATTACAAGAAAAGAGGCAAAACTTCCCAGCATTGCGAAAAAAAGTTAGTAAAGTTAGCTTGCATCTGAAGACTGAAAAGCCAAAGTAAGTATTACAAGTGTATGCAATAAACTGAAACTTGTAGTTCGGTACTTTGTACAAATTAATAGGCTTCAAGAGATTACAGTAAAAATATTTTATGAGGCTCTCTTTGTGCAAGTAAAAACTTGAACAAGTTTCATTGTATGTATAAAAAAGTAATTGGATACATTGTGTGACCAAGTTGAATGAAGCTTGTTACTATACAAATAAACATATCTGTAATTTTTGCAATATTATTCAATTCGTCAAATTAGTCATTGGAGTGTAGTTTTAAAAAGGTGCCAAAAAAATTCTAAATCAGTTATGGCATAATTGTAGTGACACATTTGATAAGACAGAAATTCACATATGGATATTAACAAGGATACAATTTTTAAAACAGTGTTTTTTATAATTTTAGGTATCCTGATAATAAAGTTCGATCGAAATTAGGTCATGGCTTTGATACCGATGAAGATTCCGATGATGAGGAAATGAGTATGAATCAAACGTTTGAACAACCTAATCGCAATTTACCAAACTTTAACGACGATCTAGAAGATTTTGATGTACAAGAGAACGATACTCCTGTAGAATCAACGCTTATCGATATTGATAATAACGAGTCACTATAAGTAATTTTTGATACTTCTTTATTGCTTTGTTCAGCGAGAATGAAACTTTATTATATAAAAAAATCATATAGTTGAAATTTGAATCAATGTGTGATAAATAGAACAATAAGTACCTAACTTTAATTGAAATTCAGCTACAACAATGATTAACGTAAGTTTTCAATGAAAATCTAGGTTTCCAAGCCTGTGAACATGCAGTATTGATATTTGCGAAGCGTGTTTTTTTGTAAAAAGTGTAGACAAATGATCATGTATGATAACAGATTGAATAAATAATAAGATAACTCATCGAGTCGCTCGACTCATTTTGATTGCTGTCTTGAATTGCTTGATCAACGCGTGTAAATTAATAGTACAAAGTGTGTGCAGAGAGGAGGAGGGTTGGCAGGGCGGAAACCATAGACTGTCATCGATTCCGCGCGTAAAAAATGCGACGCGATCAGTAAACTTTGAGCTGATTGTTATCGTCAAATCCGGCGCTGTGCCCGGCGTTTCTAACAATGAAACTGGTACCATCGTAATGCATGCGTCTCTCGCCCCGTCGCACGAACAAGTGCGAGGTTTGGCCCAACGACGCCGTGCAGTGCAAGAACGGAGTGGTGAGGGACGCCGTCCCGTTGCTCGGCGACGTGCGCAGCTGGTACTTGTTGCTGTTTCGGGCAATCCTGCAAAGCAGACAAGGGCGGCGGTCGTGAGCTCGTTGCGATGCGCGAGCCGGCAAGGGCTACCTGACAAGGCCGTCGGGAGTCTGCGAGATTCGTACGTTGTTGATGATCCAGTTGTCGACTCCCTCGTCGGAGAGCCAGTACTGTGCGGCGGCCAGTATGGCTGCGGCTTCCTGGACGCAGGCCGGGCCGTGCCTCGATTCGCCGTAGAACACGTCCACGGAAAAGTCCTGGACGGTCGGAAGAGATGCTGTAGAGAGCGAGGGGCCGCGACGCCAGCGCAGAGTACCTGGCTCATGTTCGAGAAGGCGTCGGTGGTGGTTCTGGTGCCGGCGGCGTCCACCAGGTAGACCAGCGCGCATTGCTCGGAGGTGAAGCTGACGCCCTTGTACCACATCTTGGCGTACCTGCGGGAGCGGGCGAAGGGAGGCACGTTAGGGGGCGTCGGGGTCGGTGGCGGCGCGCGACGCACTTGTTGTTGCCGTGGAGGTCGTGGGCGAGGATCTCGACGCGCGAGCCGTACTGGAAGACGCGGCCGTTGGGGTGCAGCAGCGCCGAGGCCGAGCCAGAGCCGCTGAGCGAGAGCACTACGTTGTTCTGCGACAGGCAGGGTGGGGCCGGTTAGTGGGGCCGGTTAGTGGGGCCGGTTAGTGGGGCCGGTTAGTGAGGCCGGTTAGTGGGGCCGGTTAGTGGGGCCGGTTAGCTGGGCCGCGAGTACCTTGAAGTTGATGAGGCGCACGGCCCGGTCGACGCTCATGTCGAGCCGCAGCTTGCTGTGTAGCCGCAGCGAGATGGTGCCGTGGGGCGTGGCGAGCGCGCCGCCGACGTGGCCGGCGTGGCCGGCGTGGGCCAGCATCGGCTCCGCGACCTCGGCCTCGCGCCACAGGTCTGGCGCCGCGTACAGGCAGCACTCGTCAGCCGGCGCGTAGCAGGGCCCGGGCTTGGGCCGCGGCTGGCGCCACAGGCTGCTCGGGATGCCGGCCAGGCCGCTGGGCCACTGGTCCGCGGCGGCCGCGGCGCCCGCCTCCAGGTACTTGGCCAGCTCGCCGCCCCTCTGCAACGGACGCGGACGGGGCCGTCGTTGACCGACTTGCGAGCGAGCGCCGGGCCTAGCTAGTCACTTGGTAGTCCTCGGGCAGGGGCAGCGGGGGCGGGGGCGGCGGCGGCGGCGGCGGCGGCGGCTGCTGGTGGTGCTGCGGCTGGGCGGTGCACGAGTGCACGGCGTAGAGCGAGCGCGGCCGCGTGGGCGCGCGCACCGGCCGCGAGCAGCCGGGCAGCGGCGCCGACGCGCACGAGGTCTGGCTGGCGTTCTTCTGCGGCTCGCGCTGGCCCGCGGCCGCGGCCCCCCCGGGCGCGGCGCCCATCGGCCGGCTGGGCGACGGGCGGCGGCCGCGACGGCCGCCGCCGCCGCCGCCGCCGGCGTTGGGGCTGGCCGGCTTGGGGCCTGCGCCGTTCCTAGGCCGCCGGCGCCGGGACTTGCGGCCCCTGCTGGCCGCGCCGCGACTCGGCTCGACCGAGCGATCCACGGTTGGGCGATTCGACTGGACGGCCTGTCTTCGAAACGCGCTGTCGTTCCGGGCTGCGGGCGTCGGAGGCGGACAGTGTGCGAAGGCGCTGCTGTGCACGGGGGATCGCGCTGCTGAGGCCGAGACAAACGACTCGCTGATTGACCGGCGCCGCCCGGTTGCTGTGGCAATGCGCCCCGGCCGGTTGCCGGCAGTGCGCACACGCGCCAAACAAAAGAGCCTGTCATTCCCGAGCTCGCGGCTCTGACTGCCCTGCCGCAGTTGCGCGATCTGCTCACTTGTTTATTTACGACAGTCGAGTGTTTGACTTGGCGCCGTTTATCTCGGCGCCGTCCCGCACTCTTCTCGCGCTCTCTCCGATTATGCCTTCGCCGCGCCGAAGAACGACGAAATCGTTGCTCAACGACGGCAAAGTCTGCTTGTCGATTTCCCGGCGATTTCACTGCGAGCGATCGCACGAAATGAATGCTCGCGTTCGATCAGTCGTCGGATGAACTGTGCCGAGTGGCACGCGCTCGATCCGAAAATTGCATGCCTACAGCTTAAGACGAGAACAATTTGGGTGAATTCAAAACGAAGTGCTTTATTAATTCCGTCGTAGCCGATTTTCTCAAGTTCAAATCAAGTGATCCGGAACGCTCGCGCGCGCGTCGCCGAAGTTACCATCGAATGGTTCTCGCTTGACGGCTTCAACGTTTAGCGATGTGCGCCACTGCACGCAAGAGTAGGCGTACGCTCTACGGTATTTTCATAGAGCTTAAAAGTACCGTGAATTTTGTTACTTGTTCATCGTTTGCCGCATCGGCGAATAGCGCACAAGAAGATCGGATCGAAAAGAAGCACTGCGCACCATTCGGATACATCTATAGGCTTGTTCGGATCACGCAGACTTTAGGCGTACACCCAATAGCTTGCGATTATTGACAATACAGCGGTGGTTCGTGCGTACGAATTACATAGTGCGCTTTTGTTTAATTGACAAAACGTGACAAATGACAAAAAACATGATCGACTGATGCAATGAGGAAAGAAACGAAGAAAATTAAAAGATAGCTGCGCGTTCTAACGGAAATTGAGTTCGTGACGCAAGTTCAGTCAAGTTGAAAAACAAATTTGTAGATATAAAAATGCAATACGACCGAGTAATTGATATCGCCGCGTTTTTAAAAATTAATCTACATGCTAAGCTGTTAGGATGAAATAGCCAAACAAAGTACGATTTTTACACTTTAATACTTTTAAGCGTCCATCTATGAATGCGGCTAATGGATTCGTCATTTGATCGTCACGCTCATGGAAAATCAATCGAAAGAAATACAAAGCTACTTCCACAAAACTGTATTGTTTACGATTGTACAACGCAAATCCATTTATCATTAATGATCCATGATTAGGCCTGAAATCTTAAGTAATTAAGCAATTACGACGCCTTTGAAATTGACATCTGCATTCCATCAGCGTTTCCTCTAACAATCGCATTTCGATCGTCAAAAGCAATAATGCAAATGCACTAATTGCTCCGCTACAGGTTCATTTCAATATTGCAGTCATTAATAGAAATATATTTGATTTATCGACACGACGTAGCAGGCAACCGATCGAAAAGAATGGAGGAAACGAAACGAGCGCATTTGCACGTTATTTATGAAACAACATCGAAATATGATTTTGACGCTCGGCGGAACAGTTGTACGCTGTACAGACGCGAGCAGGCCAGTATGTCGGCGATGGTTAGGCCAAGTTAAGTGGCTTTTTGTCCGCTACTTAGAACAGCTGGGAAAAGAGAATCGCGAATATACTGGCGAGCGGCGTATTTGCGGACGCACGCGTCACGGCATCACGGCATCACGGCGTCACGGCGTCACGGCGTCACGGGATTTCCTCCGAGAAAAATTGGCGTCGACGATCGCTGCCCGCCGCTAATGGCGCGGGACACGCGCGCGACGATCTGGAGCAATAACGCAAACGTAATTAGCGGTGGAAGGGACTTGGCCAGGCCTGGCTGCGAAGCGCGCCATGCGTGTTCAGTTTTATGGACTGCGATAAAAGGCGCTGCCTCGTACCTGTCGGCGTTTTACAATCGAGAGCCTTGAATTGTAATCCTACGCTCGCGGAGACGATGCTCTAGAAAAGCTTATCTCCTCTTCTATCGGAACTGATTGGCTCGGTGGCGGCAATTAATCGTCGGTGTTGGCGCGCCGAGAGACAAGGCCGCCGTTTGGGAAACGGTTCGCCAGCGAGTACGCGCTGCGAGCCCCGCGGCTCGCCCGAGCTTTCGCAGAAGCCTGCAGCGTAGCGGCGGCTTATCTGCGAACGAGCAGCTTAGCTCTGCTTTTTTCGTCACCTCTGAACCCCGCATCAATGGACTCGATAATTGCGGGCCGGCGCGACGTAGCAACGGGGAGGAACGGAGGTACGAGAGCACGTGGACGCGTCGTTGTGAAAGCGAGCGCGCGAGAAAAAATAAGTTCACGGCCAAGTGCTGGTATTGTGAGCGCCGGCGACGAGCGGAGGCGGCACAATTTGGCGCGCAATTGAAAGTGCAACAGTAAGGCGGCATGGCGTGGCTCCGCCGCTTTGTCATCGGGCGATCAGTCGCGGAGCGGCGGGCGCTTCGAGCGGAGATAAGCCGAGCACAGCGGGTTCAGCTTTTGCGCGCGTGTACACGTAGGTGCGTTCGCGCGCGAGCCTCTGGACCGCATCTTCCTCCGTGCCTGCCGCTCCTCTCGGCCCTTCGCCACCATGCCCATCCTCTTATCCGTACTTTTCGCTCTTTCTCTTCACTCTCCGACTCTAGGTAAGATCTGTTTTTCACTTTCTTTTCCCTTTTCACCCACCTCGCTTTGCTCCCCTCGCTCCGCGCTCGACATTTCCTTTCGCAACTCCGGCTGTTTTTTCTCTTCCCCTTGCCGTCGATACGCGTCGCTCGCTCAACTATTCGCGCAAAATCATCGTCAAGACAACGCGCTATTGGTCAGCAGCAGCCTGCTTAAAGCCCTTCTTACGATTGTTATTCAATGTGAAAATCCATCTACCCAAAAAAAAACACTGCTCGACAAAAATACTTGTGAAATTGACGAATAACACGTTCGATCAACGAATAAACGCTGTTACAGCTTTTCCAATAAGACAAACTTTTTAAATGACTGCCGCTATTGCGAAACGGGTTCAAACCTTTCAAGACTTCCTGTTCATACGTGTAAAGAAATTCTTCGAGTATTCTGCGCGATCCATCCCGAACTTTCATGAATTTTTCGTCAACTTTCCATCGGAGTCATTCTATAAAACGGAGTAAATAACTGAACACAAAGCAATAGATTTTCTTATAGATACTTGAAACCTCGATTGTAAATAAACTTTACCAACATATTGGGATAATAACAACAATTTAAAATGAAATAATATCATCTCGAAGAGATCAACTAATTGTATAATATATATACGCGTGCCTATTTATATTTTTAATATATTAATCTCATGATTAATAGCTCTGCGTAATTTTCCTATAATTTTTATATAATTAAAGGAAATATTGACGGCTGGTGATCGCACATGTTTTCTCAAAGAATAATGGAATACTCAAGACAAAATTCTTTCTATTTTTTTATCCACTATTTGAATTATCTACGAGGTAAAATATCTACTATCGCAACTGTACATATATTACTGTCGGTTTAAAAATAATAGAGCTACCGAGTTTTCTACGAATAACTCGGGTAAAAGAAATCGCACAATGACGAGACTTGGAAGACATCGAAGAAAAGTTTTTTGACAACGGCATGATCTTGTTTGAGACTTGTGCAGATAATTAATACAAATTCGGCGACACGAAACAGGACAAATAAAACACGAGATATCGACGATTTCTTTTCTTGTCCAACGTTGAAGCTCTCCCATTCGATTAAAAATGAGTTAATTTGTTTGGAAAAAAAATTGAATATGTTAATTCTTCGACGATAAAATCGACAAGTTTCGTGAGATTTTGTTTAAAATATTCGAGCCACTGAATACAAACAGTCATATAAACTCTTTTCAATAGAGTGACATTCAATGTCCGAGTACACTCAGTGACTCATAGTTTGTAGTTTTACGAGTTCTTTTATAAATGAAAATTTGAGCTTTTTCATTTTGCAAAATTCGTAACTAATGTTCATTTATACGAAGCCTATGTAGATGTTGATCTTTGAAAGGAAATTTAAATGAACAAATGGATGAGTAAACCATCTCAATTTTATTTTCACTTGCTAAGAGATAAATGTACGCAATAAGGAAAACACAAAGAATGGTTCAATTATTAATTTCATACATAGCTCAACGTCCTCAGATTTCGAATAAATAAACAATAGTTAAGAATTATGCAAAATACAAAAGCACAAATTTTCATTATAAAAAAAGTCATAAAACTAAAAACTATGAATCACTGAACGTACTCTGCCTTTGAATGTCACTCTACTCCAAAGAACTTATTCATACTCAATAGCACGAATACCTTAAACAAAATTTCATGAAACTTTTTGTCTCTGTCGCATAAATGAATGGAAAAATTCAAATGTTTCGCTTACAATTACAAAAGCGTGATTTTTTAATGATTTTTTTAGCCGAGCTTCGTGTTGGTAAGACTATTCACGCTTAAAATCGGTTTTACCTGGATTTTTTAGACGTTCTTCAGTGTTCAATGTACGTACCTGATTTTTTTCAAATCAATTTATTTTTGATTGAATAACAATAAATTTGAACAAGAAAAGAAATCGATGAAAATCCGTGTTTTTTCCATTTCATGCCACCAAATTTATATTAATCATCTTTATAAGTCGTAAGCCAAAAAATGTTCCTTTGATGTGATGCAAGTCCTATCGTTATAGGAGTTTTTCAGTCAAATTATTCACTGAAAACACAGTAAATCTATTATTTTTCAACCGATAGTAGGATTGTTCAGGTGATTGGAATAGTCAAACATATCTTTTCATCTATAATAGATGTCACGATTCAATCCAAAATTAGTATGGTAACACATATTTAAAAAAGCAATGTCTTCTATGTCGACATCTTCTTCAGTTCATACGTATAGTTCAGTCAATAATTTCCGTTAAATGACCATTAGAGGTATCAATCATGCATCATTTAGCACATTTCATATTTTTACAAATTTTTCGATAGCTGACCTGAATTATTAATGTGGACGAATCGTGGTCCATCTTCGAGCACGCTTAATCGAAATATTATTTTTGATTCAATAAAAGTCATGATAAAGCACATTTTTTCACATCATCTATGTTATAATCGATTGTAACGTGAGCCAGTTATCATGAACAAATTAATAATTACAATACAAATGCAATAACTAATGATATGTCTAAAATTATCATCTCTGCTGAGATATACGTTGAGATTTCATTTCTCAATTGTAATATCTAAAAAGTCGTATGTAAAAAACAAACGTTTCAAGCATACTTTTTTGTATTCACACGCTGTAATCCATTCGGAACCGAATTCAAGGATATAATTCAAAGTGTAAAAACTTCAAACTTTTTGTATTCTTTTCAATTATATATTTCGCTATATATAACGAAAAAATGATTGGAGGATCGTTGACAAAAATTTTATGCTTGTCGGTTTTGACAATTTCAAGCTGATGGCAATGATAAAATAGAAAGCGCAAATAAATTATATTTTTTAAAGAATCAACAAAGAATCATTTACTGAAAAGTAATGATCAAAAATTAAAAAATCGCGTTCTTTCACTATGATCTCAAAAGCGTGGATCCGGCATTTGAATAAATAAATAGTAGTTGAGTATACATTGCATATGATACATTCTGTAGTGATTACTAATAAGTTGCTTATACATTAATTCATAATTGTCGGTATGAGTGATGATTGCGTAAATATTAGTATTCAAGTTAAGAATTTATCATTTGTTTTATATATGGAATTTCATATAAAATAATTAAATATTTCTTTTTTAATTTTAAATAAAATTTCTAATGAATAATTATAAAATATACTGTTCGCGTGACGTTTTTGAAGTTTTAATTAACTAACAATCTATGATACGAAAAATGCAAACTGTTTCTTAATGAAATCATTACTTGTCTTGGTAATGTGATATCAGCTATGCAAATTATACAGGATCTCCGTATAGATGTTAGCTGGAATCATTAGATTTGTCCTTTACAAATCAAAGCAGGATTGACTACTTTCAAACCAAAGCCCATTCGACGTCACGTTTTTTTCCAGTCATCATCTCATCTCATTTTCATTCTTTCAGTCTATGCAGCAAGCATCCATGGCGATGCCCTCAACGAAAATATTGTCGAAGACGAAACTGTAAGGGACACCCTACGGCAAGTAAATTTGGTAAGCCAAAGTACTTATTGTCACAAAATTACTTACGTCTTGGGCGACTCGAAAAACAATTGCTAATAATTTTTAACAATATGCTTGTTAGATGCATGTTGGATTTATTTTATCCTTAATTCCTTTTTCTAATAACGTAAGCCGGGAAACTTACAATTTCAAAATGATTGAATTCGCTAGCACGCTTTTATAACACGGAGAAAATGGTATAAGAAACATTAAAATAAAGTCAAACGAAAATTACTATATTATATAGGAGCGGTGTGACATTTAAAATTAATGGTGGATTTTGTTATACTTTTAGCAAATATTCCTACAATCATAAAAATTTTTGCTATACTGCTTGACAAGCAAAACTATATCACTTGACAAAAATTACTATATAAGATAGTAAAGATTATACTTTTTACATAGTAAAATTTCTATTATAGTATAAGAATCTTTGATATATAATATTAGAGTTAAGCTTCTGTGTATAATAAATTTTATTATGTAAAAAGTGAAAATTTTTATGTTAGATAGAAAAAAATTATGTTATCGTGAAATGTCGTAAATATTATAAAACTATTGAATATATGTAATATTAGAGTTTATATTAATAAATAACAAATTTTAACAATGAAAATCATAAGAAAAAATGAACTAGATATAATGTAAAAATGAACTAGGTATAAACTAGATATAATGTACGGTTACTCCACTTACACTAGATGGTGTATTTCAAATTTCTACCCTGTGAGTGGCCGAACAATCAAAAGATTGATATATAAGGAACTTTGTACGTGATTAATATGCGAAAAGCCGTTCGGTGTATTTTAATAGCGATTGCGATTAATATAAGTATAAGTAAGTAGTATAACATTAAAGTATAACAGCGATGTAAATATATAAAATTTAGTGATATAAAATATACGATACTTACAGATAGTCTTGATGTCAATAATTTATAAATATACAAAAAGTCCGAAATTAAAAATAATCAAGATTAACAAGCATAATAAATTAAAAATGATAAATAATTTTTTTCAAATATCTTTTCTGTACGTAAAATATATTTTATAAATTCATTAACAATTATTAAACGGCATAACCTACATTACTGCGTTATTGTAATAAAATTTAGTATACGAATATAGTAAAAATTTTTATAACACAAAAATGTCACACTTTTCTTATGTAATACAGTAATTTTTATTATTTATTATTTTTATATTTATTATACTATTTCTCTCCGTGAATGTAAGCGTGTCGCTATTGATCGACATGTTGATTTGTTTAAATGTTTCAATGTCAAATCGAAGTAACCTCAACGAATCTTTTACATCGCAAGTGTCGTGTAGAATTTACTTAACGTTACATTCCACTATCATTCAGGTAATTCGTCATGGCCATCGAAGTCCTCAGAGTACATACGAAAACGATCCATACAAAAACGATGCCATGGAACCGTTTGGTTGGGGTCAATTAACTAGCGTGAGTGTATTATACGTATTTTTGTTTCCAAATATCGTTTCTTTCAAAAACTATAAAATGTCTTACGCAAATATTGACTTTGGCTCGTTTATTCATTCAAGTCTGCAGAGCTTAATTTAGTCTAAATAAGTGGAGCAGTGAAACTATACTATTTTTCTTTTCTCTTAAATGTGAATAGTTTCTTGATACTTCCTATTCATTAAAAAATAGAGTAGATCAACTACAACAACAAACTATACGAGAATATGCAGAGAAAAACAGAAAAAGTTGAAATTGTTCGATAAATCATTCCGCACGATATAGATACTTTTACACGCGCATCTCATGTTTGGAGTGCTAAAATGCGTAATAGTAATCAATACAGAAAACATTATTCGATCCAATTATAAATTGTAAATAAAACATTTTAGAGAAAAAAATTTGTAATATATTCACATTTCAATTCTTATTCTTGAGAACAAAAGTCATAATTCTGATGATGACTTTCAGAAGAGACAATTAATTGATATTTCGCTAATTATTGTATGAAAAATGTCAATGATCATTCCTTCAATTAAAAATGTAATATACTACGTCATATAATATTATAGCAATATCCAGAGCGTAAAGCTATTCTTTTTTGTAGGAAGGACGACGTTCTCAATATAATCAAGGAATTTTTCTGCGCAAAAGATATGGACATTTCTTAGGTAAGAAAATACGTTCACATATATTAATATAATCGTATCACTTTTCCTAGTAAACAATTCTATCTTTCAAATACAAGATTTTTGTATTTTTAGTTATTCTATTCAATATAATTTGAGACAAACTAGTCATATGAAAACCCGATGAGCTGTTTATTACTAAAGTTATTGTTCTGCTATTAATGAATTGATCACTTGACACAGGTACCAAGTATAGTCCTGAAATATTTTGGCTTCAAAGTACGGCAGTCGATAGAGCAAAAATGTCAGCACTTCTTGAAGCCGCCGCATTGTGGAAGCCGGATAACGATCAAACCATTGTAGATGGTTTGGCTTGGCAACCAACGTCTTTGAACTACCAAACCAGCGATAAAGATACCGTGAGACAATATTTCTATAAATTATAAAGTATACGAGTCTTTCTCTTCAAATTTCTATTGAATAGTCTCATTAAAAGTAGTTGGTGATACGTACGCTTCATAGAACCTTGTATCTAAATTTCAATTGACTCCTTTCGTTGACATTTTAAATCTTAACTTGAATATCTATACGAAACGGATTTAATATTTTACAATATTTACTACACTATTCAAATAAAACAAAAAAATAATAAACCAAAAGATTATTTTTGAGAATATTTAAAATTAGTAAGGGATTTCAGGACTGCCAGCCATTACATCTTGAAGGCACAAGAATGTCAATTTGTCATTTGTTAGACTGATTTTTTAGCATTATTTAGTGACTAATTAAGCATTTAGCGTTACTCAATAATTCTGTTTTTCAGCTCCTACTTATATGGGAAACTTGCCCAGAATACGCAAGAATGAGGGAAGCTGTGCTGAAATCGCCGGAGATTAAACAAATCAATAAGGTCAATGAAGATTTGTACCAAGTGCTTGAAGTACATACAGGAGAAAATATGACAAATCCTGATGATGTATTTGACATATTCGCTACTCTGGAGGCTGAGGTATTGAAAGCATCGATCTTATGAGGTCTTTACCTAGGTCTTGATTGAAACGTATTTTTAAATCGATCTAATTAAATGCTACAGTCAAGCATGAACTATACTTTGCCGGATTGGACGCAGATGTATTATCCCGATAAGATGAGATCGCTGAGTAGTTTGAGCCTTCAAATTAACGTGTACAACGAATCGCTATTAAAAATGAAGAGCGCCCCACTTGTTTCTAAAGTTGTTAGCAATATGCTGCAAAAATCGGAAGGAATATTAGTACCGAGTCAACGAAAAATGTTCATGTACGTTGGTCATGACTCGACAGTTGTCAACATTCTAGAGGGAATGCATGTTTGGGATCTACAAATACCTGCTTATAGCACTATGGTTATGATAGAACTTCACGAGGATGAGGGACAATATTTTGTTCAGGTAGCTATGTCATTTCATGATACTTCTTACACTTTCTTGGCGGATTGCAATTCTCAAATATACAACAATGTCACATTGATTTTTAGCTATACCTCAGGAACTTGACTCAATATGATCCTTATCCACTTACCATACCTGGCTGTAATTTTGCCTGTCCTCTGGATCAGTTTAGAAGTTTGTTGAGTCCAATGATTATTACAGAAGATGAATGGAATGAAGAATGTGTTCTAAAAGATCCCAAGTATATGCCTGGCTCTGTGCCACTGCCTTAGATAAATCATCAAGTAAAGAAGGTTTTACATGCCATCAACTCGCCTACATATTGTTATTTGATCAAAGTGCAAGGATATTCGCAAACTGTATACACCGTTTCTACAGATCACTTAACTGTATTTACGTTACTTGCAGTGAACTGTGATTTTCTATTATAAGAATCTGCCTCCAATTATAAATACTCCGTACCTGTTTCTTATTTATTAATAGTATTTTCACAATATATTAGTTGTTGAATAAAAATATATTGCTTTTTGAATAACTTCTGGAGTGTGTTTAAGGATAAATCACTTTCAAAATGTCTTAAAAATGCAATGTTTAATGATAAATTTACTTGCGTATCACTCAGTTTAAAAATTATCAAAATGGATAAGACATTAACAAATATTATATTTACAGGTCTTAAGCGAAGATTTTTTCTTCTCGACGTTTCTGAGTAACAACTGTTCCTGGTTTGTGTTGTGCTTCTGGATGGTTGAGCAGTTCGGGAGGACAGCTAGATATCGGGCTTGCCAAAATAGTTTGTTTGAGGTCATAGAAAAGATGGCTATCGTCTTTAGTACAGAACGATATTGCAATACCATTCTTTCCAGCTCGACCTGTTCTTCCGATACGATGCGTATAATCTGAAATTTACGAAAAATATATTGTTATTAATCGATATCTACGAAAAAAGCTATGTTATTTGGAAAATTATTAAATGTTGCTGTGTACCTTCGATTGTTTTAGCCATGTCATAATTAATGACCATAGACACGTCTTTGATTTAATACCACGACCAGCGACGTCGGTAGCAATCAAAATATCTTTTGTTCCAACTTTGAATGAAGCAAGCGCACATTCTCTTTGTTTTTGTCCTTTTCCACCGTGCAGTGTACATGAGATGTACTAAAATATAAAAATTAAAAAAATTAAATTTATTATAATTAATATTTAATACTCTGAAAAAGGAGTTGCCAACTCACCCCAAGTTTTTCCAATCCTTTAGTAAGTACATCAGCTCCTTTCTTCTGGTTGACAAAAATGATAATGGGTGGTTCAACGCCACGACTAAGAATTTCCATAAGTTTCTTCTTCTTGTCGGCTTCGCCCATAATATGTACAATTTGCTAGGTTCGTTCGGTAGGTTTACCAATGCTACCGATGTACACTACTGTTGGTCTTCTCAAATGTTCTCGCTAATCTTTCCACCGCCGCAGGCATTGTAGCTGTGAACATCACCGTCGACCTGTACTTTTTCTTCGTATTGTAGTTAGCAAGAAGTTTTTCTTCATTTTCATCATCTTCATTGTCAGGTTAGAGATTTGAAACTGGCATGTATTCTAAAATTTTCTGCACATCCGGCTCAAAACCCATGTCTATCATCCTATCTGCTTCGTCGAGAACAATGTATGTGCACTGATTCAAAACCAAATATCTATTTTCTAGAACGTCTATTAATCGACCAGGAGTCGCAATTACAATCTGAAATGAAAGAAATATATGTTTGAAATGTTATCGTTTTACTGTAAGCATTTAGATATAAGTGAATTTGTAAATACCTCACAACCCATTCTCAACCTGAATACTTGTTCTCTCTCGAGACCACAAACAACTACCACTGTCCTGATACCTAGTGGCTGTCCAAATTTATTGGTTTCTTCTTTAATTTGTTGTGCCAATTCTTTGTAACAAAGATATGATTATCATTTCACTTCCTAAAAAAATCTTAATGTACGATAACTAAGTAAGGCTTACCGAGTTGGAGCCAAAATTATACTATAAGGGCCTTGATCTGCTTTTTCTAATCTTTCAGTTTTTGGAAGGCTTGTGATCCATAATAGCAAAGGAATCAAGAATGCTAGTGCTTAAATATGCTTAAATATGCTTAAATATGCTTAAATATATCATAAAAAATATGAATTGCTTTTAATGATGTATATACAACAGCACTTCTTTTACTACATCTGAATGTATAAACATGGAAAAAGACCAGAGTCGCCTATTGAAACTATATTCTAAAAAAATAATTTATGTACCTATCACGATCACCCCATTCTCTATTTATACTAGAATTTAATCCTTCTGTTTGAGGTAGTTTTTCTTTGCTCTTCTTATTGTTTTTTCATAGCATCAACTTCTTCTTGTCTTTTTTGAAGACAAGTGCTACTCGTTCTGCCTTAGTAAGAAATTGGTTTAGCTCGAGCTTCTTCCTCAGCTTTTTTTCTTTGCCAATAACTCTTCCAAACTCAAAGGTTTTTTTTTTGGAACTGGCTTTTTTCTTCTTCTGCAGTGGCTTCTTTCTCGTCATCTTTCTTCACTTGTCTCGTTCTTTGTCTCTGACTCTATCTTGTTTTCTGTCTCTAGTTCTTTCTAAATCTCTATCCTTAGAACGTTCTCTTCCACGAGACTTATCTGCTTCGCGAGACCTTGAACGTTTTCTATCTTTTTTACGATCTTTTGATCTACTTCTAGAGCGTCTACGGTCTCTATACTCTCTATCTCTTCGCGTTCACGATCTCGATCTCTATCTCTCTCTTTCTCTCGACCTGCTACGCTTACTTGATTTTTTTTCATAACTTTTGTTCATTGCAAGTTCAATCTGAAAAAGTCAACAAAATTATTAGAAAATTCACTACTCGTCAATCGAACAGTAATCAGTGATCTTTCAAGCAAAGCTTTGTCTACAAAAAATACATTACGCAATTATGTAATACATAATTGCGTAATGTATACTAATTTTATTTCAATTTATTTTTTATAATATGAGAAATCAAATAAATAATGATAAATGTAAATATATCCTTTTGAGGTTAGAACCTTTCGATTATTATTCAAAGTTTGTCTGCAAGTCAATACATGCTGGTACATTACTTTGCAACTTATTCTATATAATTTTTTTCTTATTTATTAACAAAACTATTGTACTAAACTAATAAATCAAATATTCCAAAAGAATTATAAGTCATCTAAATATATTGTGTAACACAAATTCTGTTTCACGGAATGAAAACGTATGCGTATATCTGGGTATGTGATCCAAACAAACCAGACGGCTTTGGCGTTTAAGACAATCTAGAGACATTTAACTTTATTATTAAATACGTCCTAGTAACTATGTTTATAATACTGATGTCAACACTTTTACACAAGCGCGCGTTTACTTTTGAAAGCACTTTTTACATGACAAAAAATGTTATCTCATACCTACAATCCAAAAACATCTAATTTATTTTGTTATTGTCAAGAACACATTCCAAATTTTTATATAGGTAAGAAAAAAGACAAATATAATAACAAGCAATTTTTATTACAAAAAAAATTAGTGTTAATAGCATTTTTAAAAAAGTATATGAAATATTCTTATATCGATATTAAGACTATATTTCTTATGCTAATATACTTTATATTGTCTTGTTATATTCAAAAGCATTGATATTTACATTGTATAAAGACTTTTAGCTTCATACAAATAGTGCTTATTAAATATTACATACGATTTCTAACATGATTTATACATAGTATACAGTGCACTTCAATTATAATTATGATACTTTTATGTTTAGCATATATATTAAAAGAACCTTAATAATATAATCAATGAAAAATAAAGGATATCCTGATTAATATTGATATTTCTTATTTAACAGATGACAAAATGCAGAAATCTTTATGTTTTCGAGAAAGACTTGAGGTATTCCACAAAGATAATTCATCAGAAAAACTAGAATTAATTGGCCAATACTCTGTATCAGTCGAAAGTATTGGTACAAGAAACCAAGAATTTTTAGTGCATATATTCTTATCGATGACAGTTAATAATCATCTAATCGTGTCAAAACTGACCAGCTCAGCAACCAAAGAGCTCCACTGTTTACAAGAGAAGAAATATGAGTTACTTATTTTATTTTGTAAAACATACATATGATTAACATTCACTGTAATAATAACTTTTGTTCCAGATCTTCAGAACTAAATAATAATTTGTGTGAAAAGAATGGGTACATAGGGAATGCAGATAATGGCTATTTCATTAGAGTTACAGTAAAGTCTGATGAATATAAGCAATCAAAAACAATATGCCTGCCGTATTGTAGTACAATGTTTATTAGCGATGGTTGTAGCATAGTATTAATGCGATATTTGGCTATGACAGATTTTTCTGGAATTTTAAGCTTTGACATGATCACAATAGAAGGAAACATTGTCAAATGTGACTATGTATGTTATATTTTATTATTCTACAGCAATTTTAAACATTTTAGTTAATATCATTAAGTATTTAACAAATAAAAATAAAATTTTCTTTTCATAGGAGTGTTCTAGTATGGATTTGAACACTACAGATATAAAAACTTATGAGATTGTACAAAAATTATATCTCAATGATGCAGTCAGTAGCATAATAAAAAATATTTTATCAAATCAAGGAAATCTTTTGAGCATAAATTTCATCAATTCTCCATACATAATAAAAATAAATCCTCATGTTGATCATTGCGTACATCAGCAAGAGCTAATTATATTACCCTTGAGATCGACATGGAAAGAAGATTTTGAGCTTAACTCACAACATTTTGACAAAAAAGTTATTGTATCAGATATACATTAAGATATACAAAACTAAAGTAATACTTAAAATTCAACTTAGAACATGATTTATAGGTTTTTGAAAAAGACAGAAAAAGAAAATATCTACTATTACATTCTGAAATAAATGAGCTTTTAAGTGATTATATTCAAAGTTTACTCTGTAGTAAGTATATGTTATATAACTTTTTCTTACTAATACATATATATATATATATATATATATATATATATATATATATATATATATAAATTATAATATTTTATAGCAAAACCAGATGATGTTCTAAAATTTACAATAGATCATTTTCAAATATTAACTTCCGATCAAAATGGGAAAATTTGAAAGTTTTTGTACTTAAGTAGGTATCAGTTTTATAATTAATCTCAATCCATCAAGTATCTATTATTTAGAAAAAATAATTTGAAAATGGAATAATCACTCACCAGAATCATTTTCTACCAGGTGAAGTATCTTTTTGTGGATTACATATGACACATGTTTCCTATAACAAGAATAATAACTTTCTTAAAAAATCAAACAGTTTTAATCTTTTGCTTAATCAATAATTTATAATAAGGAAATCATCAAAATTTGTACAATTAACTTTTATAATAGTATTGAAACTTACCACAACTTGAAGATTTGGTAGGCATTCTTCATGAAAAGAATGCTTACAATAAAATATAACTAGATTTCTTGGTTCTATAAAGCATGGAAGAAATGCAAAGAATGTATTAATAAATGATAAAATAAATAATATTAGAAATATGTAACACTCACCTCTAATAATTATTTTTCTATGACATGCTCCACACATCTGATCATCTATAAAAATTTGTTTTTCATTTTAACATTAGTTAAGTGTAACATAAATAAAAACTATTATTATTTTTTACCATCAATAAATATCCCTTTCTGATGTCCTTTTACTAATTTCTCATGTAAATTGAAATAGTCACTGGAGATAATTTTCTTACATCCCTCTTGAACAGATACTTGTAAATTATAGTCACAAATCATTTTGACTAATGCTTTTTTTAAGCCTGGAATTTCCAGAGATGGCTCTATCCTTTGAACCATAAGTCGTGGATCAACGTAAGTTCCAATTTTTTGCAGTAAGAATGTAATGGCATCTAATAAAAAAAATTTAGACTGTTAATAAATTCTAACAAAATTAAAATAAAAATTTTTAACCTGGCTTATCTAAGGAATAATTAATTAAATCATTCCACAATTCTTCATCATCATGTTCTTGACAAAACGCAATTGCACTTTCCATGTCATTAAGTTCTCGTGTCATAAGTTGCAATGCTTGTGAAGTGTTTCCTATCCTACCAAGTAAATAAACCATTTCTGGATAAAATTGTTTTTGGCTACAAATATCTAGAGCTTGTTGAATTGGGTAATTATCTGATCGTCTTAAAAGTGGCAGAAGTTTATCTCTAGAATAGTCCGCATACAAACGAACAAGTAAACCATGATATTTTCCTTTTGAGTCTTTAGTATCTTTTTTATCTAGAGCATCTAAATACTGGAAACAGAAAATAGAAATTTATTAATCTAAAATTTAATATTAATAACTAAAAATAGCTTCTCAATAAGTTTGAATTACCATGTATAAATAACGATGATTATTTTGCAATTTTTGTACAACAATTTCAGATGGTACTCTATCTTTCTCTAAAAAAAATTGTATTGCTCTATCAGCATCTAAATCCATTAACCCTTCAATCATATCATAAACTGAACTATACAGTTGATGTTTTTGAATCAATAAAAATACATCTTTATGTTTTAACTTCAAATACATTGCTAAGGCTTTGTCATATTTTCCTTCATGACTGTACAGTATAGCCAGTGCTTCAAGAAGTACATTTTGTCTCTGGTTGTTATGAATTAAAAAGTGACCTAAGACCATATTTACCACAGCAGTTACGTTATATAATTTAGGTGACCATTCCTTTACTAATTGCAGAAATCCATCTGGATCCAATTTTAAATATTCATATAAAACCATTTCATAAATGTGTGGATCTAAGGTAATATCACCCCTTGGAAGGTAAGCAGATATTGTACGTAGTTGATGAACTTTAGCAAATTTATATACTTCTTCTTCCCAGAGCTTTTTATTCTGACCAAGTATTGTCAGACAGAGTTTGCCAGCTTTATCATATTTTTCACAGTTTAATAAATGATCCAAATATACACGCCCAACATCTGCTAAGGAATGTTTACAGTCTTTACCGCCATTAACAGTGACTGCTTCTAAAGCTTTTTCAAATTTCCCATGACTTAAAAGCCATTCGATCCTATCATCAGCATCATACAAACTGGCAACAACAATGTCTTTAGGACTTACTATAAAAAACCTGTAGTAACAAATTAAGTTAAATGAATTGAAAAGAGGGTTGAGTAAAATAACTCTGTAATTCATTGTACAACAAATTCTCAATATTTTGAAATGGTACCTGTTTTCCTCCATCAAACAATCCAAATGGTAATCATTACAGTTGTACTCTTCATATCCTCTTAGAGAAAGGGAATTTGCACATATAATATTAAAATCTTGGTACTTTGGTTCTACAACATGCAAAGTTGGGCGTTGACTTTTTCCATTTTCAGATGGTTCCTTTAAACAGCCTAATAAAACTAACTGATTTTCAAGAGGTGCAATCCCAGATATGAAAAAGTCTACTTGAAATGTAGAAACTTTAATGTAAGAAGAAAAACTACAATTAAAATTCATTTGTATACATTCAAATAATTACAAATCAAAAAATGTTAAACCTAATTCAACTACAAATTCAGGTAATTCTCGATTGATAAGTTCTCGATTAGATCTTTTTTTAATTTGGCATATTCTGACTGTATCAACCCATCCTATTAATAAGGTTCTGTCATCTGACCATCTAAGGTTACATCTATATTGTTCTGGCACCGGTCTTAAACAAATCAAAACCAAAACGGATTTAATAAAATTAAATTACACATAAAAGCAACAAGCAAATGCAACTTACTCTACAGTTCCTGACCACTTAATTAGTCCTAAAGAGCACCTGGAATTTAAATCATAAATCCTAACACCAGTATCTGATGCCCAAGCTACAAACTGATCTGTCCATGCTATAGAGCGCACTCCACCTTCTGCTTCCCACAAAATTGTTGCCTTCAAACGAGCTAAAAATGTTTTTTCATACAAAACCAACTTGTCTTCACCTAAAATATAATGTCATAATTGTTATTTTCTTCATATATGTTCCTGATCATGAAATTTTTATTTATTAACCAATTATAAATCTTTTTCCACTGCCAGTTTTATAGTATTTTGGATCAATGGCTATACTCTTGACCCAATGTCCTGTACTCATATTGTGATTATTTTCAGTACTGTACAATCCATAAATAAAAACTCTACCATCGTTACTACAAGAGGCTATGAAATCTCCATTCTGATCTATAGATATTTGGTTCACAGCAACCGTATGAGCTCTCAAATTTTTTGATTCAATGCTATTACCTTGATGGTCAAGTATATGAATAGTTCCCCAATGTGAGCCCAAGCATAGGAACTAAAGAAAAAGTTGATAATAATGAATAGCTTTGTGACAACATTTAATAAATGTTGTGAAAAATGTATTGTGCTCTACTTTTGGATGAACAGCAATGCAACTGGCAGCATCTTTTTGTAAAATATTTATAACATCATTCCTCATCCTAACATATTTTAATCGAGGTTCAATCTCGTCTTCTACTTCAGAATCATCTTTGTCATTTTGATCGTCCTAAAATGAATTTTTATTATTACAAGTAAGAAAATTATTATAAATAATCACATGATCACACAGTGTCATACTTTATCTTGAGAATTTTCCATCATATGTCTAAAATTTTCTCTTTTACAATATTGAAATTGTCCTCCAATCACATGTACGTCAAATAACTTTTACAAAATATACGTATTTATTTACTCAACATTAGTAGAACCTTTACATTTTTACTACAATGTGTTCATATTACGTTTAGTCACAGCTAAATATTTGTTAATGTCATGATCACTACCTAAATGATCGTATCGTCGATGGATCGTATGTATACACTCCACGCTTTGTATATATATATTACTATATAAGCATGCAAGTGTGATAAATTGTACATCTTGTTTACCGACCGAAAAGTAAACCAGTATCGTTTGATTTTTCGGAAGGCGGTCATCATTCGTTTGTCGGTTTCGATCTTTTGTTCTATTCACATTTATTGTTTACGTTTTGATTAGTGTATATCTAGAAGTAATGAAATAATTTTTATTTCAGTTTTTCTTCTGAATTGAACACAAAAAACTAACTCATTTGTGAAACGCTTTTTTTAAAAATAAGTTAATAACTACTTCAAGCAAGTAATGTGCACATTAAGTTCGTAAGTGCACGTAATTCTTTATAATTCATTGTTGATTAATGCTTATACTTTTTATCCATCGTTTTATACTAAAATGCTTGTAATTTTATTTATGTCATTTAAACTATTGTATTATCGTTAATTAATGTATCGAACATCTGTAAGGTTATTTTTGTTTTTTTTTAATATTTCATTGGCAAAAAACAATTTACTTGATTTTTAATCTTATAACATTTGCATTAACTAAACATCGTTTTTTTGAGCTTGTGCAAAAACTGTTCTTGTTTAAAATTATAGTATTAGTCAAATGGACCAATTTTACATTGGACATAAATCAGAAGACTAATAATTATGGCTTTGAATTAGAATGAATATAAATCATTACAGGCAAATATGGCTTCTCAAGAAATAGTTCATTCAGATAGCGACTCAGACACACCACTACAAGGATCATTTTATTCATCTCAAACCAATCATCTATCTCCACAACAACGGACACAAATTTTGAGGGATTGTCATGTCAAAGTAAAAGAACTTGGTATATATATATATATATATTTTATTATTTATTACTAATATACCAAAATATATATGGACAATTTGATTTGACAATGATTGAAAAAATGAAATCTTTTATAATTACCAAAATTTATTTTAGAGAACAATATTACCACGAAAACTCCAGAATATTTAGAACCAATAGTAAAAGAAGTGGACAGAATAAATCAAGATGGAACTATGGAAGAGAAAAGTAAAGTTGACACACTTCAGTATTTCTAATTGTAACTGCAAAGTAAAAATATTGAAAATTAAAAATTTTTTCTTTTTATAGTTCAAAACTCTGAAGAAGTTGTCTTAGACTCTAAAATTGTATGCTCTGCATCCAACATTATAAAGAAATGTTCTGCAAATCTTCTTAGAGATTTTAGTAACTATGATTCTGTAGAATTTGCTCAGAAAATTGTAAGTCATATCACTCAGTACTGTTACTTTCTCATACTTTTAGCTTTATTGCATGTCCTATGAAATCTTTTTATTTGATTTTTTAGCAGGAGTTTACTAAAAGAATGCCAGATACAGTTGGTGAAGAAAATATTGACTGGTCCCTATTAGGAAAGAAAATAATACACAACTTCAATAAAACTGCCAAATTTACCATGCTTTTAGGTATTAGTAGTTCACTTGATTTTTGTCAAATTATTAACATAATTACACAAATATATATTTTTTTAGGAACCTTTCGTTTAATTGCTAGAAAAGAAATTATAAAACGTAAAACTGTTAGAGTACCTCAAGCTCCAACAAAGAGACCAGAAAACGTAATATCTCTTGACAAAGTTGAGGATAGTGTTGAAGAAACTGTAAATGGTATTAAGAAAATCATTAAAAATTATCAGAAACGGAAGGGACCAGTTGACTTTTTTGCTCTGGTACTTCATCCTACCAGTTATGGAAAAACTATTGAAAATATGTTACATACTTCTTTTCTAATTCGAGATGGTTTTGTTAAATTTACAGTAGGTAAAGTGTACGCTTATTATTTATTTTTATTAGTTATAAGTTTTTATATAAATGTGTCATTAAAAAAAAGTTATTTTAAATTTATTTAGATGAAGAAGGTATACCATATGTGGAAAATTGTACAGGTGAAAAAGATCAAAGTATCGATAAAAATAAACGCAATAGAATTACACGAAATATCCAAAATGTTTTATCATTAAATATGCATCAATGGAAAGTAAGTTTTCATTGCACATATGAATTTCTTATTTATTGTGAAATCTTAAGTATTCATATTAATATTAAAAAAATTCTTTTAGGCTTTAGTTAAAGCATATGCCATTACAGAACCAATGATTGATTTAGAGTCCAAGAAATCCAAACACACTACATAAAACCCGTTGTAAGATTGTCAGATATTTACAAAAAGTTCAATATTGAAAAAAAAAAAGAAATATATGGAACATGCCGTTGACTATATATTCCTACATATTTCTATTATCATATAGGTTCCTCTGATTCGGTCACTCGCTTAAGACGTATTCTTTTTGCTTGTGACAGTGTCCATAACTTTTATTAAGCTTTAAATTTTTTATAAAAGAAAAAAAAATGTTATTAATAAACGAAGTGATTAACTAGAATAAGTTTTTCATAAATATTATTTTCATAATGTAAAATATTACGAGTAACATTTTCTACAATCTATGGAATGATAAGTTATAAAAGGATTTTGTAAAAAAAGAATTAAGAAATAAAAGAATAAATATTATTTTATAAAAAATCTATGGTGTTTTTTGTAAATATTTATTATATTTTTTTAACTAACATACAATACGGTTTCGCAGAGTATATTGTTCGGAACATTTTTCGATCGTCGAAGTGTTTTTGATGTGTAACGGGAATTACAATAGAGCTATTTGATGGAATTTCTCGCACTAGTCACTAAATGTACAATAATCCTTATGATTTGCAGTAAATTGTTAATCAAAAATTATTTTGTGTTCTGTTTTAAATTGTGTTTATTAAAACAATAAAGGTATTGATGTTAACAACAAATCTAATCATCCGTTAACATTACTTCAAGTACGTTTTTAATAGAAAAACGGATAATGGATTCGTTAAAAGAATGGCATTAAGAAAATTTAATGTCAAGCTCTCAATGAATGAAGTTTAGATTTATGATTTAGCCAAAGACTCTGCCTTTGCTGCAACTTCTTCTATTGGGCCAACCATATAAAACGCGACTTCTGGTAAATGATCTAATTCTCCGTTCAAAATCTTCTGGAATCCCTTGATGGTTTCGGCAAGAGGCACCAATTTGCCAGCGTGGCCAGTAAAGACCTCAGCGACCTGTTACCGCAATGCAACGTTAGTTTCAACGGAATGAAATTATAAACGTTCACAAAATAATATAAACAAAAAAGAACCTTACCTGGAATGGCTGAGATAAGAACCTCTGGATTTTACGCGCACGTGCGACGGTAAGTTTGTCTTCTTCGGACAACTCATCCATACCCAAGATAGCAATGATATCTTGCAGTGATTTGTAATCTTGCAAGATTTTTTGTACGCCACGGGCAATGTTGTAATGTTCAGCACCAATAATGTTAGGGTCCATGATACGGGAAGTCGAATCGAGGGGATCGACAGCGGGGTAGATACCTAAGAAGCGTTGGTGAAAATTGTGGATCAAAAGAGAACAGACACTGACGTGTCTATTCAAAAAAACGTACCAAGTTCGGCAATGGCACGAGACAATACAGTGGTGGCATCCAAGTGAGCAAATGTGGTGGCAGGGGCGGGATCAGTCAAGTCATCGGCGGGCACATAGATAGCCTGTACCGAAGTAATGGATCCCTTCTTTGTGGTGGTAATTCTCTCCTGCATGGTACCCATGTCAGTGGCCAAGGTTGGCTGATAACCTACGGCAGATGGAATACGACCCAACAAGGCCGACACCTGGAACGAGAGACAGCAATTTTGCACATGGCCACAAGACAGGCATTTGTGAAGCTTGTAGCGAAGTCGTTACCTCAGAACCAGCCTGAGTAAATCTGAAGATGTTGTCGATAAAGAGCAATACGTCTTGTCCCTCCTGATCTCTAAAGTACTCGGCTACCGTAAGACCGGTCAAGGCAACACGGGCACGAGCGCCCGGGGGCTCGTTCATTTGACCGTACACCAATGACACCTTGGAGGTTTTGTCTTTCAGGGAAATGACACCGGACTCAATCATTTCCTGATAGAGATCGTTGCCCTCGCGCGTTCGCTCGCCGACACCAGCAAATACTGAGTAACCACCATGGGCCTTGGCGACGTTGTTGATCAGCTCCATAATCAGTACAGTTTTACCGACACCGGCACCACCAAACAGACCTACCGCGTAAACAAATCCATTGGAAATTCAATCCCGCGCATAATCGTGTCAATTGCCCAAAGTCAAGACGAGTACGTACCGATCTTTCCACCCTTGGCGTATGGGGCCAACAGATCGACGACTTTGATTCCCGTGACCAGAATTTCCTGCTCAACGGACATGTCGACGAATTCGGGAGCATCCGCATGGATTGGTGCGAGCTTGTCAGTTGGAATGGGGCCACGTTCGTCGATGGGTTCACCGATGACGTTGATGATCCGACCCAGAGTTTCAGCTCCTACGGGGATACGGATGGGGTACCCACTGTCCAGGACATTTTGACCACGAACAAGACCCTCGGTACCTGTAGTACACAGCATAGCACAGTTGCATAACCAGTTGAATATAATTAAAATTGGCTAACGTCGCGGATGATAACCCGACGGCGACATACCGTCCATGGCAATGGTACGGACGGTGTTTTCTCCTAAGTGCTGAGCAACCTCAAGCACTAGCCTGGGGCTGCGGTCCTGCACTTCCAAGGCGTTAAGGATTGGAGGCAACGCATCGTCAAACTGCACGTCGACGACGGCACCGATGACGGCCACCACTTTTCCCGAGGCACCTTTGCCTGCGGCCGCTGGCTTAGCTGCATACTCTCGGCCTGAGGATCAAATCTAACGTTAACAGCCCGACAACGTGAAGGATCATTTGACAGCTTACTTTACTTTATCAGTCTGTCAGTGAAAAATGACAATTCTAGATCAGTACACAGGTTCAAGGGCACTGACAGTTAATCACATCGAAACCTACCCGCATATTAGGTAATGGACAGTTATATAATTACCCAAAATATGCCTTCGATTGAAAAATAGACTGTCTCCATGTTCTAACACATTCTATTCGCGAAAATCCGATAAATGTTCATTCACCGATTTTCAGTCAAAAGTACTTGCGCAACGAGAACCACGAGCTCTCTGTTCGCGAGGTTCTTCACCCATCTCTCTCGAAACATAAATTGTCAGATGTAGCAGGCACGAAAAACTGGCCTAACCGAAGAAATAACATGAAAATTCCTTAACGATAAAACTGACAGAACGACTTTCGGCGGATACAAGCAACGAACAGTATATGTGCTTGAGACCAAGTGACCCCGATGCTGTCGCCATGTTCTAGCGAGCAGCGCACACTCGTCTCCGGTCGAATAACATACATTACATAACCGCGACAGAGCGGCCAATTTTTTCGGAAAAAAAGTGGATAGAAATCAGAAAGCTCGTTAAGTAACAGACAGCTTTGGGTCAAACAAGGATTAACTAGCTGACATTTGACGTATTTTCAAGATTAAAAAGAAATTTAATCATGTGAGCAGTCGATAGGAAAAGCGACCGAACGAACGAGAGACAAGGTGGAGTATCAAGAGACTTGCGATTGCGAGGCCGGCAAGTATGGAGCGCGTAAAAAATGGAGCATCAGACGAATACTCACTGTTGACGGAGAGTGCTCCAGCGATTTTGGCAGATTCTTGTTGGAGAAGGGTTGGTTTGACGGCCCTAAGGGCCCCAGCGGCTGCCTTCGACACGGCGCTCAACATCATGGCCGAGCAAGTGAGAACGGACGACCGGAATAGCTTGCCGCGGACGTGTGACTTTGCCACCGCAGCGCAGCGCGCATCTTCCTTATTCAATGCGCAGGCGTCATCTCTAGCAGAAGTACTTAGTTACTTTTCATTGACGAAGCGCCAAATTATAAAATACTCGAGTTAATGTTCTTTGTGGTGGGATCATTGTAAAACTGTAAAGATTTACAATGTAGATCTGATTAAATTATTATTTAAATTTCCATAATTATTGTTATTGTAATTGGTATTGTTACTTCAAGAACTATGTCCACGTGGAACGCTGCAGAGGTAAGCTAAGTACCTGTACGCATTAGTTTTAGTTCTCTATCGTCATGAATATGTAGACTCACCTCCCCGATCATTTTTTTTACATTTCATTAACGAAGCGCCAAATTATAAAATACTTTAGTTAATGTTCTTTGTAGTGGGATCATTGCAAAACTGTAAAGATTTATAATGTAGCTCTGATTAAATTACTATTTAAATTTCTGCAATTATGTTAATACAAAATAAATATTGAAAGGTTTTTATTTTAAAAGTGTTTAAATAATTTCCGAGTTATTCTAAACATTACTTGAGTACAATAGTGCAATCTGATCAAAGATTAATTTTAATTTATACCTATAGATAAGATATCATAGAATAAAAGTGAACTACTGTTGAATAAAAACCATTTCAAAGCAAATTTTAATAAACGAGATGTTGCGTAAATTTTCTCTAAGTTCTTATTCTATTTTTATACTAATCTTTTCCATTTATGCGATTTTGTTTTCACAATTCAATACAGAAAAATATGAACCAGAAGGTAAATATTATTCGTTAAAAAACATTGATCAATAAAAAATTTCATTCTTAAAATATCTTGATATATCTGTAAATTTATATCCATATATTTACTAATATTTTTATGTAAACCATGTAGTCATAAAAGAATATCGATATTTGTAGGCCCTAATAATTATTTATTTATGACATTTTATAATTCAGGACCTCCCTATTAATAATAATATAAAGCGACTACGAGAACGTAATTTTTTATATATATATAGAACTTGTATACAGTATTTTTTTCTATTGTAAGATATCCAAATACCGAGCTTACAAAGTAGATTATTAATAAAAGAGACACTATTAGAAATAAATTAGAACCTCCCTTTACATGTTAATACTTTTCAACAATTTTATTGAAAAGATCTGTTCAATGACAATATGATTAGAAAATAAACAATGCCAAAGGAATAATATTACTACTCAATTTCATATAAAAAATTATTAATTTATTTTATAAATAGATTAATTAATTGATTCAATAGCACAGTCCTCAATAAGTGTGTAATCGATTAATTCACATATTCTATGCACCAAATTTTGTATAATGAATAATGTATTGATAGCTTGGTGACACATAAATATTTGTTGATCCTTGGGCATAACTGACATTGTCTTCATAGATGGTTGCCAATTATCAATAAAATGCTGATTTTCACTAACATTTCCATTCAAATAGTCCAAATACCTTTTCCACTCAACAAGTTGAACTTTGACTAGGTGGCTTAACAATTTTATAAATTTATAATTAGACTTGCAAAAAAGTTGTATCACTTCATTATTTTCTTTCTTTCGTATGACATAAAAAATTATAAAATTAACTGTTGGTATTAACTGATCTGACATTTCAATTAAATCAGTATTCATGCCATCTTTTAGGCAACAAATTTTAGAAATTATATCTTGTAGGCTATTATCAAAGAACATTCTTTCTTTTTCATCAATTGATTTTTTGAAATATGACTGTGCAACAGTATCCTTGAATATAACTATTGCTATTCCAATAATTTTAACATGACACTTCAATGTTACAAGTTTTTGTAATATTCTGTATTTTGCTTTGATTTCAAATTTATTAATATATTGAATAATTATATTTATTACATATTTTTGAACTTTGACAGAATCATTACTTTCTACTAAATTTATACAGTTATGCATAAATTTATCATGAACAATTGAATTAATATAATCCATTGGAATAGACTGTCCACTAATATTCAAAGTAAAATCAATAAGATTTAAAATTCTTGAAATTATAATCTGTTGATTTGGTATTTCATACATTACATGATTTGATAATTGCATTAAGCAAAAAATAATAAATATTGGATTATAAACACACGGAATATACTTATGAACATATGAAAACGATCCATACAAAAACGGTGCCATGGAACTGTTTATATTTAAATAATATGATTGGGGCCAATTAACTAGCGTGACTGTATTATACGTATTCTTGTTTCCAAATATCACTTTTTTCAAAAACTATGGAATGTCTTTCGCAAATATTGATTTTGGCTCATTTATTCATTCAATTTTGCAGAGCTTAATTTAGTCTAAAGAAGTGGAGCAGTCATAACGCGAAATTTCCTCATTTATTATTTATCTATATTTATAAATCTTAACCAAGAAACTTTAAATTTAAGATTATAGTTTTGCTAAACTCGTTGAAATATTCATTTAAATAAGAGTTCATTATTGAAACTATAGTTTTTTTTGTTTTCTCTTAAATGTGAATAGTCTGTTGATTCTTCCCATTCATTAAAAAATAGAGTAAATCAATTACAATAACAAACTATACGAAAATATGCAGAGAAAATCAGATAAAGTCGAAATTGTTCGATAAATCATTCCGCACGATATTTACTTTTACACGCGCACCTCATGTTTGGAGTGCTAATGTTGGAAGCAGTAATGAATACAGAAAACATTATTTGATCCAATTATAAATTGCAAACAAAACATTTTAGAGAAAAAAATTTGTCGAAAAGCATTTCAGGACCAAGTAATATATTCACATTTCAATTCTTATTCTTGAAAACAAAAGTCATAATACTGATGATGACTTTCAGAAGAGACAATTAATTGACAATTCGCTAATTCTTGTATGAAAAATGTCGATTATCATTCCTTCAATTAAAAATGTAATATACTACCTCATATAATATTGTAGCAATATCCAGCGCGTAAAGCTACTCTTTTTTGTAGGAAAGACGACGTTCTCAATATAACCAAGGAATTTTTCTGCGCAAAAGATATGGACATTTCTTAGGTAAGAAAATACGTTAACATATATTAATATAATCGTTATAATAATAACAAATCTAGTAAACAAATCTATCTTTCAAATACAAGATTTTTGTACTTTTGATATTCTATTCAATATAATTTGAGACAAACTAGTCATATGAAAACTCGATGAGCTGTTTATTACTAAAGTTATTGTTCTGCTATTAATGAATTGATCACTTGACACAGGTACCAAGTATAGTCCTGAAATATTTTGGCTTCAAAGTACGGCAGTGGATAGAGCAAAAATGTCAGCACTTCTTGAAGCCGCCGCATTGTGGAAGCCGGATGACGATCAAACCATTGTAGATGGTTTGGCTTGGCAACCAACGTCTTTGAACTACCAAACCAGCGATAAAGATACCGTGAGACAATATTTCTATAAATTATAAAGGATACGAGTCTTTCACTTCAAAGTTCTATGGAATAGTCTCATTAAAAGTAATTGATGATACGTACGCTACATAGAACCTTGTATCTAAATTTCAATTGACTCCTTTCGTTGACATTTTAAATCTTAACTTGAATATCTATACGAAACGGATTTAATATTTTACAATATTTACTACACTATTCAAATAAAACAAAAAAATAATAAACCAAAAGATTATTTTTGAGAATGTTTAAAATTAGTCAGGGATTTCAGGACTGCAAGCCATTACATCTTGATATAACAAAAAGTCAATCTGTCATTTGTTAGATTGATTATTTAGCATTATTTAGTGACCAATTAATCATTCAGCGTTACTCAATAATTCTGTTTTTCAGCTCCTACTTATATGGGAAACTTGCCCAGAATACGCAAGAATGAGGGAAGCTGTGCTGAAATCGCCGGAGATTAAACAAATCAATAAGGTCAATGAAGATTTGTACCAAGTGCTTGAAGTACATACAGGAGAAAATATGACAAATCCTGATGATGTATTTGACATATTCGCTACTCTGGAGGCTGAGGTATTGAAAGCATCGATCTTATGAGGTCTTTACCTAGGTCTTGATTGAAACGTATTTTTAAATCGATCTAATTAAATGCTACAGTCAAGCATGAACTATACTTTGCCGGATTGGACGCAGATGTATTATCCCGATAAGATGAGATCGCTGAGTAGTTTGAGCCTTCAAATGAACGTGTACAACGAATCGCTATTAAAAATGAAGAGCGCCCCACTTGTTTCTAAAGTGATTAACAATATGCTGCAAATATCGGAATAAATTTTAGTAACGAGTCAACGAAAAATGTTCATGTACGTTGGCCATGACTCAACAGTTGTCAACATTCTAGATGGAATGCACGTTTGGGATCTGCAAATACCTGCTTAGAGCCCTATGTTTATTATAGAGATTTCACGAGGATGAGGGACAATATTTCGTTCAGGTAGGTATGTCATTTGATGTTACTTCTTACATTTTCTTGGCGGATTGCAATTCTCAAATATACAACAATGTCACATTGATTTTTAGCTATATCTCAGGAACTTGACTCAATACGATCCTTATCCACTTACCATACCTGGCTGTAATTTTGCCTGTCCTGTGGATCAGTTTAGAAGTTTGTTGAGTCCAATGATTATTATAGAAGATGAATGGAAAGAAGAATTTGTTCTAAAAGATCCCAAATATATACCTGGCTCTGTGCCACTGCCTTAGATAAATCATCAAGTAAAGAAGGTTTTACATGCCATCAACTCGCCTACATATTGTTATTTGATCAAAGTGCAAGGATATTCACAAACTGTATATACCGTTTCTACAGATCACTTAACTGTATTTACGTTACTTGCAGTGAACTGTGATTTTCTATTATAAGAATCTGCCTCCAATTATAATACTCCGTACCTGTTTCTTATTTATTAATAGTATTTTCACAATATATTAGTTGTTGAGTAAAAATATATTGCTATTTGAATAATTTCGGGAGTGTGTTCAAGGATACATCACTTTCAAAATGATTAAAAATGCAATGTTTAATGATAAATTTACTTGCGTATCACTCAGTTTAAAAATTATCAAAATGGATAAGACATTAACAAATATTATATTTACAGGTCTTAAGCGAAGATTTTTTCTTCTCGACGTTTCTTAGTGACAACTGTTCCTGGTTTGTGTTGTGCTTCTGGATGGTTGAGCAGTTCAGGAGGACAGGTAGATATCGGGCTTGCCAAAATAGTTTGTTTGAGGTCATAGAAAAGATGACTGTCGTCTTTAGTACAGAACGATATTGCAATACCATTCTTTCCAGCTCGACCTGTTCTTCCGATACGATGCGTATAATCTGAAATTTACGAAAAATATATTGTTATTAATCGATATCAACGAAAAAAGCTATGTTATTTGGAAAATTATTAAATGCTGCTGTGTACCTTCGATGGTTTTAGCCATGTCATAATTAATGACCATAGACACGTCTTTGATATCAATACCACGACCAGCGACGTCGGTAGCAACCAAAATATCTTTTGTTCCACCTTTGAGTGAAGCAAGCGCATATTCTCTCTGTTCTTGTCCTTTACCACCGTGCAGTGTACACGAGTTGTACTAAAATATGAAAATTTAGAAAAATTAAATTTATTATAATTAATATTGAATACTCTGAAAAAGAAGTTGTCAACTTACCCCAAGTTTTTCCAATCCTCTAGCAAGCACATCAGCTCCTTTCTTCTGGTTGACAAAAATTATAATGGGTGGTTCAACACCCCGACTAAGAATTTCCATAAGTTTCTTCCTCTTGTCGGCTTCGCCCATAATATGTACAATTTGCTCGGTTCGCTCGGTAGGTTTACCAATGCTACCGATGTACACTACTGCTGGTCTTCTCAAATATGTTCTCGCTAATCTTTCCACCGCCGCAGGCATTGTAGCTGTGAACATCACCGTCGACCTGTACTTTTTCTTCGTATTGTAGTTAGCAAGAAGTTTTTCTTCATTTTCAGCATCTTCATTGTCAGGTTTGAGATTTGAAACTGGCATGTATTCTAAAATTTTTTGCACATCCGGCTCAAAACCCATGTCTATCATCCTATCTGCTTCGTCGAGAACAATGTATGTGCACTGATTCAAAACCAGATATCTATTTTCTAGAACGTCTATTAATCGACCAGGAGTCGCAATTACAATCTGAAATGAAAAAAATATATGTTTGAAATGTTATCGTTTTACTGAAAGGAGTTTAGATATAAGTGAATTTGTAAATACCTCACAACCCATTCTCAGCCTGAATCCTTGTTCTTCTCTCGAGAGACCACCAACAACTACCACTGTCCTGATACCTAGTGGTTGTCCAAATTTATTGGTTTCTTCTTCAATTTGTTGTGCCAATTCTCTGTAACAAAGATATGATTATCATTTCACTTCCTAAAAAAAATCTTAATGTACGATAACTAAGTAAGGCTTACCGAGTTGGAGCCAAAATTATACTATAAGGGCCTTGATCTGCTTCTTCTAATCTTTCAATTTTTGGAAGGCTTGTGATCCATAATAGCAAAGGAATCAAGAATGCTAGTGTCTTACCAGAACCAGTTTCAGCAACACCGATAATATCACGATTTTGTAAACCAATTGGTATTGCTTGTCGTTGGATTGGTGTGAGATCTTTGTAACCAACTTTATCAATAATATCTAAAATTTCTTTTGGGAAACCGGATTCTTTCCATAACCTGATTGGATTAGGTATGCGACCACCTTTTATAGTGATGTTATAGTCTTCGCGGAATATACGCCAATCGCGCTCGGTCATTTCATCAATAGCTTTCTCTGACCAATGTCGATCATCCCATTTTTGCTTTTCTTCCTTCCGTTTGACCTTCTTCAATCTCACTCTAAAATGAAGCACAATATTTTATTAATATTTTTCATTATCAATATTGAAACTGAGATAAGATGATACATACTTTTCTTGTTCTTTTTCTGCTTCTGTTCGACGTTTTTCTAATAATTCTCCATAAAATTTGCTCTGATCGCGTTTTTGAGCTTTTATGTCTATTCCTGCCAAGTTTCCTCTTCCAAAAAACTGTACTTGATGTCTTTCTTTATAAATGTTATTATAATCTACTGAGGTATCCTCTCCTGTGTCCCAATCAAACACGAACTTACGGTCGTTCAGTCTTCTTACACGACGCTTCTTTTTCATTAATCCTAGATATCGTTCTTTTATTGCTTCCATTTCTTTCTCCTTATCTTTATCTTTTGTTTCTTCTTCTCGAGATTTCTGATTTTCCCTGCGCCTGGAAATTATTATAATTAAAATGATGATTTATATTTATTCAATGAATATGAAATTAAGATGATAAATTTTAGAAACTATTAAATATATCATGAAAAATATGAATTGCTTTTAATGATGTATATACAACAGCACTTCTCTTACTACATCTGAATGTATAAACATGGAAAAAGAGTCACCCATTGAAACTATATTCTGAAGAAATAATTTATGTACCTATCACGATCATCCCATTCTCTATTTGTACTAGAATTTAATCCTTCTGTTTGAGGTAAAGTTTTTCTTTGCTCTTCTTGTTGTTTTCTGATAGCATCAACTTCTTCTTGTCTTTTTTGAAGAGCTAGCGCTGCTCGTTCTGCCTTAGTAAGAAACTTTGGTTTAGCTCGAGCTTCTTCCTCAGCTTTTTTCTTTGCCAATAACTCTTCCAAACTCAAAGGTTCTTTTTTTGGAACTGGCTTTTTTTCTTCTTCTGCAGTGGCTTCTTTCTCGTCATCTTTCTTCACTTGGTTTTTGTTATCTTTCTTTTCATTGTCAGTGGAACTTGGTTTATGCTTTCTATCATCTTTACCTTTGTTGTCTTTACTATCTCTCCTCTCTCTTGATCTATCACGTTCTTTGTCTCTGACTCTATCTTGTTCTCTGTCTCTAGATCTTTCTAAATCTCTGTCCTTAGAACGTTCTCTACCACGAGATTTATCTGCTTCGCGAGACCTTGAACGTTTTCTATCTTTTTTACGATCTTTTGATCTACTTCTGGAGCGTCTACGGTCTCTATGCTCTCTATCTCTTTCGCGTTCACGATCTCGATCTCTGTCTCTATCTCTTTCTCTCGACCTGCTACGCCTACTTGATTTTTTTTCATAACTTTTGTTCATTGCAAGTTCAATCTGAAAAAGTCAACAAAATTATTAGAAAATTCACTACTCGTCAATCGAACAGTAATCAGTGATCTTTCAAGCAAAGCTTTGTCTACAAAAAATACATTTCGCAATTATATATTACATATACTATTTCATTATTAGCAAGTATAGACTAATTTTATTTTTATTTATTTTTTGTAATATTTGTAATCAAATAAATAATGATAAATGTAAATGTATCCTTTTGAGGTTAGAACCTTTCGATTATTATTCAAAGTATGTTTGCAAGTCAATACATGCTGATACGTTATTTTGCAGCTTATTCTAAAACATTTTTTTCTTATTTATTAACAAAACTATTGTACTAAACTAATAAATCAAAAGTTCCGAAGGAATTATAAGCCACCCCAACTTATCTGTAACAAAAATTCTGTTTCACTCCGAATGAAGACGTGTGCGTATGTAATCCAAACAAACCAGATGGCTTTGGCGTTCAAAACATTTTAGGGACATTTAACTTTGTTATCAAATACACTTCAGTAACTATGTTTATATCACTGATGCTAACGCTTTCACACACGCGCGCGTTTACTTTTAAAAGCATTTTTTACATGACAAAAAATATTATCTCATTCCTACCATCCAAAAACATCTAATTCATTTTATTAATGTCAAGAGCACATTCCAAATTTTTATATTAGTAAGAAAAAAGACAAATATAATAACAAGCAATTTTTATTACAAAAAAAATTAGTGTTAATAGCATTTTTTTAAAAGTATATGAAACATTCTTATATCGATATTATGACTATATTTCTTATGCTAATATACTTTAAATTGTCTTGTTATATTCAAAAGCATTGATATTTACATTGTATAAAGACTTTTGGTAATGGTGTCAGAACTGTCCAGCTCAGCAACCAAAGAGCTCCACTGTTTAAAAGAGAAGAAATATGATTTACTTATTTTATTTTGTAAAACATACATATGATTGATATTCACTGTAATAATAATTTTATCCAGATCCTTGGAACTAAAGAATAATTTGTGTGAAAAGAATGGGTACATAGGGTATGGAGATAATGGCTATTTCATTAGAGTTACAGTAAAGTCTGATAAATATAAGCAATCACAAACAATATGTGTGTCGTATTGTAGTACAATGTTTATTAGCGATGATTGTAGCATAGTATTAATGCGATATTTGGCTATGACAGATTTTTTTGGAATTTTAAGCTTTGACATGATCACAATAGAAGGAAACATTATCAAATGACTATGTATGTTATATTTTATTATTCTACAGCAATTTTAAACATTGTAGTTAATATCATTAAGTATTTAACAAATAAAAATAAAATTTTCTTTTCATAGGAGTATTCTAGTATGGATTTGAACACTACAGATATAAAAACTTATGAGATTGTACAAAAGTTATGTGTATTTATTCAAATAGTGTGGCGGCAAAGGCGCAGGGCGGGGTGTGTATAGAGAGGATGATTTGAGAGAATTGATTGGGTATTATTTGGGCATTTTTTTGAGCTATTTCTTCATATATGAAAGAGTTGTGTAAATCAAGATAATTGTAGAAGAATAGAAGAATTAGATTTTTCTATAACTTTGTATTCGATTTTTATTTCTTGAATGGATTTGTTTTTTCTTACGGAGATAAAAAGTATTTTTTGTTCAAAAGATCTGGTGGGACATTTTTTATCGGCGGGTAGATGATTTTGATGACAGTTAAGACAGGATGGATTCTTTTCTTATCATTGTCATGGCAGGTATCGGATGGATGAATATTTCCACAGTATAAGCATCGAGGACTATTTGATTTGCAAATTGCTTTAGTGTATTCATATCTAAAGCAGTTCGTGCAGAGCCCTACATTAGGAATATAGGTTTCTATGATTGAATAGATAAATGAACTGTGGAAGTATTCGTCCTTTGAATTCGGACGGTTTCGATAGAAGGTATGTGGATTGATTTTAATTTTTTTTCATCTAATGTTCTTCTGTTGAATCTACGTATTTTTATGGGTTGAGTATCTTTATAATATACAGGGATATCTATGTTTTTAGTATTTCTTCTTCGGTTAAATTTCTGGGAATTCCTTTGAGTATGCCATTTTTGTACACGTAAGAATGGGGAACTATCGCTTCTAAATCATTTTTTAAATATTTGATATCATTTTTTAACAGTTGAGTTGCAATTTTCCTCTGATGGGTAATGATGATAAATCTATTTTTGCCTGAATATTTAATTTCATGGAAGGCATTGTCCGGAAAATCATCTCCCATATTCAATGCGCAGGCGCATCTCTAGCAGAAGTACTTAACTTAGAGGACTGCGAAGATAGCCCCCGGGTTTTCATGGGAAATTGTTAGCCAAAAAGGGGAAAACGGCACTAATTGCTCTAATTGTCGCTGATGTACGTGGTAATTTCCCATTTACGATTAATCAACGGAAAATAGGGGAAAATCGCATTTTTCCGTTTACCTACTCACTAGCTGATTTCTCCAGAAATTATTATTCGATTTTTATGGTTAAGGTCTCAAAATTAAGATTATACTTTCCCACGCCATCCCCCGTATTTACATGATCGCTAAATATTATTAATTTTAAATAAAAATTCATAATAACATTGATTCCCCGAGTGGCGGGAAAACTGTTTCATTCCGTATTTCTACGTTTCGTGGACCAAGAAGCAGAGAGTATTATACCAATGAAATGGTATTATACACGTCGTATAGACTTTAGTCGGTTTGAATTGTATTGTTGTTAAAAAATATAACATTCTATGTAATTAACTGCATAATAAATAAATGGATATGAAAAAACAAGTTTATTATTTGCGAGTGTACATTATTTTATATTTCTCAAATTCTCTGTTTCTCGAGGCCAGCTTCCAAGTTGGGTAAGTGCGAGATGACGTTATCGAGACACTCGAGCTACTGAGCGCAATATCTAAAAGTCCTATGGCATCGAAGGGTACCTATATAGCATTTAGCCTAATTATCAATGAGATCAAATATAGTGTTACAATTGCGCAAAAAGAGAAAAGAAAGAATTACTGACCAAACCGAACACAAGACATCGATGATAAATGTCAGTAGATTTAATGAGAACGATCGGACTGGCAATGGTACCAAATTCACGGATTCCAAATTGAAGTACAGGTTCAATTTGCCCAACTTATAGGTGTGCTCTTTGTACGAGTTTCAACACGTATATAAAATTTATTTAATATAAAATAAAATTATCTTCAGAACGATAATAAAATATTTGATTTGAAATAAATAAAAGTACCTATTACCTATAGCCAACTCCCCGGCTACGCCGTGTATAATACACTCTGCTTCTTGGTCCACGAAACGTAGAAATACGGAATGAAACAGTTTCCCGCCACTGGGGGCATCAATGTTATTATGAATTTTTATTTAAAATTAATAATATTTAGCATTAATGTGAATACGGGGGGTGACGTGGGAAATTATAATCTTAATTTTAAGACCTTAACCGTAAAAATCGAATAATAATTTCTGGAGAAATCAGCTAGTGAGTAGGTAAACGGAAAAATGCGATTTTCCCCTATTTCCCGTTGATTAATCGTAAATGGGAAATTACCACGTATATCAGCAACAATTAGAGCAATTAATGCCGTTTTCCTTTTTTGGCTAACAATATCCCATGAAAACCCGGGGGCTATCTTCGCAGTCCTTTAACTTAGTTACTTTTCATTGACGAAGCGCCAAATTATAAAATACTCTAGTTAATGTTCTTTGTAGTGGGATCATTGTAAAACTGTAAAGATTTATAATGTAGCTCTGATTAAATTACTATTTAAATTTCTGCAATTATGTTAATACAAAATAAATATTGAAAGGTTTTTATTTTAAAAGTGTTTAAATAATTTCCGAGTTATTCTAAACATTACTTGAGTACAATAGTGCATTCTGATAAAAAATTTTTTTTAATTTATATCTATGATAAGATATCATAGGATAAAGGTGAACCAATGTTGAACAAAAACTGTTTCAAAGCAAATTTTAATAAACGAGATGTTACGTAAATTTTCTCTAAGTTCTTATTCTATTTTTATAGTCATCTTTTCTGTTTATGCGATTCTGTTTTCAGAATTCAATGCAGAAAAATGTGAACCAGCAGGTAAATATTATTCGTTGAAATACGTTGATCAATAAAAAATTTCATTCTTAAAAAATGTTGATATTTCTGTAAATTTACATCCATACATTGACTAATATTTTTATGTAAACCATGTAGTCGTAGAAGAATATCGATATTTGTATGCCCTAATAATTAATGATTTATTCGTGACATTTTATAATTGTGGCTTTTATAAAAATAAAAAGGATTGAACAAAACATGCTCCTGCGGAAAATGTTTTCCTGGATTGTTTTGCAACAAAAGTGAAATTTGTACCATTGACATTGGTTAGCAAAATATAATTGATTATATACGTATATCAATGCTTCTATAAATTTATACTTTTATTATTTCATTGAAGGTAGTTGTATCTCACATCAGTGGATTGATGGTAAATGGAAACCGAAGTGCGAAATAGATGGTACTTATTCGCCTGTACAATGCAAAGGGGAATTTTTAAATGGACGGTATAATTTTCTTAATAATAATACTATAAAGTATAGAATTATTTATTTTCGACACTCCGTGCGGAAAGTGCGTTTTTCCCGCACGCTCGGCAAGAAACGTGTGTTGAAAATCGCACTTTCCACACGTCGTATAAAAAAATACGGTACGTCACATGTTCGGGAAAGAGTTTCTCGTCTTGTGTACCTTTCCACCCTCGCTTCGCTCGGGCGTAAACGCCACACGAGGCCAGAATCTACTTTCCTGCACTTGTATCGTAATGTACTATTTGTAACTATAATATAATCATCCACAAATTATTTCCAAACTTCATTTTCAATATTTATTTTTCATAAAAATTAAATAATTAATAATATAAAGCGACTACGAGAACGTAATTTTTTATATATATAGAACTTGTATACAGTATTTTTTTCTATTGTAAGATATCCAAATACCGAGCTTACAAAGTAGATTATTAATAAAAGAGACACTATTACAAATAAATCAGAACCTCCCTTTACATGTCAATACTTTTCAACAATTTTATTGGAAAGATCTGTTCAATGACAATATGATTAGAAAATAAACAATGCCAAGGGAATAATATTACTACTCAATTTCATATAAAAAATTATTAATTTATTTTATAAATAGTTTAATTAATTGATTCAATAGCACAGTCCTCAATAACTGTGTAATCGATTAATTCACATATTCTATGCACCAAATTTTGTATAATGAATAATGTATTGATAGCTTGGTGACACATAAATATTTGTTGATCCTTGGGCATAACTGACATTGTCTTCATAGATGGTTGCCAATTATCAATAAAATGCTGATTTTCACTAACATTTCCATTCAAATAGTCCAAATACCTTTTCCACTCAACAAGTTGAACTTTGACTAGGTGGCTTAACAATTTTATAAATTTATAATTAGACTTGCAAAAAAGTTGTATCACTTCATTATTTTCTTTCTTTCGTATGACATAAAAAATTATAAAATTAACTGTTGGTATTAACTGATCTGACATTTCAATTAAATCAGTATTCATGCCATCTTTTAGGCAACAAATTTTAGAAATTATATCTTGTAGGCTATTATCAAAGAACATTCTTTCTTTTTCATCAATTGATTTTTTGAAATATGACTGTGCAACAGTATCCTTGAATATAACTATTGCTATTCCAATAATTTTAACATGACACTTCAATGTTACAAGTTTTTGTAATATTCTGTATTTTGCTTTGATTTCAAATTTATTAATATATTGAATAATTATATTTATCACATATTTTTGAACTTTGACAGAATCATTACTTTCTACTAAATTTATACAGTTATGCATAAATTTATCATGAACAATTGAATTAATATAATCCATTGGAATAGACTGTCCACTAATATTCAAAGTAAAATCAATAAGATTTAAAATTCTTGAAATTATAATCTGTTGATTTGGTATTTCATACATTACATGATTTGATAATTGCATTAAGCAAAAAATAATAAATATTGGATTATAAACACACGGAATATACTTATGTTTTTTTTCACTACATAAAATTACCCAACATACATTAGATAGCTGAACATAATTCATATTTATGAAAGGGTAGTAATTAGTGAATATTGACAAACAGTTTCTTTTTGTACAATCATTACTAACACTATTAACTGATTTTTTTATTTTAGTATTATGCTTTAAATAAATCAAGTATATTAAATCAATTTCTGTGTAGAAAATATTTAGAACTTTATGAAATATAAAATTACAGTTCTCATTACTCATGTTTATATAATTAAAAGTATCACCAAAAATAGAAATAAGTAATTTAAATATACAATGTTTTATATTCACTGCAATATTCTTCCAAGCTCTATTATGAATTGATTTAGAATTCTTATAAATATTATCTATAAAATTAATTACATTAATATAATACAAGACAATTTCTTCTATATTATGATCATTAAGATCATTACTTGATTCTTGATTTGGTAAAGGTAAATTCTTTAAAAACTTAGTGATTGTATCTATACACATATCTAACATTTTTAAAGGATTTTTACAACGTAATAAGCACAACTCCAAGGAATAAAATAGTGTGTTAAAATTTCGCTTGATTACTGAGAGTTCTATTTGCTCAAGAATATACAAAATTAATTCATTAGCATGACAATGACTTGCCATAAAAATCATGACCTTTTCACAAGCATGGTTAATTTTCTTTTTGTTTATTCCATGGTCTTCACACAGTATCATGACAATTATTTCTAAAACCTCATAGCTATATTTTTCAATAACCTTTGTACATTCAGAATTTTGTAAAAAATCCTGCAACTCTTTTTCAGAGCTTTCATGAATATATTTTATCAAATGGTAGGAAAAGAATTGAAAAACTTTTGTTGTATGTTTTGCACTATATATACAACATTTGTATCCATCGGCCGAAATGTTTTTAAGTGACATTTTAAAAAACTGATTGATTGTTGTTAACTATTTATCTTTTCATAGTAATTTCCCATAGATTAGCAGACTGCTGATACTAGTAAAAAATATAATATATTTATAGCTATAATGACGGCTTATAGATATTACTTTTACCAACGAATATAAGTGTCTACATTCGTTGCTTTCACTAATTATAATTTCATGGAAATATAACCTAACCCGATACCGGCAACGTCATTGTTTGATTTAACTCAACCAATCAGAAGATTCGAAGTTTGAGAACGTTTCCCGCGTGAATGACGGTTACTTTATGCGATCTCGCCCACTTTCTCGTACGTTCCCGCCAAACGTCGACATGTGGAACTTGGCAGAACATCTTGACGACCGACATACTCTATAAAAAAGTTTTAGAAATATTTAAATAGTATACACTCTTATAGTGGACAAGTCTTGTTTTATCTCGTGTATGCAACGTTGTTAAAAAAATTTTCTTAAAATGTATGTTCAAGTAGTGACAATTGATGGCAAAAAAAAAACAGTGCTCAATGTTTCCAAATTGACAAAAATTCGTGATCTAAAACAAGATATTGAGCAAGAATTTGACATCAAGACAAACAAACAAAGTCTTTTCTTTCGTGGAAAACATCTGGAAGATGACGGCACTCTGTATGATTACAGTATCAACATCAACAATGTCATCCAGGTAAGTTTTTTAAATCAACAAATGTTTTGTATTAGTTATTTATTTGTTTCTTTGAGTTAATTTGATTCTTATAAATTATTATTATGATTAATAAATTAACAATATCTGTTTCAGGTAATGATCAAATCTGAACAAGATAAAGACAATGGAATAAAAATAGAAAAAGTAGAAAAGAAAAAAGAGAAAGGTAACAAAGGAAATGAAGAAAAGAAAGAAGAAAAAACAGAAAATCCAAGAGAAGAAGAAGAAGAAGAAATTGATGCTACAAGTGAATATTACAAAGTAGGTGATGCGGTTGATTGCACTGATAACTCTCTTGGATCTTGGTTTGAAGCACAGATTATCAAAATATTTAGAAAATCAGGCAAATTGTTGTACAAACTTAAATGGGATTTGCCAGACACCAAGCATGATGACCCATTTGACATCGAGGAACATTCAATCAGGCCTAGAGCATGGAAAGCATTGAATTTTAATGATTTGGATATTGGACAAAAAGTAATGTTAAATTATAATCTAGAAGATCCAAAAGAGGTTGGTCATTGGTATGACTTCACAATAAAGAAAATAAGAAATGTGAAAACTTTGAAAGAATTAATAGGCACAATACATATTGGGAATACTAGTCAGTCTGTAGAAAATTGTACAGTTAATACAAAACTTGATATTTATGAAATAGCAAAACCCATTTTAATTGCTGATAGAAATGACGAATTGATATCATCTCATGTACCTAAAGATCGTAGAAAATATCCTGTAAAGTGCACAACTTGTTATGATAATCCAAAAAAGAAATGTAAAGAATGTAGCTGTAGAAAATGTGGCAAAAAGAATGACCCTCATCTCACTTTACTTTGCGATGAATGTGATGTTGCATATCACATAGGTTGTTTGAGTCCTCCTTTGACTGAATTGCCTACTGATGATGATTGGTATTGTCCTGATTGTAAAGTAAATGCAAATGAAATAGTGAAAGTTGGTGAAAAAATTGTTCCAAAGAAAAAGCACAGTAATGTTGTTGGATCAAACAGAGATTGGGGTAAAGGCATGGCTTGTGTGGGTAGAACAAAAATTTGCACAATAGTTCCCCTTAGTCATAGAGGTCATATTCCAGGAATTGAAGTTGGAACAATGTGGAAATTTAGATTTCAAGTGTCAGAAGCAGGTGTTCATAGACCTCATGTAGCTGGGATTCATGGACGGGCAGAAGATTGTGCTTATTCTATTGTTTTATCAGGAGGCTACGAAGATGATGTGGACAATGGGGAGGAATTCTTCTATACTGGCTCCGGTGGTAGAGACTTGTCTGGCAATAAAAGAACTGCAAAACAAAGTTGTGATCAACGGCTTACATTGATGAATAAGGCCTTAGCTTTGAATTGTCATGCTAAAATAAATGAAAAACAAGGTGCTGAAGCTGATGATTGGAAAAAAGGCATACCCATTCGTGTTGTAAGAAATTTCAAGCTAGCAAAACATAGTACATATGCTCCTGAAGATGGTAACAGATATGACGGCCTGTACAAAGTTATCAAATATTGGCCTGAAAAAGGTCAAAGTGGTTTTAAGGTTTGGCGTTATCTACTAAGAAGAGATGATCCCACTCCAGCTCCTTGGACAGAAGAAGGCAAAAGTAGAATAGCTGAGTTAGGTTTGAAAATGATATATCCTGAGGGGTACAAGGAAGCTCAGGAGAAGAAAGCAGGAATCAAACGCAAATCAGATGATGAAACTGAATCTGTTGGTAACGAAGAAAATACTCCTGTAAAGAAAAGAAAAACTACTTTTAAGTTGAGTAGCGAAGTCTTAAAGATGATAATGAAAGATTCAGCTAATGCTAAATTGTGGAAGCAATGTAAAGAGTTTATATCTGAAGGAAAACAGGCATACTTTGAGAAAGTTTCAACAGAGTTTGGTTGCATTGTTTGTCAAGACTTGGTATTTCAACCTATTACTACTCCTTGTGGGCATAATATTTGTTTAAAATGTTTGAAGCGTAGTTTCAAAGCTAGCACTTATGCTTGTCCCATGTGTCGGAATCCACTAGATAAAGACTTCAATATGCAGATCAATGATGTTCTTTCTTCTATTCTACTTACACTATTTCCAGGATATAATAAAACTAGATAATTAATCTTCATATTTCTTTAGTGAAATTATTGAAACTGCTAACTTATTCCTCAAGAGAGTCAGTATTAAATATTTATAAATCAATTGTACTTGATATTTTATAAACATTTAGTGTCATTTATCATTGACTATTTTATAATGACTGGAATTTTCTGAATTTCGTTGAAATGATTAGGAGTATAATTATTCAATGTAATTTGGTACATTCTGAACATCAATTTCTCTTTTATAAGTTCAATTTTATTTTTTGTGTTAAATTAATTTTTGTTCATCATATCAATATTTGAATTGTGAAAGTATGATACACTCCAAGTGCTTTGTAGGATTATCTTCTTTATATTCTTGTATTTGTAAAAATAATTGTTACAGTGACGAAAACATTCTTTTATATTTGTAATAAACTGTGTTAATAATCAATTCTGATATAAATTTATTTATTGCCCATCATGCTATAAGTTTGAATAAAAGTTATTATTTTTATTTTAGTTTGATTTTCAAAACATTTGTTTGTTGAAAAATGCATAACGAATGTTTCACAGAATATATTTAAAAAAATAATAAGCCAATGATTTTTCCCGAAAATTACTACAGATATTCAACTAACTTTTTTTAAAGTTAGATAAATGTTTTGATCTTCTACAAAAAACTTCGTATTCTTTTAGCACTAGTATACATAAATGTGATAATAATAACGATATTATTTTTCTTGTAGATGTTTTTGTTATAATTCTACTGGATCAAGAATTTTCGGATGGTCTTGGTGGAAGTTTGCCGAAAATATGACATGTAGTAAGTTTAATTATTTTTTCAATAAATACATTACTACTACGATTAGATACCAGGTGTATGCATAAGTCTGTGGCGGTCGAGCCTCGGTTGGTGCCGCCACCTGCGGGCCGGAATCGTCAGCGTGGAAAGCGTCTCCGATTCGAATTAGCCGACTTATTGGGACTTATTGGGGGACTTATTGGGGCTTAGAGTGATGAGTAGAAGACGATTTGCTCTTCCTGGCTCTCATTAAGCGGGTCAGGCGGATTAGTTCATAGCCTGGCGGCGTATATAAAAGGACGTTTATCGATGCATCAGCATCTGTATCAGCCGAACTGCTGACCGTTGTCGAGTCAATCACCGGCACCATCGTCCACCGATCTACACCATCGTCCGCTGAGTTTCATCACCGACCGCTGGGCCACGCTGCATCGCCCGTGTTTGCGTCAGCCGCTTTGCTCAAGCAGGATTGCCCTGCTTGTGGCGCTCACGGGCCCCCTGCGGACTAGCTGCCATAATGCCTGTTTTTTATAGGGCCCAATCCTAATTAAAAGAAAAAGTTATTTGCTGTGAGGGTCCTCCGGTGCGGTTGCGACCGTACACCGAGGCATCCTCTTTTGATTAGGGCTACGCCTTTCGATATCTCGGGCCCTTGAATTTTATGATTGATTTTGATAGCAAAAATCCTCAGGAACGCACAGGAGCAAAAATTTTTCAAAAAAAAAAAAATATACTTTTTGAGATATTAGCAATTGTTTAAACAAAAAGTTAATAACTATCAAAAAAAAATTTTTATTGTTTATTATAGTAATTATTTCGAAATTTAAAGACATTATAAGTATTTTGAAAAAATCCGATTCGATATCTTTATTAGTTTTTAAAATATAGCCTTTTGAAAACTTTTTACCATTTTTCCTTAATTGTTAATAACTTTTTATATAATTAATGTGTCGTCATCAAAATTTGGGAAAAATCTCATTTTTATGTATACAACAATTGTGCCAAATTGAAAATAAATCCGTAACCTAAGGGTTACACAAGTCAGTCGAAATAGCCAAGGGTTATATAACTCAATTGAAGCTTAAATAAAAAAAATTGAAAATGAGTGCAATCATCAATTGTTTTAGACTATGTTATTGAAATTAATTGAATGAAGTTTTGAAAAAGAATTGTTATGGCAGGTTGCAGTCTTCATTCAGAGAAATTGAGCATTGACAGAGAAGATGTGTCCTTGCATTGTGCAGAAAATGGAAATTATGAAGAGATGCAATGCGACAATGGCTTATGCTGGTGTGTAGAACCGATGTCAGGCAAACCGACACAACGAGTTTATCCCGAATCAATGATGACATATTTACCTTGCTGTAAAATCTATTGATAACTTTTTATTTCCTGTACAAATATGACATATTTTAAAGTCAGCTCTAATTTTTAGATAATAAAAGGAACATAGGTTATAAATATTTACGACAATGTGAAAGTAAAAGCGTTGCCAGGGCTAAATTACTTAAACGTTTGAAGTACCACGGGCATGAATTTTTTAACGTAGAAAAAGTTTTTTGCGATAAAGATGGAACTTATGGATATTATAATATCAACGGCAAATAGTAATTATACAATTGTACTTTCTCTTTAACGCGTAATGATTTCTATTTTTTAAAAATTAAATTTACAATGCTTTCAGCATACAGTGTTCATGGAAAGACGGTAAAAGAATCGATATTTATCAGGCTGAAATTAAAAACATTAAAAATATAAATTGCAGTAAGTAATATCATAATCAAACATTACACTTGTACATTCTATTTTTTAAAATGTATAAAATACTAATACTAAAAATACAAAATAATCATAAAAATAAATGATTTAAAAAATATATAAAATAATTTAGTGGCTATAAAAAACTTGTTCTAGATTGTGCTCGTGATTCTATCATATTTGCTGAATCTAAAGTTGAATTTAGATCAACTTGTAGTAGTAATGGAAATTATGACTTTCTTCAAAATACGAATGAATATCCGTTTTGTATCGATAGTGATGGCTTTTTCACAGGAAAAATAGGCAATATTGGAGAAGAATTAACATGCAATGGTTAAATGGAGCGAATATTTAACAGTATTATGTTTCATAGAAGAAAATAAAAAGATCCGATATCTACAATAGAGGAAGTACTTAAAATAAAAACGACTCTTTAAAGAGAGTTATTTATATATTTTCAAAGCTTTGAATGGTAACAGAATGTCTCATTTGTAGAAATATTGTGAAGCAATTGTTAATCATTTTTAAGTACTGATTTATATTGTACATTTTTATTTATCTGCCAAATAAAATTAGAATTTACCTACCGGCTTACCGGCTGATTAAACGTTTAATATTGCATAATACACACACACACATGTACACACGCACACACATATGTATGTATGATGTATATATGTGTGAATTAGTTGCTTTAATAAACCTTAATATTTCGCTTTGTGATCTTCAAAGTAGAAATATTATTAAAATAATAAAGTTAAGTTTCACTAATTCAATATAGCAATAAAATTACGCACTGTCATTGGAAATAAACCATAAATCGACATATTCGTATATAATTCATAGATTTTGAATAATAAAATTTTAGAAGAACAATAATGGAACCAGCCATCTGTGGACTATAAATTTGATTTATAATGTATATATTATTCACTGTATTTAGTCTTACGTGATAAAAACTTCAATTTGAAAAAAAGATTATTTTGTTAAGCTATTTGAATAATTATTTTGGTAAACCACCCTATTGACCATCGTTCAAAAGTTATGCGTGGAAAAAATATTGAAAATAGCATTTGTGTCATCATTTCTAAAATGTTATTCTGTGCTTTTACTGTCCTGAAACGATAATTTAAAAATAGTACATGGTATTTATTTGGCCATCTGTTTAAAAACTATGAACTGAAATATCATCTAACCCATACTTAAGACAAGCGGACGGTCACATAGAACGGAAAATTGCTTCCTAATTATTCTCATTGATATAGAAGACTAATTTTATCATAAAATCTATCATGTACCCATAACATTTTGGCAAGTATGTTTCTGCTCAATTTCTACATTTATGAAATCTCGCTGTGAATCTTTAATATCTGTGCATAAGTTTTTCTTCGCAACTTTTTATACAGATTTGAATATAATCTTGTCATGTAAATATAATCTTTGACTATCACAAACAAATCCATCAAACTCGTACTTGATGAATAGATGAATGAATTATCGCATGAATACATAATTCTTTTGATAAATAAAATTAGATGGTAATTATTCGTTAAAAATATCGCATCAATAAGTATACGTACATATACCGTTTGAAAGACAATTGTTACTTTGCTATCGAAAACGTGGCAAGATCATCTCAGCAGAGTAACCGGAGTTTTTAAGTATTTCTACTCTAAAAACAGAAAAAAGAATACTGTTAGAATTTCCATACAACAATCTGATACTTTTCTTATAAATTCAACAAAGACAACAAGATAAATTTATTAAAAGTATAAGAATAAAATTTAATCATAAAAATGGCGATAGATATTCAATCATCGCTAGAATCATCTTTTGAGTTTATTATATTGCATTGCACTTGAAATGTTGAAGACGAGGAATGACTTTTACTTATTATACTTATATATCAGTCTAGTAGTAATTAGTATTATAACCCTTTTTCCCCGATGATTGTAGTTCGATGACAATTAGTTCTATTTTGAAGCGATCTTACCGATTATTTATTTTATTAAAGCTATAAAAGTCATTGTTTAGGTGACTGTAGTGTCAGTCTCCAATATCCATATTTCAAAAAATGCTACAAGATGGATCTTTTTTAAGCTCTATCCTGTTTCTCTGTTTCTCTCTCTCTCTCTCCCTCTCTTCTCTCACTCTCTTTTGCTCTCAATTTTTTAATCCAACATAGCACCGTCGACAAAATATTTCGCAGCTGGCGCGGATACAAATATAAAGCAACCAAGCGCTATGATCGTTGCTAAAAATTATAGGTCCAGGTACCTTTAGCCGATTGCATATATTTGAAGTGAGAGGTTGAACTTCGAATGTCGGAGCTTTCGTTTGTTCCGAGGCAGTCTTGACTAAGGGCTCTGCAGGAGCGAGTGAAGAGGCTCGTCGAACAGGCAGTAGCAGGTCGATGTGAAACGACGGGAATACTGTTGCTGCTGTTGACTTGATTCACACTTTTGTTGGCTTCGCCTTCTTCATTAACTGCATCAACGAGGGAGTCTCTCAGCCGGCTAGCGAACTCCTTGGGAAACTTGTCGAGCAGGGCATGGCAGAGGCTATCCTCGCGACTACAGGTTGCTGAGGAATCAAAGCCTCCGACTGTCTGATTGAGATTGTATTCATTTGCTGCGGCGCTCGAACAGTGGCTGTAGGTGAGGGTCGAGTCGAGCGAGTCCGAGTACTCGGGACTGGTGCTCGGTACCAAAACCCTCTTAAGACTCGCTAATCGCTGACGAGTCTGAACTACCGTCCCCTTCTTTGATTCGGGACGGTGTCAGAAGTATCATTCCTCCAGTTCTTCGATGCGACTCCTCACTGCCATCTCTACCACCTCGAGACTTGGATAATCCAGTTCTTTTACCAAACACAGTACCGCCGACAGTATGTTAGAGTTCTGCAAGAAAAACCATTCGATTAGGAGTTTTTTACTTTATCTAACCATTGAATGCCAAGCTTTTGTAATTGTGCCAAATTCAGTTTGCTACGATTTCCATAGTGCCGCACTCTAAAATTAATTGATTTGAACCCGCCTGAAGTTCAAATTAATTGCGATCTTAACTGCCTCGTGATTTGGCTATTCTTTATTGTATCTTTCTAAATGTAAGTTTGACAACTTTCTTTATTCTCTTTAAAAGAACGCCAAATTATATAAAAAGTACCATAAAAATAATAACAGTCATAAGTATTTCGCGTTACAAATGGGTAGTAATTTGGCTCGAGTAACAATAAGTACTTGGCTGTCTAACAGTGGTTTCACGGTGAAGGATGTGATTATGGTAAAAAAAGACCGGATATTGTACTGACCGATTTTACATAACGTTTATTGTTTATGACGTAACGTACCCTTGTCACTGGCCGCCTCTGATATTGAAACTGCGATCGCCGCTTGTCCTCACCGCGCCTCGCCCAGCTAGTGCTTTGATTGAAATCGTCCTACTCAAAAACAAGTTACAGTTTTAATTATTGGAACTTTGAATTTTAACAAAATTTAAAGGTTGTTATTGAATGTACCCGTTCCATGCTTTGATTCATCATGCCTCTTTTTGATTGAGACGATTGTGGTCTCTGAGGCTCTTCATACTCTATCCGTCTCTCATCGATGTATTCAGCCTGTGGATATTGCGTCCGAGGAGAAACGGGAGTATATATTCGCTGATTTTCATAATCGCCATTATGTCTTGGTATTGCGGTTCTTTCGTTACAGTCCTGAAATATATTATCAAGATTTCAAAAATTTTGTTTACTATCATAAAACTGCTGTGACAAGAGCAGGATTTATTTGAACCAATGTTAATTTATTATGTTAGGTTGACGTTATATTAGTATAGCCTAAATGACAGTTTACCTGTTGAATTTCAAGAATTTTAGATGCAGCAGAAATTTCTACATAGCTATTGTTACGTAAGTTGTTATCTGTATTCTTTATTCGTCCGTTTTGCTGTTAGTGTACAAGAAACATGTTTTAAAATGATTAATAAAAGATGTTTAGATGAATGTTATACCTTCTAACAACATACATTAACAGTGATTACGTTTTATTAATATATAACTAGAATTGGAAAGAAAAATGTACCTCATATGAATATCGGTTATTTGACGAATATTGATGTACAGGCGATGTATTGTAATTAGCATTCCGCTTATCAGTTTCTTGGTAATCATCTACACTTGGAGGTTCATCATAACTTCTCTGTATGAAAGATATCAGAAAATGATATTGTTAGTTTCATCGATCTTCATTTTCATAGTTAACAAAAGCGAATGTTTGATAGAGATATAGATGAAATTCAAGAAAACAAGCAAAAATTAGTTTAATACCTGGTCATCAGAAGAACTGTAGTTCCTTCTTTCATCCATGTCTTGCTCTTCTGAATATTTAGCCATGACAACCTAATGTTGTAAAGCATTAATTATATGCCATGCTTAAATTTAGATAGTTATGAGCGATTATTCAATGCACACTGTCTTATTATTTAATTAAATAATCACAAGTAGTCTTAAAACTCGTCAAGCGTTATTAAAAGAAAAATTGGCAATTGTCAATTAAACACAAATATTTTTAATTTTTCTAATAGTAACTCACTTCTGGACTGCCATGGCCAGACTGTGGGGATAAAGGTTCTTCTTGCATTGTAGATAAAGGATGAACTAGCGCTTTTCCACGAAGCATTGCTGTTTGAACTTCTTCAGGAGTAACAATTTTTTCATCTAATTTTTCTAAATTTGGCAAGGCTTTTATTACAGCTAATCGGTATCTAAAACACAGTAATGTAAGTATTAAAGTTTGTATGTTTACATGGAGTTCTTGAAAAGAAAGTGATTTCTTACCCTTCAACATCAGCACAAGGATTTTCACCAAGCCATAAATTCCTTAAATTTGGAAGTCTTTGCAAAAAGCAAACTTCATTTAAGTCTCTAATTTTATTTCTTCTTACAAACAGATCTTTCAAATTGAGGCAATTTTGAAAATCAGCAAGACTATTGATGTTGTTTACACTAAACAAATAAAAATAAAGTATCAGTTTGTTTGTGTTTGTAAATATAAATTGTCAATCTTTAAATTTTATAAACTCATAATGTTTTTGTGTGTGTGAAATTAATTATTTATAAAATATTATGTATAAGTTTACAGAAAACAAATTTTCAAATAATAATTTGAATTGAATTTTGGAATGAATGATTCACTAAAAAACATGAGGCTCTCATAAATTTGAGCTTATTTGACACCTTTGAAAGAAATTATATCCTGCTTCCCATATAAGAATGTGTGGGCAGAACAAGTTTTTGATCTGTGGAATGTAATCATAATGTATAATGTACAAATACGAGTATAGTTAACCAAAGCTAGTTACATTGGAAAAGATTGTGATGACTGAAGATAAGAGTGATGAATAAAAAGTGAAAGCATAAATAAGATGTAAAAGTAAATCCAATTAAACATTAATTTCATGAGTTTCATTTCACAGTTTATAGCACTTGGCTTGTTGAACGCGCTATACATGTAAAGTTTTTGTTCTGAATTAGCATTGAACTTGAACAATAAAGACCTTAAGGTTACCATGTAAGGAGATGTGATGAGTCACGTAATTGAATTTTGATTTAGCAATGTAAGTAGCAATACAAACAAGCCAAATGAAGTGACTATTAAATTTGAAAAATTGTTAAAATATACCTCAACGACAAGACTTCAACATTTGTCATCTTGCGTAAAATGCTGACATCAGTCAATTCTGTTCCCCTGCACATAAGCAACAACTAATTAGGCACAATAAGAAAACAATAATGGCATTGTCTTATGGACATGAAAGAATGAGATGTCGGTCGATGATATTTAGTGAAATCTTACCAGCAATTGAGTTTCTTGACAGCCGAACAATCGGATACTCGAGTCCGAGCGGCGACCATCTCCTCAGTCAAGCGAACCATTGTCGATTCGAAGAATGTTCACACAGGTGCGAAATCAAGTGCTACGAGAGTGAGGTTGGAGGCAGGTGTGTATGTGTTATAGTAGATGACAGTGGACTGAGACAAGAAGAGAGCTAACAGAGGAGCGATAGAAAGGGTGGGAAATCTGACAGAAAAGGAGTTCGAGTCAAGAGAGCTATGAGTATAAGATAGTTTCGAGCTGCTGAACACTTTCACGGAGAATTTTCAGGTGGTAGTTGCCGTAGCCGCAACATCTTGAGGCCTTGTCGCCGCGACCGCCAGCAGCAACGAGCCGATAAACAAAAAACACTCACCGATCTCCCGCGAACACAGACACGGAGAGAGCATCGAGGTGCAGCAGGTAGCTGCTGTAGGAGGTAGGAAATCTGAGGAGACGCGTTATTTAGCAGACGAGGAGGCAAGTGCGGAAGGAAGAATAGCGACGGCGCCGCATTGACAGCCTAGAATGCACTGAATCAGACACTGAATTGGCTTGCTAGCTAGCGAGGCGAGGAGATCCGCTCTCTCTCTCCCTCTGCTCTCTACACGATTCTGCTCCTACTCTCGTGCCAGCTCCTTGGTCTTGCGTTGCGGTTTCCCTACGTGTTTGTGTGATGATGTTATGAAGCTCGCGAGTAAGTATAAGTACACTGTATCACATTCGGAATTGGACTTGCGGCGGCGACGGTTCCACGCACACGCGCTTCGCTCTGCGGCTATATATGTGCACTGTCGTCGCCTACTATGCCGCGAGCAGTATCGGAATTAGAACTTTGAGGCCTCGAGTAACTTTTATACCTTCTTGTCTTACCTCACTTTGATCCTCCTTGCATTTCTCTATCTACCTCTATCGCGCTGCTTTTCCTTTTTGTCGATTATTGTCATCCAGTTTCGATGTTACACGTGGTTTCTTTGCGCAATCGCAAAACGCAACTATACTATATTAATAAACTATATACTTTTTTTAGATAATTTACAAGTTGGTATTTTTTTTTTAAATTCACTGTTTACAACCTTACTTTCGAGGTACTCGAAATAATACATTCCAAGTGTCAATTCCATTTTTGCTTTCCTTGTGAGTAAAAAAATTTACGTTCATAACTATTAAACGCAAACGCACACAACGTTTTTTTATATTAACGCTATTTCAAAAACAGCAAATTAACTTAGTCGATATATAACAAATAATATGATTTTAAACAAGTTAGAATTCATAATTGGTAAGTTTTAATGAAAAATGAAAAGGAAATTGTTTGTGAAAGGCTTATACGAATGTGGAACTAAATATTAAAAAACAATGAGAAAAATAGGCGTTATTCGTAGGTTTTATAAGTCCTACTACATAGGCAGTGAAATCAAAGTTAAAGCACAACTGAATCAAGAGGAATCCAGTTGAAGGGAATAAAACGTTGGAGAGACCGGGAGAAAGTGCTATTTTAAAATGGTATCAAGTCAATTAACACCGCAGCAAATTATTATAAAGAGATGAGGCGCGCACGCTCTACATTTGAAAGTGAAGTGCGTGTACGTAGTGCCGTAGTAGGTACTGAGTTTTTTTTTAATGGCTGCGTGGCCCACATTTTCGCTTCACGCCATATAGACTGAAGCGGTGTCGTGTTGTTGAACGCTATAAACAGTCACCTTTGCTTTGCTTCATGGCTTAAATGCGTTGCGTGATGCCCGTAGCTGCAATCTTTTCCAATGTACATATGAGTGCACCTGCATACGTGTATTGTTTTGCTCGGGGGAAAGTGAAAGCTATCTCAGACGAGTCGATGCGGATAGCTATAGACCAAAGGAACAAATGTTACTTGTGGAGCTTATTTAATGACCGGCCGTCAATTTTGGTAATGCAAGGATGCGCTTCTCTACAACATTCAAATGGCAACCTTTAATTACCATTTTCGAGAAAAACAAGCCAGTAAGGCGGAACATTATCGTAATGAGAAACAACTTTGAGCGATAAATCTCTCGGGTTTAATGTTTCATTTGGAATTTCAAATTGTGGCATAAATACGTGCAGCGCACATTTATTTTTGTCCACACAACGATGAATCTGTCAATTTTTTACAAACTATTAGAAGAACTATTATAGCCCCAATCTTCCTTGACCATATCAGCAAGTTTTTCCCCTATCATTATCACTGGGATATTTGGATGTCCAGTCATGATCATTGGCATAATCGAAGCATCGGCTACCCGCAATCCTTTTATCCCTTTTACCTGCAATCAATGTTTGACGTATGTTGTATTAAATCATCAATGTGCTATTCGAGTTTTAACCATCGCTTTCTTGATGCGCCGCTGAGTAATTGGCAATTATTCAAGTTCTGACAAGATGCACTCAAAAAAACTAGACCTTCCTCTCGAGTCAATCCTCCCGCAGCAAAGGATACTAAATTACCAATAATATTTAAAAATAGTATTTAAAAGTGATATTAGATTTTAAGAGGAAAATTCGTTTGTATCAAGGGCTCGTTTCCTTTGTCAGTTTCTTAATTGATGTGCCAAAAAAAAAAAAATGAAAATGAATTTAAAGTAAAAGCCATTTGGTACGAAATTATTTCTCATATAGCAGGAATAGTATGCAGGAATAGTCTCGCAACAAATGGACTGCTCTTGTTATAAGAGAATCTTGATGTTAGAAAAGGAATCGCTGTCCAGCTGTATGAAGTGAAAAATCGCGTTATACCGAGAGGAATACTTTGGTTAGAAAAGGATTTGTTGTTCAGTGTAGTGGAGGTCGAACACACCTGCAACCTTGGGTTGACGACACCACTTGGATCGGTGTCCGGTGCCATTTTACAAGTACCCGAGTGGTGATAAATGGTAAAAGGGAAAGTCCTGATGGCACACTCCCAGTACTCATCCGAATCGTAGCGGTGAGCTTCGCAACCTGGCACTGGTAAGTCGTACAGCTTGGACTTGAATCGTCGCATTGGCTCCGTTTTGCTGACTTGGATCGCCGCCCTTATTCCCTTTATCATGACTCTCACGTCCTCGGGATCGTCAAGGTAGTTGGCAAAAATTCTCGGATGAACGTTCGGATTGTTGCTGCGCAAAAGAATCTTGCCACGGCTTTTTGGGCGCATAAGCATGGGGAAAATGGTCCAGGAGTGAGCGCCGGTCAGACGGGCGAAATACTTGTTCCAGTACTTGTCGGAGATGCCGATATTGTGGTGGAAAGAAGCGTCGGAAACGACGGAGCCTCCTATGAACAGAAGCTCGATGTTCGGCCAGCTGGTCAAGTCGTTGGGACGATCGACGTCGACGAAGGCCAGGGCTTCGCAGCCCCCGGGAACGGTGAGCGGGCCGGTGTGTTTATTGAAGAAGTCGCTCAAGTAGGGTTTCACGGGGTTGATCAGATCTTTGGTTCTGATGCTCACCGGTTGATCGACCAGAAAGACCAGTCCGCCGTAAGCGATGTGGTCCATGAGATTCCGGCCGACCGGCGCGTTCTGAAGCAGCGGCACGCCCATCTCCCGCAAGTGATCCGACGGGCCGACACCCGACAGCATCAGTATTTGCGCCGAGCCGATGGCGCCGGCGCACAGGATCACCTCCTTCCTGGCCCGCACGCGGAAGTTCCTGCCGTACTTGGTGAAATCCACGCCGAGAGCCCTCTTGGTGAGCGGGTCGATGAGCACTTTGTTCGCGTGACTCATCCTGCTGAGCGACAGGTTTGGCCGGTGGCGAGCCGGATGCAGGTACGCCCTGTTGCTGCTCATGCGAGTGCCGTTTTTGATGGTGGCCTGTATGAAGGAGTATCCGACGTGCTCGTCGCCGTTGTAGTCGATCACGGGATAGCCCAGCTGCAGCCCCGCCCGGAGAAAGGCGTCGGCCAAGGGCGTGTGGAAGGTCGGATGGTCGATGTACAGCGGACCCTCGGTGTTGTGCAGCTTGTCGTCGGCTCGCAGCTCGTCCACGCCGATCTCCTCGAGCTTCCTGAAGTACTTGAGCAGCTCGCCGTAGGACCAGCCGTCGTTGCCCATCTCCGCCCAGCCGTCGTAGTCTCGGGGGTCGCCTCTCGTCGCTATCATGTAGTTCAGCACGCTGCTGCCCCCCATCACTTTGCCCCTTGGGAAGTTGCACTTTCGGTCGGTCATGCCCAGGCAGTAGCGGTTCGACGACTCCGTTCGGTAGGCCCAGTTGATGCTGCTGAATTGCAGATAATTCACCAGCACCGGTATGTCCATCAGCAGGTTTTCATTGCGACCCGCTTCTATCAGCAGCACCGTGGCGTCCTCGGCTTCGCTCAGTCTCGAGGCGACCGTGGCCCCCGCGCTGCCCGCGCCCACCACCACGAAGTCGTATTGTTGGTCGTACGCGGGCGGCGCGTCCTCGAGCTCGTGCCTCAAGAGCTCGTCGCCCTCGCGCAAGAAATTGGAAATGCCGAGCGCTGCCCTGCCCAGAGCTTCCGCGATCGGCAGATTTTCGTCTTTGGGGCCGTACAGGCTGTGATACTTGGGTTGCGCTCTTCGCTGGGCCTCGCAGGCACCGCTGGCCAGCAGAATCATCAACAATGGGCGCAGCATGCTGGCGCTTCTCTGGGCGTTTCGCAACTGATAACCATTCGATGCGCAGGTGCCTTCTATTTATTTGTCTTTGATCGCTGTCACGTGACGTCGTCTAGCTTGAGTTGACCTCTCGTTTTTTTTTTGCTTTTTTACAGAGTAACTTCCATACTTTTCTTCAGCGCTAACTCATACGTAACGTTGTACGATGCGCATCACCGCGAGTCGATCAAGCACTGGCACGGGCGAACCTTCTATCCACAGATTCCGCACCGACTGGTTACACCAACGATTTTTAACGCGCGATTGGATTCAATCTTCACTTGCTTCGGATTGCCTTGACAATTAAGACAATGCCACGGAGCTGAAGAGCATTGCAATTCGAGACGTGATTGGCAAACGTTATACCCGCTGCTGATCGTGATCATCATTACTGAAACTTTACTTATGTATGTGATATTATTTAGCTTTTTTCTCTGTGATTGCTACAAAAACTTTGAACGTTATTTAATTTCAAAAGGCTAAAACGAATCGTTGTGTCCCTGCTGTTCGATCAACAATTTAATTGGAAATTAATTGCCTAGATAAGTTGAGTTGTTTTTTTAGAAAAAAGTAATGATTAAGGGAAAATATTATTCGAGCAAATAACATGATAAAATCGATTTGGTTTGATCGCACAATAACATTTTAGGGAAAACAGGAGTAGTAGAGGTGTATCAAAGGAAAATCAGATTACCAGCTATTATATCATTTATTTCAAATTCTTCTGTAACAAAAGAAGATCAAAGGTATTTTGTTTTCGATGTATCGGCTTGTTACAAGTATAATACTGTCGTTAGCTCGATTAATTATCACATAATTACCTATAGCATCGAGTGCTTCTTCATAGCGAGTGGAATGAACATAAGATCAAACTGAGACCGAGTCGCGTTCACCTCGACGATTCTCATTTCCGTTTTTTTTTATTCTTGTTTTGTCCTTTTTTACATATTTGGCATCACAGTATAGTTTTTAAGCTTTACTTTTCAGTCTCTATAAAAACAGAGCTGTATTACCTAGACGTTAATCTCAATAATGACGGATACGAATGTAATTTTTTAACGAACATGTGCCATAGTATAAGCTTTTCGAAATGTTTATTAAACTGTAATATGCTTTCGACAAGCCGTGCAAGCTACGTAGGAAATTCATTTCGGTAAATGCATTTCAGCGAATCAGTTATAGGTCTATCTTTTGTAAGGGGTATTGATAAAATGCGGTCATCTCTTACAAAGCTGAATTTTCAAACGAGGTCACATCGGCACGTTGTACGTGACTGCGATCAATATATTTTCTGCAGCTTTTCCAGTGATCAAGTTGTACATTTCAGTATTTGACGTGATTGTACAAAGCAGTCAAATTACAATTGTACTATACAACGTAAAAAATGACGAAAAGAAAAATGAATTAGAATACATTAAAATGGAGATATATAAAATAAGATGACAAACTACGCTCTGTGCAATATTATAATACTTGATATTGCGAATTTGGATAATATTCTGTTTTATTTATTGCAATTGAGAAAACTGAAAATATGCGATATACTGCAATCGACTAACAATTCCAACTGTGCAAAATTGCGTGTAGAGCGATGGACGATATCGAAAGACACTGCCCAAGCTCCGAGTATAAAGAGTTAAATGTAATTTTGCACGTGAATCTTGGAAGACTAGAAAGTGTAACAACTAACACGCCAGTGTTATACAAAGAGGCGTGAGAATCGCTGATGGTGATCAGGCGTGGCTGTACGCAAATCAAACTGAATATATTAGAATGCGTAGGCGCGAGCTGCAACAATTGGCCAACGAAATATAAGGAAAGGAAGCTGCGAACAGAAGCGAGTGCGCCTGGCACTGGTCGCGTCTACGTGCTTGCTCGCGCATCGGTTTGCACGCCTGCATCCCCGATCTTGAGTGACGTGTACTTACGTATACGACAGCCTAGGGATGTGCGCAGTAAACGACAACGCTCGATAAAGCGCAAGGACCAGCAACCGCAGAGCCCACGACAAAGTGCCGAGAGAAGGCCGTTTTTGACCGTCAGCCTGACGTTGCTGAAAACTACCCAACAGCTCGCTGTGCTCTCGCGTTCGCACGGACTTTCCGTAGCTGAGAAGCGCCGAAGAGGCAATGCACCCACATCGCTTTACGCCGAAAAGAAACTGAAGCCAATTGCCAGCTGTCAAGCATCCGCTGTGCCATCAACGAAATGGCAAACATTAGAAAAGAGCAAAAGTACAGCAAGTGCACGAGGGGTGAACAAGGTTGAACTGGGGGTTGAATGACGAACACTGACGAGAGAATACGCAGGCGCCTGACAGCTTGCTGCTCGCTGCTGCTTGGGAGTGCACTCGGCGTGAGGCCTGGCGGAGGGGGTAGAAGGGAACGAACGAGAGAGAGAGAGAGAGCGAATACATCTCCAAAGCACTAGTGTAGTATCAGTCCGGCAAGTGTCGCTGAGCTTCGTTTCAGCTAGTCCACTTGTTTTGCACGGAGAGTGCAGCTCGAAAGTTACATCGTTTGTAAAAGTAATCGCGCGGAGCTCGAGCAACGCTGTTACTATCGTTAAACTGTTCCGTTTGATGTGCGCGACGAGTACCGCAGCCGCCAGCGTCATCGCGAGCAACCAGTAACAAACATTAGCTGTTTCGCGCGCGCGCTAGCTCCTTCCTTCTCTCTCGGCTCTCCCTCGCCGTCGCGCTCTCGCTTTTGTCTGCCTCTCGCAGCAGCAGCCAGCAGCGAGGACAGCCTCGAGCCGCGCAGTTTTGTCGAAGCGTGTTCGCGAATCGTGAACGCTATCTTTCTTCTTGACGCGAGTGAATCCCAAGTTGTGTAAGCAATAATGACCGACAAAAAAGGTAATTATGAATAGCCAGCCAGGGCGCGACGTTTATGTATGTGTCTTGTAAACGCACACCCACGGCAGGCGCTTTGCCACCTTCCTCTCTTCCTTTCTATATGTCTGCGTGCCTGTGATGCGTGCCTGAGTACGTGCGTGAGCGACCGCAAACCTGTATGTGAGCGTACATGTATGCCTACGCGATGGCTATTATACTATTTATATATGACGTACGTACACACACAGGAGCCGCCTAGAGCTTGGACTCTACCACTCTTGTATCTCACTCTCTCAACTCAGTACCTTACACCATTTTACGATGTTATACCTATCAGACTCATACTTGTACTTATTCGACTCTTCTTTCTGTTTTCTTTCAATAATTATATTAACGTTGTATCGAAGGACGAGGCCATTGCTGGCAGCGTTTGTTTCTCGCGCACGCGGACTCCCTCGGCATAATTTTCAGTGCGCGGACACACCTTGTTTATCGAGTCAAATTGCTAGACTGCTTTTTATTCTTTTATTCTTTTTTCACTAAAAGCTGCATTCTCGCGTGCGCGCGCTGCAATATTACGAGATTATCAGCAATCTCTATACTAGTCCTATGACTACATTCCTCGGCTCTTGCTTTTCTCTTTTCATTCCTTCTGTATGCCTCGCACATCGTCTTTAATTGTCGTTTTGCATCACCATCCCCGCAGTTTATCCGTTAATTTTTATAGAAACGATGAAACGAGCTGATAAATAATTGAATAATCTCGAACGACCGCAAAAAAGCGACGCGAAATTCGACGTTTGTACACGATGGCAAATGAAAGAAGTGCAAATTTCGTACGCTTGACAGATGAATCAATACCGTCGTTCTCTTTCTCTCTCTCTCTCTCTCTCTCTTCCTCCATTTCGCTTCCTCTCCCTCGGCTTTCGGTCTTGCTCCGCTCTGGTGCTTCCTTCTTCCGCCACCGACACCAAGCGAGAGCGCATAAACAAAATGGCCCCTGCAAAATATGCCTATTCTACCCTGTTGGTTGATCGCTCGGCAACATTTTACAGATTTACGGATTACTACGACCGACGACATACTATGACATTACAATTTTCTGATGAAATCTATTTTTAGAACGAGAATAATAGAGTTGCGCCTTCTCGTTTTTGACGTTTGATATTTGTAACGAGTTTTTCTCGCTACCTTTCCAATGGTATTTACTTTTTCCTTTTTTTTTATTTTTGTACTTTTAAAATATTTGGACGAGACAAAGGAGAGAGTGATGAATGTTCTACTTATGACCTAATATATTTTCTGCACATTGATTATACAGCTATTAATAGACCTTTGATGAAATTGTTATAAAAATGTACAACTATCGTCACGTAGTTTTAACATGCGGAAAAGATGTGAAATATGACCCATTGATGTATACCTAACGTACTACAAATAATTTTTATTTATTTATTTTTATATAGAATTAATTTTTGCGTGTAAGTGAGTGCAATGTTTAGTACTGAAAGTTTATACATTTGAAGAAATTGCAGAGTGAAAGTGTAACAGGATGATTTTCACTAAATAAAGATTCAAATATAAATACTCGAAGCGTGATGTTGTAGAACGCGAGAGCTTTGAATTTAGTGAAGAAAACGTAAAATTAAGTTAAAACCACAGCTAAATAAGCTTTTACTTACTTGGTGCAATAAAAGTTGTGTAAAAGCAATTTATTTTAATTATTATTCACCTAATAATATTAATCATTAGATTTTATTTAACAATAAGAAATGAATAAGTTTTTAGTTTATTCTTTTGTTATTTATCAACTTTAAAAAATCTGATTTTGAAAGACACCCTTAAAAAAGTTATGTTCATGATACTATATACATAAAAATCTATGAAATATATAACTAGTATTGCAATTTTGAATGCAAAAAATTGTAACTTTTAAGAAAATAACTAGTAAAAAAATAGATTTATGTATGAGTTAAATGTTATCATGTGCTGTCAACAGTGACAGTAAATAACAAAGTACGGATAGCTCCTACAGTTGTGGCTGTCAATATGTTTGCAGCGGACCAAAGCGATATCAAAGACGATTTGATCCAAGTCAATAGGTGGAGCCTAGGAGACTGGAACTTGCGCAGCCTAAGCCACGTATCTAACCTCAGCTTCTCTATATATTACCTTAAATCACTACGTGTTTAATTCTACCAAATATCAATACATATATATATATATATATACTTAATTATAAATACATAAGAAAAAGCAGTGGACATATTTCAACTCAAAAGTTCACACTTATTTTTAATTTAACAATAATCGTTCCAAGATTTTTTAGTATTTTAATATTAAACATCAATACTGATATTATTGAACTATACAATTTGAAACAACATATTTCAAACTTGTTGCTATAACATTTTGCATTATTTAATCCATCCTCTATAAGATTTCATAATAAATTTATAAAATAATTGAATATTTTGTGTTTCAACTGATAAATGGTTTTACTTTTTGATTTGAAGATATCCATTGCAATATACCTAAATCAATATAAAAAGTAAATATTGATATAGGTATATTATGATTTTATACTGAAACCGTGGTATTGGCTGATTGCTTACTTTGTTCCTTTTTAACACCCACCATGTCATGCTACTGTACAGATATTTCATACTGAGTTATTTTTTTAAATATTTGCTTTGATTCAATATTAATTGTATAATACTTGAGGAAAATGTATTGAAATTGTCCAAAACTAAAAGAAAACTGTACATCAGCAAATTTGACAATTCAGCAGGGTGGACACGAATGCTGTATCTAAGCTCGGCGTATTTATAATACTTCTATTCAATAGTAACTCGGTAGCTCACTTTTAACAATAGTGCATGTGCTTCTTTAAAGGCCATAAGTTTCGCTGAAAAAGTTGGTCATATATAACAAATCAAGATATATTTTCAGTAATATGTTAATAATTTCAAAATAATGGTTTGGTCCTAATAAAACAAATATTGATAGAAACTTGTGGTCTACTTTGCATGAAATTAAAATAAAAAAAACACTAGGACATAGAGTGGTCTTTTATCTTTTAGTGTTAGTATTCAGAATTTTTTTAGAATTGTTTTTCGTTGAATAAAACGTAATATCATACATTTATGTTTGACTTGAAAAGATTTCCGATAATGGTTTTTTCATAAAAGAGCAAACACCAATGAAATTACGTTTGAAATATATGTTTTATTTGATTTTGTACAGTTATTATTCTATAGTTTTCAGTGTTTAAATGTTAGCATTTTAGTTTGCATGAATGATAAAATATTTTTTTATATACGTGCAAACATCTTTTGCTGAAATTTGGTCTGTGATTGAAATAAAAAGCTGAAATGACAAAAAAATAATGATATTGAAAAATTGAGTTGATAATAAAGCCAATTAGTTTTAGAAAAAAGATGTTTGTACATTTTAAGTGAAATTCAAAATCTACTTTTGCATATTTTCATATGTTATTAAATTTTGAGTATTTTTCTACACCGATCTCTTTTTTACCACGTGCTTTTTTATATGCATGCTTTATTTTTGTTGTACTTACATACTATCACTCTCGGAATTGATTTTAATAAGAGATTGGATGGATCTTGGCAATTAAATTTTCTAAAAACATTAATCTTGAGTAGCCATCAACGCAAGCGTTGAATTGGTGAAAATGAAGAATTGAGAGGAGTGATGATAATGCAAAGTTGAACATTTTGAAAGAGACGTCCTTTCTTTTTGATAAAATACAGCGGTTCTTGTTTCGATGACGTTCGGGGTCGTAGAGACTTTCCCGTGCACTTTGACTTGGCACGTGCATGAGCATGCATCAAAACGTGTATACTGTTAATAGTGAGCTTAATTATAATAGCGTTTTATGGAAGATCAGTCCGACTTTTGTGAAATGTGAAGCAGAAAAGAAAAATCGTTGCATTAATTGTTGAGCGATATCAAACGAATTGTAATAAAGTTCAACGAACTAATTTCTCTAGACGTGAAAAGTTTGTATGTCGTTTTGTCGTTTTGTCTTTGAAGAAAGTTAATGCTGCTATTGACGTAAATTTGCAAAGAAAGCAATGTTTTTTGTTCGATGTACCTTTGAAGGGAAGCAAGTGTTCCGCCGAAGCATTTCCATGTTTTCGAGAGAAAAAAAATGGTCGAATGTGAGAGATCGAAGAAAATAAATAAAAAAAGAAAAGATATTTGTTTCGAGTAGTACTCAATGGACTTGGTAGATCTGCAAGTGTAATAACGATCTGGCAAGTGCTTAGTTGAACGGCAAGACACGTATTATTCTAGTTATATATCGCTCGAAAGCAAACTAGGTCGAATGCTTTGGGACAATTTGGAGGCAGGGCAGTTGTTGCAAGTTACGTCAGATTAGTGATTGGATTACGAATAACAATCTGTCGTCGTGAAGTTCGATGATTGTTTGCACCGTGGCACTGACACATGAATTTACTTACATGCTGGGCGGCATTTCACAGCGCACGAGAATCGCCGCTGGCGCGAGACGACCACTTGGGCAAGTCGATGTCAGAGAGAGAGAGAGAGAAAGAGAGAGAGAGAGAAAGAGAGAGCGAGAGCGAGCGAACTGGCTGGATGGCTGGACGAGGACAGCCGTGGATTCTCGTGCGGGGTGAACTGTCGGCCCAGTGATTATGGACAATTTGGTGTGGGCTGACATTTATGTTAGAATACAACATGTCCATTCACCGCCTACTGAACTCTAGCAAAGATCGTACGCAAATGAACGTGAAAAGCCGCTGCGAAGAAGCTCGCTGTGACATATCTGTCTCTCGCTAACTCTCCTACGGATCTTGCTAACAGCATTGATCACGTTGCTGGCTAATTACCAAATCGAGTTGCACGCGCGTGAGGCCTGTCGTACCGATGCATATGTGCAGTTTGCGTACCGTTGTATTGCTATAGTACGGTGTATAATTGATAGTCTCTTTTTAACTCAAGGTAGTTTATCACTGTTGATCAACGGTTACTTTTGTTTCCATGATGTTTGCTTACCCAAACTTACACATATATTGTTCGAAGCTTTCATATATAAGACAACAAGAATATGTATAGAGCAGGCGGCTCTGCAGCGGCCTATACTTATACAAACTACCTAGCTAATGATTATATACCATGCAAATATAACGATTTTCAAATCATGTTTGATCTTTATTTATTGGATATATTGCAGAAATTTATGGTTTGCTGAATCTTGTCACGACTTTTTGAATGTGTGGAGTTTGATATATTTATATATATTTATATATATATATACATACGTATATCTGTCTATACGTATATATATATATATGTATATATATAATACATATTCATCGTACCACTGTACTCATTGTATAAATTACACATTCACCGCTCGACTCACACAACTTGTCGCGAAGTCAGTCTCTCTTGAACCGATCGTCAGCAATACTGTTTGCCTCGTGACGAGTTACTTTATCGTAATGTATCACTTGGCGAACCTTTTTCTCTCTTATAATTTTCTGTTATTTTATCATTTGCTCCAACAACAACAAGAACAACAAGAACAACAACAATCGATCATTACGATACGTTTCTTTCATGGCTTTTGTTTTTAGCTGTCGATTCTCGTGAATTGTTTCTCACCATTTGGGTCGATCGAATCCCCGAGTGAGCGGGGCCGCCGCCCGCGAAGCCTCTGCTCGGGGATTCGATCGCGCTAGACGAATGTAATTTGGCTTTAACCTTGATTGCGTAACGCTATTTGCTTTGATATCGGTTCCGTAAAATGCTTTAGTTTTAGAAGTACCTAATCTAGTAGGTGGAACGTGCGCGCGCGCCAGTCGGTGATGACGGGCTCGCTGGACTTGCGGCGCACCGACTGGCGCGCGCCCCTGTGTGCCTTCGGCATCGGCGCGCACTCGTCGCACCGCGTGCCCAAGGCACACGGAGAGCGCATTTGACTGTCACCTATCAAGCAACCGTCTAACGTAGCCCAACTCGCATCGGTCGCGGTTTACACGTCTGCACCACGCGAGCAAGCTCTTTCCTTCTTACAAGTCGGATACAAGTAGCTGCGACTTAGCTCAAGTAGACTCGGGCGGTGCAGAGATGGGCGATACGTCTTACGTTCCTTCAGTTTGTCCATTTCTATCACCATTATCTAGTGACTAACATTGTTTGAGCTTCAATAATTAGTACATTTTGTCCATTGAACGATACAGCAATAATCAAGCAACCGCATCAGATCAAACAAACAAACAACGGTGTATGTCATGTGTAAAATATACTTGGGTGTGGGAGTACCGTTTTATAGCCTGAAACTCTTATCATGTCCAACCTATAACGAGTTTAATTATTCTATGCAGCCTGTTTATTCATTTTTCGTGTTTTTTTCTTGATTCTTTGGTTTACATCACCTTTCTCTTAGTTTTTGATCGTTAACAAACACCATTTTCCTGGACTTAATCTGTTTTCGATTTTTCGTTGATCTCCTTTTAACATACACATATAATATTATCTATCTATCTACCTCTTATGTCGTTTTTTGTTCAATTGATCTTTTTCTCTCTATCTCTCTCTCTCTCTCTCTCTCTCTCTCGACTTCTAGAATTGAATTGTCTTGATTGAAAACTTTTGTTTTGAATGCAGTTGGGCATTGTCAATTGTTTTAAGGCCTCTGGGAGCACGATGAGGTCTGCGGATGTCGGGCTTTGCTTCTGCACGCCCGACAGCTGCAGGCCTCGTCGCTCCGCGAACTTAATCAGTTCTGTTGATTGGGCTGTGGTACATTAACGCCAGTTGTGTACCGTTGGCTTAGATATCTATATATCTATATCTATATATACATATCAGTCTGCAGTCGCAGGCCGCGTATCTAGAGAGCTTGCGCTGCTTGGCGATGCCCATTGACCTTCTGTCGGTTTGTGCTTGCAGCGTATCCAGTGGCTCCGCATCCGCCCACGGGCTTCGTGCCAGCCCAGGCGCAGCCGGCCGCATACGGAGGTTAGTACCCCCATCTCTGTTCTCGCCTCCCCCCCCCCCCCATGTGCCCCTTGCTCACCAGTCTTTATGCTTGCAGTTCCGGGCGCCTCGCCTTACGGGGTGTTCCCCAACCAGCCGCAGCTGTACGCCGCGCAGGGTCCACCGCCACCCACCTATGACCAGAGCCTCACGCACCCCATGGTCGGTACTTAAACTGCTGGCCCGCGTCGAGACTCGCCCTTCAAATTCGCTAATCGCTTCTCTTGTTGCAGATGTACCAACCGATGTACGGCCAAGGTTACCCCGGCGGATACTTGGCTGGTTACCCCGCCGCCTATGGGCCGCTGCAGTATTATCCTCCGTTAGCTGCAGCCGCGGCCTACTACCCCACGGCTATGCAGCCCGCTCCGGTCAGGCCGACCATCATGGTGTCCGTAAGTTTGCGGTCAAGGCCACGCCACGCACGACTCGCGCTCCAGCCGACGCCCGGCTCGATTTCATCCAATCTTTCTGCTCTGTTTCCGGCTCCTAAAGCAGAACGGCTTCGACGGGGCCAGATTCGACGGGATATCGCAGCCCGTTTTGCCGCCGCCGCCTCCTGGCGTAGCTACCAACGCGGCTCAGCTGGCAGCTATGGCCGGCCACAGTGTGGCGCTCTCCCAGAAGAAAGGCTCCTTCCTCGGCGGAGGAACAGACGCCGGATACACGTTCTGGTAAACCAGCTTCAGCGCTAGCAACTCAAGCAACTGCACCGAGAAGAAGGGAGGAGGGGGAGAGGAGAGAAAGAGAGAGAACGCGTGCAAGCGACCACGTTCGTTGTCGTTAACCAGAGCTATAGCGAGACGATAAGAGCGGCGCATTGTTGAGAAATCCGTGCATTATCTAAGCTAATATACAGACACGACAAATTTATTCGTTAATTCAACTTCGCAGTCTATTGCAGTCATATTTATCGTCTCTATTTTTATTGCGTTCTGCATTCGTCTGTCTGCCTGCCTGCCTGCGCCTGCCTGCCTGTCTGTTTGTCTGTTTGCCTGTCTGCATGTCTGCCTGTCTGCCTGTCTGCCTGTCTAACTGTTTACCTCTCTGCCTGTCTGCCTGTCATCCTGTCTGTCTGGGTGACTGGCTGACTGGCAGGCTGACTGGCTGACTGGTTGACTGGTTGACTGGTTGACTGGTTGACTGGTTGACTGGTTGACTCTGACTGGTTGACTGGTTGACTGGCTGTCTGTCTGGCTGTCTGGTTGTCTGGCTGTCTGGCTGTCTGGCTGTCTGGCTGTCTGTCTGTCTGTTTGTCCGCATGGATGAAGCATTATGTACTCGTGTCAGCGAGGGTGCCGCTCTCCCTGTGCAAACTACCCGTCGTCGACCCACGCAAACAAGTTGCTAGTCTTCGTTGTCGACCATTGTAGATATATCAAATACTCCTCATCAATTTCCTCCATCCCCTTTCCCTCTATCTAACCGACTGCCTATATTCACTACCCTCTTCAGTTAAAATTGACCATCAAACAGAAAAGACTACTGCTTGATTTCGTGCGACCGCGTTAGTTTGAGTGTCTGGGTATTCTCATTCCTGCGAAAAATCTCGAGTCATTTTTTTAGAAAAGACTAGTATAACAGACTGCTCAGTATTAAACAAAATGATGAAATGAGAAAACGATAAAAAAAAATACAACATTAAAAAAAATCGTCAAAAAATCAGATTAGATAAATTTAAGTAATGTCGTCGCTTCTTGACGATTGTGGCTGATAAGAACGTCACTTGTGAGTGATAAAGGATATAAGTAAGATTAACAGCAAAGAAAAAAATCTGTACACTCACGGGTAAATGAACTGAAATTGCGTGGTAATCTTGTTATTTAGCGATAAAAAAAAAAATGAGCGTATAAGTGCGAGCACCGTTTGATATAAAGCTGTCTATCAATCGCCTACTGGGATCGATACTCGAGAATGTGTTCTAAACGTTTTTTAAACGTTCGTTGTCAAAGTCAAATTGGGGGCTGACTTGTTGGTTAACGAATATATTTTCGTCGACAATTGATTGATTTTAGTTTGACTGAATTTTATTTGACCGTTAACTAATTTAACAGCTTGACTTTAAAAAATTTGTTTGGGTCAACATTTGGCTTTCGTTATTTTCTTGTTATTGCAAAAGTTTACGTTATAGTTTGAGATATTCTTTGGTGTTACTGAAAATAATTATACGAAATTATGCAAGCAGCTCTCAAAAGATTATGACAAAATTATGCATGATGAGAGAAATAGAATGAACGTGTGATGACTACGAACTTTTTGAAAAAAAAAATCAAGGCGAAACAATATATTTTCTTTAGAATTTTCTATGGCTGGTCTGCGTGTTTTTCCTTTCGCGAAAGAACATCTTTGTAAGAGTCTTCTGGCAGTTTTCACACGTTTGTATATATCAATGACGCTTATCATCAGATTGAAAAGTACGTACTCTTTTTTTATAAGTAGTCTTTCAACTTTAAGGATCCTTTTTTACGCAGGTTAGCTAGGCTGGCTAAAGAGTTATTATTTAATTGAAAATCAACGGAATTGTTCACTGTTAAAAATTTTGCCTCGCTGCAAAAACGGTTTCCGCCATGTTATTTACATGATGCGCGCACTAGTGACATTTATTTATTCTTTTTTTTTTTTTTACTCCTTTATTAATCGTTACTTGAAATTTACTGAAAGAATCTCTACGGGGGTCGGAGGGAGAAAGGGGACCGTTTGAGTGCAATGTAAAAGAATGCAAGAGCGGAGGCACTGCTAAAGTACAAATTCATGCATCTCGACAGGCAATTGAAGCAGTGAACAATTCTGCGTGAAGCCATAACAAGCAAACTGGAAATAGCACGGAGCGATACAGCACTTGATAACTTGATTCTGTATTAATTTAGTTCGGAAGAATTATATATACTTTTATGTAGTTAACTTTTTTCAGAATTGAACACCTGTCTTTTTATCTCACTTTTTTGAGCAGCTACTCGCCCACAGCTGTTTCGCTCCGTGATCGTAAAAATAGTAATACGAATCAGTTAATAGAACTCAAAATAGTTCTATTTCTTGGCTCACGTGAAATATGATATTTAAATGAGCAATGTAATTAAAGGAGATAATTTACAATCAATGATAGCCCAGAGTTAGGACCAAAAGATACGATTCTACTTAGGATTTTCGATTGTATCAATGCCAAGCTTGGACAAACGTGTGATTTACAATATTTTAATAAGCGCAGCTTGTAATATAATTACGACATGATTTTTGAGCACAAATGGTTTTCCTAAGAACCTTGAGTGGCTAATTGACTAAGGTTGGCATGTTGATTACAACGAATTAAATTTTCTCCGAAATTTCGTTTCTTTTCTTCTCAGTCTACTTTACATTACTCAAATGTGATCGTCATTGCGTCAGACGAAAACGATTTCATTACAAGAATCCTGCTGAAACTATTTTACAACAATATATTTTCTGGACTACTTGAATTTTCATACAAAACTTGTTTTTAAAGACAAGCATCGTAAATATTATATTTTACTAATAGAATTCTTGAAAGTTTGATGAACGTTATCATTTTGGTTTTATTCATTAACTCTCAGATAGGATAAAGTATAAAAAAATAGTCACATTTAAGTAATTAGTATAACATACAAATAATGACTTGAAAGTCTTTCCTTTAAGTAAAAAAAAAGATTAAACCAAAATTAGTGAATTATTTCATGTCTATTTTTCATGATAAATGCTTCACTTAGAAAAAAAACGTTAAAAATTCAGCTGTAAAATTCCATACTAAACCGTTGAAAATTAACGTAAAATCAGACCAAGAAAACAGTTAGTTAAAAAAAAAATTGAGTGAAAAATTTTAATGCATTTCTTTGATATTTTTAAATGTGAAATATCAAGCAATATTTAATTTACCGATTTATTTACAGATTCATATTTTTTTAGATGAAAGTTTTTGCGATGCATTTTGACAAATAGGTCGTATCAGGCGGCAATGGAAAGATTTTATATCATGAAAAAGCGTGCAATAAACAACATGAATATTGTAACAGTAAAACAAATTGTATTAACTGCAGTAAATTTGTTATGTTAAAAGGCACTGGTGTGAATAACCAGTGTAAACAGTTAATAAACATTATGACCATGCATATGTTGTTTTTATTACATATACTGTCTTTTTCACTAAAATAATACTCAAAATATTTTTATAAGTTATTGTACATAGATTTACATTTTCCTAACAAAATAATTGAGATTGTGGTTTATAAAAAAACTATCTACATTTCCATTTAGCAATGAATTCTACAATTGTTCAAGCTTTTTACTAGCCAACATTTTTTTCATTGTATTTTCCATAGATGGCAACAAATCACAATATGTATCTACACACTTTGTTGCACATTTTTCAAATTCATCACTTAACTTATTGACTTCAAGTTGACTTGGATTTGGTCCTAACTGATCTTTAATTCTATCATTACATTCCATAACACATCTTTGCAGTCGATTCTAAAATAAAATTACAATAGTAAAATCAATTTAAAACCTTAAATGTGTGCACTTGTAAAGGAAATATTGTTCATTGATGTACCTGCACTCTTTCAAATTCTCCTTGAACATATTGCTGAGCTTTGTTCATGGGAACACTGCAAGTCTCCACGCAGCTTTGTACCTTTTGAATACTATAAGATTCATTATCACAACATGCTGCAGCACACCTGTGCATATCACCCTGGAAAAATTCATAGAAATTAAATAAAACCATTTTTTAATTTTTTTATTATTAAGTATATTGTAGCTAAAGAGAAGTCATAAAAGAGAATCATTCTACTTACATATATCAAAGAATAAATTGATGTAATAACAATACATATTAAACGTTCTTTACTTAATTTTTTTATCTCGAAAAACGTAATAATTTTGCTTATTTCATAATGCACGTGACAAGCTCAACTTAACCTAAAATGTAACATTACCTGCATTTTCCTTAGATACGTTCTGTCAATTCCCTCAACAATTTTTGACATTTGTTCTTCCACACGTTTTCTCTGTTCTTCAACCATTTTTTACAATTATTTTTTAATGTTTCTTTCAAAATCGTAAACCAATTTAAAAATAACAGCACTTGCTACAGTAGTAAGCTGTGCACGTATTTGCCACTGGCTCTAAATACAAGTGTCAAATGCTAATCTGCTAGAATAGTCAAAATATTTTTATTAATCAATTTAAAATTTTGAATACTATTTTGGTCATTTAAATATGCAAAATTTTTCTAAACACTTTGAGGACGATGTAATCCATAAATTTTGTATATACAATGAGACCCACATATACAAATATATTTCATAAAAAACTATTTAGAATGTTGAAATAAATTATATAAAAAAAAACAATGTTTCAACTCCCTTCCCTCGAAAGAAATTACGAAAACTTGAAAATGTGTTAAAGCTATCTACATAAAACATTTAGAATAAAATGCAATGTGATAAAGTTAAGTGCAGGTAAGTCCTAAATAAACTATAAGGCAAATTCATTTGCTTAAAAAGAAAGTGAAAAAACATATTATAATATAAAAGATTTAAAAGATAAGCACCTCGATAGTTGCAACAATTGCTTTTCTGTTTCGACCTATAGTAAGTTCTAAAAAAAAAAATTTAACATGACCAACATCTAAGTATAGATGGTGTTGATGTTAATACATGGCTTTGCCATTGTTCCCTGCATTTTGGCTGGTCGGAATGCATATGTGAGCGAAAGAAAGAGAAATAAGGAAAAGAGAGAGGGTAAAAAGCTCTCTACCGGCCTTTTTCCTCGTAGGTCAGGCCGTCGCAGTTCACAGTTGACACCGGCCACTACTTGTGGACGGAGAGCAACATAGACGATCTATTACCGGGAACAAGTCATTACGTGTGTGATTAAATTATTAATTGACTAAAGATTCAATTACAATCTTTTGAATTCTTAACTCTTTATTCATTAAAACTAATTTATTCCGATTGACCGCGAGACGAGAGCGTTTGCTATTTTCTTCTCATCGTATTGACGGAGGTAAGATTTTAAGTTGCATTATTTCGTTCAACAAACTTTGAGACTGTGTAATGGACCTTTTGTTAATGAAAGCTTTGTTAGTTTTTTTACACTTTTCGTCATTTAATCAAATTTTTAATTGGTCCTAAAAAAATGCGGTTTCTTTTGTGTCGCGGAAGTAGGGCCGATTCTTAGAATTCTTCACAACGTTGCTATTGTTTTACAAGTAACTTTTGTGGATGTTTTGTAAATATTTTGTTCAAAATTGCAGGATTTGCGATATTTCGGGAAAAGTTTAAGGTTATTGAAAGCTTTGTTGAAACAAATCACGTTTCCTTTGTCTTAACCACGTTCTCGAGACAACGTAATAAAAGCGCTTAGAAATGTCGTTTGTTTTTTGTGAGTTTTGATCTTGAATTCGACTTGGTATAATGCATTGTGTACTTGTATTAATCGGATACTGTAAAACGATTAGATATTTGTGGATCAAATTCAATGTCATCCTTTTCCAAAAACAAACAACTATTGTAATCAGTTAAATGGGAGGTTCGCCAATACTTTCTTTTTTTGTGTGCTTTTTTTCTGCTTATGTCTATAAAATATCTCTTAATAAAAATGCATAGTACAAAACGTATAGTTAAATTTATTTCTGTGGGATACAAAGCGCATTTTTTCTTATATAATAAAAATATCGTAATAGCTGTCCGATATTTTTTACTTGAATTAATAGTTCTCATCAGATTGTAATTCCACTCGATGTCCATTCAATTTTACGAATTCTTTGACTTTGGGCTTGATCATGTTTGTATATAGCGTTTTAATTAGTGCCTTATATTTTTTCGTTAAACTAAATTAATTTGAACCAAAAAACATCCAGTATCGTGCACGAGAATTAACTTTTATTTAGATAAACAATGTAGAATCATTAATATTTTCAAACTAAACATGATTCATATTATTAAAGAATTTAAGTATGTATACCTATTTCGCCATGAATCTTTCATCTTCATCAATAACTTCTTTTCCTTTTCATATTTACTTGAACAATTATGTCATGTTCTAGACAAGCAAATTTTACAAAAAATCATCAAATATAGTTATTCACACCTTTTTTAATAGAATGATGAACCGATCGTTGTTTAAAAGTAATAGTTCTTTTATTTTTATTTGAAAATATATTATTTGATTTCAACCTAAATTCAGCTACCTATTCGACTCGTAAAAAAGTTGGACTTTATTCTTGATTTGTTAAGTATTCAAGCACTACATTCGACAGCAGAAATGAACGTATAGTACTAATTACAAGACGAAACGTGTTATCACAACTTAAAAAACTTGTATTAAATGTATTGGATATTAATTAGTAAATAGTAGTTAGCCAACTTGTTATTTTAGTAATTTAACTTTACTAAATAAAAGTAAAATCATATATTTACTATTTTACGCAACGATAAAATTATAGCGTGATGTTGTTTTAAAGATACATTAAAAAAGTAGTTTGGCAAATATTAAATTTACAAAAAAAATTGAGTAATTTCTTACTATCTTAAAAAATCCGAAAATTTGTTCAGAATCGTTAATTTCATTACTTTCTCGTTTCAAAACAACAAAAATCAAATTCCGACAAGGTGATATTAATAACGTATATAAGGTTATATCAAATAAATGTCTGAGCATCTCAATGTCATTCTTCATTTTAATCATTTTAATTCACTTAGAGCGTTTGCTCCAAGAATTCCAACATTTCTAATAAACTTTGAAATGTATACAAATTCAGGAAACGCTATATACGTCAACTCTGCTCATTCTTAGTATAAGTCTTCATGCTTTCTGATTCGGTGTAATTAAACTTGAATTGTCGAGATACATAACATTAAAATTATTCGATAGGTTGACCGTAATGCGTAAATCTATTTACCTTACACGTACTTGAAATCTACGTACTGAATTGTCAATGTCTTTCGATATTCAAAAGTTCTCAATGTCAATTAATAAAACATAAAAGCAAATAATTTTTTCAAAAAATGAAGTAATGAAAAATAAAATGAGATTTTTATTACCAATATTTTCTAATGAACTATACTTTTCATTACAATACTCATTTAAGCTGTTTATTTAAATTTTGTCTTACGACGGAATCGAACTAAAATTTTTATATAGATAATATTTTGCACGAGCTTTCAGATTCCGTAGAACGAAATGGGGGGGGGGGGGGTTATCGGCCTAAATAAAAATATAAATTGTCAACGTTAAATCGTTATAGACATTAGTGACATAGAAAGGTGGGTTGCGCGTTCACAATTTTTATAACAATTTTAATAATAAATAACATTCTTTTACAAAAACCATAATGTTTCCAATACAATTACTAAATTAATATCTGAAAAGAAAGGTACGGATCGTCAAATTAATAAAAAAGATATTCAGGAAAAAGGACAAATTGTCACGTTTTAGAGACAAAATCGTAAAAATAGCGACGTCAATAAATTTTTTTATCGTTATTTTTCCATAATTAAGTATGAATTAGTCAATTTCTAAACGAGTATTCAAATATAAAACTATTTTCAATAAATGTTTCAGTTAGAAAAACATAAATTATATGAAATGTGATACAGTCCATCCTGGTGGAATCATCTTAAAATATTAAAATCAAATACTTAATATTGCACAATTCAATATTCTTCAAATAATCTGAATTTTTCTGAAAAATGAAGGAATTGTAAAAGAAAATTCGACAAGCTTAGAGTATTAGGACGATGAAATTTGCTTTCGCCTTGTCTACAGGATATCGTAAATCTCAGGAAAGTCTTGTAAACAGAAATATTGCCGGAAATAAAAAAATCGCGTAGGCTACCTTGAAAAAATCTTCATGACACCTATTCCTCTGTATTCTAACTACTAAGTTTCAGTCTAAGTTTAAGAGACTGACATCGTTTATTGCTATATATAAAAGTTTATACATCTTAGTAAAATGTGCGATAACCCAAATGAAGATGTAAAATAAATATTTAATTGATTCACGATGACGTTGCATTGCAAAAAATATACAGCTGTACTGATACAGAGTTGTATAATAAAGCTGCTCAGCGGGGGTATGGGGTGCAGGAAAAAAAAAGGCAAGGAGATAAAAAAATTGGAAAATGGTTAACCGTCGTCCGTATTTTATCTTATCTCATCTACAATGACGGTGGACCAAACAAAAGCCAATCGAAGAACGTGCGACGGCTTACCGCGCAAGCGGCGATGCCATAGGCCGAGACTATATTGCTTTCTAGGAATGATCACGCGGCCGGCCTGGGCTTCGAGAAGGGGGAAGGAGGAAATAGCACTAAGCAAAGGAAGCAAACCATGCTCGCAACGCGTCCATTCGTGCGCAGCAGTAGGCAGTCGCCACATCGCGTTCGTTGATAGCACGTACTCGTGGTTTGTTTATTTCGACTCGGATTTCACAATCGCTACCCATTGCTTAGTGGTACATGCACGAATGAGGTGACGCGTGTCCGGGGCCTTCGCTGCGCCTCAGTCAGAGGATCCTTCTTGATTTCTTTTTGGCGTTCTACTGTTTTTCCTTCCATAATTTCCGTCACTTCCAACACCAACGGTTGTAACACACAAGTTTCAACATGCCCAAATATCCCACTGACAAACGGTTCGTATAATTTACTTTTCATTTTATTTATACACTATAACAATGTCCCTTCGCTTTTAGAGATAATTCTTCTCACGTATTATTAACTACTATTTTCACACGTGGTCCCTAAATTCTCTGTTGATTCTTGTGCCCTTCAGTTACCCTCCTCTCGTTTGAAGTTCTCTGTTTTAAATTCTCTTTCTTTCAACTATTCTATTTCATTCTACTGTTTTTTTTTTCTCATTTCCGGTCTTCAAGATGCAATATAACTAAGGTGATAAACTGTATTATGTCGGCAATACAATACGAGAGATAACTTTTAAACTATATTACACCCCCATATTTTGTTTTGTTTTACTCCAAAGCATCTCAAGCCAGCTTGTTACTTTTCTCTTGTGCGTTATCTTTTTGGGCGCTACAAACTGACTTTACCGTTTTGAATACTCGCTAAATTTTTTTAAATATTATTCCAATAGTTTTACTCAAGTTCTTATTTTCCTGTGACTGTTGATAATTGAGTTTGACAATTAAAATTCTAGAGCTGTTTGCTCCTTAAAGAAAAGAGATTTATGAAAGCCTTTAAAATTCTGAAATGATGTTTATCATTGAAATGAATTTTTGATTTATGATATTTCCTTTATTAATATTTTTTATATTTTTGTACACGACTATAATTTTAATAATTGATTTCTGTTATAGTCGTTATTACGACGAAATGAGTGACGGACGAGCAATGAGCAGGAGCCACTCTCGTGGCAGGCCGCAGGATCGAGACCGAGACAGGGATCGTGATCATGGAGATGATAGATCACGTTCAAGCTCTCAGCAACCATACCAAAGTAGTAGGCGCCCAGGGCAACCACCTCCTCAAGCTAGTTCTTCATACGCAAGACCATCAACTTCTTCTGGGCCACCTAGAGAATCTTATTCCGTAACTAATTTTTTCTCATAAAAATGTATGTTTCTTAATTTTATTTATAATGCTTTACCAAATTACAGGGGAGGAGAGAGGTGAGATATACAGAAAGAGCTCCATCAACCTTTTCTGATGCCGAATCAGAAGCTGCATCGGTTGCAGGTAAATTAAAAAACTTATATGCTCTTTATGTAGTTTATCAAAAATCAATTTAAATTAATCTTATAAATTAATTTTATAGGCTCTACTGGAGAGAGTGCAGCAATGGGTCGAGGTGGTATGAGAGGAAGAAGAATACTGCCTGTAGACATTATTACACGGCCAAAAGAACTTGTTACCAAACATGGTGTGAAGTTTATTTTTCTTCCTAAATTTTTGTATGTCATTTCTTTTAAACTTTGCACGTTGACGAATTGTTAATCACATTTCAGGTGGTCATGGGGACCCTATTGAACTAACGGCTAACTATTTCAAGCTTGTGAGTGCTCCTGATTGGTGTTTGTACCAGTACAGAGTTGATTTTGAACCAGAAGAAGACAGAAAAGTTGTTTGTAAAGCATTATTGAGACAACATAAAGAAACTTTAGGAGCTTACATATTTGATGGCACTGTTTTGTACACAACCAATGAATACCCAGAGGTACAGTATTATGAACTTTATGTTTAATATTTGTGCAATAATTTTTAAATAAAATTTTTTTTATTTTTCAAATTTTTGCTTTTCACAGCCACTTGAATTGTCATCGGAGAGGCAATCTGATCAGCAAATGGTTCTCATCAAGTTGAGGAAAGTCGGTGACATGACAAGAGGAGATCACCACTACATTCAGTTTTTCAACATTATTATGAGGAAATGTCTTGACTATCTGCAGTTGCAGTTGGTTGGCCGCAATTATTTTGACGCCAAAAATAAGGTATAATACTTTCACTGATTTTCTTGGCCTGGCAATAATTGTTTTTACTGATTCTGTTTAATTTTTTAGGCAGAAGTTAAGCAATACAAGTTAGAGTTATGGCCTGGATACATAACTTCTATCCGCCAACATGAACATGATATTTTGATGTGTGCAGAGATCACACATAAAGTTATGAGAAACGAAACACTTCTTGATATTTTATCTGAATGTTACGAACATAATCCTCATGAGTACAAGGTAAGTTATGGCGAAAATACCTTACAGCATAATTATTAAGATAAAAAATAATAAAATAAAAATTAATTTCTTTTAATTGTCTTAGAGAGAATTCTCTCATCAAGTATTGGGTGTTGTGGTTTTGACAGACTATAACAATAATACGTACAGAGTAGACGATATAGATTATGAAGTGTCACCTTCATCAACTTTTAAAAAAAAAGATGGCACCGATATTACCTATCGTGATTATTACCAAGAGAAATATGGCATCAGAATTGGAGACATGAGTCAACCCTTGCTTGTATCGAAATCTAAGCCCCGTGATCGCCGTGCAGGAAAAGCTGAAACTGTTTATTTGATTCCAGAACTTTGCCGCAGTACAGGTATTGTAATTAAGTGTTTTTTGTCTTTACTCCTAATATAGTTAAAATCTACATTTTTCAATTTGAAAATAGGTTTAACTGATGTCATGAGGAACAATTTTCAACTTATGAAAGCTTTGGCACAATATACGCGAGTCTCACCAGCTGATAGGATTGATAAATTAAAAAATTTCAATGACCGCTTGTACTCTGTAAAACAAGTAGTAGAAGAATTTAAGAGTTGGAACCTTGAATTGGAAAAAACATTGATCAAAGTACCTGCTCGAGTAATGCCATGTGACAGAATTAACTATGGTAATGGTATTTCTACCAATGTTCCATATGATGCTAACTGGACTAAAGATTTACGTGATAAGCACTTGGTTAAATGTGGACGATTAGATGAGTGGTTTCTTTTGGTACCCACGAAATTCCGAGGTGATTGCCAAGTATGTGTAAACATAAGTAAAATTAAAAAAATATTCTGAAGTATTCAAACAAATATGGAGTAGTATTGAGAAATTTTTAACTTTTTAATTTTTTTATAGTCATTTGTACATACTTTAACAAGGGTAGCACAAAAAATGAACTTTACCATTGAAGAACCATATGTGATTGATATGAGGGATGATAATCCTGCTACATATGCAAATATGTTGGAGCAAGTGAAGAGCCAAAATAATCCAATGTTGATATTCTGTGTAGCATCTAACAATCGAGGAGATAGATATTCAGCTATTAAAAAAAAATGTTGCGTTGACAGACCAGTCCCAACACAAGTAGTTCTTGCTAAGAGCTTAAAACCTGGCAAATCCCAGATGTCAATCGCAACAAAGGTTGCAATACAAATGAACTGCAAGATTGGAGGAATTCCATGGTCTGTTAGTATCCCTTTACAAGGCTTGATGGTGGTTGGCTTTGATGTTTGTCATGATACAAACATGAAGGGAAAAGATTTTGGTAAATATTACCTTGTTTCTATTTATAAAATTTTATATAATTCTAGTGTTCAACATTTACAAATAAAATAGATATTAAAAATTTTGTTCCTTAATTTTTACAAAAATTTCTTATAGGTGCTATGGTGGCCTCTTTAGATGTGAATTTCGGACGTTATTATAGTGCTGTAAGTAGTCACAGCAGTGGTGAAGAATTGTCAAGTGATCTTTCCGTAAACTTATGCAAAGCATTGGAGCAATTTAAGTACTACAACAGTTCTTTACCAAAAAGAATTGTTATATATAGAGATGGAGTAGGAGAAGGACAAATACCTTTTGTAGTAGATCATGAAGTCAAAGAAATAAAAGCGAAACTGCAGCAGAAGTATGAAAATCCAAATGATATCAAACTGGCATACATTATTGTGACTAAAAAGATCAATACAAGATTGTTCCACAACTCCCAAAATCCACCTGCGGGAACAGTGGTAGACAATGTTGTTACTGATCCAACAAAATATGATTTTTTGATAGTATCACAACATGTTACACAAGGTACAGTTTCACCTACTTCTTACAATGTTGTTTGGGATACTTCTGGTTTGGAAGTAGATAAAATTCAAAGGTTGACCTATAAACTTTGTCATATGTACTTCAACTGGAGTGGTACAGTACGCGTACCTGCCCCGTGTCAATATGCCCACAAATTAGCATTTTTAGTGTCTCAGGCTGTACATCAGTCCCCTGATTCGGTTCTTGAAACTCTTTTATATTTCTTGTAAATAAGACTGTTATTAGATATTTCTACTCAGATTCTTTTTTATTTGAAACAAAAATTATCGAATTCGTATTTTAGTTTTTTTTTTTTTTTTTTTTTTTATTTTTACGTTTTTATTATTATTAGTTCATATTCATCATATACAACAAAATGTAAAGTGATTTATTCAATGCTTTCCTTTAAAAAGTATTTTACATAAAAGATATGTATAGTAAAGAAGGTAGCATGAACACAGCATTTTGTTTTTTTAAATTGACAACTGAGTTTTTCTTTTACATTTCAATAGATTGTTTAGAGATTTCAATTTGTTTTTACGATGTTCTCAAATTGAAAGTATACTTAACATTTTGCGTTCTGGTTACATTCTTACTAGAGAAAATAAAATTTTTATTTAACAAAATATGAGAAATTCAGAGGTCAATTTCAGACAATGATTATGAACACAAACGATCAGAATGCTTATAATTAGTTCTTGACTAAGAGGATTCTTTACAATCAAAAGTCACATTTTTAAGTTCGTGCTAGATTTCATAAGCATATTATGTACGCAGCGATTTTTCATTATAATTTTAATGACTTTTGACGTAAATGTTTTAAAGTTTTATTAATTAATATTAATAATTAAAAATTATAATGGAAAATGGCATAATTTTGAAAGAAAAAAAAAATATTTTTGTACTTGTTGACAACAACAAAGTATTATTATAAGATTACGTTGTTTAAAATTGTTTAATAAATTTATTATCTTGAAATTTGTTCTCTTTTTATTGCGAAACTTGATACACCAATATTTATTGTATAATACATCTTAACTCAGTACTCATTTAATGAAATTATTAAAATAAATTTTATAAAACACTTCAGCTTAATTAATCGAATCTCAAACGATAATTTAAATTCTTCTAATACTGTAATCAATGGCTGGATTTTAAATAATCTGCTGCAGTATTGACGTATTCTTCATGAGATGGAGGATCATAACATTGCAAATGACATCGGCATTTTCTTTTTTTGAATTATAGTCACACGTTATCATAGCATGATATTCCAATAAACGAAATGGCAAAGACATCATCTGAAATAAAAATATTCTTGCAAATTAGTTCTTTATCTCATTTAAGAAAATTTTTTATGCAGCAATTGTAAAATATGATACTGTAAGTAATGAAAAGCTTGAAAGCTGACTGCTAATGAAAGTATCCAATTAACAAGTTCACATACTGTCAAGTGTCATTCTGATTGTAGCATTCAATTCTAATATTACACTGATGCCAGCAATATCTAAAATGCAATACTCAGCATAATTACTATAAAATAAAAATTTCAAATTCAGTTTATTAACCAACTTTGGCAAAAATTAAATGAGCAATATTTCTTATGCATTGAAATAAAGTTGTAAGTCTTAGCAGGCTCACCAATTATATAATTTGTAATGAAATGATAAGTAATTCCCCAGTCAAAACTGAGTTTGTATTTACATTTATATTTTCATTACTTTCCATCATTATAAGGTTACTGAATACCACAAGCATCAATCCAAGGATGATAAAACCAGTCCATTCCTGTCCATTGTCTCAAATCTAACTTGTTTATTAAAAATTCTATTAATAATTATTCTATTAAAGTTTACATATGTACATATATTCAAACCAATATAATTCACAAAATTTGCAATATCATATGCTGCTAAAATAGCTAGAAAAATAGGACTGAAAATGTGTGATCCGTTTATTAGATTTGTTTTAATTAATTGAAATTAATTCTTAATAAAATTTGTCCCTAATCTATTTTAGTAGCAATATGCTATTTTATACACCATTAATACATCATTTCATCAATAACCATGAATGATAATTATATGAATGGATGATTGAAGTGTCTAGATTGGCTATTTCTAACAATACCTTATTGATTGGCAAAACTAGTCAATTAATTAATAATCTGCATATGCTGGTCTTACAGATTTCCTTTATAAATATCATAGATCAATAGCATACTTTCATGTTATAGAACTAGAAAGAGTATTAAATAATCTAATTACTATAATCAAAATAGCAAGTCCTTTTTAGTAATTTTTCTTTTTTATATATTTCTTATTTTGATAGGTAACCTTTTGTAAATTTAATCAAATAAATCTAAAAACAATAAAATAATCAAATGATAACAATGGATTATAGAATATAACTAATGGTCTTAACACATAAAGTGGCATATATGAATTGTTTATAGCACTTAATTCCTGTGATGTGAAAATGACATGTTCAAAATTTAAAATTCACTTCATTTTAATAAAGTATAGATCAGTCCTATTATCCTAAAAATCATGATTGTAAAAAATTGCTTTTGTAAATATGACTCTGAATAGGCAATTTTGAATAATGAGTAATGACTAGAAACTTATATTTCAAATTGGCTTGCTTCTTATCTGCACTTTAGTTTCTTGTTTCCTGCTTGGCTGTAGCCATAATTTTTAATTACTCACTCAAAAGCAACAAGTACCTATTGCATTTTCCTTGAGTTATTTACTCTGATCAAACATCATCCATACAAGAATAATTATTCGATAATATGAATTAAAAAAATTATTATTGTTATCTGTTACTCGTTGTTAGTTAATAAATTAATCAAGCTACTTAAAAGCCTATTGAAAATTACTACAAAAAACTTCAACCACCTTGCTTGTTAATGTGTTTTTATAATAATATAAAAATACAATTTATCAACATGCCACATAGTTAATATAGCCTCTCTGAGCTCCTCAAATATATAAAATGACGAAACTGTTATTACTGCTTATCATGGAGACTATATAATAGTCTACTTGCCACTAATACGGCTAATGCACTGCTCGAGTAAGTGCTAAGCTATAGTATATGCTTCGCGCTACCACTATAGTGTAAACAGTGTTGTTTTACTTCCATCAGTTTGCACGTATAATATGGAGTCAAAGGTTTTATATTCTGCTTATATTTATAAAAATTATATTATAATTTAATACTAACATATATATGATTTGTGTATAGCAATCGAAATAGACATGCAATGAACGATATATTCTAAGATGAAAAATTGTCATTGAATTACAGGTTAAGTATTGCTACAGTGATCAATCAAGTGTTAACACTCGGCCTTTTATTTTGTTATTATGATTGTTTGACATCCTCATCAACTCGTTACTTTATCAAGGTATGTCCAATTATTTAGTATGTTCTGATAATCCCTCAAATTATATCATATTGTAATAAATATATTAATAAATATGCACTGCTATTGAGTATTGCACTAAGAATATGTGTTTGAGGAAGCATGGTAAAATAACAATATTTGATTGTCTTTATAGATGATTGAAGCGCCTGCTTGGAATTTGAAAAAAGATGAAACAATTTACAAAGCTGCTGGAGCTGCACATTTAAGAAAGTATGGCCAATTTTTTGACAAATTAGCCAGTCAGTGCTGCCAGAACTCTACAGATTTAGAGCATATAATTGAAGGACCCCTCAGATTGACATATGAGGTCAACGAAGATATCAGTTTATTATCTTTGGCAGAAACTGAAAGTAAATTTTTTTCAAAATTACTGGCAAGCATTGGTGGTACATGTAGAGAAGTGAATATATTTTATATGAATGAATTTTACAATTTTGGCAATTGAGTTTCAATTTGTTTTTTACTTTTTATTATAGATCAGGTTGTTGAAGGCAGAAGCCAATGAACATTATAGCAAGCTGTTTCATCATGAGGAGCAATGTGCAGAACAAGCAGACTACAAAATTGAAAGCTTACTCTCTGATTTGCAAGATTTGTCCATGTATACCAATAGAATATCTACAGTAATTCACTTGACTGTGAAGCAGATATCAAATTTGGCCAGTAATAAGCACAGAGAAATCTATCTACCATTATTGATAGAACACCTGATGGATTTGTTTATCATTCTCGTCACACTGGACGAAGTGATAAGCGGTCAAACGGCTCTGATAGAGCGTTGGAAAGTTTATAGGGTGAAGGTGAGGTCGGTGGTACACAATGCGTCGCAGCTAAATATGGGAGAAGAGAGGATAGTCGTTTACGAGAAATTGCTGAAAGATCTACACGCCCAGCTGCTATCGAAGTGTCTATTTTCGAAGGCTGTCGAGCACGCGATGGACATCGGGAAACCGTCGACGATGTGCGACCAGATGGTTTTCTTCCTGAAAAGTACACTGACGGACGTGGAGAGCAAGGTCGCGGACAGTGCCGCTGTGAATCGCAGCTGGATACTGGCGACGGTGGGCTTGGTGGTGGTAGCCAAGCTGTTCGGCACGTGCGATAAGAAGCTAGCCAAGCGGCTGCTCGAGGTGAGCAGAAAACTATACGCCGTGAACTTGGCGGGCGGCGTGATGTGGTTGCCAGGCGACTTCCTGGCGGAGCAGCTGCCGCGCGAGGGCCTGGCCCCGCTGGGCACCGAGGTCGGCGAGAAGGTGCTGGCCGCGCGGCTGCAGCGTCTGCCGGCCCAGCTGAGCAGCTTGGCGCAGCGCACCATGCTGTGGAGCGCGCAGATGCAGCGACTACAGATCAAGAGCGGCCTGGAGCTGTTCGCGGAGATCGAGCGCAAGCGCGAGCTGCTGCTGGAGCTGCTGCGGCTGACGAGCCAGCTGCGCGAGGCCGCGGAGCTGCCGACCAATCTGCACGCGTTGCTACTGCGGCCCATGAGCCGCACCACCGTGCATCAAGTCTGCCGGCTGGCGGAGCTGCAGCGCGCGCTGCAGACGCAGGCCCAGCGGCTGGCCAGCACGGTGGTGCTGTCGCAGGTGCAGGCGCTACAGCAGCTCACCTACCAGCTGCTGGCGCTGCTGGAGGGCGCGCGCGCCACGCTCGGCCAGCGCCCCGAGCGCGGCTACGCGCGCGAGCGCCTGGACGCGCTGGCGCTGCTGGGCGCGGCGGCGCGCCTGGCCCAGGGGCCCGCGAGCCGCGAGCGCCGGCTGCTGCTGCGCGTCGCGCTCGGCTGCGTCAGTCAGCTGGCCGACGGCTTCCGCGAGGGCGAGCTGGCGCGGCTGCGCCGCTGCCTGGACGCCTACGACGCGCTGGCCGAGCTGCAGCCGCGGCTGCGCGAGGCGCGCGACTACTCGGCGCTGCTGCTGCAGCAGCGCGCACTGCTGCCGGCCTACCTGGGGCTGGCGCGCGAGGCGGGCCGCTGCTCGGGCCACCTGGCGCGGCTGTCGGGCGCGCTGGGCGCGGCGCGGCCCGGCGCCGAGGCCGCGCGCGAGCAGCGCGAGCTCCTGCTGCGCCACCTGCTGGAGCCGGCCTGTCGCGAGCTGGAGACGGGCCTGCGCCTGCACGCGCACGCGCACCTGCGGCTCGCGGTCGGCGGCCCGTTCCGCGAGGGCGCGCGCGACGCGGCGCGCGCGCCGCGCTCCCCGGCGCTGCCGCTGGCCGGCGGTCGGCGGCTGCTTCGCCCGCGGCGCTTCGCCGAGCACTACCTGGACAGCACCTTCTACAACCTGAGCAGCGTGGCGCCGCACGACTGGCGCGCCTACCGCGGCATGCAGGCGCTCGCGCGCCACCGGCTGCGGCTGCGCGCCGTGCCCAGCCTGCTGCCCAGCCAGAGCCTCGAGCAGGGCCTGGACGCGCTGGAGGTGATGCGCGACATCCAGCGCTTCGTGGCGCGCTACCTGTACGACCTGCGCGCGCAGACCTTCATGGAGCGCGACAGCGCGGGCCGCCAGCTGCACACGCTGGGCGTGCGCCACCTGGCCAGCGGCATCCGCACGCACGGCAGCGGCATCATGAGCACCAGCGTCAACTTCGTCTACCAGCTGCTGCGCGTCAAGCTGCACGCGCTCTCGCAGTTCCTTTTCGACGAGCACATCAAGTCGCGGCTGGCGCGCGACCTGCGCTTCGTGCGCGCGCAGCGCGAGCACGGCGCGGCCGCGCCCTACCCCTACGAGCGCGCCGAGAAGTTCCAGCGCGGCATCCGCCGACTCGGCGTCACGCCCGAGGGCCTCAGCTACCTGGACCGCTTCCGCCAGCTGCTCGCGCAGATCGGAAACGCGCTGGGCTACGTGCGCCTCATCCGCTCGGCGGGCCTGCACGCCTCGGCCAACGCGGTCTCCTTCTTGCCCGAGGTGCCCGCGGCGGCCGACGCGCCTGCCTTGCACGGGCTCTGCGCCCAGCTGAGTCTCAACGAGGGTGCACGGGCTGCGGCAGGCCGCCTCGACGCCGACATCGCCCACCTCGTGCGCAACTTCACCGAGGGCATCCACTACTTCGGCCTGCTCGTCGACGTGTTCGCCGGGGCGTTCCGCGACCCGGCGCGCGCGCACCACCTGCAACAGTTCTACGCCATCGTGCCGCCACTCACGCTCAGCTTCGTCGACAACGCGCTGGCCAGCAAGGAGAAGCTCTTCAAGAAGAACAAGCAGGGCGCCGCCTTTACCGACGACGGCTTCGCCATGGGCCTGGCCTATGTCAACGCCCTGCTCGACCAGAGCCAGGAACTCGACTCGCTGCGCTGGTTCGACACGGTCAGCGAGCATCTCGAGGCCGAAGCCAGCGCGGCTGCGCTCGAGGCCCGGCTGGACGACGAGAAGCTCCAGCAGACCAGGGCCCTCACGCTCGACCGACTCGAGCGCCGGCGCGCCGAGTTCCGGCTGCTCTATTATAGCCTTTCGGGGGCCCGCGTCTTCTTCAAGCAGCCCGACTCCTGATCGGCTTCCCCCGCCGCTATCGGCCCGTGCCATTCCCCTGTCACTCCAGCCCGACCGATCGCTTCGCATTGTTGGTACGCAACCACGCGTGCGAATACTTTGTAACACCTTTATTCGGCTACTTGTCATAGAAACCTTTGAAAATATTTGTACAAAAGATTTATTTGCTATTAAACAAGAAGCTTTCGACATTCATCGTGTGTGTCGTAATAGTTATTATTGCTATCCTTTAAAAGGAATCGACAGATAACTAAATCATCGACGTGAAATAAACATGACAATACGTACGAGGCTTCATATCGACCTTACACCCTTTTTTTAATCAGTCAGTAACAGTTATCGTGCTCTATGACGTACGGCAATGCATTATTATGCGCTCACTTGATTTTCGCTTATCTATATAAATATACATATATAATGTAAATATCACACTACATTAACAATAATTAAGAATTATTCAATAATTATCGTTCATTATGTCATTGGCTAGACTCGTTGACTAGTAGAGCTCTGTACATCTATGTTGCAGTTTTAGATATCCAAATTCAAATCTAACCCTCATTTTTTTGCCTCATCACATCAAACATGTATAATGTAAAATTACAAATCAATATATCCAAACAAACAATATAAAAACAATCAATAAACATTTCTAAATGATTTAAAAATCGATAGAATAGATCAAAATCGCAATTATAAAACTATTGAATCAAGTCTTTACTATAAATGCATGTCATGACTTCATTTTGATTTTTCAAATACTGTTGTTTTCCAATTTTTTTTTTCTTTTTTGAGCTTTATGCCATTTCAATTAGCATTATTAATTTTAATAAATCTACAATTGAAACTGCAATAATCATCAACAAGTGCAAAGTGTTCTGAGATCATTTTGCATGGATCAAAAAAATAAACTGAGATTCTCATCACTGTTCATGGCATCCTTGCCATGCCAATTACAATATCTATCAAGTGTACCTCATATGAGGTACTTTAGGTATGTGGCTTTGATGACTCTTCAGGATCCAACAAATCGTCGCACGAGGCTGTTGGTGGTAAAAGTTGTCGTCCTCCCCGCTTTTTACTCCGTGTAAAAACTTTAGTAAGCTGTGCGAATTTCCGTCTTGACGCTATCAGGCAAAATTATTTGAGTTTTAAAATATTTTTTTTGGAAAAATTACGAAATTGCAAAAATTATCTTCCATGAGAATACTGACCTTTTCCCATATTTTTAAGTCTTTCCTTGAATAAATCTTCTTCGTTAGCAGTTTCACATTTACCTTGTAACTTAGAATCTGAAAAATCATTACAATATTATAAAAATTGCAAGATAGATATAATGTCTTCGAACAGTCTATATATGTACCTTTTTCTAGAGTAGATAAAAAATCTTCGTTCCAGCGTAACTCAGCCATGAATTCTTCATTTTGCAAAAACATAGCAATCCTCTCATCCTCTAACAGAGAGCTGTCATGGACTAGGTCCGAATTTTCAGCTATATCACCTCCATAGCAAGAAATTCTTAGAAAAGAATCTGGTAAAGGTCCCACTAAAGGAGGCTGCCATTTTTGCATGCTTCTACTTAACTTGGCTTTGAATTTTTTTGTTGTTTTGTCAGATTTCGATGGATCTTCATTCTCTTCAATCTCACTACGAATCTTTTCATTTTCATTATCAGTACTCATTGAAAGTAACTGATCAATGGTTGTGTCTACAGCTCCTTGATTTGATCGTAGGACAGCCTAACAAATAAAATTGAAATGAATTTGCAGTAGTTATTAAAAAAAGAAAAACAAGAAAATTCGTAATCGTACCTCAATAACATCGTCGTCCATCTGCGGGAACATGTTCTTAAAATCAGCCATAGCTTGATAAAATTCAAGAGTAGTTTGTTGCTGTTGCTGTTGCTGCTGCTGCTGTTGCTGTTGTTGTTGCTGTTCTGCTGCTGATGCCATGATCCTTGATAAAAGTACAGTATTTGCAATGATGGAAGAATTTTCGCTAATAGAATACGCGAATGACTTCGCGAACAGTTTTTAACCCTCTGTGGAATACGATGCTGTCCCTGTGTGTATGTAAGTTACGTGCACGCGCTAAAGCCGCGCACTGCTATTACACAATCGTCAAGCTCTCATTGCTATATATCTTTATTTCTACTTTACGTCTATTTGTGCTGCAGTTACTTGCTTGGATCGAAACCACTCAATCAAACAACATTCTTGATAGTAATTGTGCACTTTCTTACTCCATGTAATAACAGTAATTGCAGGCCAGATACAGTTACAATTTTACTGTACCAGACAATATGACACCGTTATGTAGACAGCTCAGCTCTTTCCAATTCCAGCGAAGAACGTACAAAGTTCCGAAGTATTACAATCCAGCAACTTGCTTGACATGCAATTTTTGTTTTTGAGACTGCAACACTACATGCACAGCCGTATGCGAAATACTCCTTTTTGCAGCCAGATGCTTGACGGAAAAACACTAGACATTTAACTTGTTTTATTACAGAATTTGAGGAAGTTCAATATAGGCCTCCGTTACTTTCTGTTTTCCTGTTTATTTCCAGAGTGAATAAGATTGTCTACACATCAAGATAACAATGTTACTTGCTGCTGGCAGACGTCTTATTGGCAGCGGTGGGCCGAGTCATGTCATGAGCCGACCACTTGACCACTCGACAGAATGTCGGATTATGCGCAACTGCTTACTACACTACTTGCAGCAGTCACCTCACTATAGCTCATACTACGTAGATGGAATCATATGACGGTCAAAGTTTTTTATTTCGCCAACGCTATAGTTTTTTCAATTTGACAATAATTTTGTACAAGTTTTATTATAAAGTAACAGTATCTCGTCTTAAACAAAATATGTATTAATATAATTAAAAAAAAATTAAAGAAAGACTGTTTAATCTTATTCAAAATTTCAAAGAAATATTTACATCACGGTAAATATAATAATTAATACAATGTGAAAAATAAATAAATTAAAAATATATAGCTCTTCAATTATAACTTTTTAAAATATTCCGCACAAAACATGCTGATAAAAATTGAAATAAGTTAATAGGAACGGTCGGAATTTGCAGTTCTAACCTATCATATTTGGAATTGAGGTCGAACCTTTTTTTTATTTACTCACGCACGTTGTATAGCTTAGCGAAATAATTTTTATTTTTAATTTATGTTTAAATGTGTCAATATTATTTAACTTGAAATAAGTTTTAATTTCTTAAGACTCTATATTTATTTCAAGTAATGTATTCGTACCGTTGCAGTTAAAAAAGTATTATGAACGATTTCAGTATTGAACTTGTACAAAAGCAATTTCTATGTTGTACTCCTTTGCAAAAGTTCAAATGGCCTGTATGTTTATTACAATTAATATAGAATGAACCAGTTTGTAACATTAAATTTATTTTATAATTCTTTACTTTCAGAATTTTTCTAATATCGATGAAAATTTGCAAAAGCAAATTATTAAGGCAACAATAAACAACAATATAGTATTGAAGTATCCAATAAAACATTCTTATAGGAAAGCTTTCTTAAAATTATTTATTAACAAGGTATATGAAAGAAAGTTAATTTTTGAATGTATTTGATTATAATATTCAATACAAATTTTAGTTGGAAGAAAGTAAACAAGAGATAAACGATGACATTTATAATACCTATTGCAATACAACAGCTTGCTCAGATGAATATATGGCAATGCATTATCGACATTTTATTTTAAATAATCAAGTAACTAATATCATTAGTTTGAAAGAAAGTACTAACATCATATCTGAAGGTACTACTGGACTATGCATATGGAAGGTAAATATTTTGTTATTGTCACATGATTTTAAATTGTATTTGTATGAATGAAAAATTTTAATATTCATTGCAGGCAGCATTTAGTTTAGCCGAATGGTGTATTTTTAATAGACAAAGAATTTTTAATAAAAATGTTTTGGAACTTGGTTCAGGTGTTGGCCTCGCAGGTCTCAGCATTGTAAATAGTTGCAGTCCGAAAACATATTATTTTTCAGATTGCCATCCAACAGTTATACAAACTTTAAAAGAAAATGTATGCTTGAATCTTTTAGAAAACGAAAAGTATTTGTGGAAAGAGGTTTTATCTAATAACAGAATATCATATGAAAAAAAAGCATCAGAAGTGACAACAAAAGTAGAAATTCTAAACTTAAATTGGGAAGATATTGACTGTTTAGATTTGAAAAGCATGAAATTAGATGTAGTTATTGCTTCTGACATTTTGTATGACAGTAAAATGTTTGAACCTTTGGTGGTTGGTTTGAGAAAACTATTAACATCAACTGTTAAATATATAATTATAGCAGCAACAATTCGAAATGAAATTACTGTATCAGAATTTTTAAATAGACTGGGTATGTTGATTGCATGTTGCTTTTGTATAAAATAAAATAAATTCAATATACAACTTTTAAAATACGTTTTTATTTAACAGATAAAAATGGTCTAGCATTCAAAGAAGAAACAGCGTCGACGTCGCAAATATTTATACAGTCAGAAGACACACCCGTTAGGTTATTAAAAATCTTTAGGCAAAGTAAATAAATACATTATTTTAATTTGATAAAAGTATCAAACAACTTTTTTTTTATTTCTACTCAATGGTTTAAACCTTTCTTTAAATATCTGATCTTGCATAAAAAACATTTATAAAAGTATTAAGCACTGGCATAAAACATTATTTAATGTAGTTGGGGAAACGTACTTTGGATAAATTTGAAAGAAAAAAAAATACACTTTTAAAACCACTTTCTCAAGGTATGACGTTTATGTTTAGTTTCGGTTTCGTCCACATCTTTGTCAGCATCTTTTTTACTACTTTTCTTGGACTTTTTCTCCTTGATTTTTTCTTTGACTTTTCCCTTTTTTAATTTTAACGTGGAACGTCGAGATTCATCGGCCAAATTAAAATTTTCCGCTTTATTTCTGGCTGTAAAGCGTGAAAGAAATAATTATCCGATCGATATAACGCTTGTAACGATAGAGCAGCGCAAACTCACCAGCATATAGATCCATCTCTCTGTGTATACTACGATCTTCTTCAATTTCCCGCCGACGATCCATTTCAAGGCACTCAACGATTTCGTTTCGTTTTTCGACTATGTCCACTAACCTTTGGATCAAAGTCTCCTCCCTCTGCTTATCGAAGTCCGTTTTAGTGGCTTCCGGTTGCGTTATAAGACACCTGACTTGGTATTCAATGTCCGCGTGCTCTTCTTCTAGCCTCTGCTGTCGTCTGAGGAGCATCAGTTCCGCTTGTCTTCGGAAGAGTTCGTTCTTCTCGTTGACCAGAGCGAACAGCTCCAGTACGAGCTCCTCCACGTCTAGTGCCAAGCTTGCCTCTGCAACATGTCACACTCGGAATGAAGGGACGGCAAGGTGCGCGTGGCACCGTCAGTGCCCAAGCAGGCCCCAAAAATAGCACATGTAAGAGAGCACACAGTCTGCGTCCAAGCGGAACGAGGCTTTACAGTGTTGTCATTGAACGTTTGTCCGAGTGCGCGACTCGTACAAAGGAAACAGACTCCGAGGCTAAGTGCACGTAAAAATAAAGTTGATAAGACCCGAGAAAGACGCGAGTAATCGATATCGCTTAGATAGCGGCTGATAATCGAGCTTTCAAACAATGGCGAAGCGATCAGTCGACGACGAGGCAAAGAGAAGATGAGAAAAGATGAGAAACGGAGCCAGAGAGAGAGAGAGATGTGCTATTTGTGGGAGGAAGAAATAAAAGAGGACGCTAGTGACAAATCGAACAGTATTTATTATGCAACAACAACGACATCATATTCACAGCTACGAGGTGACTCGGTACACAGGCGGTTATAACTATCGACAGGGGCGAAAAACGCGTGATTGTGCAAAAATTACCTTCGCTAGCGGTACCCGACTCGCACTTATCCCTAATAATCTGCTCTAATCGCACGCCCTGCCGCTCCAAGCCCTGCTGTTGCATCTCGATCTGATCGAGCTCGAGTTTCACGTCTTTCATCGACATGACTTTGATCTGTGAGGGGCAAAAACAGCATGTAGAGTGGCGCCGCTGGCGGGCCGACGGGAGGGGTCGTAGGGGGTCGGTGAGGCTGGGGCTCAGAATAGCTTCTTCCTCAGCGAGAGCAGCAAACTCACTTTGCGCCTGAGGGGCGTGGGCCTCGGCGGCGCCGGGCCCTTTTTCCGCTTCCACTTGCCCTCGAGACTCTTGTCGAGCGGGCACTCGCCGCAGCCCAGGCTGCGCGTGTTGCGGTTCGCCTGGTCCTTGCTCAGCTTGTCCTTGTCGGCGGTCGGGGACGGCGGCGGGGACGGCGGCGGCGGAGCGGGCCTGCTCTTCCGCGTCCTGGGCGTCAGCCGCGGCGACGGGCTGCGCCGGGCGGGCGACTCGGCGGCGGGGGCGGCGAGGGCGGCGCCGTCGGGCGGCGCGGGCGCCGGCTTCTTCCGGCGCCAGGTGCCGCCGGGCGTGAGGGTCGAGCAGGAGCTGGCGATGGAGGCGTCGGACGAGTGCGCGCCGTCGGCGGCCGACTGGCCGAGCGCGCGCGGCCGGGGCACGGGCGGATCGGCCTCGCCGCCCGGCTCCTCGCCGTCGCTCCAGAAGGGGTTCAGGCAGATGCGCGGCGCCTCGAGCGTGCGCCGCCGGCTCCGGGTCCTGGCCGCGGGCCGCGGCGGCGTGGCGCCGCGGTCCCCCTCGTCCTCGTCGTCGCTGCCGAAGGGGTTGCCGGAGCGGGCGCCGGGGGGAGTCGGCGTGGGCGCGCCCCCGGCGCCGACGCCCTCGTCGTCTTCGGCGCCGCCGGCGAACGGGTTGAGCTCGTCCGGGTAGTCGGCGACGCCGTCGGCGGGGCCGCGCGCGGGCGGCGCGGGCCCCTCGTCCTCCACGCGCGGCCGCTGCCCGAGTGAGAGTCGGCGCCGTGGCGCGAGCAGCCGGGTTGCGGGGTCGGCGGTCACGAGCCCGAGGCTGCTGCTCCTGCGCAGGCCCGTCCGGCGCTCAGGGCCGGCCTCGGGCTGCGGCGCCGGTCGGTCGGCGCCGGTCAGTTGGTCTATGCGCTCGTTGATGAGCTCGAGCATCTGGTCCAAGTCGTCGGCGACGGGCGCGCCCTGGAGCCGCAGCCGCTCGAGGTCGCGGCGCTTGCTCTTCTCTTCGTCGCTGAGCGGCGCTTCGAGGAGCGCCGTCTCCGAGCAGGCCTCGGCCGGGGTCTGCTGCTGCTGCTGCTGCTGTTGCTGTTGCAGCTGCTGCTGCTGCTGCTGGGCGGCGTGCTCGCGTTGGCTGGTGAGCTGGGGAGCGGGGGTCGGGGGTAGCGGCGGCGGGTGGTCGAGCTCGGCGTGCTCGGCGAGCTCGAGGCCCGGCTCGTCCTCGGGGCAGGCCTCGCAGCAGTACTGGCCGTCCTCGGTCTCGTAGTAGTTGCCCGGCGTGAGCTGGTGCCGGCAGCGCGCGCACCGAAAGCAGCTGCGGTGATAAACGCTGCGCGACACCACCAGCTTCTCCGCCAGGAACACCGGCTCACCACAGCTTGCGCACCGCTCCCTGTGCATCCCCAAACGCGAGCTCACCTGTGGACACGTAAACGCGAGCTGTCATTGCGGCGTCGGCTTGCTCCGCTCGGCCGGACCGTTCGCGCCAATGAAAGCCCGAACGAAGATAAGACGCTCCGTTGCGCAATGCTGCCGCCGGCGCAGCCTCGAAAGTAAGCTCTGTGTGCAAGCGTCGTCGCGAACGCGCGACCCGACGGGCGCGATGCGCGAATCGGCAGCCTCGAGCGTTCGTGGCCAGCCGAGCAGGCTGGTTTCTTTGGGCGCGTACGCTCACTGTCCACAAATCGATCAGCCGAACGTCGCATTGTCGCGAACGAGAGACGGAACCGCTGACGGACGATTGTCGGACGGACGACGGCCGAGGCGTCGCGAGACAATTTAGCGCGCCAGTATATTTACGCGTGTTTCGCGAGCGGAGAGAGAGAGAGAGAGAGAGAGAGAGAGAGAGAGAGAGAGAGAGGTCGCGTCGCGAAGGCTCGACACATCGCTATTTGCGTCGTCCGCGGCACCTCCGACACAGTCCAAGCTGGACGAAACGCTGGCGCCAAGTGGCGTTCGGCCGGCAGCCGTCGGCAGAGCCGCGCGAAAGCGATAACTCGCGAGCAGACGGCACTGATAGTCGAGCGAGGCGACGCTCACCTCGGAGCCGCTGGCGCCGGCGACGGCCTCGGCGTCGAGGGCGCGCGGCTCGCGAAAGCTGGAGCCGCGCCCGGCGGCGAAGGCCTGGCGCTTGGCGCGCTCGATCCGCGGCCGCAGGGCCTCCTCGTCGATGTGCAGCACGGGCAGCATGGCGACGCGCTCGCTCGCACGCGGCCGATCGTCAGTAACTGGCGACGAGCGGCGTAGCGGCAGCTGATCGCCGCTCGGCAGCAGAAGGCGCTCCGAGCGCCTACGCCGAGCTACGACGGCCCGGCCGCGCCAACTGTGCCGAGATAAGAGCACGGCGAACGCCACTCGATATCGCTACTCGCCCGCGCGACCATTAGCACTCGATTGGCGTTAAGTAGTCTGTCTCTCCTCGGTCCGGCGGACCGTCGCCTCGGTCTGCCGCTGAATCGCCCGCGGCGCTAATTGGTACGCCGCGCCGAGTCGCTGACGCAGCGAGCTCCGTCGTCGCATTAGCAGTGCCGTGCGCGCCAAAGCGGCCGCGGCGTTTGAGAAAATTGCGACTCGACTGCCGCGCGCGACCGCGACCCGGCCGACACGGACCGATCGAGAGCGCGAGCCAAGCGACAAGCCGCGCTTCCGCGAGCGCCACTGGCTCTCGATCGCTCTCCCGGTTCGTCGAGTGTCCGGCGCGCTCGGGCTGCGTCTGGCGGAGCGCCGATCAACTCTATAAATAGCTGCGCGCGTCGGCCGCTCGGCCTCCCGATCCCGAAACCCACGCTCGCTCGCCGACGGCCGATCCGACGCGCGCGTCCGCGAGTCGAGTTACCGCGCCAGCGTCGCTGCCGGAGGGTCGAGCCCGCCGCGGACGCGCGCGGACGCGAGGACGGCTCCTCGTCGCCGCCGTCGACCTCGGCGGAACGCATCCGTTTGGCGTTCGGAGCTCCTCGCCGAGCGCCGAGGGCCGCGTGGAAACGCTGCCGCGCTCTCCAAGTGTCGCACGCGCAAATTGGAATTTCATCGGGGCGCTGTAAACGTGTCGCGCATTAACCCACTTTTTTTTCGCCTCGAGCTCCGCGCGCGTGCCATTTTCCCGCCGAGATGCCGTATCCCGCATTTCAAGTGTCGCCTTCGAAAGTTGGCCGCTCCGACGAGGCGCGACGGAGTCGTCGGTGAGTCGCGGCTAGGTCGAGCGTCCGCCGAACCGGGAACAGCGGAGAGCCAGGGAGAAGCGCTCGGGCACTTCGGAAGCGGAAGGGTAATCGACGGAAAAAGCAAAGCCTGCGTGCGTAGGTGTAAACACTGGAACGGTTCCAAGTCACGAGAAGTGGATCGGGGCGGCGCACGCGGCTGCAAAGTTGAAAAGAAGAACGAGCGGCCGAGCCAACAGGTGCCGGACGAGAGCTCCGGTCAGCCGACGGGCGCGGCGACGACGGCGACGAGCGTCGCGTACGAAGACGCGCGCCGCTGAGGCGGTTCAGCGACCGGCGAACCAGCTCGCGCGGCGTGCCGCAGCGATTGGCCGGCGCTCAAAGTTTGGCTAAGTGCACGCGCCCGACGAAAATAAACGGTGCATTCGCCGCGGCGGCCGCGGGCGTAGGTGCGGATCGATCGCCGGGTGCGCGCGCTACCAGTGAGTGACCTCAGCACAGCGCCAAATGCCAAACGTATAGGCGCTATTCGCGCGATCGATATCAGCGCTCTCTCTCTCTCTCTCTCGGCGGCGCTGCTTTGCATTCGCGTCGCCGTGCACCCGCTTGCGAAATTGGCGCGTCGCGGCCAGCCGCGTCCCCGGCGAGCAGCCCTCGCGGGCGCGCTCTCGGCGTCACCGCAGCCCGCCGCTGACACGACGCTCGTGCGATCGCGGCTTGGCGGGGCTAGCCCGCTGACCTACTGCCGCGACCTGCCTCGCAGGCGGCGATTTCGAGTCGACCGACCGCCCGGGCTGTCCGATCGACTGGAAGCTTCCAGGACGGACAAGAAGGCCGAGCATCGGCGCGTAGCTCCTCGATCATTAGCAAGTCAAAAGGAGAAGTTCGACGACGGCGAGTCTAGCGACGCGACCTTCGCCTCTGCCCGGCGCACGAGCGAGGCTCGCAAAGCGGACTGCGCAAAAACGAACGATACATACGACAGACATGCGTGCTGACAAGTGATGGCTGTGAGTGCGCGTTAGCGAATTAGAGAAGCGTTTCGTTGATACAGCGTACGTAAGAGCAAGTCACAGAGTCAGACAGTCAGAGAGAAAACAACAAAAACGGGAAAGCGATTTACCTTCTAGCAGAATATTTCAGGTTTATATTGCCCCATTAAGTCCAAGCTTTCCTCCTGGAGAACAAAAACAGAGAACAAAGTGTGTATGAGAAAAAACAACTATGCGCTATGCATTAACGAGGTGATAGATACAGACAGAGAGAGAGAGAGGGTGGGGGGGAGGGGCGGAGGTGGTGGATCTCGGGTCGAAAGTCGTGGGACGAGTTAGATACGCAGTGTGCAAGAGCGAGGGAGGAGTGCACGTGGCTTACGAAAGGCGACTCACGGGCTTTTATTACGTAAACTCTCGTTCGGTCAACAGAACAATCTGCTGGTGCTCTCAAACGAATGCAATTGCGCGCGGCGACAACGACGACGACTACTGACACGGTTAATAGTCAGCCGGCCTATCATATGCTGGCCGCTCATTAGGCGTTGCACGGGACGACCGGCGAGAGTGACACGAACGGCATCCACTGCTAGCATATCGATTGCTCGCCGGATCGATCGAGCGAATTCTACCCTCCGTCGTTTTGTCTGCGCGTGCATCGGGACTCGATCGCGTCGACCGTGCGCGTCGACTGATCCAATTTACAGGCCGTTGGTCGGAAGAGGCGCGCGCTTGCAGGGAGCTGCCGTGCCGACCGGCCGCGCGGCAACGAGGAGCGAGCGTCGAGCGGCACTCCGAGGATGGCGCGACTGCGCTAATTGTCGCCAGTCCACGGGAGAGCGGACGCGCGGACGAAACGGGCCTCGCCAATGCCAAAGTGTCTGTTGCGACGAAACTGGGCTGCTCGCCTCGAGGCTTCTCTCGACTCGATGGCGAAACACCTGCACGTCGGACTTTCGTAGCCAAGCCACACGGATGTGTGTGCGAGTGTGTATGTATGTTCGGCAGCGCACACAGCCCCCGGCCAACGTCGACTGGCGCTCTTTCAAGCCACTCTCTCTCTTTCTCTCTCTTCCTTTCCATTATTGATCTACCTAGCCTCACGTTTCTTCTTACTTTGTCCACCCTTTTCCTCCCTTCGCGCTTCTCCTAACCTCAAATATTTGTCCGCGCACGCAAAGCTTCGAGTGCCTCTATTGTTTTCTTGTCCTTCCCAAGCTCAAAGCTCCCGTCGAATCGACGCACGCCGACCGATTCGCAGTTGGGCAGCGCTTCTGACAGTGAAACAACCTGCGACGACGAGAATCGAGCTGCAAATGCCGCGCTAAAGCGAGCAGTCGCTCAAGCTGCCCGTTGACCGCTGATCGAGACGCTACTCTACGATACCGTGCAGAGGCTGGTCACTCGGCAGCACTGTAGTGCGTTGTTCGGCCAAGCGACGAGATTGGCCGTACAAGGACGCGCGAGAGTACGCAATTGCCACTGAAGCAAGACTGCGAGTGTACAGTCTGATCGGACACGGTCAGAGAACGGCGCGCGTCGATCTGCAAAAGTCGACGAGCGCCAAATCGATTTTGAGCGATGGCTCGAGCCATCGATTGCCGCGATGAAAACAACGTTAAGGTGGACCTTCTCGGGCGCGGAAGCTTCGTGTGATTCAATTGAAATCGATCGATGGAAGACTGTCGGCGTAGCGCGTTCGAAAAGAGCGCGCGCGAGGATATAAAGAAGCTCGGTGGAGATGGTATCTGGCTACGATCGCGCAATAAGCTAGTGCCGAGAGGATTGAGCGACATGCGAAGGACGATGATGGCAACCGCCGGCGGTGCACGGCCTCCAAATTGTCTAATTTCTCGCTAGTTTCATTCTAGCCTCTCTCTCTCTCTCTCTCTCTCTACGCGTCCTCGGTTGCTCCGTCGTCGGAACGTACCATTGGTATTCCCTTGACGAACGAGAGCGAATCTCGATCAGGGACACCGAGGCGAAAAGCCATTCCTCGCGGCGGCGCACGAGGAGTGACGAAACGACGAGGCGCGCAGCGAAAAGAAGTAGGGCGCAAGGAAAGGAAACGGACGAGGACAAAGCTGGGCAAAGCTGGAGACGGAGATCTGGTCGGCCGGCACGCTCGGAGAGAAGCACAGTCGCGCGAGCAGGGCGCAGCGTATCGGCTTACCGGTCAGACCAGCCTGCGCCATTAGGCTGCGGCCGATTCCCCGCTAGATATCCGTCGGCAGGCTTGTCAATTAGCCGCCAACGGATTTGCTTGTCGCGGGCGCTCGGCCAATCGCCTTGCTATGTCGCTGCGCGCACGCGCCAGCTGCCATTGTATCGTGTCATTGTTCGTCGCCCATCGACTCGGCTGCAAACTTTCCAATAATATCGCGTGTCGACGCCGATATAATGTATTTTTAATTTGCATACCGCTCGCGGGACAAATGGGGCGCAACGTCGCGCTTGCGATGACAAATGAATGAGAGAAGAAGCGGGCGTTGTACGTATATACACAGCCAAGCAAGAAGAGCGCTCGACGACTAGGTCGGAGGTGGATCAAGCCAAGGGGATCAACAGCGAGGCAGAGAAGGCGGGTGGGGGAGAAACGATCAAAAGCAGCGGCAGGAGGATGCTCTGCGTGGACTGGAGTCGGAGCGGGCCGAGAATATTTGGCAAGGATAATTGGCGAGTGGAACGGACGAGACGCACAGGGCGGTAAAGCCTTACCTTGGACTGCGGGGACTCGGGCACCGATCCCATCCTCTCGCTCGAGCTCTCGGACGAGGTCCTGTTGAGCGCCAGTCTGCTGGGCGACGAGCCTGCTGCGTAACGCAAACGACAGAGCCTCGTTAATCGTCCGCTGGATTGCGAATTGCTCCGCTCGACTCGAGCCCAAAGCGAGTAGCGCCGTGCCGCGATCGTTTCGCGCGACAATCACCCGCATAAATTCGCTTTCCATTAGCCTGAGAATGACTTGATCGGCCTACTCGTCTACCAAGTTTACCCTCCGATTGCCGCGCGCGGGCTCTCTCTCTCTCTTCCTTGCCAATTACGAAACGCGTAATATTTGACAGCGATAACGTAAGCTTGCGCAACGAAATATCCAGGCATCGAGCGGCGTTGAATGGAAGCTCGCGTTGGCGCGGCGAGCGAAATTCAGTCGTAACGGTGCAGCCGGTCGCCGCTTGCCTTTTCACGGGATTGCCAAGCGAAGCCTGTAATTATTATTGGAGAGCGCGCGCGGCGAAAGAAGGTCGCGCGATTCTTCGAGCAATTAGCGGGAACGAGCGGCGAGCGGAAAGCGACGCTTTGATTTAGGCGAGATCAGGGAGAATAAATAAGCAGGCGCGAAAGGAAAGCTCGCGCGAGACGAAACAAAAAGTGGGAATCTAGTTCAGGCTGCGTAGATCGATCGCCGAGTACTGCCGCGAGGATCGCGCTCGCGTCAAAGGGGCGCAACGCTGGCGCCCATTAACGCGCCGGGGCAAGGGAAAAAAGCAGCGCCGGTTGTAATTGCTCTCTCGCTCGCGGGCAGAGAGAGAGAGAGAGAGAGAGAGCACATGCAGAAATGGAGCTGACGTTGCGTATCTGTGTCAGTAGGATCAAATCCGATCGAGCTGTCGCTAATTGCGCGGTGCCGCGGGTCTTTCTCCGCTGGCTGCGGTCGTCTTCGGGCTACCCCGCGCGGCAATCAGCCCTGCGGAGCCGAATGGGATCGCACGAGCGCGGAGAGAGAGAAGCGAGGCGCGCCGGCACGCGCGAGCGCCCCGGGGCAGAATTCACGCCCGAGAGAAAGCAGCGAAACCGCGAATAGTACCGACGCCGCCGCGCGGCCTATTTATCGACCGATCGACCGATCCTCGCGCGTCGATCGGGCTCGCGCAGACGAGGCGACACGGCGGGCGAGTCGCGAGTACTGACCACCGAACACTTGGTAGAACTGCGACAGGTAGGTGAGGATGGAGAGCCGGTCGGGCACGGCGCACGAGGCCATGTCCTCGGCGTCCAGCAGCGCCGGGATGCCCAGCTGCTGCTCGGCCGTCCTGAAGGCCAGCTCGTTGTTCCCGTACACGTCGTCCTTGTTCAGGCTGCTGAAGTCACTGCAACAACGACGACAACGAGCAGAGTAGTTCGCGATATCGAGAGCAGATCGACGGCCCGTCCGCGGCGCGCCGAGCGCCGTTAGACGAGTCGTGGCGAGCGCGCGAGAGCTCGTGGGCGGGCTACCTCCGGCGTGGCCGGCGCGGGCTCTCTCCTCGCTGCGCGATGATTGCTGTACTTTGAGAGCCGGAGAGGTCCGGGCGGAAAGCGCGCGCGCGACGCTCCCATTGCTACGAGCGCGATCCCTCATTACTCTGACCGCCACCTAGAGTTTTTGCCTGTGCCGGGCCGGGAGGGAGCAACTTTCTCCCGCACGCGCCAATTATCGTTTTCACTCGCGCGATGGGATTAGACCTCGCGTCGATCATTTTTCTCGTTTTTTTGCTTGTCGACGCCGCCGCCGCCGCTTTTCCAAAGTAATTACCGACTCTCGGGAGAGAGAGAGACCGCTACTTACATCTTGTCGCGGAGCCGCGGCACTAGCTTTCCAAGCATTCGTCGACGCGAGAGCGTTCGGCCGCCGGACGAACTTATCCCGCGCTCCGCGATAAGAACGCGCGTCGCTGTCGGTCACTGTCAGCGCGAACCGGCGGCGGCGTGCTCGCGTGGAGCAGACGCCGAGTCGGCGGCGCGCGAACGGCGAAGGCATGCTCACATGAGGTCCGGCCGGAAGTGGTGAATCATGGCGCAAAAGGCAAGGCCGTCCCGCCAGGAGGTGGTCATGTTTTGCACGTTGACGCCCGGATAGCCGTCGGTTATCCTCCTGCACCACAGCTCCAGTGCCTTCGTGCCGCGACGCTCGCCCATTGTCGCCGTTTAATCCTTCTCTGCGACGCTCGTCAGACCTCGTTCGCTCTGCGTCTGCCTCCCTCGCTGCGAGCCTCTTTATCTGCTTTACGCTGCAATCAAATAAACCAGACGTCAGCTGCCGCTTGGCTGGATTTAGGGAGCCGCTTTGCTCGATTACGACTGCGAACGTGTCAACTACGCGCGTTCCGCTAACTATTTTTCAGCAATGGGTGTGCTCTCTCTCTCTCTCTCTCTCTCTCTCTCTCTCTCTCCTTGCATTTTCATTATTTTCATCGTAAACGCCCGCACTAAGCTCCGCGAACGTACGAAACGAATAAACGACGAACGAAGGAAGACCCTTCCCCATCTAGTTTCCGAGAGCCAAGTGAATATCGAACCAGATTACACGACGAACGGTTGACTAGCAGAGTGGATTTATTCCCTACAGTCTTCGAGGCAAATTAAAATTCTGGCCCTATTTCAAGGGTGAAAACACGCTGTGTCTCGTAGTCAATGTTGATTGCACGTTTTCATTGGAATACGACGAATGCTCGAGACGAACAGCCCGGGAGTCGGCCTCTGACGAAGAAAAACAAGTTTGGAGGGAAAAATATGTAGCTCCTCGGAACGAGAGACGAATCAAAAACAAAGTAATCGGCTCGGCAAAATCAGCATAATAACGTGGTTATTAACGACTGCTGATCGATTACACAAAACACCGGCCCGGAAGACAGTCGACAAAGTCGTAAATGAAACTGGGCAAAATATGGTTGGTTCGAGGCAACAACAACATCGACAGTGGCGGTATCAAAGCGGAATAAAAAAAACATTGGGCTGGAGAGCGAGAGAGAGGGCGAGAGGCGCAAGGACGCGCCGCGACGAGATTCGGAGGATTACGGCGAAGGCCGGCACTCGTTAGCGGTACACGCCGGTAATAATCGACGGACCGATGGATCGGCGAGCATCGTAACGGGAGTCAAGCCAGTCGAGCCTAACAGCACTGCCACGAGCGCGAGTCGCTCCTGGATCGTCCCATTCCAGATTTCCACGCGGACCGCCAGCGTCCTGTCCTTGGCTCTCGCCTCGACTTTCGACGGCCGTCCACGACAAAAACCCACCGTTACTCGTCGCCCCGGCGCGAAGGAGCTGCAGTCGGAAAAGGATAGCACGGCTAATCGACGTCGGAAATAGCCTCGGCAAATCCGTTTTGGCCGATCGCAGCGCGGCTAATCGGCTCGTAATCGCCGGCTGCGACGCCGAGCGGAAAGAAGACGGAATTGATGAACGCCTTGAACCTACAAACGAGCGGCCGCCAATCCGCGCGGTCTCGCTTCACTCCGACGGACGACTATAATCCTATCGATCTTTTTTTCTTTTTTTTCACTATTTCGCGGCTTTCGATCGACTTCCTCCGGATTCGCGTCCGGCGCCGCCTCTGCTTTTACCTGCCGATCCCGGGCAGATTTGCGCGTCGATCGAACGGACTGGGGTACACATCGAGAGATAATTAGCCGCGGCGAGCACCTGTTAGCCGCACAATGGGCGCGCTCGCGATTCACCGCGCGTTAACGAGCTCGAGCGAACGTTCACCCCGACCGCCACTCGCGAATATTCCGATGGGAAGAGCGCGGCGACGAGTAACGCCAGTCCGCGGTGGCACTAGTCGCTCTCGAGCGACGGAGGCGCGCAGCCACGGGGAACGAGCGATGAGGCAATCTCGAAGTAGCGAACAATAAAACCGCTCTCGCGCGATCCACCTGTCTTTCTCTCTTTCTTTCTCTCGGCCTCGGCTTGGATCATCGAAAGTGGCTGGAAGTCGGTTAGAAGGCGCAACGGAGGTCGTCGACCGCGGCGCTATCGGACGAGGCGTTCTCGCTCGCGAGAGCTCGACGACGAGCCGCGCGTCGCCGTCCGTGGCGGCTTATCGCCGCGGAGGCCAGTCCCGACGGGCAGGCAATTGCAGCGCGGCGCTCCGCGCTCGCGGACGCGGATAGCGGGAGCCGGGGCCGATAGCGATAGCGCGAGCCGCTTCCCTGTCCAATTAACCTTTCGGGCGCGTCCGCGCGTGGCCGGCGAGAGTTCGTCGGCGAAAGTTGCCCACGAGCCGGCCACTTGGACCGGAGAGCTGCTGCTGCTGCTGCTGCTCGGCCTTGCCGTCGATCTTTTCCGATGTCGGAGCGTCACGCCGACGAGCAGCAGTCCGTCAACTGCGTTTTACCGCGACTCGTTCGCCTGCCTCCGATGACCCAGATGAGATGTCAACTGCCGGCAGCCTCGCCACTGGCCAAATTGGGAATGAAACTGGAAGCTAATCTTGCTAACGACAAAAGTTACGGCGCCGACGAGCTCGTCCGGTCCCGGGAAGAGAGGCCGTTGCCCCGGCAGTTGGAAAGCAGTCGGCGCTCGCACCGGCGCGCTCTCTTCGCGCCGACGCGAGCGAAGTGGCGCGGGCTTTCGGAGAAGCCGCCGCCTGCTGGGCTTTGTCCTCTGCCGAGCGCGGAGACAAAGGCCGCGCGGCGCTCCTGTCGAAATCTCGTTCGAGTCGACCGACACCGTCGCGGCCAGTGCACTCACGGGGAGGAGAATCGGCGCGACTCGCCAAAGGGGAGAAAGAGAGTTTCCGCTCGCCGACGGGCAGACGGCCGGAGAAAGCACTTTCGCTGCTCCGACGCTCCGACGCTCCGACGCTTCGCGCTTCGGCGAGCGATAAGCGGCCCAGACGAGGCGACGACAGGCGGAGAAAGCCGCCGGAAGAGGAGCCGCGCTTGCCTACGTAACGTCGCGTTCTCTCGCCGATCGTTACGTGCCTCGCGCGCACCTGCAACACCTACAGTGGCGAGAGAGAGAGAGAGAGAGCCTATTCCCGAGTGGTCCGCGCGCAGGGCAGCCAGAAAAGGCCTCGACGCACGAGCGCGCCGTCCTCCTCTCGGTTCGCGTTTTCGTCCGCGGCCAATTTCACGCGTGTCTTTACCGATCTTGCCGAGAGCGAGCGAAAGGGCGCGCGCGTGCGTCGACCAGGCATTATTATTGCGACAGAGCGCGCGCCTATTACGCGCGCTCTCTCCCTCGCTCGCGAGATCGCGCAACGGCGCGGCGCTTGCGTAAGCGCGAGCTCGAGCCGCCAGATCGATCGGCTCGATAGCAGCAGCTGTGCCGCCGTGCGCGCGGCTCGCTCCGCGGAACTCGCGAATGTGCCCCGGCCGCACGCGTGACGTTGGCCCGGAGGCGGCTCGAGCGCGTAAGACGTCGGCCGTCCGCTAGCCGAGAAGTAGCGCCGGAGCAGGTTTTCGACACCGCGTGCGTTGTCAGCGGCAGCATTTCTCGCTCGCCCTCTCTTTCGATCGGTGCGCAACGCGCGTTAGGGGACTTACTTGCGAAATAAGGGCTGTCGACCTTCGGATCTAATCGAGGCGCACTCGCGCTGCGCGAGAAATGATAATGCGCCGAGGACTAGACGCGAGTAATCCGGTCGGCGCGCGGCTCGAGTTCAGCGTCCCTGCCGCCGAGAGAGTATACGCGTGTGCATCGCCGGAGGGCTTAAGCGCAGTTTAGTGTCGCGCGGATTTTTCGAACGGCCGCAGCATAGCCGCGCGTTCACGGCGGACTAACGGCAAAACGAACGCGCGCAATTGATATTTGAGAAGAGAGAGAGAGAGAGAGAGGAAGGGAGAGCGTGCGAGCGCAGCAGCGAGAGTCGAGGCGAGAGACGATAACGCAGCGATAACTATCTTCGCAGACGCTCACTCGTTAAAACTATCACGGGCTCTCTCTTCCTGTGCCGCTGGCTGCCACTGTATTTTTTTCACACGCGCGCCTCGGATAACAATGGCGAGATCGGCAGCGACGCTCCAGTGGCCGCGAGCACGCCTAATTTGCACGAGCGGTCGATAGTCCTTGGCTGATCGGCGAAACCTCGAGCGCGAGAGGGCGACCCGTTCGTTATCGCGCGCGCGCAGGAAGCCGTCGAAGGCCTCGGTGGGCTTGTCGCGCGTCTCTGGCCGAGCGTGGCTCCGCCGCCCCAAGCTCGTCCGGCTCGAACCCTCTCGCTTTCCGAGTTGCGTAAGCCGCGATGAATCATTCGTCGCTTCCGCCCGAGACTCGCGGTCATTGTTTTTTCGACGTCTGGACGAAACGCGGCTGCGATCGCGCGGGCAACGAATCAGAAAATGAGCAGAATAAAAGGCAAAGAGAGAGAGAGAGAGCAATTCGATGGACGAGCACAGTGGAACAGTTAGGCGTTGTCGTGTATAAAGCGGCTGTCGCGCTCTGCTCGCGGAAGAACGACGACAGCATAGAGAATTGGCTGGGTTTTTTCTCGTGGTCTTTGTTTTTTTGTCGGGACTCGTTCCGCGCGTGCCACTTCTCACACAGCCGACCGCAGCACTGCTTTTTCCTTTCGCATCTTCGTCAATGTCCGGCTCCGCTCGCTTCGATTCTTCGCCAGCTGGAGCGTCGGATAATCAAATGTCCCCGTGGCTCGGCGCGAGCGGATCGATCTACGTGCCGCCTCATCAGCTTCGTTTCAAGATTGCATTAATCATCCGTCAGGTATAAATCGCGGCGAGGCCATTAGGTGCACCTGTATTATTCGAATCTCGCCGTTAGCGCGCGATATTCCGATTTGTTTATTCGCGTGTCTTTGCCAGATGTGCATTCGTTCGGCTTTATCCGTTCATCGACATAACGTGACTTATCAATGAAAATCGATTGACACAGCTGTGATAACGGGAGGTGTTACATTGCTTCTGCTGGGACAGCGTATTATTTACCTTTCAGGCATTACATTTTCAATGGCAAGAAAAAGTCTATTTTATACGGGATTTAAAGATCTACCTTGAGCAGCTTTAACGACGCATAAAATATACTCGTAGAGGAAAAATATGAAGACATTTTCGAAGGTTAACCATAACTTTTGCCGTCAGCTGAAAAACTTTTATTTGAGGCGAACGACGACGTTGCCTTACAACGTAATTTGTCTTTGTAGTAAAAAAATGTCCGTGAACAGGGTCGGCACACGGTTAGAGCGTTAGATAATGGGCGAGAAGGCGCTGATAAATCAGGTGAAAAGGGCAGGCAGCGGGTAGAAAAAGAGGGCGAGCGAACGAGAGATACAGAAGGGATAAGCGAGCAGGCTGGAGGAAAACCGGAAAGCAGAGGCAGGCGTATCGATGGGAGCGCGATGAATAAACTGGGAGGTTGGTCGCGCGGGTTTGGTCGCGGCCGTGGCCCATCCATGCGTGCAGCTTAGAAGCGGAGGTCTGGCCGCTCAAACCGGTTCCCTTCTCTCTCTCGGCTCTCTCTTTCGCGGCGGCAGCGCCGGCGATATTACACGCAGCCGCCGCGAGCTGCACGAACACACACACACCGGCAACCATATCCAGAGCAAATTAGAGCCACGCGAGCGGCAACACGCAAATTCGAGCCTTCTCCCGCTTTCGACGGCAAGAAAATAAAGAGCAAAGGAAGGAAAGCTTGTCGGGCTCCCGCGGGCCCCGGCTTACGTGTGCGTGTGTAATACACACGTCCGAGAAGCGAGGGAGAGAACGACAAAGAGAAGAGAGCAGAAAAAGAAAAAAAAAACGGAGGCCCTTTGACTCGCCGAAACCGATCGGCCGAGTTTCCCATCTGTGTAGCAGGGGCTCGCGCGGCTTCAACGCTTTGTTTCTCGCCCATCTTATCACAGCTCTCTCGCCCTCTCTTTCTTCGACCCGTTCTATTTTCGCCTCTCCGCTGCTATATACGCCGCTCTGTTATTATACACACTCGGCGGCTCCTCTCTCGCCAAATTTCATAACGCAGCTACTCTGCATGGCGCCACATCGCACCGGCACTCTGTTATTTCCTCTCGTCTCGTCTCCTCCGCTCTCCTCCGCTCTCCTCCGCTCTCCTCCTCGCAAAAACGAAAGACGAAAAAATCCCTCTCGTCGAATCGTGTTATTACGCTCCTAATCGCCGTGGATAATTTGCTCTCGGCCTTTTTTCACTTTGATCAATAAAAACTCACGAAAATATCCTGCTGCTAGCCTACCGGAGTATTATTTGACTTTTATGAGAGAGAGAGAGAGAGAGGAGCGAGCAATTTTATCGTTAGTGCTCGAATACATTTGAATAAAATTAAAGGCCATGTGTATAAAAGTGTCGTGTAGACAAAAACGAGTTTGTACAAAGAAGAAAAGGCAGGGTTTATTTCGAGGCTATTACTCGCCGCGAACACGCGAGTACGCGGATGTCGTACAAATTATCCGGCCAAATCGGGAACGCGCGCAAATAAATTGTCATCCAAGGATTCACGCGAATCACGAGCGAGGTTGACCTTCGCCTCGAGACCCCCGTCGGACCTCGCAATTACCGTACGTTGACGCGCGTGCAAAGCCCATCCCGAAGTGTCTCGGTATAGGCATGACCAGAGCAGAGGTCCTTCCTTTGTATCGGCCGAGCAGCGCTGAGTCAGATTATGTATTAGCGAGACAAGTTGAGGAAACGGTGGATAGGTGCAATGAACGGCGAACAACTGGCTGTAGAGGGAGGCCAAATCATATACTCGGAAAGACAATCCACGAAAGCAAATAAACGCTCGCTGCTGCGAAAAATGAAACTGCTATCGAGCTCCTCGCCGTGGCTTCTATAAACATAACGGCTGCGAGGCGTTGTGGCGTTGTTGCCGAGTCGCCACGGCCACTCAATCTCTAACTCGCGACAATTGCCATTGTCGCTCGCTTGCTCGATTGCCGTTCCATCGGTTCGCGCGTGCGCGCGCGCAATCAAAGTCGTTCGAAATTTTTCCAGCCGAACGTCTCGCTGTATGATTAGCTATAAATACGTCATTGCGAGAGCGATAATGTTTGCGCTGTCGGGCGGCGGTGGCGGCGACGCCGCGGCCGCAGCCGTCGTAGCCGATAAGACCACACGCAATTGACACTTGCCCCATTGGATTATCAGACACTCCGAGCGACTATACTTGCAATGCCTGCAAAGCAGCGAGAACAAAATGAACGGCAGAAGCCGAGAGAAAAGTGCACTTCGGAAAGGGTCTCGAAAAGAGCGCGCGTACACGAGTGTCGGTAGCAAACGAGTGAACAATGTAAACAACGACAACATGCAACGCGGCGAAAAAAATAAAAATACGAAGGTTATGAGTGCGGGCGCCGCTGCACGCGACTTGTGTCTCCTCTGCAAAGCTTGGCTGTATCGGAGTGTGCAACGAGCGCCAGACCGAGGGGAATAGAGCTTCTATGTGAGTGTGTATGGTGTATACGTGTAGTGCGCACTGGCATGAAGCTGTGCATGTGGATCCGTTACCTTACGTCACTCGCATGACCGCTAAGCCGTTACAGTCTCCTCGCTCTTGGGCGACGCTCTCGCTCTCTGTAATTGTTGCTGTGTGTTGCGTCCTCTCCTCTTCTCCTCAGTCTTGACGTTTCCTCGAGCACATAACCTCAACAATCCTGCCAAGATGCCAGGAGGCCGGCTTTCGACTACCAAGTGCGAGCACAACAGAAGCGTTGGACTCGCCTCGCGGCTCACACTCTACTATTTGCGTGCAACGTTTAAATGTCCGAGAGGGCAGTAAGCACGGCACAATGGCCAGTAGCAGCTCGCTCATTAATAATAAATAAACAAAGTGGGTGAACAGGTGGGGATTTCGAAATAAATCGGCGCTGGAGAAGCGCGTGCGCGGAACCGCGTCGTCGGGATCACTGACACTGCGCGACCGACCGACCGAACGAACGAACGAACGAACGAACGACGGCAGACAGAGAGAGAGAGAGAGAGAGAGAGAGAGAGAGCGAGAGTGATTTATATATATATATATATATATGTATATATATAAGGAGTAGGTATACAGTAGCTGTAGGCTAGCAGCTAGCGCACACGTACATACACAGGGACTTGGAAGTTCTAGGCTGCTGGCTTAAGTCAATCGGCGTGCACTGGCGCGTTCGCGGTGTCAGAGTACGCGTGTAGATGCGTGCGTGTGCTGTAGCGGCCAGTTGGACACGGAACGCGTGCTACCCTGCGACTGAGACGCCACGAGACGGGCCGCTATGTTTTACTCCTCCTCTCTTGCTCGCGAGCAAGGCACTTGGAACTACCGCCGCTCCAACCGATCGCTATCCCCGCTCTCTCCCTCTCTCTCGCACACGCCATTGCCCCTCTCACTTTTATTGTTTTTCTCTTTCTGCCGCGGCTTCTCTCTCTCTCTCTCTCTCTCTCTCGTTCGCTCGTTCGCTCGCTCTCTCCGATGGTGCGCTCGGGCCCCTCTTTCGCGCGCGCAATACCGCCCGCGGGCCCCACCCGAGCGAGCACAGCGGAGAGCCGACACAGAGCGAGGAGCAGTCGGAGACCGGCGGACCCCTGCCCACTAAAATCTCTCTGTCTAACGTGCTCTGCCGTAGTCTCCCTTTTTTACCTGCGCTCTCGCTTCTCCTGCAGCCGCGTCGCTGCTTCTTTTTTCTTTCCTTGTTCCTCCGCTTGGCTTCGCGTTCGAGCCTGGCAACGACGAGCCGCGAGCGGCCACTCTCACGCGCGTTACAACCTGTGTACAACTAGCGCTCTTTTTTTTCTCTCTCTCTCTCTCTCTCTCTCTCCTGCTCGCTTCTCGCTCGCAACGAACAACGCGCTGCTCCGCGCTGCGTCTCTCCCTGTAGCTACCCGCACTTTTGTATCCATTGTCTAAATTCTCCTTCCTCTTCGTAGCGATTTCCTACGCTTTTTCATCCCTGTCGGCTACGGCTTTCCGCCTCGCGCCTACTCCACTTTTTCCTGTTCCAACTCGATTGTCGTGTCTGTCACTTCAATCATGATTTTCGATCTCGTTCATTTATTTTCTACATGGATAGGCAGACGTTCTCTTCGCCAAATTTATTGTCATTGGGTCTAGTAGAGATTAAATTGCAATCGCGATGTGACACTCGAGTGGTCAATTACTAGTTGTAATTGACGATAAAACGAAAATGATCGATTTCGAGAGTTTTACTTGTCGCAAGTGGAGAAAATCTTTATAGTTTGCAACTGATTAGACGCGGCCTTATCTTTCTGAAAAGAGCAAAGCCACGAGAGCTCGTACTTGGATTTCTTATTTCTTGCGGCATTGAGTGATTCCGCACTTTTTTCTTATTTCTTTTTTTAACGAAGACAAGTATTTATAGAAAGTTGAAACGTTCCTACGCTATCAGATCGAAATATCACGCAAAAGCGTTTATCGAACGACTAGAGAATGAGAGCGTAGGGAAAAATGATGTGTTAACTGCATCGACAGAAGCTAGGCTGAGTTTGAAGGCAACGAAGCTAGAGATGAGTAAGAGAAATATTCGGAATGTTCGGGTCGGTGATAATTCTCGCTGGTGTAGAGACAAGTGTGCCGAGCAAAACTATGAAAAATCTCTCGCTCGGTCGTGTATACGATGCCAGCTCGGATTAATTATCATCGTGAAAGTAGGTGTGAGGTGTAATGGGGCAGAGACAGGCGCGTGTATCGCGCATAATGGGACAGGAGATATGCGGAGACCCAGCGAGATAGGCAGGAAGTGGCAGTGGCGGAATGGTGGTGCGCGTTGGCAGGTAGGTATGCGCGAGTCGAGGCCATGACGAGCGCAGTCGGCTGTACAGGTGAGGAACGGGACAGTGTACACGTAGGCGCGCGAGTAGCGTCCGTATGCTCTCTCTCTCTCTTTGCGCAAATGGTTCAACGACTATACGCTGCAGTAATCGAGCGCCTGAGCATTACTCGGAGCGTTTGACGAGAGCTCGGGCGCGCTGTTTGGCCTTTGCTTTCTACTCGGGCGTGCACATGCGCCGTGCTCGCGTTTTTTTCCTCTCTCTCTCTCTCTCTCTCGCTCCGCGGCCGTGAGCCGCTGATCAGCCTCGCCTCTCCGCGCTTGCCTCATCGACGCGCGCCTCTCTCTCTCTAATGGATTGTCCTCCGCGAGCCGCGAGCCGCGAGCTCGCCGTCGCATCGTTCCCCGCTCTCGAGCCGCGCGATCGCCGACGGATTATCTCGGCAGCAGCTTTGCCTCTCTTTGCTCGGCGAACGATTGGATTATTGCCCAGGGCTCGTCGATGATCGATCCGACTGGAAAATGCACTCGGGACGCTCGCGGAGAGGCTCTACATCGATGGAAGCGTAAGCGCCGGCCGAGAGGACGGAAACGCCGATTGCTATCCAATTGGCCGCTCGGAAGAAAACAAAGCAGCGAGCAGCGGGGCAGCGCGCTCCGAAGAGATAATTGAATGGATCGAGGCAGAGTGAGAAGTGGACGGTCGAATGTGCAATTAATGGCTGCCGGATGAATAAGCGATGGCGAGCACGACGAGGATTAAAAGGAGGATTAAAGAAGGCGCGCGCTGTATTTACATGAGAAATGTGTGCGAGAAAGAAGAGCCCGTGGTGGGCCGAGGAATAATGGAGGCGAGCGGCAATTAAGGCTGATAGTCGCGCCGGCGAGCTTCCGGGTAATAGCGTAATGCATAGTAATGGCGAGCCGTCCGGGAGAGCGCGCCGTGCCAACTGCGCTCGCACTCCTCGGCTCGCGTCCGAGGCGCGTGTAAGCCTTTCCTCATTGCCGAGCCTCGGCGAGCTGCTCGCGGATATAGCAGGCCTAAGATTATCTCTCCGGCCGCGGCCGTGCCCATCTCTATTTGCTCGGCGCTCGCCTGGCCTGGCCAACTTTTCTCGCCGCGGCTCCTCTCTCGGGCTTTTCGCGCGTCCTCCCTCGTTCCCCGCGGCCGAGGCGGCACTGCCGCGCGCCCCCGGCACATCCTATTCCCTTTAATCCGCAACTCTCGTTCGGCTCCGATTGCCCATTCTATTTTCAACGGTTTCTCCTCCGATCCTGAGAGCATAGCTGGCGCGCTTCGCTGACGTGACCACTCTAAAACCGACGCGCTTTGCCAACTGCACCGCCTACGTTGTAAATGTTTTATTGCTGTTTTAGCTTGGAGTCGAACTCGCGTATATCGCCAAATTGCGTTAATCCGAGTGCTGCTCGTCTCTAAGTTCTCTTCTTCTTCTTCTTCTTCTTCTTCTTATGTCCGTGCACGTTTTTCTCGTCTGGCGTGCGCGCCGCATCAACAATATCGTTAAGAAAAAACTTGTTTTATATTATGAATTATCTTTTGCGAGCTGCAAACCCAGCAAGACAAGCGCATGAAATGCCTGCACAGCAGAGTTATAAATGTCTCTCTAGAGATGAAAGTTTCGCGCTTCAATTGGCTGCGGCTTATATAGATATATGCGCGCAAAAGCTCGCGAGAAAGAGAGAGGAGCAACGTGAAAAATCCAGATTTATTGCGCGTTCACCAGACAGATTGAATATTATTACGTACTTGTTTCTACTTAAAATCATTCGAAGGCGTCACGACAGCAGCCCAATGCGAAGCAGTCGCGCATTGTAATTTAGCGGGAGAGAGAGGAGACAAGACACCTGAAAACCTACTTTTCAGCGACGACGCGGAGTTGCAGCACCGGACTGACGATGATGATGGCCCGAGAGAAGCGTCGGCGCCTCTTTTGAAATTCTAAACGAAAAGGTCAAACACTCCTCGCGGCCGAGTCGAATGTGGGTCGAGCGATGGGTCGGAGAGAGAACAGGTAGCTCTTACGCGCAGCCCGTGCCTACTTGTTCATTGTTGGCGCCTGGCGACTCGTGCGTTTTTCGACCGAATCAAACGGGAGTGCCGTTCGTCGCGTGTTACCTTCTCTCTTCCGTCGGCCTACCTGGCAACCCGAACACGCCTCTCGTCTTCTTCTTTGATATGCGCGCGGGAAAGGAAGAGCTGCGCAGCAGGAAAACAAAAAATAAAGAACTCGAGACGAGACACTTTTAATGCATCGTTGGAAACTTTCTCTCGCCTGCTCCCATGCATAACTTATGCGTACCGCGTGTACTGCGGGCGCTAAAATGGAGAGTGATTCTTCCATTCGGGCGTTCCTTCATCATTTTTCTTCTTTTTTTCTTTTTCTCTCTTCGATCGCTCCCTTCTTGATCCGTCCGGTTTCGCATCGCGGGGAGAGAACGGAAAAATAAAGTGCTGCTCAGCGGAGACTGTCGCGCAATCGCATTATTCAAATTGCCGATTGTCTTAACGGCTCGGAAGAAAGCCAATTTGCATCGTACCGCTTACTTTTTAAAGCGCAAGTATTGCGATACCTCCGTTGTACGGCTCAACCTGATTTGCCGAAGAAAGATATTTTCTCTGACGCGTTCACATGTTAATGCCAAAAATGTATGCGGCCGTGTGACCATCAACATTATAATTTACGTCTTCCTTCGCCGGCTTCAAGATAAGGATCGTCGCTGCTTACTTTCGAATTGACGCGTACAGGTCACTTTTTTCACTCGAACGTCCAATGCGACAGCACAGTTTCAGTTGTTAACTGCACACCGTAGCTGTCGATTATCACTCTTTGAGGAAGCATATAACTCTATTATTTATTTAAACTTGCTTCGTAGAGAAGTCGCCCAAATGGACGCAATCAGTTGTACAAAGTGTGATGACTATAGAAGCATTGAGAATCGATTTTAGATAGAAAAGACTGCCATTTTATTATATTTAGAAAAACTAGGATTAATTACTAGTAAATTTGAAGACTAAAGAGATTAGCTGATAGCTTTTGGGAGTACGTGACAACGGTAACGTTACTTGAGAATGGCCGGTTGCGATGCGTACATAGGTGGTTGCAAGTAATCGATCCCCGCGGACGCGCAAACCAGCTAGCAGTGTGGCAAGACGCGCGTTCCGATGATGTGCTACTTTGTTTGCGCAACGTTACGACTGGGATCGCTATCGCGCAGATGCGACGCAGGCCGCATCTCTGAAAAGTAAG